TTTTTTGTTCTCTTTTTTGAATCATGTTTTCTGCCCCTTCGGGCAGGCTTCCCAAAAGGAAAAACCCCGAACAGGCAAATTCCACCCCCGAAAAAAACGCGTACCGGGCCAGTGGTCATTAATTAAGCTTTGGGACGGAGGTATCAGCCCTTGTGGAAGCGAATCGAGCCCAAGTGGCCACTGCGGGCTCGGGAATATTCAGTACTGTACCTGTCTGTCTGGTAACTGGGGAGGTTCGCGGCGGACTCACCCGCCTCGCTGGAAGTTTGCTTGCTTTCTTGCTGCCTCTTCTTGGGAAGGGATCCACTACCGCCCGGAGTATACTGATTACTGCGTAGGGCAGCTATAATTAACATTTCGATTGATCCTCCCTGGTTTAATTAATTATTCGGATTTCTGACTGTCAACCTTTGCTCCCCACTCCGCTATCCACAATCCACGATCCACTTCCAACCCTCATCCTCTGCCATCCACGCGCCTCTTCTATAAACCCCGTTCTCTCTCCTCCTCCTTCTCCTCCCCCCCCCCCCTGTTCTCAAAACCCACCCCCACTCATCTCTGGTCCGTCGCCTCCATTGGATCCATCCATCGGGTCTCTGCTTTATATACTTCCCTTCTCGCTCCTCCCATCACCTCGCTCATCAAGATATACATCCTTCCCTCACTCTCACCCTCTCTCACCCACTCATTTCCGTCACCATGGATCTCGCCAGCCTCATCTCCCATCCGGGGCCCGAACCCCTCTCGACCTACAAGGCCCGAGCCTCGTACAGCCCTCCCATGAGCTCGTACAAGCGGTCGATCGAACAAGTCTCGGACTCATACTTCTCCTCCGTTCCGATCTCCTACACCCGCACCCCGCAACCTCCTCTCTCGCCTCCCGTGGAGGAACACTCGCCCAAGTGCTCTCTGCCGTCCATCTCGACGCTCCTCGAGGGTGCAGACGGTGCCTCCGTGCATGCAGCCAGTATGGCCCCCAACCCTCGGAAATGGCCCATCTTTACCAAGGAATCAGTGCTGACCATCGCATCTTAGAGCGGACCCGCATGACCCCTCCTCTGCAACGGGAGTCATCGCAAGCATATGACTTCAAAACCAACGGCCCCCAACTCGCCTTGCCACCCACGCCCCCATTGCGTCCTGGCTCGGGCTTCCACAGCGCCAGCCACTCCCCCGCCTCCTCCATCTCTGCGGCCAGCGAAGGCAATGCGCCCAAGCGCTCCGATTCCTTCTCCCAGGTGCCCGTGGCTCTGCCCAGTCCCTCGGATCGCTCGTCCATCTCCAGCCAGGGTTCCGTCCAGGGTGCTCCGTATGCCTCGCCGGCTCCCAGCGTCGCGTCCTACTCTTCCCCCATTGAGCCGTCGGCCTCCTCCGCCATGTTCTACCAGCGCACCGCATCCACCACCACCGCCGCACCTCTCCCGACGCCCGCGCCCCAGCAGATCATCTCCCCCGTGAACCCCGCCTGGCAACATCACCACTACTTCCCTCCCTCCAGCACCACGCCCTTCCAACAGAACCATGACCGCTACATTTGCCGCACCTGCCACAAGGCCTTCTCGAGACCATCCAGCCTGCGCATCCACTCGCACAGCCACACGGGCGAGAAGCCCTTCCGCTGCACCCACGCTGGCTGTGGGAAGGCCTTCAGCGTGCGTAGCAACATGAAGCGTCATGAGCGTGGCTGCCACAGTGGCCGTCCCGTCGCAACCGCCATGGTCTAAGACCCCACCCGGTTGGGATCTCCTTGATGCGCCTTGAAGGCAGTCAAGACGGCCACGCCACGAGCCAAGCCAAAAAAAAAGAATCAAATCAAACCAACCTCCCTGAACCCAGCGACCATCTGCTCTGCTTTTCTTCTTTGAATGATACCCTTTTGTGCATGTTTATATATATTCTTTTCTTCCGATCTTCACACACGCACCCGGAAAAACTCCAGGGCTAGGTGTATCGTGATGTTCTTCACTTCTTCCACCTGTGTATATTTGGATCCTTTTCTCTTTTTTTTCCCATTTTTTATATATATATTGTCCATGTGAAAAGGAGCAGGCGTCGCTGGTTTTCGATCTGGGAAAAATGCAAGCAATGCATTTAGAAGAGAGGGGTGGGATTGGGATGAATGGAGAATCAGGATCTCGGAGTCTCAACTCTGGTTCGGTTGGGTTGGGTTATTGTTTTTTTTTTTTTTTTTTTTTCTTCTCTGTTTCCTATATATTTTTTTCTTTTTTCTTTTATTTCCTTGTGTCATCATTTCCTTTGTGATGATGTGACATGACCCTCCCCCCGGGAACAAACAAGAACCATGTTCTTATATATGAGATATCAGAACGCATCATTCTAGTTGATGTGAATAAAAATTCCAAACTTGATGAACAGAACTTGATTTCTCTTCTTCTATACCTGACTCGTATGGGTATGTAGAGATAGGTAGATTACTAGACTAGAACTAGATCGTAGACTTGAAGGAAGTGATGATCATCCGTACCCCTCCCTTCCCTTCCCCTCTCCCCTCTTCATCACTCAACAGTAGCAAAATACCAAGCATAGCAAACGTACGGCATCTTATACCAGATGACATGCTTCCGTATGCCATCCCGTCCTATCTATCTCCTTTCATCCCATCCCATTCCTCCAATTCCATCTCATCATATCCCACCCTACCTACGCTACTCTTACTCTAAACTAGTACACAAGAATATCGTCAGTAACCAATTCATATACCAGAAATTTTAAGTCCAAGCTAGTGATCTATGTATGTATGTAAGTATGAGGTCCTGCTAAGAAACCACATCTGGTCCAGCACCCATCCACTCCCCAATACCCGATTCTTTTCTTTTGTCAAAGCCTAGTTCTCCGGAACCCCTGCAACCAACCCAATCAAGTAATAAAGATAGGTATCATAAGACTTATTCCAGCAGTCCAAAAGGGGAAAAAAATAAATAACAGGGGATGAATTATTCGGAAGGAAGGAAGGAAGAAAGGAAGGAAGGAAGGAGGGGGGGAGGAAAGATATAAGGAGATGAGATGGGAAGAGAAAAAGCGGGAGAAAAAGTCATCGACAGCTCATCATGGCCGTAATTATCATTATTATCGTTGATTTGGTCATCCATTAACGCTGACACTGCCATTACCATTAGCAGTAGCCCTGATGCCGCTTGCACTCCCTGCCGTCGTCACGGCTCTTCGCTTCGCAATAGAATCCTTGAAATCGATCAGGTTGTGGTCGTCGGGCATATGTTCGCCGCTGTAGATGCAGAGGACGCGCATGCCCGGTTTATAGGATAATCCGCTGAGTAGTTTGGGCGTGATCAGGAAGTATTGGCCGCCGCCGCCGGATTCGGACGGCGCGCAGGCGATGTCGACCAGACGGCCGTGGACCATGCGTTCGTTGCGGGGGTCCATACCCTGGTTGATTTCGTCGACAACGCGGAAAGGGGATGCGGAGAGGGATTGGAGGGCCATGAGGTAGAAGATGGTGCTGACGGCGCGTTCGCCGCCGGACTGGCGGTGCGAGTCCAGGAGGGAGAGGTTCTCGTGTTCGCGGAATTTGACGTGGATTTGGATCGACCATTGATCGAAGTCGCTGTCGCCGGGTTCGCCGTTTGGGCCGGGTTCTTCGGCCTTGTCGAGGGTGACTTGGCCGGCACAGCCGATGCGAGCGAACGAGTCGGAGAAGGCGTCACTGATTTTCTTGACGATGGAGTCGAGCTTGGGTTCCCATCGGCCGCGAATCTCGTTGATGGCGTGACTGTAGTCGTCGAGCTTTTGCTGGAAGTCAGAGAGCTTGTCGCGCAGCTTGTCAATCTGACGGCCGCGTTCTTCGAATTCCTTGATCACGTTGCTGTTGCCGCCGTGGGTGAGTTCGAGACGGGCTTTCTCCGAATCGATGTCGGCCTCCAGCTGGTCTATGGTCTGCTCCTTGATCTTGTGTAATAGCTCTGCCAAATCGGGCTGTTGTTGCGTAAGTTCGGCGACCTTCCTGGCCTGTGCTTCTATCTTCTTGAGTTCTTTGCCCATGTTCCTGATCTCTTCTTTCGCCGCCTTCAATTCCTTGTGTTTGGCTTCAAGCGTCTCCCGATGCTCGATGTTTCGAGCTTTCAGCACCTCCAAGTCGGAGAGACCTTCGAGATGCCGTACTTTCAGCTTGATGACTTCTTCGTGCAGCTTTTGGAAGGTTTCAACCGCGTTCTGTCTCGCGTTAGCAAAAGTCCCGATCATATGCCCGATCCCTGGCAAGACATACAGCATATTCAATGGCGGCCTCGGCCTTGCGAATCGACACCTGGTCCTGTTCGCTGCGGAGATTGCCAACCCTCGTTCTCATCTCCTCAAATATCCTCTGGTTGTCTTTCTGTTTGACTTCTTGCTGACCTATTGGAGTTTCAGAAAAAGGCCTTGATAAAGGGCAATGCGTTACTCACGGATTCTTTCCGGAATAGCTCGATAGTTTGTCAGAGCCGTCTGTTTCTCGGCCTTCTCCCGTTCGAGCTCGCTCTACACAAACACCTCATGTTAGCAGATTGAAAGACCATAGCAACACAGCTTCGGCATACCAGTTCTTGTTGGCATCGCGTATGTGACTCCCCTAGTTGTTGTAGTCTGGTCCTTTCGCTATCAATCTGGTCCTGCACCTCTTGGATTTCGTCTTTCAGTGCGCGGACTCTCTGCGTCAGTTGTTGCCTCTCAGACACATCCACCGGTTGTGAGGTGAACACTCTCGCCGGCTTCACAGGCAACTGCCGGGTGTTGCATGCATTGGGACCGTATTCCCTCCGCCGAGTGATGAGATAGATCCCCTTTCCAGCCACCCAGGATTCTATTCGGCTGGCTTTCAGCCGATCGAGCTCGGCACTCGAGATTCCGGCCCCACGAATAGGTGTCTTATCCAGCCGGGTCTCATTACAAAGCATAGAAATGACGACGTCAGGTCCACTGATACAATCTCGCGCCAAGCGCTCGAATCCATGCCTCCGCATCTCATCATCCGATATCAGACGTCGCTGAGTATCTAGCGGATCGGAACACGTTCGGATAGCGACATCAGATAACTTCTGGTCGATGCAGAGGGCTCTCTGCAACTTCCTGAAGTCGTTCCGAGTCTGTGTGGTAAAGGCCAGGAGATCCGTGCGTCCCAGTATAGCTTCCACGGCATCGGCGTATTTCGGGTCTTTCACGGAACAAGTGATCACCGGTGGGCCAAAGACTTCCTTTTCAAACTGATGTTGGTTGTCTTGGATCCAGTGGTAAGCCCGCAAAGAATCGGCGGAGATTCGTTTCAGCTTGTTCTCCTGTTGTCCGGCCGCCGAATCGAGGTTCTGTAATTGGCGCTCCACCTGCTTGACCTGGTCCGTCTTCTCTTTTAGTGATTCAAAGAATGGCAGTCGATCGGCTTTGATCTGGTCTGCCTTTTCCTTGACATCCCTGAGCTCGCGTCGTTTTTCGCGCTGTGTGACGTATTAGCCAGCATCGCCAACACCATCCGGATACACCTACTATCTTCTCGTTGTACCAATCCACATCTAATTCCACCGGCTCCTCCTTCAACTGGCGCGTGAGCTTGTTGATTGTTTGCTGGATCTTATTGGCCTCTTGTCTGTAGCCCTGCCCACTTTTCTTCTCGGCCTCAATTTGAGAGTCAAATTCCTTCATCGCCTGCTCGTGCCGCTCGATCAACTTGCCGGCTTTGCCGGCTGCACGCTCAGCTGCGTCAAGCTGCTGCTCTTTGTATTTGATCACCTCATCAGTCTGGAGACAGTACTGTTGCTTCGCATTGACAGATCTCAACGCAGGTTCAAGCTCCGCCTTGAGCTGCTCCAGTTCAGTTTCGATTCTTTGCACATCCCTCTTCATATCATTGTACTTGGCATGTCCCTCCTTGAACTGCAGGACTGGACGGACCGCATCCAACATCTCAATGTTCCTCTTGATCTGAGCCCTTTGGCGCATCCGTTCAACATCGGCTCTCTGCATCTCTTGCCGATCCTCGAGGTTTGTCAGCAAGTCTCGGTCACCTTGGTTGTCTGTCTGCAACTTCTTTTGTTCTGCTCGCAGGCGCTTCAAATTATTGTGCCATTCAATCATTTCCTCCCCAGCGGCGGCTCGTTGCGTCGAATTGAGAAGTTCAATCGGTGTAAGGGCAGCGAATTCGCTGACCTTGTCCTGGGGGAGAAATTGACACAGATTATCGATTTGAATAGAGAACGAGTGCGCTAGCTTCTGCACCTGAGAGCGAGAAGCTTGTTTCCCATTTATCATGAAAGTACTTTTGTTTCCGTCGCGCTTGATTGTTCTAGAAACCACGGGGTTTCGACGAGAGCCAGGACCTGCCGCAAGCTCAATCTCGATCGTAGCTTCTCTACAGCCGTGCTTGACGAACTCCCCCGTGTCCTTTGCACGACCCAGATGCTAGATGGGCATAGCTGTCAGATTATCGCATGTACCACTTATGACGATGAGCAGGGGCCATTCATACCTGTGGGCCCCAGCCTAAGCCCAGACATATCGCACAGACAAGCGTACTTTTTCCAGTACCATTCGGTCCAATTACCATGTTCAGCTTTGGACCGGGGAAGAATTCTGCGGACGTGTATGTTACGAAATCCGTCACTTTAATGCGCACAATAGCACCCGGCTTGTACCCGTCCTGCAAGCCATTTTGTGTTAACGATGGCTCTCTGACAGCTTGGATGTCACTTCTGTTCGAAACCCTGGACCCTGCTGACTTCGAGGGAACATATTCCCCGGTGCCATGTTCTGTGTTGTCAGACTCTTCGGCATCGTCGTCTTCACTGCTTGTGGGATCATGATCGGCCCCCGCTTGTGGCTCTGTAGCTGCAACTCGGGTGTTACTTTTGCGCGAGGCTTCATCATGTTCGTCATTTTGCGACTCTGCCGACCCGGAGGCCACAACTTGGGTATCATCATTATCCATAGACCCAGCCTCGCTTTCGCTGAGACTTCCGTCGTCGCCCTGATTGCTTTCGCTTTCCTCCTGCGCGTCCTCCAGGTCCTCCATATCTTGGTCTTCCTCCTCTTGCCCATCTTCCTGCCCCCTCACATTTTGGTAACCCGCCTCTTCATCTTCAACATCTTCACCCTCCTCTTCTTCTTCACTCTCCTCTTCGTCGTACTCCGCTTCGTCCTCCACCTCCTGCTCGTCCACCTGCTCCACCTTTACCCCTTGCTCCTCTACATCCAGCTCCTCAGTACCCAACCGGGGACGTTTGCTAGCGCTTGAACGATGTGACGCCGAGCGGGAATTTCTTATAGATCTGGAGGACGCAACATCACTGTGATCCTCATCCGCATCAGTTCGGGGTCGTCGGCGAGGGTTCGACCCTCTAGAAGACATCTTGAATAGGGCCGCACAGCTCGTGTAAGTCACCAGCGCATTGGAAAAAGAGGGACGACCTCTTTGACCTGGTGAAGGTGGGCTGGTTGATAAAGGAATTAAGATATCATCGAAACGCGGCTCACGCGACGCGATGGAACAAAGAAGCAACCAATCTAGCCTCTTGCGGATTAGGCGGACACCGGCGGCAGTTTCATGTCCATCTCCGGTCGGTGCCTCGGAGCTTCTGCCATTATCTACTTCTTTTCTTTATTCAGGGCGCAGAACTGAGACAAAGGAACGCAATTCAGCAAAACAAAATAGCCAGTCAACTGGGCGCATTTTAATACCATGCCTACTCCTCTGAATGCGAAACGGCTTGTCCTCACAGGCGCCGTCACGGTGATCACCATCGCCGGATCGCTTTATGGTGCTGGCATCAAGACCGGGCAACAAGTCACTCAGGTAAACATAACAATTCTCTGGGACTACCATTTTGAATTAGAGGTTTCGCCGTGCTAACTTCGATTGTGTTCGAATAGCAAGCCCAAAAAGCTAGAGACGTCACCATTGACGAACGGATCGACGGTCTTCGGAGCATGCGGCAAAATTTGATGGCAAAGAAGGAGCTCGTGGAGAGGCAACTCAACGATTTGGAGACTAGAATTGAGGAAAGGAAGCTCAAGAATATCGACGGGCCAAAGAAAGAGCCGCCACAATATAGGTAACGAGCGGGATGAACCTGTGTGTTTCAGGCGAGGAAGGAAGTGCTCAGCCATGACTCCGAGCACATCCTGGATGCTCATATCGGTGTGGTATAAGATGATGCAGCCTGCACTGGGTTCCTTGCCGTCAATGTCGAATGACTGAAGATACATATTTACGTCTTCCGCGCCGATTTTACCAGCCCATGGCGGCGTTGTATACGTCGGCTATCGGACTAGGCCCAAAGGCTGGCTGCCATCCTCACGCCGCGAGGGTTGATGTGTGCGGGCTCGCTTTCTCCAGGAAGGCGGGTATGCAAATACCCTTGCTTCCAGCAGCCTCTAAAGGGGATGTGCACGAGAAATTGTCTGACTGGTTGACTACAACTCAGAGGTGTCTTCGTCGGACACCTGGCTCCTGATACTACGTACGGAGTGAACTTTTGCCCAATTAGACTCCCATCGGGCTTACGGGTCTCGGACAAGCGTCACTTCTACTTTGCCAACGTTCCAAAATCTACGAACGTGTCTCCGGGATCAGATCCAACGGATCAATGCCACTAATCCACTAATACGCGGGAGCAACTGGTAGAAGGCAGGCACGATAAGGCCGACAGAATTCATCTCGATTTGCTAATAAAATGCGCTATGTCCAATGATTTATATCGCTTAATCTAATGAGCATAAATAATAACCCTAGATCAACTATCCAAGATACCTCGCGCCAGCGCAGCAAGACTAGCTTCATATCTTGCTGGGTTATGGTCGCTGAACATTCCTGAACCAAACCTGAGTTCTCCAAATAATGATTCGACGTCACGGATAAACTTCAGTTGCACTCGTGTTGCAGGCCGTCCAAGCAACGGATAGCCATCTTTATCCAAATCAGATGTAAAGGCGTTTCGCTGGAGGACACGCATCGTCTCAACCACGAATACCTCTCCCGGCGGCATCAGCTTCGGGGCGTGCATCTCGTCCCTGAGCATCTTCAAGGTGTTCCAGGCCCAAGCGTCCTCGCCAACACCATCCCCGGCGTGGGTAAGGATAGGCGGTTCGTTGACATAAAATTTGTTCACTATGCTTTGCCGCAAACCTTCCCAGACGCGGAATCGTACATGAGATTTGGCATTAGAGACGTCACTTTTGAACGCAAGGGACGCTGTATGCATATCGTGTAAGATGCCCAATGACAGGCTAGGCACCACATCTTGACCATTCACGACTGCCGTGATTAAGCCGCGTGTTGCACGACGCAGAAAGGGGGACATAGTCGAGGGAGGCCCATACGCATAGACATGGATTGGTCTTCCTGGCGGCAGGAAAAATGCACTGTCCCCCTCATTGCTTCCAGCCAGAGGCAGATTGCCCTTGGCAGACTGATAAGAAGCAGTGGTAAACGATGTCCCGGAACTTTCATTATTATTGGGCTCTGAGATCATTGTCGCTAGCAGTGCAGCAACTCCTCCGCCCAGAGAGTGACCGCAGAACACCACGCCATAATCCGGGAAATCTTCCAAGGCAGCTCGAATTGTGATCATGACTCTACTGCCCCCTCCCATCAAAAGCCGCTTCGCAGAGGCATGCATACCCTTGTGAACTTTCCAGCTTCTGCCTTGCCATTCAAGATCGTCGTAGTCGCATGTCATATCAGTCAGAATATCCTCAAAACCCCATGTCCCTCTTAGGGTTAGGACGACCGCCTTGGACTCATGGTCCAAGAAGAGATAATGGACTAAGGGGAAGCCGCTTTCCGTCTCCCCAGCAGCATTGGTACCACCTGCAGGATCTACATAAGAGGACAAAAGGATGGTAGAAGCTGGTAGACCTGCATGATCCGAGAATTCGCTATGCTGAGGACTGTGGGATTCTTGATAAGGAAGCCCCTGTATTGTCCGCGGAATGCCCATGACTTTGAGTGCATTCGAACCGTAGGAGGCAGAAGAGAAGCGACAAAAGCGTCTGATGTTATGCACAAAGTGTTTTTCAGGGAAAATACCAGGGACAGTACCGTCCCGATTAAGTGCTTGGATCGTTTCTATTTCGTCGTATGCACTGCTTCGGCCACGATGGGCCAGAATGAGGGATGTTTCAGAGCCCGCGGTTGCCAAGGAGTATAGGCTGGGAGAAAAGGAACCAGACTGTCGGTAAAAGACAGGGGAGCTTGGCCGAGATTCGTCGTTTATGGATATCGTCACGTCGCTTTCAGACCTTGTCAGTGACATGGAGCTGCTGCTACGCACATGAGCCCTCCGTGACGTTGGTGTTCCTGGTCGTACGTCCAGTGATGGTCGAGTATAAGCATCCGTCTGCGCCACGTATCTTTCGTTGTTCTTCTCATGTACCGTATAGCGTTCCGTCCTTGGAGTTTGTCCGTGATTGGTATCGCGTGATTCGAATTGGCGTGTTGTTGGAATAGGGGCAGATCGTATTCGAGGTCCTTGCAATGGTGTCCTCGGTAAACCTCTATTTGCCACAGATGTCAAGGATTTGCGGTTATGCGATATCGACAGATTGTCGGGCTTCTTCGTGGGATTAGAACCTTTCTTTGATTTGCCTTGATGAGGCTGGTTCTCTGACGAGGCCGGCGTCCTTGGATTTTCGCTTGACCCAGTAGATCTACCAGCATCTTTCTTATCCGAGCTTCCAGGCTTCCCCTTCTGCGTAGATTTAGCTTTGATATAAGAACTTCTTGGCGCTGTCCCCGCCTCATTCAAAGGCTGTTGACTGGAATCGCCCCGATCCTGCTTCCCCGGGGTAGCCATTCGTGTTGTTCTCATGTGAGGGTCGGCTTCGAGGTGTCCCTGTACCGCTAGCTTGCTCTGAGGTGCTTGTCTCCCATTTATGGCCTCATTTTCCGCTTCTCCGAGAGCATGGTGGCTGCTTGGGTCTCCTGTCCCGGTGCCAACCTGGTATACTGCCGTATCTTGCTTTTGTGAGGGTCTCACATCCAAGCTTTGGGACTTGTTGAAAGCTGTCCGGAACACCACTGTGTGTCTGGGAAGCTGAGAGCCGCTTGAGTGTCTATGGCCAAGCTCATCGTTGAAGTTTTCCTCGATCATCATTGTTCCTGGTGGAGGAGAGATCTCTGCAGTGTCGCCGTCGTATATATCTAATGTAATAGTACGTGTCGTAACCAAGTCGGTTCGAATAGAGGCATGGCAGCCCTGGGGAAGTTGCTTCATGATGTACAAGCGAATGTCTTCGTCTGATACCGGGTGCTGTTCATTCGGCGGAAGCGTTATGGATGGATACTCGCTGGGATCAACGGTACTTGCAGGTCGCTGTACAGCATCAAAAATCTCTTCATCGTTCCCAGGGGATATGAACGACGAGCAATTTGTCTTGTCGCGCGATGAATCATGGGAGATAGCCGCCATGTCAAGTTGATGTGAACCGACAACATCTGCTCTCAGCCCGCTATCCAAGATGACGACATCCCACACAGTTTCTTCCCCATTGTTTGCACGGAGGTGTATTTGCGTGTTTCTCCTTCCCCAACGTTGAAGTAGTGCAAATCCGACACAGCCAACCAGAAGATCTCCAACGCCTATCTTATCGGCGCCAGTATCGGCGTTTGGGCTCCTGAATTCTCTCCGGATGAGGGTAATGATGGCTGCAATCGCCCTCGATGACTCTGTGGAGCCAAGGATAGCGTCCAGGGTAGATAAAAGAGACTGGGACATGTTAGCAGCAGATGAAAGCGTGGTTGAAGAGAAATGAAACGACGCAGCCGCAAAGAACGACGCAGATGTGACTGTCTTGTGTAAAGTGGCCAGCTACATCGGAAGTTAGCTTTGGGAAGAGTCCACCATAGGGTGGAAACTTACGCTTCGTTCTAGTAGCGACTCTGCTTCCGCCTTCCCATGCTCTCCATGAGTCCGAATGGCAACATCCCGCCCAGCTCTTGTCAGTATTCCTTCGATCACTGCTCTGCTGAGCTCGAGGCCCGTCAACGTCGTGGCTTTCGCTCCATCAAGGGCAAGACCGCCGACAAAGGTTCCCAAGCGTAGAGACAGGGAGGTCGACTGGGTCATGAAAGACACCATAGACGCCAGTGGTCGTGGAAGAAGAGGCAAGCCCGATGTGGCAGGAACGTGACAGGCGTCATCATCATGGACAGTGTCGATTCGCGATTGTTTAGCGACATCCCGTTTCCTCGCTCTTCCGAGACCAAAGAGTCTAGACATCTCGAGGCCTCAGGTATTGGTTGAAATTGTCCTTCTTGCTTCTAGCCATGAGAACGAATCTCAAGTGAGAGGCGAAATAGACGCGCAGTTGCACGTGTGGAGCGATACTGATCGATGGGGGATGTCCGGCCAAATCAGCAGTCAAACGTTGCAACCGTAGACTGGTTCCTGGCTGACCACTGCGCAGAGATGTAGATCAGCAGCCGGTGGCGACGAATCGCAAATCACTCATTAGGGGCAGCGGTTGAGAAGGCCGGCATGTGATTTTGCGGGTTCTCCCCAACAAACTTCGGGCATGCAATCATCATCGGGCTTTCCACCACCTGCGCTACGCGCTACACAGTACACACTACAGCATAAGGAAGAATTCAGGTATCGAGCGAGTTCCGCCTCGGCAGGGGTCGCCACTTGAGTTCGATGCTGGGGAGGCACGCGAGCAGTTGCAGGGAAAAAAACGGTGTGTACCCCACAGGCTCCAGTTTTCCCCCTCATTCTCCCCAAATTCCATCGTCAGATCCTTCCTTGATTGGGCCGATTCCATCGACGGCCAATAACACGCTGCATATCACCACATAGCCTTTCCATCGCCCGGATACATCACTTTCCTGATCACTTCTCGGTTGCATTCGGCAACGGTCCGCATCCCTGAGAGCTTCATACTCTGCCAGAGATCTGCCAATATTCCCTTCAGCACGGCTTCTGCCCCGTGCTTTCCACCGATTGCTAACCCATAGATCACAGGCCTGCCAATCAAGACTGCTTTGGCTCCTAGGCAGAGCGCCTTAATAACATCTACCCCAGTGCGAACACCAGAATCAAATAGAACCGTTAGTTTGTCTCCGACAGCGTCGACTATCTCTGGAAGGACTTCGAGTGAGCCAATAGCACCGTCGACTTGGCGGCCTACATGCACACTATTAGAAACGTTCGTTTCTGCGAATGATAGTACATACCTCCATGATTTGAAACCACGATGCCATCGCATCCTGCTTCAAGGGCAAGCTTGGCGTCATCCACATGCTGGATGCCCTTCAGTACAAGTGGGCCTTCCCAACTCTTTCGTAGAAATGAAATTTGCTCCCATGTATGCGGCTGACCGAAAAATATCTGGGAAATCCACGATTTGGACGCCCCAAGAATATCCTCTTCTACCTTTGAGCCGGACGCTCTCTCATACTGTGCGCGGAACACAGGGTCTGTAAAGCCGATCTTGTTGCCAACTCCCCGAATGAATGGAACGTAACCATTGTCCAAGTCCGCTGGTCGCCAGGCCAGGGACCAAGTATCCAGCGTAACAACCAAGACAGAATATCCGTTTTCTTTGGCGCGTTTCAACAACGACAAAGTGATCTCATCGTCCCGCGGCCAGTAAAGCTGGAACCATCTTTTGCCGTCCCCATTCGCCTTTGCGACCTCTTCAATTGAGCAGGAACTCGCTGTGCTGAGGATATACGGAACCCCGGCATTTCCACAAGCTTCTGCGAGGCCAGTCTCCTTATCGTCATGAAATATAGACTGGACTCCGACAGGTGCCATGAGAAGTGGAGTCGGATAGTCTTGACCGAAGAGGTTTACTGAAAGGTTTTGATCATTCATCTATCTGAGTGAAATCATTGGTTAGCTCTGAGAGCGGAATAATTGTCTATCTACTGACCTGCTTCAGCATTCTCGGTATCCTTCATGTTAAGCAAAACATGTGTCAGTCTATATCTCTCCCACGTAGAGCTTTAGAGGAGAACAGACAGCTTCCATTGTCGAAATGCCAGCCGGTTGCTGTCCATGGTAGCTTTCTCTCCAGCTCCGCCAGCAACATAGTTGAAGCTACGGGCCCCCAAGGCCTTCTTTGCCTGTTCCTCGAGTAGGCGAGGGTCGGTAGTAACGCTGGGCAGGACGCCCGTCATTGCTCCTCGACCATAGATCTCTGACTGATAGTCGCCATAGTTTACCGACATATTGTGTGAGCCAAATCGTGCTAATTAGGTAGACACCCAGGCAATTGCAAACAAATGCAGAGGGGTCGATACATCGCGGACTTAGTTGGTCGCCATGCAGTCAGCACGTGAAGCAGCCTCGATGCCTCGGGAACCGGGAACTTATTCCCTGACGTCATGCCTACCGGTCATCCTCTACTCATCTTCAACTATCCCCTGACCTTTCTAGCGTGATTAAGCTAGAATCTTCAGATATTCGGTAAATGGAATGCAACATTGGTATCATCTGCTAACATTCAGCTTTGTTACTTAGTCTTTCCAGCATGCCGTCCAGCGAAGAGATCTTTCTAGCGACATTCTACTAATTCAGAATCTAAGATCGCTGTAGTAGTGTCCCTCGGAATCTCAGATGAGCACTATTTCGGTATATCATCTGGACTAGCATTTGCAGCTCATACAAGAGAGATATGATCTTCGCGCTCGAACCATTCCATATACTCTGTTACAAACACACTATCCCAGGTTATGCGAATCACTTCACAAGACTTCCAGGATATTGATCGCTATTACAAACTACACTGTAAGGGAAACGCCGTATTCTTTGGCTGGCTAGTGGTATTAGGTATAATACCTCAAGATGGGAGACTTGTGATATCTCCAGGAAGCACCAGTACTGATTTACGCTTCAAGCCCTTTCGCTTCCCGGCCAGCAAGGAGACTGAATACGATATGACCCAATTATACTGCACAATCCCAAAGCAACAGTAGACATTCAAAGAGGGACGTACCCTTCCTAGCGCTCGATAATGCAGTTGGCTCTGACGGCGTACATTGTGGATGACATAGAAGCTTACTCTTTCCATTTGGGCTTCCTTGTTAATGTGTCGCATGCACATACCTATCGAGTTGCATGTCGCTATGTGTTAATACGCAGAGAGGTATAACTTTATCTCATTGTAATCGCAGCTGTTGCTTATCAAACTCACATTGTGATGGTTCATAGCTAGGTGTCAAGTATAGTATGTTCACATTGGAACATAGTATCCGTCTTTCACGATCATCGGCCAGTTTAATCCCCTCCAGGATTGCTCTGGTTTTGTGTCATGGTTACGCAGTACTTCATAGACTGTCGAGTGATCTCTTTGCTTTGCCAAGAATATGATCCGCACTTGAGTAACTGCATCATCTGAGCCATATAAGTACATTTCAGTAACTACCAGCGGGAAATAGTACCAATCAGTATAATCTAGATGACCTTCTATTTAGAGTCCTGTCTGCAATGAGGTTCCATTGAGCGCGCCTCCACAGGGTTGGAAAAACAAATAGAGGCAACCGGTCAGTCTGGAACCTTGGCGAACCTTGGCCACACTCAAATTCCACAACTTCTGCTCACATTTTATCCCTCGCTTTAGATAAGGTCCGACGGTGTACGAGGCGTTCCTTAAATAATCACGCGCACTATGGATTTTGTCAGATCTTGAAAGATCGATCTGCTGCAGATTCCCCATAGGGAATTTCTTTGAATCTCGCCGGGAGTGGAGGGGCACCTTTTGAAGCTAAACGAATCTTGGTCGATGGCAAAAATGGAGTACCAAGAAGAACCAAAGCCCGAGCTCAGATCCCCTTCATCATTCAGCCACACGGTGGACCGCGACGTTAGCAACGCTCCCGATGTCACGGGGCTGGATGAAAGGAAGGAGAGGCGTCTTATCCAGAAGATCGATCTGCATATCATACCTTTTGTCATCCTTCTTTACCTGTTCAGCTTTCTCGACAGAGGTATGTGGTTGCGTTTGTCGCATTCTCATCTTTGATTCTGGCTATGCTTGGGTGACTACGGAACAACCGCTGACAAGCCCAGTGAACATTGGCAATGCGCGCTTATACGGAATGGAGGAAGACCTGGGCTTGGTGGGAGATCAATACCAAGTCGCAGTGTCTATTCTATTCGTGACTTATTGTGTATGTTCGAATTGCAACCAGCGTATAGATAAAGGGCGATCTAATATTGGATAGCTCTTCGAAGTGCCGTCAAATCTGGTGATCAAAAAGCTCACCCCATCGCGTTACATTGCGTCCATTTCGGTCATATGGGGTATCATAGCTACTCTAACGGGTATAACCCAGAACTACGGCGGCCTCATTGCTTGTCGCATTCTTCTTGGTTAGTAACTACTGACTTGTGCGAACGGGCCCGTCCTGACTGTCATAGGCGTCGTGGAAGCCGGACTATTTCCTGGAATGATTACGTATCTCACCCTTTTTTACAGCAAGCGTGAGATTGCCCTTCGCACAGGATACCTTTTCAGCAGTGCAGCCATCGCTGGCGCATTTGGCGGGCTTCTAGCCTACGGTATCGGCTACATGGACGGTGTCGCTGGGCTGCGAGGTTGGAGGTGGATTATGATCATTGAGGGAATTCCAACTGTCATATTAGGAGTTCTGGCTTGGTTCTTGCTTGCAGATGACCCTGATACAGCTTATTATCTCGACGATGAGGAGAAGGCTCTAGTCGTCCGTCTCCGTCGTCGCGACGTGGGCCAAACATCATCCGCCCAAAAGTTTCACTGGGCCGATGTCAAAGAAGGCTCGCTAGACTGGCGGATCTATGTCTTCTGCATTGGTCAGTTCGGCGTCGATACCATGCTATACGGATACAGCACCTTCCTTCCAACGATTATCAAGGGGATGGGGTCATGGTCGACCCCCGAAGTACAAGCTCTTACAATCCCTTGCTACGCATTGGGCGCAATTGCGTACCTAATCGTTGCTTGGGTCAGCGATAGAACTCAGCGTCGCGGAGTGTTCATTTGCATTTTTGCCGCAATCTCTGTGGTCGGATACGGGATTCTCATATCCGATTCTTCCTCTGGGGTTCATTACTTCGGCGCCTTGCTTATCGCTCTGGGTTTATACGTGACAGTTGGATTACCTCTTGCATGGCTGCCAACCAATCTTCCTCGCTACGGAAAGCGTACCTTCGCTACCGGTTTGCAGCTAACCTTTGGTAATGTCAGCGGGGTCATGTCTCCTTTCTTGTACAAAACCAATGAAGCACCGCGCTACGTTCGGGGCAACGCCGTGACCTTATCTCTAGTAGGGTTTGCGGGAGTCGTCTACGGTCTTATGTGGTGGTACTACCATGGAAAGAACAAACGCAGAAAACATGGCCTGGAGGATGATAAAGTCGCAGGAATGACAGACGAGGAGATTGAGGAAATGGGAGACAGAAGTCCTCGTTTTATATACAGTACATGATGCGGTGCTGAAGCATCGAGCTTAATACATCTCAGAGTAGCTATTGGCTTGCAGGGCGCAGAATAACATGGCTTGTTTCTTGGCATTGGGAAGCCGTCTGTCGATCATGCAAAGTAGTTTTCACTTTATCTCTTCCAAATCTCAATGCATTCCAAAGGCATTTCCCGCAACACCTCCCTATGATGTCTGAGGGGCTTTGCTGAATATCGGCAACATGTTTTCTTTCAACTCTCTGGTCGTCTCTCTTTTGACTGCAATCGCAGGCATAATCTACTTTAACTGCAATCTGTCGGGCAACCCACCTTCCCACGGCTCTGGAGCTCCTCCACCCCAAAATGCCAGCTGCAAGACCTGGTCAGGCTCCAGCCCGAGCCCATGCATAGAGAAAGACGACGACTGGAATCTTCACCATCATCTCGGTGGATACGGGCCTTGGGTCTCAAAGCTTACCGGAGAACCAGAACCACATGAGATCGATCCACTTTTGGACAGATGCATAATTGATCAAATACACATGGTACCTTGTTCCTTTTAGTGAACCTATCATTTTTGATCCTTCCTATCTCAATGCCCCCGAATACTAATTGAACACTAGATGTCGCGCCATGCAGAGAGATATCCAACCAAATCTGCTGGAAGCCGTAAGCCATCCACCAAAAGTACGATCCATGAATAATATTGACGAGATATTGGATCATGGCTACAGGTCATATTGCGCTCTTGAACAGAATCTTGAAAGCAGGAGTTCCGCTGAATGGCTCCTTATCATTCCTAAATGACTGGACTTATTTCACCAGCAACCCACAGCAAGACTTCGACCAACTGACCACAACCGGTCCCCACGCTGGCACCGTTGGAGCCTTCGGAGCCGGTATGCGAGTCTCAACAAGCTACGGACACCTTATCCCGGACGATACCAAAACTAGGTTCTGGGCAAGCGATTCCGAGCGCGTCATCGAAACAGCTCGCTACTTCGCTTTGAAGCTGTTTGGCCCCGAATGGGAGAAGGCTGGGAAAGCCACCCTGGAAATCATTCCGGAGTCGTTTGATCGACGCGCAGATACACTCACACCGGGAGACACGTGTCTAAAGTATATTAGAAGATAAGGATAATGGCCACGATAAAGGGATCAAAATGCTTACTTTGTTCCAACAAACATATATTCCTGCTATTGCGGAGAGACTGATCGTCGGGCAAGATAATTTAGCCCTCGAGACCTTCACCAACTGGGAGGTCTTCAGCATGCAAGAAATGTGCGGCTTTGAAACGATCCTGCGAGGTTCAATTCCCTGGTGCGATGTTTTTACACGTGAAGACTGGAAGAATTTCGAATATGGCCGCGATTTGGTTCACTACTATCGTGGGGGACCGGGAAATCCGTACGCTGGCGCAATGGGTTGGCTCTGGCTAAATGCTACGACAAGACTTTTGCAAGAACGCCCTGATGCAGGCACTATGTTTTTCAGTTTGTAAGTGGCCCAACATATGAAGAAAGAAAGGCAAGTCCGGGCCAAGGTGCAAATCTAATGTGTCTTAGTGTCCACGATGGGGATATAGCTCCTTTCCTGACCGCACTAGACATAATGAGGGATACAAAGTATGATACGTATCTACCTACCACACATAGGGTAGAAGACCGCGTTTGGTACACTTCAACTGTATGCCAATGGGCGGTCATATTACCCTCGAACGAATGACCTGTTCGCCAACAGATGGTGTGTCCGACATGAGTGCTACATTTCTTCGGGTCAACGTAAATGACAAGATTATGCCGCTACCGTACTGCAAATTCGGGCCTGGCTTATCTTGTCCGCTGGAGGAGTTTGTCAGCCACGTAACTAGGAGGAGGGTTGAAGTGGGAGATTTTGGAGACGTGTGTGGTCTAGATGATGTCGGAAGAATCACATTTCTTCGGCAAGGGCAAGACTGACAGCAACAAACATCTATACCTCCAGATATAGACAAGCAGAGAGACGCCATTCCACCTTTCATGTCTCTGGCGGCATTCTTTGTTCAAGGATGCTGGTGCATGAGCAATTCACACGAGACGAGTCAGACTGTACAATAGCGTCTCCAGGCTTCACAGATCTTATATATCCCAAAACAATTCAAGTCCACTATTGATCAATAATACGAGATAGATAGGATTGTTATTTATGTGATTGCACTCAACGACACTGACTAATGCATGCTGGTTGAATGGCCTTGGCATTCAATTGCCATATAGATGACATCCCAGGGCACAATAGCACTGTAACAAGACAACAGACCTTCACACCAGTAAATTCACATCTATCTAAAAGCTCAGTCGCGTAATATATTGAAAGAAAAACATATTATCACCAAAAGCTGAGGTTACGTAGCGGTCAAGATCCTCAAGCCTGACATACCACTGCGGCTCACGTGACGGTATCCGGGCTAACACTTCTGTTTATTGCACCCAAAAGTTTTGGACGGAGCCAGCTTCATCCAACCTGTACAACTGCCAACATCGCCATTTCTTCGTTTTGACATCTCCCATACTTTCCATCGCAGCATAAATCTCTTCTCAGCCTTTTATCAACCCCTTACTTGCTTGCATCTAATAAATCAGAGGCGATCCACACTACTTTCTCCAAGATGGAGTACCACTTTGTTCCTCCCGAGGAGCGCGCAAGAGACGAAAAAGGGAACCTCCTACCCTGGGGTTACGTTTACAAAGAGTACGTCCCATAGCCACACATAACTCTTCAACTCTCTCCGAAGAAGCACAAGCTAACACAACCTCCCCTACAGCGAATCTCGCAACCCGCGCCGACCCCCCGAAGAAAGCGGCCCATTTGGCAAGCGCAGAAACGCCCGATATGAACATACCAGGTCTCGCACACGCACAGGCACTCCTGCCGCAAAGAGGGAGAATCCCAACGTCGCCGAATTTGGGCGACTCTTCGCCCAACAACAAGAGGATGAGAAAGCGCGCAGTAACACGCTGCCCAAGTCATCATCAGCATCAAACCTCGACAATTCCCGGAAACAGACAGAAAAGGTCGCAACGGAGTGCATACTATACGGATACAAGAGCAAAGATTCCGAATGGAAGGTGATAGACAAGTACGAGCGGATTTCTCGCGGCGTGATCTGCGAGGACTATCCCCGGACGGATCCCAATGCCTTGAACGGGTACTCGCAGCTCCTGAGCGGTGGGGATGTTGTTATTCGTGCGAATTTGTCGGCAGATGCGAACCGGAAGTCGAAGCGTTATGCGGGCGGATTTCACTGGATCAAGGTGACATTTGACTCGACGATCGCTGCGGATCGTGCGGTTTTCTACTCTCCCCAGGAGATTGATGGTCATGCGGTCTTTTGTGAGCTGTATCATGGACAGGGGCCTGCGGAGGATGCCCCGATTCTACAGGGCTCCGCGGAGGCGGCTCGCTTGCAGGCGAAGGCGGCGCCTCGGACGATGACTTCGTCGCATTCGACGAGTTTCCTCCAACCCATGGAGGCCAACAAGGAGCGTCATACGCTGCCGAAATCCTTCGCTCCAAACAACCTGACGAGTGTGCTCGATGCCGATGAGGAGCAGTCACAGGAGTCGACACCCACCGCCAGCTCCGCGACGGCGACCGGCGTCGAGCAACCAGGCTCCGTGCAGCAGCGGACTGTCACCCAGGAACCCAAGCCCGAATCAGAGTTCATGACACATATTCCGACGATGCGTCGGACGAAGCTTCGGCCCATCACAGAAGCCCTTCCCCCTCAACCCACCGTGACGGAGCGAGTCTTGCGCTCCATCCCCATCCTTAGCTGGTTCACCGGCGACATCGTGGGCGATGGACCTCAACTTCGCGAGGACGGAGCATTTGATTACGACAAGTCCAACACATATTGGCGGTTCTGGTACATGGTCGATATGATCATAGGGACTGATATCTGCGGTCTGAAGGAAGAATCATGACACCTCCACTGACGAATCCTTTACTATCTCAGTCGACAACATCCCCTAGAGGGAAAGACGAAAAGGATGAACAACCAGATGCATTGAAGATGCCAGCACAGTCCCTGTGTGGCGAAAATGAGAACCTCTCATCTCTTCCAGCAGATACCCCGATGCATGTACGATAGTGCTTCCGTTATTGTTGTTGTCGTCCACGATTATTGTTGGCATTTTCTTACGAGTGTGATTATATAGCTGCATTGTCAGCTAGCTTCCTTTCTATTCTACCATTCTTTTTTGACTCTTGCATATTAAGTGGCCGGCGCTGGGTATATGGTTGTTGTTCTATGTTGGGTTGCATTAGGATGCGATGGGAAGATAATCAAGACATCTCTAGTCTGCGGAGTATCTTATGTTCTGAATTATATTTGTAAAAATGTAAGTAGATGTGTGTAATTCGCAAATATGTGTACTGTACGGAGCATACTCATATAAGGACAAAGACCCATGTCTCGGCCGCATACTCTGTACCACGGACGGAATTACGGAGTATATTCGTTCAATTGGTATTAATGGCTGGAAATATACAGTAGCCACCCGACCATACAATGACATTGACCAACCCAACCTAGATACACCTTCGAAATAAGGCTCAATGCATCACAACAGCAACATGATCATCCATATACTTCCTTATATTGCCCAAGAAGCAAGCCGCGATGATAGACACACCCCCGAATCCAATGCTAGCATAATACACCCACTTATAACTTTCGGCGTAGGCAAGCTGACCTGCCGTCACGACGGCATTATAAGCAGTTTCATTGCCCGCAATGCCGGGGATGAGGTGTAATTCATCTAGCAACGATGCGCCAGTGAGTTCAATCGCTTCGGCGATGTAGGTGGTGTTTGTGATGTTGAGCTGGGTGAGCATGACCCCGCCGATATAGTGCTTGGCATTGGGGACGAACTTGGAGATGAAAATATTGTAATAGATGGTGTAGCCGATGCCGCCACCGGCAACGCGGATGGAAAGGGTGAGGGCTGAGATGGTGGCGATTAAGTCCTAGAGTTGGTTAGTCAGCTAGAACAGGATAGTCTTGGTGTAATTTCTAAGGAGAGAACTTACATCGGGACATATGATCGTAGTGATGATCGAGGCCGGAACGATAATGCCCCCGATGCCTAGGCCCGCGACAACCATGATACCCCAGAGTTGGTATAGATTGTCAAGGCGGCCTATTGACATGGCACCACAGCCTGCGGAAGGTTAGTCGCCTACATGCCGTACTGCTCGAGGGATTAAACAGACCTGCCGTCATGAGAACACTGCTGATGATGAGCAGCTCCTTGTTGTGCCCACGCAAGATACTGAGCAGCCATAGAATGATGCATGCTCCTGCCATGATACCAAAACCAATGGGGAGGCTTCGAACGCCAACATCAACCGGATCGTGGCCATACACGTTGAATGACTGTGTCGGCCAAAACATGAGAACGGAAAAGAAGTTGGCTCCCGAAATGAACGTAATGACCAACGTTAAACCTAGGATGCGTGGCTCTTGCTTTAGCCGACTCGGAAAGATGGGATACTTTGCACCATATATCTCCCAGAAAGCAAAGGCAACCATGACCGCAAAGCCGAGAATGAGAGGAACCAAGACGTGAGCCGATGTCCAATCATACTGTTTCGCAGGTTAGCGACCAGAAAGACACTCGCAATGACGCGGAGATGGTAGCGCACCTGATATCCGCCCCATTGCAGGCCAGCTAGAAACACTATTAAGCCAGAAATACTCAGAAAGCCGCCCACAAAGTCGATGCGAGTGAAAATGTCGGATCTACTCAAGCCCTCCGAGTTGACTCGTGGTGGTGGGAAGTAGAAGAGCGCTGTGATCAGCAAACCAAAGCCATTCCATGCACCGCAGAACGCCCCGACATAGCGCCAGCCGCTGTGTGCTGCGATAAGCTGAGCCCATAGGACGGATGGGCAAAATGGCAGGATCGTGAATATCAACACTGCAACGTATTTGCCTCTTTTTCGGGTTGGGGCCATTTCCGAGGTTGCAGCCAACGCAGTCAACTCATTGATGCCTGCACCTGCACCTGAAATCGCCATCCCGGCTGTTTGTTTATTAGATTAACTCCAGGATGTGGGTGGAGGCATACCAATGAATATATTCATTGTGTGCGCTGTGCTGCTGACTATCATTCCGAGACAAACAAGAGAAGCTCCGATGAGTGCGACATATCGACGGCCGATGAGGTCAGAAAGGGACCCAACAAATGGACAAACACCAGCAAGAGCGAGTAAGTTGGCCAGGACCTGCGTTAGGTCAAACAAGTGTCAGCTTTTATGGCCAACCACAGGCCTTTCGAAACTCACAAACCACACCCATCTATCCGCACCGCCAATGTCTCCGTAGACATAAGGTGGTATACCTCCTACAAGGCATCAGAAAGGTATGTCGACATATCCGAAGAGCACTTGATGTTCGGCTCACCAAACAGGTAGACTGGAATCTGGCTTCCAGTCCAGAGGAAGGCCATCGCTGTAAAGCCCATGAACCGGTGGAAGGTTATCTAGCAATTGGAAATATGGCTGTTAGTCCTCCGGTGTGTATGTGTGGCAATTAGACGCCATCCCTTGATCTAGCACGTACCGAACTGTCCCCAGATGCACCCGTTTCATCGTAGGCAATGACTTCCTGGTGACTGAACTTCCTCTCCACATTGCCGGTCGGAGGTGGCTCTGCCAGAGTCTTTTCATCAGCCTGCGACTGACTGGACTGATCCACGAGCTCCATTGTTATTCAGGAAGAAGATTGAAGGGATGCCCTAGTGGTGTACAGCGGCAGGGATCGAGGGTACAAGTTGAAATCGAGGAAAAGACGCTGAGCACAAGCTATGCATGATCTATTTATCTCCCACGCCACCGATCATTGTGGTGGGTCCATGATGATGGTGGTGTATAGTCTCTGCGGAGGAGTTAACTGCGCGTGGATCGGGACCGCAAGGCGACCCATGGAACTGGCAGATTTCCAGGCCCGACAGAACGCAAGGGTGACCAGGGAGACCGGAGTTGCTGCCACTTTGAGTCACAACCGAGGCATTTGAGCAATTTTGGGGCGACCACTGGGGGTGTCGATAGCCGACTTGGGGAGGAAGCCCCGCGTGGTTGGGGGTGGTCGAGATGAAAATGCGGGGGAAATTCCTGGGGGTAAGGAAGGAAGGATGCAGCCAGGGTCTGGACGGCTTGTCACTCGCTGGACCCGCCATCATCGACGATGTCGTCTCGGAGTCTCCGGTTTAGAGAAAACTCTATTTCTTTGACGTACTGTCCGTGCAGAAAATGGAGAGAAGGAGAGGAAGGGGGCGGAGAAAAGCGAAAAAAGGGATATATGTATTTACACAACAAGCATATCGACACCGTTGTCCTGAATAAATCAGAAATTATGAAGCCCCTCCCCGTAAAACAGCGCTGAATGTAGATAGCGCCAAAGCCCAGGAGTACAGCAAGGGAGAGATTCACGTCGTCCACCAGCACGACCTGGATGTATGGTTCCAAAGGGCCCGTCTAGACCAGCCGCCTGGATTGTATTTCGGATTTCCCGTCGCAGCCTGGGTCAATAGCGCTCCCCAACCTCCTGAAGCTTATAGGTCTTCGGGACTACAAAGAGGCCGGTAGCCTCGATACACAATCGTCCCACAGGGTCGCGCACTTCCCCCTTCACCCATGCTTTGCGCTCGGTACTCCGTTCCTCGTCCAGCGTAGCATGGAAGGTATAGAAGTTGCCCGAGTATACCGGCGCACGATACTGGAGTTGAAGATTTGCAGTGACCCCAGTGCGTTGGGGGAGATGTCTGACAGCGACACGGGCTAGATGTTCATCAATCACGGTCCCCAGGGCTCCTCCGTGAACAACAGTCGGCCATCCTTCTAGACCATGTCCAACGTATGCGACATTAATAGCCTTCTTCTCTTTGTCGTTATAGAAGATTTTCTATAGACCCAGGACCCAGGAAGTCAGTAGAAGGTCCAAACTCGCACGGCAGGGATAGACGCATCGGGTTCAACTACGGGAAACGAACCTGAAGTGCCAGCCCTCGACTGCCCCGTAATGGACCAGAGCTCAGTCGTTGTAATTTATCTTCCTCCGTATAATTTCCGTAGACATCCGCTTCCATATAATCAGGGTGTTCTCGCAATTCCTTCACGATGGGCAGCCCGTTCTCGTAGATGAAGTGGATCTCCTCTAGCCTTTTGCCATCTTCCTCTGTACCCGGCAATGGCGGTGCTGCGACTTTCCCCTCCATCCACTTCCCAGCCGCAATTCCAAGACCACTGAAAATGGCGGCGTAGACCAGGCGTCGCGGCCACCGCGATGGTTGAGGTAACGGTTCATGGGTGGCAGTGCTGGTGTGCCTCGAGGCACGAAAGGTAAATCGACATGGTACCTGCGGCCGGGTTGCAAAGAGGCGCAATGATGATTGCAAGAATCTGCGAGAGGAAGACATGATGCTCGCATCGCAGTTCATCTACAAAGCGAGACGGAGCGATTGTGACTAGATAAGATAGGAGAATCCCTCGGGATGAGTCACATGACCGGATAGTCACTCTTTACAGCTACTCTAGACAGGCGTGCGGACTTAGAACCATGTTTGTAGTATTCCAGTCAGAGACACTGGTCCCTAACATTCAGCCATAAGCTCGTTATCTATGTATACCATTTCTACCCAGACACTCATGAGTTCTTGTAGTAAGATCGTAAGAACGCTTAATCAGTAGACACTTCAACCGCACGGTAGAGGAGAATAAGTGCAGAGTGGGATTCACCTGTGTAATCAAAGTTAGATGACCATCCGGAATCCAGCAGAGCAATGAAGAAACTTACCACCGCCAGCAAGCATCTCAATCTTTTCCCCATCCACTTCGGTCACCTTCTCATCATTGAACCACCACCACTTTCCTTCGGTGCCTGCGTCGTCGCCATTGGATTGCTTCTTCACATATGCGGTGTAATGTCCACTGTCGGCGCTAGCACCCTGATGTGTGATCACTCCGCGTAGCTCGTAGAGACCCGTCTTGTTAATACCGCCCTCCGAGGCAAGACTTGGGTCAAGTAGCTCCGACAACTCTTTCTTGGCCGCAAGGATCGATGCGGTCTTTTCGGCTTCATATTCGGCGTCGGACTTGAGGACATCGGTCATGGTCGCATCTCCATCTTTCTCCGCAGTCTTGGCTTCGTCCTTCTGCTCCTCGGCTGCTTTCTTTTTCTGCATTGGCTCCAGGCTTGATCCAGACTCAGCCCCTTTTTGCTCTTCCTCCTCCTTTCGATGAACGAGCTTCTGGCGCTTACGGGCACGCTCAACATCCACCTCTTCCTTTCGAATCTCTCGAACCTTGTCTCTAACAGGAACGAGCTGCTTCTTAAGTTCGTCGGTACAGAAATCCACCGCGTCGAGCTCGGCAGGGAAGGTAACCTTCCGCATGATCTTGGCCTTCTTCTGTGTTTCGCGCTTCCAGAAGAATCGAACGAAATGCACTGTCAGGTACTTTGGCAAGCGAGCTATGCGTGAACGCTTCGTGTATACAGCGTCGCGGTCAAGCGTCGAGGAGTGTTTCTCAATCTTCTCCTCAAGGCCAGCCATGATACCATCATGCAGGTGGTTCGTCTCCTTACCAATATGACAATCGAGTTTGTAGAACACGTCCGAGCTCCGAGTAGCTTCTTCGCCCGCCTCCCTAGCTCTCGCGTCATTGCATTCGGTAATGGACTCGAACCTTCCAGCGAGATACTTATCCACGAATGACACCTCAGTAGCCGACTCTCCTTCACCTTCCTTTACGACCAGCTTGTTCCGCAGCTGACTCACGATCTGCGACCAGGCCTCTTCTGCATCCTGCTGGGCATAACCGTGTCCGTTTCGATCCCGCTGGGCAAACTGGGGGAATGCATTCCTCAGTGCGTTGAGAAACATGAGCGGTGGAAACCCTTCCTGTGTCTCCGACATCTGCTTGAAGAGGTCCCGCAGAGACGATGTGAGATCCATGGAAGCTCCAAGGCCGCCGAGACCGAGACTACTGAGATTCGAGAGACTAGAGCCTCCAGAGGAGCCACCGGAAGGTCGGTACCTTTGTAGCGCATCCTGAAGTTCCGGAACGCTCCGCAGTGTCTGTAGTGTCGAGTTCAGATAGCACGTGTTTCCGAGGTTCTGCAGGCCAGCAGGAGTTGCTCCCTCCGCTTTAGCGGCTTCAGCCTCCGTCATATCCTCCAAAAACTTCACGACTTCCTTTGGTCTACCCAAGTCTCCAGCACCTTGACCTCCAGACGGCGTACCCATCATCATGAATGTTTGGCCCGCTTTGGCGTTGAGGGAGGACAACGGTGTATCATCCTTGAGTTGACCTCCCTTGACTAAGATCTTTTGTCGTTCGGGTTCGACGCCGGTGAGAGAGAATAGCTGGTACTTGAGTGTTTCGCCGTTCAGGGATGGATCAAGCTCGACCTCATAACGTTTGCCCTGGTGCTTCACAATGACTGCGTCATGGGTCAGCCGGAAAGATGGCATAGCATGAGGTAGATCTTGTATGGGTGTAGCCACATACCTGGTATAGAAGCCATTTTGAATTTGATTCAAAGACCGTTTCGGGAGTGATTGATGCCTCCTCGCAAGTTCTGGCGATGAGATGCAGTTGCGTAAACAACGACTGCGTCAGTCATCGTCCGGAGAGAGCGTGGGGCAAACAGCCGCTGTACTACGGCGGACTGTTGTGACCATCACGCAAATTTGAACCCCAGACTTTTTACCGCTTTAGAATGACCGTAAATGCATCCCCACCTCAAAGGTCCTTCTGCTTACAAGAACGCCAAGTACAAGACCATAGGAACCCCAATGACGCTGACTAATTTTCTAGAAAAGGACTGCCTGTAGGAGCCACAATCTACACGGAGCTGACTTAGTTCCTACTCCCAGCCGCGGATGGTAAGTAGTAGTAAACTGATTCTGCCGGCAGAATCATGGACTTCGGATGTGATTTGCCCGAGGGCTGCTATCGTCCGCCGTACTACAGGCTACATTGCCCGCCCGCGGCGGGACGTTGCTCCTGACGCAGCTATGGACTGAAGTGACGCCTGCCCTCATCTCGGTTCATATTCGGAATTAATTGGCGTATTTAGGCGCCATAATTGCGGGCCTCTCATCCAATATCTCAACCACACATCTTGGATGAGTTAGTATTGACAAGCTCATCAGCAACATCAGCAATCCGGGGCACCGCATCTACGTCACATCCCCGACAATGGTGAGTGTCAACCCCTCCAGGGGTTTGGAGTACAATCGGGCTAACGGGCGCAGTCTCAATCATTGCGTCCATACCTCCTGGCTGTCAGGTCTTCTCTAACAGCAGCTCTCGCGATATCGAACTTTGCTTCCCAAACCTCTGAAAGACAGTATGTAGGGCCCGCTGATTCCCATGATTTAAATGCTAACTCAGTGTTCCGACAGCAACGTGCCCGAGATCGAAGCCGCAACGTCCCCCGAATTACTTCTCAACCCCCTCACAATCTCCCGGAATGAGAACGAGAAGGTTCTCATCGAACCCAGCGTGAACAGCGTCCGTGTTAGCATCCGAATCAAGCAGGCAGACGAAATCGAGCATATCTTGGTCCACAAGTTCACCAGGTTCCTGACACAACGTGCGGAGTCTTTCTTCATCCTGCGGAGGAAACCAGTAAAGGGATATGACATCTCGTTCCTCATCACCAACTTCCACACGGAACAAATGTTGAAGCACAAACTAGTGGACTTCATCATTCAATTGTAATGGCCTCCTATCCTTTCACAAGCTCCTTCAAATGGAAAGATGCTAACGACTACTCTTCATAACAGTATGGAAGAAGTGGACAAGGAAATCTCGGAAATGAAGCTCTTTGTAGGTCCCAGTTTCGCCTGACTACTGGAAGCACAAGGTTCTAATCTACTGTTGTATAGTTGAATGCTCGTGCTCGTTTCGTCGCCGAGTCGTTCTTGACACCGGTAAGTTGTTGTTACCTTTTCAGTTAAATCCACTGACAACCTACTGCAGTTCGATTAAATTGTTCCCGTCCGTGGTTGGTACTTGACCCTAGCTTTTGTTCTTTCAGGAACAACTATTGTACAGAAGCTCGATGCTTGTTCCCTTCTGCAGTCACCCATATTCTATTTCTAAATCCAAGCTATAGCGATCAGTCTTGTCCTATGAGGAATCCGTGTCCTGACAGCCTCTCACTGCGTACTGGTCCTGCAACGTAAAGCCAAGCGGCATAGTATTCAATGCTCAAATTAGGTGCAATCGAGATCTGGCCCTGCACTACATATTTCTCAATGGACGATGTGTCACCTGATCTCATCGGTTGCCATAACAGCGCAACGGCCCATATTCTGATAGAGGAGATTCACTGGCAAATCTATCTAACCTGCGGTCAGCCCATTGTTCTTGTCTCACAAAGGTTGGGGTTGCATTTGCCGGATAAGTCTCAACAAAGCAGCCAGGATGAGGTTGGGAAACAGCGTGAGGATATAAAGAATTTCTTCTCTTGTTCTTGCTTTGCACTTGGTTAGTGTGGAGAGAGTCCGGACATCCTGCCTGCATGCAACTTCGCCGGGGAACCTTGTCCTGACATGTGTTAGTTGACCCGCTTGCACATGGCCCCCGGCCTATTGTTATAGGGAATCTTCAATGACTTGCGTGCTATCCTGCACGTAACGTGGGACCAGATCATGAAGTCTTTGCAAGCCCCGCTTGGAGGGTGCCTGGTTTCTTTTCTTATGTGATAGACATTCATGAATGCCATGCGAGACACCTCTTGGTCACTTGCTGGTTATAGTGCCCCATTGAAGCTTTTGTAACACGCCAGAACGGAAGGTTGAATTGCCCTTCACATCCAATTTGGTCAGTGAATTATAAAGCGGCTGCGCGTGTAGATTCCATCTGTCAACAATATGGCCTACCCCCCTCCAAACCTACAAAGTCCTTGGACTTCCCTTACATCTTATCTTCTACGCACTGAGGTCTACCTACTTTACCTACACTCCCTACTTTGACGACTTCTTTACCTTCCTTCCATCCTCTCTCATTCTAGTATTACTCCGCAAACTGCCGTCTTCATGATGGCGTTCACCAGACAAGATCCCTCTGGCCGCAAGCTCAACATGCCTCCATTCAACAAGCCCATGGTCCCTCCTCGCAGATCTCATGAACTTCTAAGCCACCAAATCCCCTCCCAGCACCTGCTCTACGACCCTTTCTTTGGGCCTCCTCCAAACTCACCTCACAATACTATACCTATTCCTTTCGCTTCAAATTGCCTCACTCCGGTGCCTGTTAACTCGTATCAAATCCAGCAGCCGGGAGCCACGTCAACTTTCTTCCCTCCATCCAGTCTTCCCCTGATGAAGGCTGGCCAGTATTTCCCTGGCTACGCTCCAGAGGCTGGGGATTTCCCCAAGCCCATTGACAGAGTTGCTTTGCCAAGCGAGATGCCAATTGGTAGTGTAGTTCACTCCATGAAACCCCCAACCTGGGGCGTCATCAAGATTGCAAATGTGAGTGACTGTCTTTCTCTTCGGGAATGATACTGATAAGCAGGCAGATACCTTACTCCATCACTAAGCAGGAGATTCTGCAGTTCGTGGGGAGACAGGCGCGGCTTGTTCCGGGCCATGCAGTCCACATCATCATGGAGCGTCCGACCGCTAAGACTATGGACTGCTTCGTGGAGCTTCAATCCCGCGCAGATGCAGAGGAGACCACAAAGCGTATCAACCGGATCTTTGAGACCGGACGTGCGCCTCGACTTGGCAATCGACATGTAGAGGTCGAGCTCAGTAGCCAGGATGACCTACTCAAAGACTTGTTCCCTCGTGCGAAGTGTGTAAGCTGGAAGAACGGCATGCCTAGCGTTCTGCAAAACACGGATCCTTATTCCACTGGTTTCGCGGGCTTTTTTACGACCGAGGAGATCATTGGTGCAATTCGTCATGCCGAAATGCCTCATCGTGTAAGTCCTCGTCCTTTCCCCATTTATAACAGCGATGCCTGACGGTTATTCAGTCTCCGTTCTGTGCCAAGTGCCCTCAACGCACTTATGAATCAACCATAAGCACGCTTTACAAAGTAAGTCCTGGGGTAAATGAAGTGGATTAACTCTAATCGCTGTAGTTCCCTTGGTACGCAACCGAGCTCTACACTGTGCATGACCGTAACCAGTTATTCGAGCTGGCGAACCGTCATATAATTTCTCTCGTTTCTCGGATGAAAAAGTCAAATACTGTTGGACTTGACCAACGCCTGCTACGCGAGCTTCTTCATGCGGGACTCAACTGCCCTGCGTTCAATGAGCGCCAGAAGTATACTCTTTGCGTTAACTCTGAAGAGGAAAGCGAGATCCTGAAAATACCGGACACTAGCAAATGGTTCCCTTTTGATGCTTTGGTCCAGATGCCGAACTTTGATCGTGGCACCCGCATGGTATGCCTTCTTCAAGATAACGTGCTTCGGTCTCCTTATCTCGTTCTCTCGTTGCTGCTTTCTTAATTTCTGCCTTTATCCCTTGTTGAGTATCGCTATTTGCTAACAGCTATTTAGTACTATGCCGGGTTGATTGCCAAGGGCACAGCCCAGGATGCCAGCCATGAGCTGCCGAATAGTTTTCCCGTAACCAACTTCAACCTTATCTCACCCTTCGGCCGAGTGTGGTATGAATGGCCAACCGATGTCGCTAAGCGCATCGCTTGGGAGGATGCCGCGCAGCATGAAACCGCTGTGCTTTCCAGCCTGGTGTTAAGCGGCTGGATGAATACGGTTCACAAACCACTCTCGGGTGGCAGCACTCATAGCAACATCACTCTCTCCTCTCCTACTACCGAACAAAGCGCGCCCCACACCGATAACTTGTCCCGAATTGATATCATGCAAGCCTCGTCGCGGCGTGCCAGCGAATGCTGGAATAGTGGCAGCGCTCCGTTTGGCGACATCGAAGGTTGTTGGGGCGAGAAGCTTCTTTTTAATCCATCGAGCAGATTCCGAACCCCCTTCCACCGTATCACCCACTCCTCTCCGAATTGTTTCTCTAAATGAGACCACTGACGTTGGCAAGCGCAGAAGCAAGGCCAACAGGATATGCCGTGTTGGGCCGCCTTTGAACATCTACTTTCTTTCTTCAATTGGCTTCAGGAGAACTTGCTTCTTGATCTTCCGATAGTACTCATATTTCGGTATTGCAGCATCGCACCTTACTTGGAGGGATTATTTTGTTGGTGAGGAATGAAGAGAGGACCATGACTGGCGGGATACTTTTGAATTACGCAAAGAGTTGGATTCAGTGGTGCACAGATCGAGTCCGGCTTACTTCGTGCGATGTGCTTTAACCAACTGATATTGTCATTGGAATCCCCTGCGTTTTCTCATCTGCCTTAGTCTGCATCTCTTTTGTTTCTGCCTTGATATCCTATTTCTGCTTCTGCCATTTTTCTCATTGTAACATAACCTCATTTGGCAACGACTAGTTGCATAGTTTTGTGCTACATTGGGTGTTATCTGGAGGGATCTTTTCCTTTTCATAATCATCTCGAAACTCTCACTGCTTTTCTGTACATCAAAATAAGAAACGAAAAAAAGGTACCCTTCTAGGGCTCTCATTGCTCCAGACTAGGAACAGATGAATCCAAATCGATATCCTTTTCTTTTCTCTGGTTCTCCATGAGTTGTTTCCTCAACAGCCCTTCCGCCCTCATCCTCTCCCTTCGTTTCTCTGGGTCCTCCCAGCCAGGGGGCTTGGCCTTTCCTTTCGTCTTCACGCCATGGGTCCGAACCGGAGAGCAAAGATCTAACAGGTTTGTGCGAAATCTCTCCTTGCGTTCGGAATTTACAGAGAATCGTTCATTCGAAATGGCAACCAGCATTTCAAGGAACTCTTCCGTGACCAGACTGTGGATAACAGGTTCTTGGTCGTCGTCTTCATTCTCCTCGCAATATCCGATGACAGACTCCAACGAGAGACCGGCAGATCGAACAGCAACAATGGGGCTCGGACCATCATTGTCATCTGCTTCCAAGCACCGTAAGCTCTGCAATCCGCTTTCACGAAAGCCAGAAGTTGAAGCAGCAGACAGTACAGGATGCGCGTGGTGTAAAGTGGCGGTCATTATGTGGAGGATCTGTCGAAACACTCAATCAGTTATTGATCCTTGTCATTTGTTGTATCTTATCGTTTCTGTCTGTAACACCAGCCTGACATGGCTTTACTAGGGCGAATCGCTTGGAACACGAAGGAAGCAATGATACGAAATGTAATAAACCAAACACATACGATGTAGAACACCACCCCCTCGAAAAAAAAAGCAAAGAAAGAAAAAGCCACCAAGAGTAAGAACCAACGAGCATGACTGAGGGGGAAAGACCTACCATAGGCTCGAATGAAAAGCGCACGAGACGTGGGGCTTGGCTGTTCTTGTTCAGCCCCGGGGGCCTGCCATCGCCAGGGATCATTCCAAACATTTCATGCAGACGCTGACGCTCTTGATCTTGCGTCTTTCCATCGTCTTCCAATGGCTCGTGGGACACATATAACCATTTTCCTGCTCCTTTACCTCCTGAAGGTACAAACTGTCTCTGTTGCTCGTCTGACAGCACCTGGTGCTGCTTCTTCCTCCCCTCCAAGAATACACTGATACGCCCGGCACAGCTGCTCGTGGTCACCAACCCAGGCAAAGCGTTGATGTCGTTGATAAGCACGCGGATTCCTTCATCAACTGACCCCTTTGGCGACAAATCGGTATATTCTGCGTCCGGGATGGACAGTTCCGCAAGAATCTTGCGCTTGCGAGATTCAAAAACCTCCGGAATCATGGTCTTCTCAGGGACGTTCATGGATGGATGTGTCTTTCGTTCTTTCTTTCACTAGTGATATTTTGCTTGTTCTTCTTGAAGAGATGGATGGAAAACAGCGCTGAAGAGGGGCTACTATTGGCGGGCCAAAGATCAAGGGCCGCTAGAGTGGTGATTCCCTTTGTCCTCTATCTTTAAAGAAGAAAGAGTAAAGCTGACACTTAAGCCGGTCGATAGAGCTTCTATTCCAACCCAATACCTCACTGCGTGATATAATATACCAGGGGCACCCTCGCTGGCCTTTCGATTGATACTGCCTCAGCACGCTGGTGGACCTGCAAATCCTGCTTGAAACTGACGTCGACTTCCCGAGGGAACGCACTAAGTTTAGCGGTGCGGGAAGCAAAGAACTCGCCCGCCTTTTCCCACGCGAAAAGAGCCCCAGAAGTTACCAGCCTCCTGGTCTCTTCCCGGTCCCTTTGTCCGCTTCGAACCGCCTGAAAGTCAATCTGTCGCTAGCTACGGAGCACCTCCGTTCCCGGTACCAGGGTCAAAGAATTCTAATAGCCACCCAACAGCTCCTAAGCGTCATCGGATCCCCCTACTCTTTCCCACCTTTCATCCCATCGTGAATCAAGGCGTAGTAGCTACTGTTATCTGCCGGTAATTCTCCCCGCGCGCTTTCTAAACTCGTACGAAAAGACGAACCACACAGTGCGCAAGTTCTACCCATGCCTCGTCGATCGTCTCGGGCCGTTCCCGCATCGGCCGCAGCTCCAGTGTCGGCGCCAAAAAGGCGCGCGTCTGCCAGAATATCCGAAGCCTCCAAAACGGGGCCCAAAAAACAAAAGTACGATGACACCACCGCTAAGAAAGCTACCGAATCCACCGCAAAGAAAAGCAAATATTTCCAGAAAGAAGCCTCCGAGGAACCTAAGCCCAAATCCCAGCATGTCTCTGCGCCGAAAACCGCTAGTCACGATAGCCCAGACACGTTCTTCCCCGCATCTCCCGGTGCGAGCGCAGAAGTATCTGACGCAACACCCTCAAAGGCAGAAGTGATAAGACCGCGGGAGTCGAAGCAAGCACCAAAGAGGGGCCAGAAAAAGGACCTGAAAGAAGACAAGCCCAACAAGCCAGGTGAACGGACAAAAGGTGGCACCCAAGCGAACACGGCTGCGTCGACCGAAGGTAAGGAGCTATGGAGAGAAGGCGTCAAGACTGGTCTAGGCCCTGGGAAAGAGATATTCATCGCGAAGCCTAAGGCGAGGGATCCAGGAGCAGTGGCCTACCAGGACAATACCTTGCATCCCAATACCATGCTCTTTTTGCAAGACCTCACCGAGAATAATGATAGGGAGTGGCTCAAAGGTATCGATCAATCACAGATGAATGTTCTTACACTTCAGATAAAGGCTAATTCTGGGTTGATTTCAGCGCATGATGCGGACTACCGCGCCTCCAAGAAGGACTGGGAGACCTTTGTGGAGACTCTCACCGAGGAGATTATAGAAAAAGACAGCACAGTCCCAGAGCTACCTGTTAAAGATCTTGTGAGTGAGGATGAGGCCTTTAAAAGCAAAAATAACCGGAAGGGAAAGCAATTAACAGCTGTCTTGCACTAGGTCTTTCGCATACATAGAGACATCAGATTCAGCAAAGATCCCACGCCGTACAAGGTATGATCGCGTGTTTACTTCTAACGATATCCTTTCCATTCCCTTGTATGGTTATAGCATTAAAGGAATTGTCTGGCTAATCATAGGATCGAACAGACGCACTTTTCAGCCGCTTGGTATGCACGTACTCAGCACTATGCGATATTCGGCGTCAGCTAATCCTCTTTTCAGGTCCCGCACAGGTAAAAAGGGGCCTTACGCTGCTTACTACGTCCACTGCCAACCTGGCTCCTGCTTCGTCGGTGAGTTATGCAAGATAAAATTACCCACTTGCCACGGTCGCAGTTCCCTCTGGGCCAACGAGTCCCCCTCGAGTCATTCAGCAACCAGGGGGATAGGTTTACTTTTTCAATGTAACGCTTCGCCACACTGAACCAGCTCCACCGCTATCTATTAAGTTCACGAAGATAGCCGGTGCTGTGTTCTCGAAGGAGGGAATGAACGGTTGTAGCTGCAGCTATGGCATTCTTTCATCAAGTGGGATCTCGAGAGAAAACAGCGGCTAATTGTATGTTGCTGATTTAGGTTCGGGGCTCTGGATGCCACAGGCCGATAAACTTGCACTTCTTCGAGAGGATATTGACAGGAACTCGCATCGCCTCAAGGCAGTTCTAAGAGAGAAGGAAATACGCCGCGAGATCTTCAATGGAATATCGGACGATGACGAGGTAGCTGTGACGGCTTTTGTCAACCATAATAAGGAAAGTGCGCTCAAGACCAAGCCCAAGGTATGTAAGACTCTTATTTGTTCTTCCCCAGCTCTCACCTTACCCTGCGGTAATGAGCCACCATGGCCGTGATCGCAATTTATCCTTCCTGCATTATCTATTCCAAACGATCGTGTTCGAGCAGAGTATTGTATCTCAGGCCGTATATGTCGATACCCAGATATGCTTGAGACCCCTGGGGAGGAGCGGTCTTCCCGGGCACGTTGCATTCTCGCGGGCAGCACGGCCGCGGAGGTCGTCAGACGGATACCATCTGTTCTTGGAACGAATAGGGGTGGCGGGTTCAGGGGACACCGGATTGAGGCCAGACGATCGAAGTCAGTCCACGGGGAGATGTCTGTCTGCTAGCTCTTACGGTCAGTTCTGAGCCGTGACTCTTTGCCACCTCGTGGAAGACCGCTTTGTTCAATGCGTGTCCGAGACTGGAGAAGAGAAAACGAAGGTCATCTGGCAGTGAGCATGGCAATCGACGATGCTGATTCTTCTCGATCATGAAGGGGGGGGGAAGCATTGACGATCTCCGAGCTGGCTGCCAGCAGGTCTGCCGGGTGCTCTGGGTTGGGGGTAAGCGCAGCCGCGGACGACGGGACCCTCCGACTGGGCCTTCCCGGACCGTCACTGTTGCACCCTCCAGATTCCCCAACGGCCTGGGTCTGACTCTGGGGCCCAGCTGAATTGCTGCCCGTCCGTCAGTGGACCGCTGGATTCACACCTGAGTCCTGACATCCCAACTCCCAAGGACTCGTTCAGTCGTTCTACCTGCGTTTCTCGGTTCTGGCGCGGAAATTGCCTGCGCCGTCCCACAGAGTGCTCTGGTTTCGAAGAGTTTTCTGCACCGTCTCACTTGTTTCCATGGTTCAGCATCTGCCGCCGTCCCGGCGGGTCTCCGCCTCGTCCAATTACGATACTGACACACGCCTTTCTTCTGCCTAGGGCTACGATCTCGATAATGAGAATATCCAGCTGCTCCGTCTTCGCAGTTTCACCATTGGCAGGCCTCTGTCGGATGAGGAGCTTCTGAGTCCCAATGCGCAAGAAAGGATCGCAGCTCTGATTGGGATTATGGAACCCTTCGTAAGCCATCCCACTCATTGTTCCCTCGCTGTTTAGCTTTCTCCTCCGCCTGCCCGCGCCTGCGTCTATTGGATCTTAGCTGCCGTATCAATCATTACACGGCCCTTTCCTTTTTGCCCCTGCCCCCTCTTTCCCTTGCCCTTTCCCTTCCTAGTTCCTCATCCCCCCCAGCGGTGTGGCTTCGGGCGCAATGTTACCCACCACTCAACCAGTTCTTTACGGAGGGTGGCCAAAGTGCCGCGACAAAAGCCTTCGTTGTTTGGTGGAAGCCTCGTAACTGACCAAAGGAAATATCGTCCGACAGGTCACGTACCTCAATAGCGTCGTCATGCCCGATCCAACGCAGGAGGAAAGCGGTTCAGCCTCAGAAGCCGAGGAGTGACTCGTCGCCAGAGGCCTATCCTGGTAGGTGTCTCAACGACAGCAGATAATTAGTGTCGTTTTCGTGTGTAGGGGGGGTTTCGTATCTGAATAGGGTCTTGTTTCTTTGTCACGGTCATCTCCGCCCATCTTGTCTCTCATTCCCTTTGTGCCCATCGTCTCACCGTCATCGGGGCCTGCCCTGTCTCTCGGCCATTGTGGCTCCCCTGTGAATTGTAAAAGTTCCCTATTAAATGATGACCGCTTGTTGTGCCTTTGGCCTGGGGGCCCTCCTGGCTCGAGACTCGGTCCGTGAGCGTGAGGATGCCCCGGCTTGCCCTTCCCTTTGGCCGGTTTTGCTGTAAAATCGGTACACGATTCTTTCCCTTGCTACGCTAAGGACCTTCCATACCTAGTTTCGGGATCCTCTTACCGCCAGTTCGCATCCCCCAATGAAGACGGCCATCGTGTCCTGGACTGCCAGGTCTGCCGGGACTTTTGAGTCCCCGGGCTTCAGGATTCTACTGACGTGCATGCTATATATGGCCTGCTGTCTCCGCGCCGCAACCGGGCCGTCGGACGTGCCGTTAGCTCCACGACGTCGGCCATCTATCAGCAGCAGCAGGTTATCCACTTCTGCACGAGTGCGAATTCGTCCATGGCTCGACGCTTCCAAGCCTCTGTTCCCCTCGTCCCATCGAAGCAAACATCCGCACTCTGCATCAGTGCCCAAATCGCTGACGCGCGATTTCTTGTTTCAGTGCATCCTGTAAAACCCGAGTGGGGGAGTCTATGTAAGTATGGCCCCTCTCCAGGTTGTCGATTTCCAGCCAAGCCCATTCTGCTTCGGAATTATGCCCTCTTCGGGTCCAGGCAGCTGCAAGCCCTGGAGGGGGAAACGGAAGGGGGGCCGCGCAGGAAATCCTCAAGAGACCGGCGAGATGGGGGAGCGCTCTAAAGTCAGCACTTGCGATGCCATTAGATACACTGCCGTCCCTCTCTCGGGCTTGACACAGTGCCTTGCCTGCAAGCCATGAACCTTGTGCTTGTCGACGATCCGCCATGATTCGACCCATCCACCGGCGGGGCAATCCCGCTCGATATCGCTTCGCCCAACTTCCCCTTCGGGTTTCGATAGTCGATCTTCGGCTTCCCCTCAATGGAGGGCAAATATCCCCTCCTTGATTCGTCCCCCTCCTCGTCCGCTTCCCCGCTGCCACAACCCAGTACCCCCTTGGGGCAGTGACCTGAGTGGATGAAGCGCCTAGACAATCGATACGGAATCAGGCATTCATTGTGCGCCGTGGGGCCAGATTATGCGCGATATCCGTGCTCGAAACTCTCTTTGTATGTATCTCATCGGCTACGCTCAGTAGTTAGCCCTGGATCCTCGATACCCTCGATATGCTTAAGTCGATTTTAGACAAATCCCTAACAGCCGATGGAGTCCGCTTTGCGCCCCCTCCAATGGCCAATAGATGTATTTTCCAGTCCCTCCGGACGTATCGTGGTGGTGGGTTGTAACTCCTCACGCCCTTTCGCCTCCGTGGTACTTCGTAACCCATCTGCCTGTCATGCGGTGATCGATGGCCGACATGAAAAGTCAAATTTCTGCGGGTGAAAACAAACGTCATACCCTTTCCGGTAACAGGAACCCGAACAAAGACTGAAGGCGTAACTCAGTACTACTAATACGGACACAATGCTCCCCAGGCACATGACTGGCTGGTTCATTCCACTGGATTACCCACATACGATATGTCTCATGGGAAGGGTAGCAGACCAGGAATTCCAATCTAGTTTGGGTAAGATTCGCTTAATAATGTGGAAGAGCTTTCTATACGGACCTTGTCCTTAATATCGACAGATATACTTCGTACTTTCTTGGATCTGTGCAGCGCGCTTGCTGGCCTAGATGCATGTTTGCTTTTTCGGACAGCTGCTTCTTAATATAGGGGGTGCTTTCGGGGGGTTCATTGCTGGTTTATGTTGCCTGGACTTCTTTGTATCGTGCGTTCAGAGAAAAGGACTACAGAATGCATGTGTGGACATGGCGGTATTGTAAATAAGGAGGACCGTCTGCCATTGTTCCACCCTTGCATACAGTCGCCATGGGATTGAGGACACGACCATGATGGTTGGTTGACTGCGGCTGAATGACCGCGCCCCGGAGATAAGCTCCACGGCACATCAGCAATGTGATGTATCGTGTATCGCCGGGACTTTGCGGTAGATCCTGGGGGCCGATTATTAGGTTAATAGAGTCGTCGACTCTTCCAAGACTGTTGCTCAGTAAATACTGCGATCGGGTAGAAGGTGAAGAGAGAATGACTCGTGCACCAGCTGACCATGGAATTCGGCAAATGAATGGAGTTGCGCCCATCCACGGGGACGACTTAAAGCATTCGTATTCCCAATCAGTCCTAGATCTTCAGGCTACTCCTCATCCGTTTCAAGTGTCCATTTCGTGATGCGTTGGGAGATTAGAGTTGAGCTGGGCTAGTTGAGGTGGAAATTGTCCGGATCGCCAGTGGCTATGAGCACTAGACACTGAACGGGTATGTAGGGAGACCTGATCATAGATTCTCTTAGCGGGCATCTCAATGTTGCGGCCTGTGTTCTGCTTCTTCTTAATTTTTTTTTTTAATTTTTATTTTTTTGCCACTCTGACGGCTTAGGGCCTGAGAGGGTTGAGAATGGCGCGTTAGCGAGTCGAGTGGTTACGAGCCATCCCTACCAGGTCAGGCATCGGTCACCAAAATCTTCTCCCGAGCCTAACCTTCTCTTTCCAGCGTCACGCGACGAGACGCCTTGACGGGGAGTGTATGGAGTAGATGTAGAACCGACCCTCCTCGTACAGCGTGTCACACCTGGACTCTGGATTCTGGATTCTTATCACACGATATTCCCATGTGCAGGGTCAGATGCATGACTCGAACCGAACCGGAACCGACAGAATCCAAAGAGAAGGGAAAACGAGGAAATTGCAGGGCAGTTTGTGACACTGAAATCCAGAGCTCCCCTTGAATGGGGGAATCCGGCCGGCGAACAGGGTAGGCTGGCAGGGCTATCTGGAGTTGTTTGTCCCCTCGTTCCGCCACGTCATTACGTGAGGAAGATCGCACGCACTTGCGCACACACACATGTACCCGAGTGAGCACAGACAGGCCGGGACGCGAACCTGGTTCTCTCTCCTTCTCCCTCGGGCCAAGCCACCGAACCACCCAATGCAGGCAGCTCTGCCATCCGCCCTCAATGCAGTAAGCTACCAACGACTGTTTCCGGCGTCCCGTCAGCCCCAGAGTGGTCGAGGATGTCGAGATGGACTGGCCAGGAAGGATGCTCATAGGCCGCCGGGTCCTCACGTGACCGACACCGTATGCGGGCTGATCGATGATCCCAGCTAGCATGGCGAGCTTCCCGTCTTGCTCTTCCCGTCGGCGGCGGTAAACTAGTACTGTTAAGGCCCAAACGATGGTTAGTCCAGCTTGGAGGATGCATTCCAGACCGCCTTGCCGACAAACGCGGCCTGGCCAATTGCCCGGCGGCTTGCTTGCTTGCTTTGCTCTCGGAGTACTTACCTACCTAATTCCCTATCCTCCTACAGTAGTACCGAGCAGGCACGACTATCCCGGCACTCAGCACGCTGCCTTCCCCGGTGGGCGACATCTAAGCATCACAGGTGATGATGATGCATGGTGGCTGGACGCCCCAAGTTGGGCCGCGGACTTGCCTCCCCGAACCCCTGTGCGCGAGATCACCAGCCACCATGGAACCATGGGCTCGATGGCGGCCAAGGCAACTCGAGTTTAAGTGCAGTGGAGCAGGATCCTGGAGACTTCGGAGACAACAACCTGAGGCGTGAGGAAGCCCACCACGCAGGTGATGGTGGGTTCTGGCGGCAACGGAAAGACGCGGACGCCAATGCACGGGGCCGCTGAGGGTCGAAAAAAAAAACGTGGCAAGGGAGCGACTAAGGACGAAGGAGAGCAAAGGGTAACCACCAAAAGGGAAGGCCCTCCAATGAGCTAGAGAAAATAATCAATCACTTGGCGCGGCCCCAATGTCACCGTCGTAACACCACGTCATTACTCGTTTTGGTATTACGGGCGTTTTCGCGCGCCGTTTCGGTTTTGGTTTTGGTTTCGGTTTTGAATCTGGTTTCTGTTTCCGTTTCCGCTTGTACGGTATCAAACAGAGATTCCACCCTCAGGCCCCCAGCCAAAGCCATGCCCATCTATTCTTCCTCTTAACAGGAAGTATTATGTGTCGTAGGTGAAGTGAGGCTGGCTGGCTGGCTGGCTGGCCAGGCTCCGACAATTTCAACTCGTGAAACGGTAACGAGGAAGGCGCAAATCCTTGCACAATGCCTGAGTGTCCCAGTTTGAGCTACAGTGACCGTGCCGGAGGATGGATGATCAGGGGGGGTTTCTCTGACCTTGAGGGAACTTGTTCTGCCGTTACTGTGTGCAGGACAAAGAAACATCACGAACATAGGTGGAAGAGCAGAATGAAGATTGGGAAGAATTGCATGTGTAGAGGAAACAAAGGATAAGATGCGTGGAATAGGGGTGAGGCGGGAAAGAGAAAACCAAGGGGGGACAGGGGAGGAAGGCGCGATAGGCAATTGACCCGTAGGTGGAAGGCTCGAGTTGTCCTCACCTGACGGAGCGGACGGACCAAGAAAGATAATCTGGAGCAGTTGCCAGCATCGCCCGCTCATCCCCAACAACCCTCTGGTTCAGATGGATGGATGGATATTATGACCTTGATGATGATGACTTGGATAGCATGGCCCTCGCACACACTACACTTCCTGCATAAGATCGGCGGGAGTCGGGGCGGCCCGTCGTGGACATGACCAGGAGATGACTAGCAGAGAGACGGTGATAGGAGGACTGGTTGCCCAACGCCCTGACACAAGCGCCTCTGCATCCAGGTCACAGCACCAATCCCCGGCTCCGTTTGCGACCGTGCAATTCCGGCATTCTTGTTCTGCTGACGCTCCGTCCTAGTCGGGATGGTGATTGTTGTGCGCTTGAGGGTCAATTTTCTTGTTGTCAGTTGGACTTCATGACAGCACATCAACATCTTCAGCTACCGGGGCGGTCGCGCTCGTATTGCGTATTTCGGTGTCACTTACCCCACGGCTCCCAGGCAAAACCGGTAAGTGGATAATAGATGATGATGCTGATGCTGAATTTCACTGATGACGACCACAAAGAAAAGCGCACACCTCCGCAACGAAGTCTTCCAAACGCTGTTATTATTCCATTCCCCCAAAGCGGAAGTTACTCGTGTCACACGATCCGTCGACTGATGTCATGTTGCTGCTTCCTTCGTCAACATCGATGACAACTACACCCAATCCCCGATCTCCATGCCCAAAGATAAACGGTCAACGATGAGCTCAGCCGATCATGGAGGGTGGGAACAGAAAGGGGTTCGCACTTGGCCGTGCTATCCCAGTGTGATTAGGTTGCAGATGCTTGGACTTGTCTCTGATGAGAGCGGTGATGACATTGCCTCCACAGCGAATCGCAATCGCCAGCCGCGCCTTCTAACTTCCACTAAGCACCTACCCATGGAGGCCTAGAGGCTAGCTCCCTTGCCGTTCCCATGTGCCAGTGGATGCAGCCGTGTCTGCCTGTCTGTCAGATTCGCCGGTTTATAACTCCTTCCCCTCAAGACCACCTCGGATATTGTGACATAAAACAAGGATCCTAACCGACCCGGTCCATAACTTCATTGACGGAGATGTCACCGGACCCCGCACATTGTCCCAGGCTCCGGGATACGGTCATCATCCCTCCGAAAGACGTTGGTGCTAGGTCTACGCCGTACCATTTCTAGGTTACCATTGCTCTCTCCCGCTCGACTGAAATTGGGCCGACTGGCGCTAATGCAAGTTATTTTCAAGTGCCACCGATCGGGCCATGGTAGGTAAATAATGTCCTTCTGGCGCGGTCCCAAGGCTGTAGCACCGGGAAACTTAGGGCTCCCCACTAAGACCCCCTCTCACGGCCCTCTGCTCATTGACCACTTGATGCTAGGATGTCATTTGAGGCACCGTCTTTGTTCCAGAAGAAATGGGCTTCTGCAACGAAGGAGCGACTTGTCAGCCTTGAGTGGTTGAAGCACAAGGCTGCACAAACGTTCTTCAATCCCCTCCCGGTTCCATGAAAGTCGACTTCGTACAGCAAGGATTACCTCATACGTTGCGCTGGGCACCGCCACAATATCCACCGATGAGGGTGCCTGAAGCGGCAGGTGGGAAAGCCCGGTCCGGGCCTATCATAACGGTGCATTCCGTGTCAGCATGTCAGTTTAGTGCTTTCACTTTTCAGCTCAACATATCAGTGATCTGGGTGTACATACCCACCGTGACCGCTGGAGCCGCACCATTGTTACCAACCCTCGGACCGGGGGGCCTGTAACCATGTATCGATGGAAGGAAGCGCCCTGCTGACGGTAATCCCGGTAACCAGGCTCACCGCCCAATGCATTCCGCCCGTGTATCGATAGTATCGATGGTATTACTCCACTCCCTTCCAGAGGGATGGAGGACATACGAGACGCAGATGAGGATGAACCCACTATCCCTCAGCGCGAGGACTCCTCCATCGCCACTTTAATTATATGCTCCATCCTTCCATGTGGCCGGGACCTCCGATGCCTTCCTGCCAGTTCCAGTAGAAGGTCTGACCCATGGAACCAGACGCTGGCGGCCCCGCCGACCCAATAGTAAGCAACGCTGCTACCGCAGCACAGGCTGACCCCCGGTACGCATACCGCTCACCGCACGGTAACTTAAGGTATCGCCGGAACCGAACATCCTCCGAGCGACCCAACCAGTGATGGTGCGTACCGCTTACCGTGAACCGGGAGGAAAATGGAACCTAATTCACCGGGCTGGGTGCTTTGGTCCCCGCGCCGTGTACCAATCAGCTGCCGTGAGACTACGGTTCGGAGCGCTCCTTTCCCTGCTGGACCCAACCAGAATCGAGGCGTCGGTAACTCAAGGGCTCCCTCTACAGTCTACGCAGTCTACGCCAATGGGATGGCGCCGCGGCTGTCGCTTAACCTTGGGAGACTTGGACTGACTTGCATCATCCGTACCCACCCCAAAATGAGCGGATTTTGCGGGGACATTCTTAGCCCAGCAATGGACTCTCCACTTGATCGTTTTCCACTTTCCAGTGTTCTTCGATCGGGGGGTGTATCTCTCTATCATTCGTCTACGGACATCGTTCTTATTTTTGGCCCCCAAACGCCGTTACCTAGTGACTTACGTATCTACATCCGGAGTACGCCCACCATTTGGGTAACGACTAACGAGGCCATGATGAGGGGGCCCGGGGTTTGCCTCTTTCACCGATTGTACGGAGTAGCGTGGCGCCTTTTTCTTTCATTCTTTTGGTGTTCTTGCAGCTTTTCATCCCGCCACCTTTCTTTTTCCCTCCTTTTCCACCCTCCCGCTTGCCCTGGTCTTTGTTTGGTATCATAGGAGTAAGGATGAAACATGGGTAGGCCCGCGCCTCGGACCGTACACCCAGCAAATCTATTCTTTGTGTCAACTTGCGCTTCGTCCGTGGGCTTTCAATCGACGTTTCAAGGAGTCCGGTATTCCCGCAGCTGATCCGCAGTAGATAGCTCGGCGATGGCTGGAGATAAACCTTGATGATCTCTCGAGTACCCGTGACTAGTAGGTCCGTAGATTGTAGGACTAGGCCAGGTAGCGTGGTCACACTAAATCCCTATGCCACCATGTCTCACGATGTGCGACCCAATCGCATCCTCCTTTGCAAGACATTTTTTTTGCGATTGGCTGACAATCGCAATTTCGTCAAGAAAGTGTGTCCTTTCGGGGCAAAATGCGGTACATCCGCGCGCGGGAGTATCTCGCATGTCCGGGTCCCTCCCCGTACATGCCTGAGGTAACCCGAACGATGGACCTTGGAACAATGCTGGCTCTGTAACCTCAGGTACAGAGTACCACCCTCAAGTATCGTTGGATCATGCACGCACGCACGCATGCATACAGACAGACAGGCATACAGACAAACCCGAGGTTAGGAAAAGAACGAGGAACACGGGGAACATTGGAGCAGTGGTCCATGCAATGCAACGACTAGCACAATTCCTCCCGAGTCACAAGCTGCATATCTGAGGAGCATCTATTGATGATCACCCTTGCGGGCGGGTTGGACCGTACCGTTTAATACATGGCTCCCCGGTGGTCGGAGGGATGCAAGGGATCCAAGGGAAAAGGACGGCCCCTCAATGACTCTCTGGCCCTTTCAGCAGAACCAGGTGTTGCTTGACCCAATGCACCGAGCCACTGAGCCACCGAGCGGGAGTCTGTCATGAATCATGAGGAATAGCTTGAGTAGGCAAATGCAGGCTCCCGCGGGGTGACGAGTCATATCAGCAACGAGATCGTGAAGAATTGCGACGGTGCAGATGTTTGCTTGTTCAGGAGCGCCGTGGGAGGGAATCCCCAACACCGCCGCCCCAATCAGTTTTGATAGAGCCCCGGCCACAACAAGGCAGCCGCTGCATGCACGCGGGCGCTACTGCGAAGCATACATCTCCTGCCCTTCCTGCCCGGCGCAGGCCCGGAGCGCACCATGTATGTATGTACGTATCTCTGTATGTACCCTCCTTCGGTATGTACCTGGTATGGTGGTACGAGGGCCATACAATGGCGTCTTCCCACAGGCCACCAGCAAACGAGCCAACGACACCCTGGAGAGGACGCAGCCAAGCTGGGAAGTAAGGGATCGGGGCTGTTTCTCGCATGCACGATCTTATGAAGCCAGGCAGGCATGCATCATGGCAACTTAATACCTTCTTCCTAGTAGCTGCGAAGTCCCTACCGACCGGGTCGCATGAGATGCTTGCAGGTGATGACGGTTTTTCTCCCCCTCCTCCTCTGTGTAAAGAAGCCGTACAGAATTACGTCCTTTCGCAAGTGTCGGCCTTATTCGCGCTGGTCATCAGGTCATGGCTTGTATGTAAGGAGCAGCTAGGTATCAGCAAACCAGGTGCGACAATCCCAATAACAAGCTGACGATACGTTGAGGAGAGTCCATTAGGTTAGTTCGTGGGAGCACCGATGCCCTGCTCCGAGCCTCCGAGATATGGTACACTAACTGGGCAAGCTACCATGGTTCAGCATTGCCCACCCACGTACCAGGGCTCTGGGACTTGGGAGCCAAACAGAATGCAGAACCAAATTCCTGCTGATTAGCCCCGTCAAAGAATGGGATACGGGGGAAAGGAAGCGAAATATGTCGAGGACTCGGGGGTGTCTCGAACGGAGAGAAACAGACCCAATCGAAGAAGGTAGGACAAAGAAACACGGGAACAGGAAAGTGGGACATTAAGGCTGGATTTCCGTGCTTCCTTCCCACCAACATTTCTTTCCTTCAAGTGCCTTGGATGCATCCCGACTTTTCTGTCAGCACGCAGTGTGACCATGACGAGGGATGTTCTTTGTGGGCCTATGCAACAACAGCTGATGATTTTTAATATTCTGCAACCATAAGAAAGGATTAGCGATGTGCAGTTTTTTTATTTAGGACATAGTAGTAGGGCTCCGACGAGCATTTGCCATCCACGGGCCGTCAGCCCCTCTTTCTTTAAAGATTCGGGCATTACCCGGGTGGAGCCAGTATGTCCCTTCCCCAAACTCAACCTCCATCTATCTACACCGGGCTGTATCACGGATACCTACCTTGGCTGTGGAGACATAGTAAGCACTTATCATTTTAGTTTCGTAGATAGTTCAGTGTTTGCTGGCAATAACGTGGCATATCTTCATGCCCTGAGTCAGGGAACAAGCGCCTGAAGATAATGCATTGGCTAAGCGAATGGTTCAAGAGGCCTCAAATATACTAGTCGTAGTGTTTCGGTGCGTTGTACCACTAGTCCCTTCCTATGCACAGTACATAGTTTTCGGCATTGGGTATTTTACGTATGCCGTAAATCAGAGGTTAGAACTGCCAACGGTGTAGATAGTACCTAGTAGTGACTACTGCAGCCAGTTCCTATCTTGGTACCAGACCAAAGCACAAAGGCCCGGCGCAAGTGCTGTAAGTGGGATAGCCCAATGCTTGTAGAGGTAGGCATGTGAATTCAACCAGCAGCAATGGGTGTAGTTTTCTTATATGGCTTCACACATATTGGAAGTGGGCGGTAGAATCAATACCAAATCCCCTACCCATACACCTAGTGCCGGGAGAAGAACAAAAGGGAGTCAAGCAGAAGGGGGGGGGGGGGGAAAACCAACGAGCAGAAAATCAAAACGGATACCATTAAAATAAGAAAACAGAAAAGAAAAGAAAATCGGGAAAAAGAAAATAGGATTCCGTACTTAGTAAGGTAAGCCCCCAACTGGAGACGGAAGGACTTGAAGCGGTCGGTGGAGTTCCGTCACGGCGCCTTTACCCGTCCCGGCGTACCCTCCCTCCGTCATCAGTCGTCACTTGCGCCTTCTGGCAAACTTACGCCCCTCTTCAGGCTCTAGACTCTACAGTAGTGGCTGTTCGTGCGGTCGCCGGGCCTGCCAAACGCCCAACCTGAGGGCCTTACAGCGATTCAGCTGATCCCCGTAGAACCGTGAATACTTTTAGCTGCGTCTTAGGTCGTCCCCGTCCATATCTATGGGTCGCTGGCGTGTTGGACAGGGTCCACCTGGCCTGCGGACCGTTCTTCTACGCTATTCCTTTCCATGACCGCTACTCCATCCATCCACACGTTTTTTTCACTTGGGGTTTTTTTTACCCTTTAATTTTTTCTCCCGTTGAAGCCCTTCCCATCTCATTCCATCCCACCCACCACGCCTCTCCCCGTCAGCCATGCACATTGCACAAGCCTGCTGGTGATATTCAATATCGACTACGTAAATCAATTTAAATACCGGCCAGCTGACTGAAGAAACTGGCACCCATCGCATGAATTTCCCTGGGAGGGATGGCCCTTGGCTACCCATATGGTACAGTGGTACTATCTATCATGGCTCGGCGACGGAGCCTGGGTTCCATGGTGATTCTAGCACCGACAAATTAATTGCCCGCGTGGTGATTTTCTCCAGCTGAACCAATGATGAGGACACCAAGATACTAGATCGCCTCCACCTCTAAATTAAATATTGGTCGTTAGTACTAGGTCGTAGTAATTATCTTGGATAGGCTGGGATCGCAGTCGCCAATCCATGAGTCCTCGCTCCTCATACCCGCATCGTATCCAGGGACCCAGTTGACCCAAACAACGAGCTGGTGCATTCTCTGGGAATCCCCATCGCGAATCTTCCCGCCTTTCCGCTTCCGCCAGCCGTGGGACTCGCACCCTGCGTCTCGTGTCGTTTTGACGCGCTTGACCCAACCGCTTTTCCTTTTTTCGCCTCCCGAACGGACCGCCGAGTCGGCGACCCAGCAACCCAGGAGGATTTCCTCGGAGAAAGTACTCGAGACTCTCGAGGATGGAGTCGGTCCATTAGTCAATCAATCAATTATAACCAATTAATCTAAGTATTGAAGGGAAAAGGTCATTACCTAGAGGGACCAGAGCAATGGCGAGGGGGAAAGAGTAAGGAGATGGAGTACACAGCACACAGCACACAGTCGAACCTTAGCAATTAGCATCGAAGCCATCTTCCGTCTTCGTCCTCCCACTAGTACCTGTTTCCGATCCATCCATGTGTGTGCATCGACCAATCTCTTCATTTTGTCTCTTTTTCTTCTATACGTTAGCTCCCTAGACTCTCTTCCTTTTTCTTCATCGTCCAGCTTCCATCGACACAATCCCCTCTTAGTATACCCTGCCCTGTCAACATTCAATTGGTGCCCAGGTACCGGTGTCCAATACTCCAGGTATGACTCCCTGTCACTCCCGTTGCTTTTTCCCCTGCAGAAACCATGTCTGCGTGTAAATCCTGGGCATCAAGATCTGCGCGGGTTCCGCTTCTCTTTGCTTTTGGCCTTGCGTTAGAGAAAGGTCGAGAAACCAAAGGGGTACGAAAGAGGGAAAGGAGGGACAAAGCTGTGCGCACACGCCCACACAGGGCCAGTTTGCAGCTTCAAGATCCCAGGATTTCCACTCCGGCCACGGGTCAACAGGCTCGACCCTGTTCTCCTCGCAGCTTTTGTTCACTTGATGTTTGATCCGTACTGATATTTGCTTCGCGCTACCACCAGGTCTTGGAGACGCTATTTCCCCCACCACCATTCTTATAACGGAGTAGTAGCACGCTTTCCGCCCGAGCAGAGGGTATCCTTTTTAAGCTCTCTGCTTTCCTTCCTCTGGACAGACATACCCTTATATTGCTTCCTGCTTTGTTGGGTTCCGGATCCCTGCCCGTGTATCAGGTCTTTTTGCGCGTTTGAAACTCCTGTGGTGGTTGGAATCCCATTCACCAGTGTCCTAACCCAGCTCTATTATTTTGGCTGATATTACGGACCACCTTCATTGGAGCCCCTCAGTGTTCAACGCTCACGTCATAACTGAAATCCCCGACGCTCCCTCTGTTTTTCCATTTTTCTTTTTTTCTTATTAAATTATTTTTTTATTATTTTATCAATTTTTTTCTGTTCTTGCCTTTTTTTTTTTCTCTTTGTCCCTTATTTTTTCTTTTTCGATTTATTTTTTTTCTCTTATTTTTTTTTTATTTTCCCTTACCTTTTCCCACCCCCCTTACCATCCTTCCCTGACCCTTGCTAAATTTGACCACCTCGACCTCTTAATCGCCTGCTTCCCTCCACCGCCTCCCTCTTGCCCCCTGGTCTTTTTCCTTCCTCGCCTATCCGCTCATCTCGTTTCCTCGGCTTCTTCCCTCTGCGGATTAGATCCTCTTTTGTTCTTTCCTTCCTTTTTGCCTCCTCCTCTCCCCCCCCTCCTTTCCCCCCCCATCGTCGGTTGAGCGTGACCACGAGGCTATGCTAGCTTCGAAAATCACCCGACGGGAGCTGGAACTGTTTTTGAATTGGTCGACTTTCTGACCGGCTTGACTCCGCATCGACATCCTAGTCGCCTTACACACACACCCTCGCCTTCGTACATACATTGATACGTACTTACATACTATTTACATACATACGGCCCTCCATTCCTTGAGCCATACATACGAGCCTCCGTACCGAACAAGACGGCATCATACATACGCTTTCTCCCCGTGCGGGCCGCGCTCTCGAACAAACCTTGAAGGACACACATCCCTGCCCGCCTACTTAGCTGAACGACCCGCGGGACGTGACTTTCGACTCACATCATCCTGCATTTGCCCTCGCGCTTCCTACCGTCGCCCCGGTCCCGTCTTTTTAAGCAGCTCCTCTCGCACGCTCGCTCTTCCAATGTCCGGCAATCCCAACGATCACAGCGACCCGAACCGGCCGGGCCCGTACCGCAATCCTAACGATTATACCGACCCTAGTCGGCAGGGCCAGTATCCACCGCCGCCTCAATGGAATACTAGTCAGCCTGAACAACCGGACGATAATCCAGCTGCTCAATATCCGCCGGCCTCTCAGTACCCCGTACGTTACTGCCATTGTTTCCGCCCCCTCCCCCTCTCCCCCATACTCTCGCATCTACCTCGGCCAGTGTTGTCGATTCTTGAGCATTGGCTAACTTACGCTGCTTGGTCACCTTTAGTACCCTCCGGCCTCGTACCCTCCGGCCTCATACCCCCCAGCTTCATATCCCCCAGCTGCAGATCACCAATATCCACCCCCAACACAGTATCCGCCGCCGTCAAACATGGCTGCTATGCATCCCCATGTCCAGCCCCCACAGGATCCATACCGTCTGCCACCACCTCCCGGTCCCTACCGTCCTGGAGATGTGTACGCCCAACAGCCACCGCCGCCGCCTCAAGTAGTCTATCAAGCTGCTGCCCCTCGTCAGCGGACTGCCATCGCGTGTCGCTACTGTCGGAGACGAAAGGTATGTATACATCATGGACTTGGCCTCCTTTGTGGGTGTCAGGCGATAACGGCCTCCGCTAACGTCGTTATGTCGCAACCATTAGATCCGCTGCTCAGGATTCGAAAGCTCCCAGGATGGTCGTTGTAGCAACTGCATTCGCTTTAACCAGGAGTGCATGTTTACACCTGTCTCGTCCCAGGCGCAAGCCTTTGTGCCTGCCCACGCCGCATACCCGCACCTACGGAATGCACAGAACCAAGGACGCGGTGCGGCTCCCGGGGTCATGCTCTACGGCGCTCATGGTCAACCTCTTCCACCCCAGCAGCAGCCCGAAGGCACACTTCCACCACCGCAAGGAATGTATCAGCATCCCTATGGAAATGCCCCTCCTCCCCTTGCAAATGGAGCCCCAGATCATGTAAGTCACAAGTGCTTCACCTTGCTTGCAAGCAGCCTTTCGTGGTGCTCATATCTCATGACAGAGGCCCATTGGTCGTCGGGGATCAGGCTCCGGATTCGAATATCCAGACCCCACCAATCTTGCCCCGGTAACGCCTGCATCGTCTGCATCTGGATATCAGACGTATAGTGCAACGAGCCCCTACTATCCTCCTCCTCAACACGATCGGCGCCCCTCTCCACAGTCTTACCCCTACGACGGTCGTCATTCCTCGTCTCCCCACAGCTCGCCCTATCCCCCCATGCACTCCAACCAAGGTGCGATGACCCCTCCCCCAACGTCCACTCCCGGTGGTTCGTCTCGCAGTGGACTCAATGTGCGTGACATGCTGAACCCTGGAGAAGCCCAGGGTCAAGGACAAGGGCAAGGTCAGGGCCAAGGCCAAAATCAAGGCCAGGGTCGCTCTAGCACCGATAGTGATATGCTCAATGCATTGAATCGTCGGGGCTTGGGCCAATAATGCACGGGGATAAAAACAGCGCTTCCGGTCGACCCGTTGCTTTTGATCGGTATCAGGGTGGATTGGTGAATTTGCGATTGAAGGAGGTTGAAATGCAGTAGAAGGTGGCAGGGTCGACTTCGTCGTTGGTTGATACGCAAGGTTTGTGTGCTGGTCACACTGCAACGAGATGCGTGATAACACTACATCTTCCCATCACCTGGGTTGTAGTGTCATTGTCACGTATTAGCAAGGTATGAGAAAACAAGATGAGACAAGGGAAACGACTTTTCTGTGCAATGTCTAAATGGGAGCCATGCCTCTTTCCAAGAACGCAGATGCTTGAAGCGCGACGCATATGACGACTTCCCAAAGGGATATTTTGTCATTGGGATGCCAAAATGTACCTCTGATGTCGTATGCCATGGGAAGCGGTGAAGAATGCAGTGCCTTGAACGATAGGAGGTCCCACGGGGGAATCAAGGGATCTGGAAGAAAAAGAAAAAGAAAAGAAACAAGGAAGAAACGAGGTTCATTCCATGTTTATTCGGCTACGAGGTCATGGAAACGAGACGCAAGAGAATTACGAGCTGCATGATTAAAGTACGAGGATGCCTGTCTGGGTTGATCATCATATACGATTGTCGATGTTGCGGCTCTCTTTGGAACAGCTGCGGTACCTTGGCAGTCAACAACTCGCACCGTGTTCATACTTCATACAACATTCCCCTTTCCGGAAGACATTTCCATGGTTTATAAATTATTTGGGGCGACCTACTAATTACGTTTTCCTTCTCGTCGGTGTTTTCACTCGATTTCTCGCCAAGATCCAGTCTGGTGCCCTATGCATTCATCATGGTCTTTCATGGACCACTTTCACTCGTCCCAAACAAGGGACAGTCCATCTTTGCCCTCTGTTACTCATCTGACGAATGCATTTGCGAGCCAAGCGGGCTCAACTGGGATCACCTGGGCACGGGGCTTTCTTTGGAAGCTCCGTCTGTTGGCAACGGCTGCCTCTGCGTCGGCTATCACGAATCGAATCATTGGTGCGGATATCTGCTGCATTTCCATTTCTTTCGAGGAATATGTGTGATGAAGGTTTTTCAATGCAATTGGCGGTGGTTTTATCTTTCTCAAGTGTTTCACTATCTTTCGGGTGGCTATCTGTGCTGCGTTCATGCTCTTATGTCTGGTTTTTGCCAACTGTCCAGGGACTGCTTGTCTTTGGAAGGTGTCATGCCATCGTTTGCGAAAAAGGAGGTCATTATGGTCTGTCGTGTCGATTTCATCTTGCAGTTCTGGTTGTCTTTTCTATCATACTTGGGAGGCTGTCTGATCAACTTTATGACTTGCAATCACAATGTTTTTCTTCCATGCGTGTTGTGCTTTTTGACCCTTTTTGTTGCATTGTGCATATTGTTTGTTCTGATGCGATGGTATCATGTTTTCTTTTCTTCTAGTCCTCGAGTATCAACGCCTATACCATCACCAGCTAATAGGTCCCCTTATCTTATCTAGCCGTCTTGGAATCTTACCGCGCACTTGGATGTCTAAGGTCTCGGATAGATCCGTCTTGGGCCCGTGTATCCTCCCTCTTCCCCTAGTAATTTTACACATGACCCGAAACGACTACTATTTTCTCCTTCTAACCCTTTCCAGCTCCCTTCATGTAACATCGCCGGACCAGTCTCGTGCTTCAATACGTATCATATATTACAATACTGTGGCTTGTATGACAGAAATATTCGCATTTAGTATCTCACCGAAACAATAGGTAAGACATATTCAATTTCGAGGGCTGTGTTAGATTAAGTAGACTATCTTACATACCACTGGTCAAGCGAAAAGAAAGTGGGAAGCGTAACATGGCATATGTAAATCAGATATAGAAAGAAACGAACTCGTATTGAGCGAACGAGCGAGTGAAAAGATGGGTGAGTGTACTTAGGAAATAACTAGAGTATCGAATGAATGACTGACTGGAGATGAAAGAGAGGGAAGAAAAAGAAGAAGGAGAAGGGAATAATGAACGCTGCTGTGGGAGTGATAACGGTCTGGGAAAGGGTGCAGAGTCCAAGTTAGATAGTTGAGTTGGTAGGTATTAGTGAAATGAACGTGAAAAGAAGAGGAAAATAAACGCCTGAGAAGCCAACGAGAGTGTGTGTTTGATTTCATAAAAGGAAAGGAAAGACCAAGCGAGTGTGGATCTGTGATAAGTCTGGATGCCTGAAGAGAAGGAAGGTTCATAAATTCCGAACAAAAAGATTGGCAAAAGAAAACCCAGATGTTGTGGTGATTGTTATGGACAATGTCATGGTATCCTGTATGTCGATCAATTTGATCGAAGGTATATGCAACGCTGGAAGAAGGGAGCCAAGTGGGTGGTGAAATGGTTTCATTAGTCCTGGTGGTTATGTTTCCATGATGGATGGGCCAGAAGGTGTGGGTGGAAGGAAGAGGCCGAGAGGGTTGTGTTGATCTTCAAGAATTGGGAAAGTCGTCTAAGATCCGAACCATCTCTTTGGCTCGGGCCGGATCCTCCATGAGCATTTGTTGACCCTTCATGAGAAGATACAGAGTGTCGACAACCTTGTTGAACGAAGAGGCTGCTCCACGCTCTTGCTTGAAGCGGACAAGACTAAGGTTCTCTTGTCGGCCTTGTTCCAGATATGTGCAGAACTCAGCAGAGAATTCGACCGGTCGAAGATTGAGTACTGCAATCGTGTGAGTCGGGAGTTCATAAGTAGTAGGGACTTAGACATCTTACAATTGACTTCACCCACGCTGCCGTAAATGACGCGTTTGTCCTTGTCGAGGTGAACCTCCTCCATGCCCCATTTCTTCCAGTCGCGCAGCGTCTTATGTATGAATTTTCGGGCTTTGGTGGTAGATGTGTTCAGTGCTACTACTCGACAAGCGGGCTTGATTTGGAAGACCCGAGCGAACCAGTTCTGGTTTCTTGCGCTGCGTGGTGGGCGTGGTAGAGGTTTGTCGGCAAAGTCTGTGTCTGATATACGACCAGTTTCAAGTGGGCGTTGGAGCAAGGGGTTTGTGTCTTGATCGTCAGGTCCTGTGGATGATGAGCCGGGTCCAACGCTATCTGGTACATCGAACTCACCTGCGTCTGGGCTTTGAGTGTTTTTACTTGCTCGTCGAGTGATAAGTCTCCTGAAGAATCCTCCCTTGGGCTTGTTGGAGGGCTGCTTTCGGCTCTTCGAGTCTGGCTGGGCCTCCGGGGTTGATCCTGAAGGCCCAACTTCGTGTCTGATAACGGTCGCCGAACTCGGTTGTATGGGCCGAACATCGATAGAAGTCCTCGTCGCCTTGTCACTCGATGTCTGGGACCTATTTTGGAACCACGACCATTTCTTGTTATCTGAAGCACGAGTCCCGCTCCGTCTTGGAGATCCTGGGTTTTCTTCAATGGGATCCAGTTCCCAGGGACCCCGACTTTGACGAAAATTGATAGAGGCGAATCTACGTGTAGGCAGTGCAGTCGGTTCGCTGTCGGGCTGTGGTGTGTCCACGTCGGAAATCTCTGGAATCTCACGAGGATGCACAGTGCGGTTGTCCCGGAGATTCAAATCCTTGGTGGGCTCAATAGACTGCAGGGAACTCTGGGGGACCATGCGGACTGTTCGCTTCCCATCGCGACTAGAACGGCTTGAGTTGTTTCCAACGGTCGACTGTGAGGCGGTCCGACGATCATCCTGGTGGTATTTGCCCTTGTTTTGACTGTCAGATGCAACACATTTGTTCTCGGATGCTCTGGATGTTCGTTGGTTTTCATCTGATGGTTGGACAAATGGGTTTCCGTTTGGATTAGGGTAGTGCCGACAATTCTTGAGTTTTTCTTGTCTCCTCATTTCATCTTGCTCAATCAGACGATCTATGTGTCCTATGATCGGCTTAAGGTACTGAGTGTTTTTTGGCTCATCCCGACGAGAATATTCAAACAACTTGCGGCGGGTTTCAATGAGTTCCGCAGCTGTGTAGGACTCTGGCGATAATCCAGCCGTGGGCTTTGGGCCCGTGCTAGAAGAGTTCAAGCTATGGGAAGCAAGCTTCTGGTGCGAGGCTTCGGGGCTGGCCATAGATACCGATGTTGCAGGAGTCACGGAACCAATACACGTACTAGCAGTACAATTAGTTGAGAGGGAGCTGCCATTAAAAGCCTCCTCGCATATCTGACTGAGCTCATGGGACACTTTCCGCGCATCATCTTTCCAGATGATATCGCTGTTTCGCACCTTCTTCATCTGGGGACAATTCTTGATTGTGACAGCGGCAGCACGTACAACGGTAGGCTGGGCTGGCAATGACGGACTCTCCTGTGCGTCGGAGAATGGATCATCCTCGAATGTAGATACTAAGCTGCTTTGACTGGAATCAAGTTTGAGATCACGAGCTCTGGCCCTCGCGACCCTGAGTTTGACTGACATAGATCCTTGTGATCGATTTCGAGTATGGTGGAAACATACGTTGCGTTTGTAACTGGCAGAACGAGGGGTTGAGGTACCATATAAAGCTCGGCGAGACCCTGATAGGGAGGCTTTCGACTGGAATGATTTGACAGAGTTGACCTTCATCTTCTTGTCACGCATAACCACCAAAGGTGAGCTCGGCGGACATTCCAGGTCTTCGTACTCTGTGTCAGTCTTCTCAACAGGCTTCGATGGCCGGACGGTCTCGGAAGGTCCTTCTTTAGTATTATCAACTACTCCGTTTCGGTAGACGGTGATTTTGGCGTATTTAGCTTTCTTGGTGTATTTATCTTGCGGTGATCTGAACGGGTCGTAGCTTCGCACTGTCGCACATGACTTCGGCTCTTCGTTATACTTGGCTCTTATACCTGTCTCTTTTACGGCCGGAAACTGAGACCACTTTGCTGAATTCGTCCTTACACGACTGGTTCTTTTATTCGAGATACGCTCGGGCGCCGAAATATGGTGGTAGTCGCTGGCCGAGTATTGGAGAGTCTGACCCTGATAATTCTCTAGCTGTTCATTTCGGAAGTTCACCAAGGCGTTGTAAAACATCCGCTCTTGAGTTGGACTAGTTGAACCAAGTGGTCAGTTATGGCAACAATGATAAATGGGCTGAAAAAGGCGCGATAACTTACGCAGGATCCAAGATCCTTTCGAGTATCGCAGTCGGCGTAGCGTCGGGCCATAGTGTCTGGAGGTTTCTCAGAAGGTCGATATCAATATCGTGCCTATTATTGATAACTGGACCGCAGTCTTGCGGCAACAGCTGTCGTGGAGGCCCAACATGCTGGTTGACTGTCCCTTGATGATGCTTTTCGTACTTGGTCAGCAGAGGGTGCATCCAAATCTCTTCCATGCTAATCCGACGCCCCGGATTTTTCTCCAGTATACGTCTGATGAGATCCGCAGCCTCGCGACTAACCCATTTGGGGATCTGAAAAGCACCACGCTTCACCAGGCTGAGGGTGCTGTCGACGTCCCCTCCATCGAATGGTAGGTATCCAGTCAATAAGGCGTGCAGGATGATGCCGCAGCTCCATATATCTGCTTTGTCCCCATGGTATATTTTGCCTCCAACGACCTCGGGGGCAGCGTAATGTGGACTTCCGCAGGACGTATCAAGCCCGCGGTTGGTCTGGAGGGCGGCCATTCCAAAGTCAGCGAGCTTCACATTGCACTGTCCATCTAGCAAGATGTTCTCGGGCTTCAGATCTCGGTGACAGATGTTGAAACGGTGGCAATGGTCCAGTCCAGCAATAATCTGTCGAAAAATTCGCACGGCCTCTTCCTCCGGTAGGGGTGCGTGCCGAGAGATGTAACGGAACAATTCTCCACCTTCAACATATTCCAGGACAAGATACCTAAGAATGGTCAGTTATAGCCTCATCTAGCCCTCTAACATCACCTACAGCTCTCCCCGGTTCTCCCACACATCGTACAAGTTGATCACGTTTGGGTGCTCGATCAGCTTCATGATCACAACCTCGCGCTCAAGCCCTGATGGAATCTGCCTCGGCCCCAGTCCTCCAAAACGACCTGCCTTCTTGTCCATTTTCGCCAAGCTCGCACTCTGCGCCATTACTGCTGCCTTCTTCGATACAATCTTGATCGCTGCCATCTGCCCTGTGACCGAGTGTTTCGCCAGCCTCACACGACCACTTGCCCCCTGGCCGAGAGTCTTCCCAAGTTGCCATGGTCCCACGTGTGTTTTTCTTTTCCCTTGATTCGAGATGATTGATGCAGCCGATATTGTAGAGTTCCGATTGGTTCCGGGCTGTGAATCGGGAACTGGCGAACTGCAAGTGATCTCCGTATTCCCTTTCGCGGTCAAAGGACTTGTCACTATAGACATCGGCACTGGCGACGTCATCTGATACCGTGCTTGTCTCATTTGCTCTTCTCGCTCTGTAATCGGTGTCAGGCACTTGTTTACCCTCGCTGTCGCATCTGTCAGGGGCGTCCGCATTGTTTCAGAGGCGAGGGGCGTGGTTCTCTCGTCCATTTGGCCCGTCTTTCAGGGAGAAAGCAGAGGAAAGTATTACCGCGTCTGCATAAGGCAAATGGCGGTATTTATCGTGATGGTCCCGGCTAAATCCTCATAGTGTTAGAGAACGAATCATTTGTGAAGTGTATACCAAAGCAGGAGAGTGACCGGTATGTACAGCAGGGGACTCCAAACAGTGCCTGAAGGATCACTTACACGAGTGTGAGTACTAAGTAGCATGCCCTGTTCGCACAAGGAACAGATGGCGGAGGGAGTCTGTGAATTGCCTATTGTTCGCTTCCTTTGCTCTTGCGACAATACTTTCCAGGCTGTCTGTCTGTCCGTCTAACGCCACACGTAGCGCGTGGAGGGAAGTCAGTTGGCGATAATGTCTACAAACCGCACCCAAGTCCAGACTGTCACAGTCGGAGGAGGGGGCATTGAAAGTGCAGATAGATTACCTGGGTGCCAGTAATTTCCTGGCGGCATGCTTGCCAGACCCATACGCGGTGGTCAAAGCAAGCAAACCACATACCGCGCCGAGAGGTCAAGCCTGTGGAATGGCTGTCGTATGTTTGTTTTGCTTGGGATTCCTCTTCACCCTCCCGGGCACCCGCCAGCATTAGGTGCAATAGGCTTGGAATGCGACCCTCTACCTGGATGGTCTGCTCTTCCGTCACACCTGATTCCTCCCAGGTTGAAGAAACGTTACCGGATGGAAATCATGATGGTCAAAGGTGAGCATGTCGCAACATTTTTTTTTTCGCAAGCATGGGCCCTTGACTTCTAGTTGACTGACATGGGATCAGCCAAGCCCGTCCTTCCCTTTGATTCTTCCGAGATGTTATCCAAAGCCCCTAGGCTCGTGGATCGACGACGACGTCATTACGGACAAAGACACGCCCCAGAGGTGGTTGGGGTCTCTCGCAAGTCAAGGCGGCACTACATTCCTCCCTTCGTTGCACGAATACAGGGGGCACAGGGTGGCACTTGCCAATTGCCACACGTCCGCCCGGCCTGTCAAATGCCTGGGGCAATCTTATCTTCTACTACTCCTTGTCTGCGTTAAGTTCAAGTTAAAGACGCAGGGGTGACTATGCCCCTTCCATACGAAGTGCTACAAATCGGATGAGGGGCATTCGACAAAGGGCGCGATTGGCATCAACTTTCGCGTAGCGTCAACCCCCTGGCCACGCGCCAACTGTCTACATCTAGTCCTGGGAATGATACGGAGTAGAGATCTGAGAACTACCGATTTTGTCAAAATATCCAGGGACAAGGGAATCGCAACCAGTAGGAAGAAACCCACCATAACCTCTTCCATGCAGCATAGCCTACGGAACATTGTCAACCGCTACTCCGTATTTGCAGACAATGTGTACCTGTTGGCAAAACGGGTGACAGCAGTTCCAAATGTGCAGGTGCTTGGAGTGACCTATCACCAATGCTCCTCTCCAATCTTCACTTCTTCAGGATCAACCCCTTCCACAAACCATCTTCCCTCTCCATTCCCATCCAATCCGACAAGTACGTCGTTCCCACTCATCATTCTCTTACACATCTTCCCTGTCTCTCGATCAAAAGTCCAGTCTTCGAGTCCATAGCACCGCTTCCAACGCAGACCATCTTCAACGTCTTGGTATTCGTACCAAAATTGCACTGCGATGCGGTTATCGGTGAAGGAAAAGAGTTCCTTGCGCAGCTTGTAGTTTTTTTCGCGCTTCCATTTGGCTGTTAAGAAGTCAATGATGCCTTCTGTTCCGGAGAAGAATGCAGTCCGATTGCGCCAAATACACGTGGGCGTATAAGCCTGCGCAACTCGCACGGGATCCCTGCATGTATAGTGCGTCAGTACGTCGATAGATGTGTCCAAGAAATTAGCAAGCTTCAGGCAGTGGAAGCGTTTCAGAAATCACGAAGAATGTTGGTAAGAATCAGAGAGCAACGGGCAGAAGATGAAGAATGGTCGGCTCGCGGTAAAGGCCCAAGTTGCAAGCAAGGGATGGAACATTGGGTTCGGGATAGCCTTCGACCCCCCATACCAGCATTGATAATGACGACAGATTGCAAGATCCAGCCAGATTCTAGACCCCATATCGAAGCTCCATCAAATTAGAAGGGAATCTCACATGGTGTTCCATAGGTTCTGCGCAGCCTTGACCTTCTTCCGCGCCGAATCCTCCGTGAAAGGGGGCTTAATGTCAGCCATGGTTTCTGGTATTTGTTGCTGCAAAAAGAGATGTCCAATCAGCTGCACAAGGTTGGAGATGAAGACAAGGTTGAAGAAAAGGTCATGGTTGACTCATTGTACATAAGCCGTTAAAAGTCACGTGGGGTCTAAGAGAGAAAGACGCCTTAGCGCTGCATTAGAGCCTGCAAGCTTCAGTCAGACGTAAACGCACCGAAAATACAAGCCAGTACGGTCGGAAATTGGCAATCAGAAGCCTATTGGAGTGTCACAAAATGTTATGTCTCCTAAAGGGTTCGCGCATATTGACTCGACTGAACCCGGGGGTTGGCGCAAAGGCGATGCTTAGGAAGATGATATATAGTTTGTTAGCCTGGTTGCCTCTCGAAGCCTTGGTGGTCAAAATGCGTCTAACCAAGAACACGGATATCGATAGCATCCTGAGAACCTCAAAGTCCTTTGAGGTGCTAGAGCCTCACTGCACATATAGTACCCATGTCTCCAGTAATCCGGCGGTGTTGAACGGTCGTCCGTTCGTGAGGCATCGGCTTATCGGCGGGGAGCATCGGGGCAGCACCAGTCACAGAACGCGCTTCGATGACTATGCCTGGTTCGGAAGGAACGATAGGGACTAGATACACTACTAGGACTACTATCCAAGGTAGTGCACTTGCACAACCTACCCAAGTGCTGACGTTTGCCGGGAGCTTGCAAGGATGAAAAATGACTGATATAAATATCGGGTCTCATGATACCTTCAGCCAAGGCCCGGCGGGAGCATCCATTGCAACCTGGACATTCTTCCTCCACAACGGCAACTCCTGCTAGTTCTCTGGAATAGACATATCCATAGACTGCCAACATGACGCCTCCGGACGAGAAAGTGTCTGGCCAGCAGCTCGATTTGCGAGCGTTGTCCACTAGGCCCCAGCATTTCAAAGGACGGGTCATTCGATTCTCCATCTTGCTCACCATCGCCGCGTTTGCCATCCTACAAGTGCATATGGGCTTTTACAGAAGCAAGTCCCTTGGGCAACAGTTGTCAGGACCCTCTCTCAGCGATGCTCCATTCAAATGGGCAGATGTGGGTGATTCCATCTTTCAGATCGTCGGGTACTAACACATCCCGTTAGATCACCCCCACTGAGCAACTTATATATCATCCATGCTTCGAGAGTTACGAATGCGCCCGTTTAGAGCTTCCAATGGACTGGAACCGTACCGATGGCAAAGGATCGAAAATCGCTTTGGCTGTCATCAAGCTGCCTGCAAAAGTACCAGTCACAGACGTGCGATACGGTGGAGCTATTCTCCTAAATCCAGGTAAGGAAGATCATATCATTATTGTATAGTGCCAATATTGAGTGCAAATCAGGTGGCCCTGGTGGATCTGGAGCCAGCTTTGTGTTCCGATATGGGAAAGCTATCCAGACAATCGTTGATTCCGCGGAGCCGCCAAGTGTAGACTCCGCTACGGGAAAATACTTTGATATAGTCAGCTTCGATCCAAGGGGCGTCAATAATACAACCCCTAGTTTTTCCTGCTTTCCTGACCCAATGACGAGGAAAGCGTGGTCATTGCAGTCGGAGGCAGAGGGCACTTTAGGAAGCTCTGAAACGGCATTTGATACTCGATGGGCAAGATTCGAAGCATATGGGATGAGCTGCAGTCAACCAAGTGCTGAGTCTTCAGAGGACGACGGATGGATAGGACCTTTCATGAATACAGCCCCAGTGGTGGCGGATATGGTTGAGCTAGTAGAGCGCCATGGAGAGTGGCGCGAGCGAGAAACCGAGAGGCTACTCTCAATTGCTATCGACGATTCTCCTCATGACCCAAACTTGGATATTGCAACTATCAGGTTGCAGAACCGCTGGAACAAGGGACAGGAAAAGCTGCTGTACTGGGGTTTCTCGTATGGGACAGTCCTGGGTGCCACATTTGCGGCTATGCAGCCTCATCGCATCGGCCGTGCTGTGATTGATGGAGTCTGCAATGCCAATGATTACTATGCTGGCATGTGGCTCGCTAACCTACAAGACGCGGACGCAGCCCTCGATAGTTTTTTTGAGTACTGCCACACAGCCGGGCCAACATATTGCCCGTTCGCGCATGGTCATAGTGGCCCCGAAGATCTCATGTTTCGTTATGAGCAACTCTTGACAAATCTTACATATAGTCCCATTGCGGTGGCTGCTTCCGAGAGCAGGGGTCCAGAAATCATAACCTACAGCGATGTAACGTTGCTGGTCAAGGACTCTCTTTACACTCCTCTGAAGTCCTTCGAGTTCGTGGCCCAAGTGCTGGCTGATCTGGAGCACGGCAACGGGTCTTCCTTCGCGGATTCCAAAAACAAGGCCAAGAAGTGGAACGGACCGCCTTCGTGTGATCCTTCTTCCAAGCATTGCAAAGTGCCTGGTGAGAGCGATTTCGAAGCTGCAATGAATATTGTCTGCACAGACGGGCCAGGTATCGATGGCATCCCTAAGGAGGTATTCCGAAATTATTGGCATACGCTCCGGGGGCAAAGTAAGGCTATAGGAGATTTCTGGGCTGAAATTCGCATGTCCTGCATTAGGTTGCAAACGCGGCCTGTATGGCGCTATGATGGTAAGCCTATCACGATACCTTACTGGATAATGTAGTCTGACAGACGTGCGCACTTGAAGGACCCTTTACAGGAAACACGTCACATCCATTGTTATTCATCGGAAATACCTATGATCCAGTAACCCCGCTACAAAAGTCTTGCTTACTTGACCCTAACAGCTCTTGAGATGGCGATACTGACGTACCTGCAGCGCCTATGCGATGGCTCGCGGATTCCCTGACTCAGTTGTGCTAAAGCAGAACTCTGTCGGAGTGAGTACTCTCTAAGTGCAGTTGACATAGAACACAACTAACACCAGCCTGATGTCGCAGCATTGCTCACTAAGTGGCCCATCATTGTGCACGGCAAAAGCAGTTCGGCAGTACTTCCACAGCGGCGAGCTACCCGATCCTGAACTTATTTGCGAGGTAGAGGAGCTTCCCTTCCATATTCCAGGGTATGAAAAACAGCAGGCTCTGTCGCCGGATGACAAGGCATTGATGCATGCTTTGCATTCGCTGGGAGAGACCAGCAATCTGTTGGGTGCTTGAAAGTTTAGGCTCAGGTTGAAGAAGGGTAGCCACTGCCAGAGAACGCCCTGTTTGTGCAAATTTGCAATACAGGATGCTGGGCAGTATCGTATCCTTGATGCACACTGCTCTCCTATGCGGCTCTACATAACATCAAAGTATCCAGTCCTTGTTGAGCATATCGGCTGTCTCTTATTGAACATGTCTCGTTGCTCAGATACCATAGATTTCTTAATCTAATTACCTTGGGCTTTCTAAGCACTCGAAGACCAACCCCTGTCCATCGTCAGGGGTTAGCCACCCACACCTTCTAGAACCCGGATGATGCATAATCGCGGTGGGGAAGTACTGTGTAAGCCTGGTACATTGCCCCAGACTGGCCTACCTTAGGTAATCCACGAAGATGGCGGGGAATCGGCGATACGTTACTCATCTCCGTGTGCACTCGGCTTCTGTTATACGTCCTATCTTAATAATGATAGCCCAAGGGTTCAACTACCGATACTCAAGTTCCGTGATCGGAGGCCGAATGTTCCCTATGGTTGGTTGGCCAATCTTATCAGATTCTCGGATACCATGATCCGTGTCTGCGGTCCGACGCAAGCCGGGCTGGTCACCCATCGTAGCCCAGTGGCAATGCCGATACTCCGTACACTGGACATGACCATGGTGCATTTCCTCCTCCTGAGTGTGAGATACATCCTTTCAATGGCCGAACCAAACCATCCTGCCTTACAAAAATCCGGGTAGGATAATCTCCGGGATCATGCATAGTGGCGGTCACCAAGCACCAAGGTCCCTTAACGGCCGGTGGACGGGTTACGTAGTGGCTGGCTTGGCAAAAGGAGAGAAGCAGCTTTGCAAAGTGGGAGGGTGGCTGTGATTGGTTTGATATTGGACTTGGTGGGGCTAGTTTCTCGTGATTTGGGCTGTTGAGCTAATAGGAATTGGTCCTCGGTGGTGGATGGAGGGGTGTCTATGATGCCTGGGGTGTCGAGGCATCAGATATTGAGGATCTTTGGGGGGTTGGTAAGGTTACGGAGGACCAATTGGTTGGGTGTTATGATTTTGTGTTATTTACTCAGGTGAATTGATGAAAACTTTGTCCATGGGGGTGGAAATGAAGGTTGATGTTCATATCGGTTGTACTTTGAGGCTGTCGACTAGTCTTACGTCTAGGTTTATTGAATCGTACACATTGATGGGTTTTTTGGTGTCAATGGCTGTTTGCTAAGCTTATCGATAGAGAAACTGGTCTAGATTACTAGTTATCTGTTGGGACTTGGGGGAGATTGGGGTCGAGATCAGGGGTTGATGATGGGAAATGACAGAGCATTGGACTATGTAGATAGACCCGGGTGAAAGCCGTGTTTGTCAGATATCTTGATACGGATTGATAGAATGAGAACATGCTGTACTTGGATGATTACTGCTGCCAAAGGACTAGATTCGCTGAGACCTAGACCTATCGAGTATCGAGCCTCTTGGGCCATGATCCATCAGCCATGGACGTCTGAGGCGGTCCTGAAAGGGCAATGCTCAAGATTGAACCCTGCCGCCTCCGATGCTGTAGATAGACAGTCGACGCATCCTGGCTCGGAGGGCGATTTGTCACCGACACGGTCTAGATATGGTGGCCAGAGCCGGGAGTGGTGCCGGTGGGGGGATGGCGGGGCGCCTCAGTCTCGGGCGGTCTTCTTGATAATACAGACCCCTCCGAGCCCTACCAATCGAAAGGTTTCGGTATCCTTCTGCTTCGGATCACCTCATGGCGCCCTGGGCGGGCCGTCGCCGCATTATTCGCTGGCTTTCACTACGCGTGCGATCGCCGACAGGAACCATCTTCTGAAGCTAAGGTATATATTACCCGCCACAGGCTCCTGCCCCGTCCGTTCTTTCTTCCCTCTTCCCTTCCTATATAACCATCTCCAATCCCTCTCAACTTCTTCCATCCACAACTCTCTCAAATCTTTTTACTCTTTCTTTAGTACTCGTTACTACCACTCAATCTCATCACAATGTCTGGAATCAACCCCGGTGACAGCTTCCCCGCTGACGTGGTCTTCTCGTGAGTTTCTCTGCCTCTCCCCCCTCCACCTACTGTCATTTGCCCCTGCTAGCAACACCACCATAACCCATCTTCATGTGCATCCACTGACCTTAACTCTCCACAGCTACATCCCCTGGTCTGAGGACAAGGGTGAGATCACCTCTTGCGGTATCCCCATCAACTACTACGCCTCCAAGGAGTGGGCCGACAAGAAGGTCGTCCTCTTCGCCCTCCCCGGTGCTTTCACCCCCGTCTGCTCCGCCCGCCACGTCCCCGAGTACGCTGAGAAGCTTCCCGAGCTCCGTGAGAAGGGTGTCGACGTTGTTGCCGTCCTTGCCTACAACGATGCCTACGTCATGAGCGCCTGGGGCAAGGCCAACCAGGTCACCGGTGACGACATCGTATGCAAATCGTTTCTCTTCTCAATTGACAACATGCTAACTGCTCTGTAGCTCTTCCTTTCCGACCCCGAGGCCCGCTTCTCCAAGAGCCTCGGCTGGGCTGATGAGGAGGGCCGCACTGGTCGCTATGCCATCATCATCGACCACGGCAAGGTCACCTACGCCAAGCGCGAGCCCGCTAAGAACCACCTCGAGGTAAGACTTACACTGTACTGCTACGGCTTGAATGGTTACTTACGATTGTACAGTTCTCCTCCGCTGAGACCATCCTCAAGAACCTGTAAACGCGTCATTTTAAGACGATAGACATGGCAGGGGTCCGATAGAAAGCGTTGACATTCTGTTAGTGGGGTAATGGCCTGAGAAGGCAAAGCATTAGAACTAGACTTGCCACTAGATAAAAGAATCAACGTACGAAGCTACGACAATACTTTTTCTCCCCTCGTATGATGTCAGTAAAAAAAAATAACCTTAAACTGCATTGGACAAGCTAGTCTACCCCGGCCTGAACGATCTACAACCAGGACATCCAAGCGTTGCTGGGATTGCCTGACGGGTGCTGTCATTGGTGCGTGCCTTTTGTGCGTCGGGGTGGCTGTCGGCCGGGAACTTGACGCGCTAAACCAACCCATCCAAATTCATGATTCCAGGCCCGAACCGCAGGGTTCAGAAGCTTTATTCCACTTCCAGCGTCCCTCTCATTTTATTTCCCTCCCCCCTTCGGAACCTCCACCTCTTTCGCGGCCACCATGGCCTTTAATCCTCCCTCGAAGCGCAAGCCCGGCTTCGCGGGCAACCAGAACGGCATCTCCGCCGCCGCCCGCAAGCGGGCCAAAACGTTCGATGCCCGCTCTCTCGCCGTGCAGGCGGCCGACGCTGCACTTTCTGCGTCCGGAGAACTCAATGTCGCGGCTTATGTGGAGGCGAGGGAATTCGAGATCCGGTCGCTGGAGTCGGGGATGCAGCGATCGAAGTCTGCGTTGACGAGTCGTGCGTTTCAGAAAGTGCCGAGGTCGTTGCGACGACGGACGGCGAGTCATAATGTGAAGAGGGTTCCGAAGAGGTTGAGGGCGAGGGCGAAGAGAGAGGTATGTTTGTCTTTCCTCTTATCTTGCTTTTTGGATGGGGGGAGGGGGGCTGGTTTCGTTTATCTTCGAGTATGGAAGAATAAAATCTAACGAGGTATGATTATTGCAGATGCTCGAAGACAACACCCCCACTGTATCATCCCGGACGAGAAAACCGACGGAACAGATGCGCATTCGACTTGAAACGGCCCGCCGATTACAGAATCTGAACGCGAAGAGTAAAGCCAAGCGGGCGGCTTTGAAAGCGGAGCGGGATAAGGAGACTCGAGTGGCGTTGGAAGAATCCGGCAGTCATGCGTTTGAGATTGCGCCGCGGGTGCCGAAGATCAAGAAGAATAAATTGTCGAGGCCGAATCCGCCGGAGGCGAAGTTTAAGAAGCGACAGCGGTGCAAGACTTGGCTGCCGACGCATATGTTTCATGCGAAGAGGGCGCATATGACGACGTCGAAGAATCCGTTGTGGCGGTTTGCCTTGCCCGTGTCGCCGACGGAGAAGAGTTATCGGCCTACGCATCGGGCGAGGGGGTCGAGGGGGGCTGTGGCGTGGGATATGAGTTATGTGGCTACGATTCAGTTGGAGGGGACGGAGGAGGCCCTGGAGGGGGTGTTGAGGGCTGTTGGGGTTGATGGGCAGGATGCTTGGGGGGTTAAGGGGAGGAAGTGGAGGGCTGGGACGAGGTGTTTGCGGGCGTGGATGTTTGAGTGGGAGGGGGAACGCAGGCCGATTGCGCCGGTCACGTTGATTCGGTGTGCTGAGGCCAAGGGGGAGGATGTGGAGATGGCTGATGCTGATGATGCTGGGAAGGGGAAGAAACAGAAGGATAGGAAGAAGGTATTTGTGAGAGTGCACCCGTCTGCGTTTTTGCAGCTGTGGAATGCACTCCTGGGCATTTCGAAGAAGCAGAATCCTCCTGTTATGGTGGAAGATTTGCGGTTCGAGATTGGCAGCATTGAAATCACCGGTCCAGGCGCAATGGAGGCATTGCTCGCGTCTTTCAAGCCAGTTGCTGTGGATGGGAAGGATATTGCAGCGAATAGCCCGGAGGCTACATGGAACTCTCTCCTGGGGGTATCGAATCCTTCGTCTCTGCCACAGAATGCTGTTCTTGGTTTCTCTGTCTCCGATCCCCGTCTCGAATTTCCGCCCAAGACCCTGAAGCCGCCATCATCCGACAGCCAGATGCAAGATCTGGCTATTTTGCTCTCAACATGGTCTCCGGACAACACACAGACAGCGCCTGCTCTCTTCGACCGTCGCACTCGGTTGGCTGCTGCGCGCCAGTTGCCTAGCCAGAAGGCTATCAACCGGCGTCGTTCTGAAGCTGGCCCGGGTACACGCCCGCCAGCGAAGGATACTGATCCAAAGATACCTGTGATTGCTCTCGCCTGCCGACCTAGTGTCTATTCTAAGAACAGCAACGCCCCGGGGAGCTGGACTGTTCTCCTCCCGTGGAAATGCGTACTTCCTTTCTGGTACTCGCTAATGTACTATCCACTCTCGAGCGGCGGGAACCCACGATTTGGAGGCTTGAAAGAACAACAGCAGCTCGCATTCGAGTCAGGGGAGGCTTGGTTTCCTGGTGATTTCCCTGGCATCCGGGCAGGCTGGGAATGGGGCCTGCGGGAGAGGGAAGAGGCCAAGCAGGAGTGGGAGCGGCGGCCGAAGGGGCGCAGAACCGAGTTTGAGAGCATTGACCTGAAAAATGGCCAGAAGGGTGAGGTCGGACGTGGCTGGGCCTGCGACTGGGAGAGGCTCGTTCAGGGTCCGACAGAGTGCAAGGATAAGGAACAGCTTTCAGAGACTGCACCTGATGCCAAACCCGAAGATGCCAAACCTGAGGATAGTGTCATCTACCCACCGATGGACATTCACCAACTGTCAACATCCGAGGCAGCTAAGACACTGAAGAACCCTCCCTCCACCATCAACGCCTCAGCTCTGGCAACCGTCAAACTCTCACTCCTCCACCGCGGAACACCCACCCCCCGAGCCCGCATCTACCGTCTCCCAACCACCGATCCCGAACTACGCCAGAAATGGCTTTCCCTCGCATCAACCAAGCCCGACGATACCCAAAAGCAACCTCAAAAGCAACAAGCCCCTGGCAATACCGAGGAAGCTCGGCAACGTCTCGCCGCATCTCTCATTGCCCCGTCCGCCGATGCAGACGCCCGCCAGGAACACCTACCGGTTCCAACAGAAGCAGATCTCATCGGGTTCATCACGACGGGTAACTACAACCTCGCAGAAGGCAAGGGCACGGGCATTGGGTCCATCCAATTGTCGAAGGTGGTGAATACGGATTCGAGTAAGGGTAAAGCCAGTGGGAAGAATATGTGTATCATCCGGAGTGCGGGTGAGACGGTGGCACGGGTGGGATTCTGGGAGCTCGTATAACGGTGTATGAATAATGTGGAATTTAGACATGATACCCTGTGTCTCAATGAATTGGACTGTTTGCTAGGGAGAATCAAAATGAAAGTATTCTCTGAAACCAGCAGTACGAACCCAAACCTACATATCTACAACCATAGCATATAAACCGCCCGAAAACAATAAGCTAGGAACCTTTTCTAGCTAGCTAGGTATACATATACATGACAACATGCACAGACAGACCCCGTCACCAATACCACCACTGCAGCAGTCAACTCTATTGATAAAGCCCATCAAATCCCATCAGTCGGAAAAGAAAGGGAAACGGATCTACCCAACAATACGATCCACAAACCCCTCCTCCAATCTCGCAACCTCCTTCTTAAACGTCTCGACCTCCTTCCAACAATCCAAAGGTCTCCGATCATGCAACCTCAAACAACTAACGACCTCCGACCTAGCCTTCTCAATCCCGGCATCCAACTCAATCAACTTCTTCCGTCCCTCCAACTTCGCCCGGAGCTCCTCAATCTCACTATTCACCGTCTCCCGCGACAGTTCCCGGTTAATGGGAGTGGACTGCTGCTGCTGCTGCACCGCCTCAACAGGCATAGGGAGCGATTCGCGGCCCGCGAACGGAATCCGGGGCGCATCCAGATCCAACGATCCCGGTGGGTAGTAGGAGGAAGAGGAGGCTCCGTTGGTGGATGTGGTGAGGGGGCCGGCGGGAGAGGGGCTCGAGTCGCGCACTTCGGCGAGCTTCTTCTCGATTTCGGCGAGGGTTTGCTGTTCGCGGGCGCGCAGGCGCTCGAGTTCTTCGGATACGCGCGCTTGGATTTGGAGTTCCAGGGATCGGGCACGGGCGGAATCGGTCTGTGGTTGGGGATTATGTTAGGTGGGTGGGTGGGTGTGAGTTTGGGGGAGGGGGAATGTACCTCGGTGTTGGACTGGAGGGCGTCGACGAAGTTGGCGGAGAATTGAACGGGGGAGGAACTGTATATGCATTAGCTGGGCCTGTCATATATTATTTGGTGATGTGATTGGGATTGGGTTGGATATATGGCAGGGTTGTGATGCAAGTCATTCTGAACACCAGTATCAATGACTTGATACGGGTCTAGATGACCCATCGAGCATGCCAATGTCCACATCCGTCTCACAATCTCACAAGCAGGACATATATAACTGCAGCAAGCAGACCTACCTCGAGAAAACGTGCGAGTCGGCCGAAGCCGCGGGCTTGGAGCTGCCGGCGCCCATGATGTGCGGAGGTTCGTGTGCTTGCTGCTGCCTGAGCTGGCTGGTTCTGTGGCCGGAGCGGAGAGGGGCAAAGTCAGTGGAACACCGCAATGGCCGCCGAGAGAACTGATCGAGGGCAATTCCTGGTCGTCGGACGGAATTGCATATCGTTGTTTCTGAAGCCGACTTCCGCCGGGTCACGTGGATTAGTCATGTGCTGCATGCCTGAATTACGTTGAACCTAGATGCCTTGATGCCTGATTGTTATGATGCCTCAGTGCCTTGAATGTCATGCCTCAGGCCTGATACTACTCTATTAGTCACGGAGTCAACTGGGTTCCGTTTTTGGCCGCGCTTTTTACTTTCTTGGACGCTGGGTTGGGTAGAGATGCAGCTGGTGACCGGGGTATTGGTTCGAGTAAAGTATACTAGATTGCGACTCTTACTGTGGCATTAAATCGTTGTCTTGATAGGTGATTGTTCTGACTTCTATACTTGGTGTTTTATCAAGTGGAGGAACTGGTCTAGTGAACATTCACTGGTGAAATGACGGACTGTTGGCCATACAGATGTTGAAGATGTACGGATTAGTCGTGAGATCACGAGCTGCATTCAGTTTATGCATCGAGGGTCTGCTGCGGCTCCCTTGTTCCATAATATAGCCGTGTTCACTTGCTCACGTGGAAGCTCATACGAAGACTGGTTCAGTCTTGTACTCTGTCAGACTTGAGTCTCTGGTGACGCAGTCACTTTATTCTCCGCAAAGCAAGACCGTACTCTGTAGACTGGGATTCAGTGTGGTGAAAATGTCGCAATGATACTGCAGCATGCATGAACAGCCGTGGCTGTCTGCTCAGCGGTTGCTTGCATGGCGGACTGTTACTTAAGGTTACGTTGAACCCCTGACCATAATTGACTGACACCTCGTTGTCCTATCTCCACGAAGCCAGCAACCATGGGAGCCTGAGCATTGTGAATCGTGAATCTCTTGTGTTTCCCACATGGCATTGCTCATGTCAGCATCTCCAGCTTCCCCAAACCCCCATGCCCCGGACGAACGCATCCGGAGACGGGCCAGCCTGGCCAACATCACCCCATGACGCGAGGGCCAAGCACGAGAATGGCATTGTGGCATTGGGCCCCTCCGAATTTCCTATCCTCCCCCTTCCATTTCCTTCGCTGCTAACCACTTCTCACTCACCGGTGTGAACGACGGCTGAAACCCCACCATCCGGTTTCATGCGTCATGGCATAGTGCGGGCGGATTCGCTACCGACTCGCCGCAACCCCGTCTTGCAGAGCGACTGGGCCACTTAGTGCGAGGAGTGGCATCTGGAGACTGGAGAGAGGGGCACTAGTCAGAAACCTGGGACAGGGAAAGTAGGAAAGACATCGGCACCACGCGAGAACTCGGAAGAGGAGAGGGGAAGAAACGAGCGCCTTTGACCATGACTGGCAAAGCCGGCGAACCCGGCGTTCCCGTTGGCTTTTTGCCCGTCGGACTGACCTCATCGACCCCTCCAGCGCAACGAAGATGTGGGCAGGGCTTCATTGCGAGTATTAATACGCCCGCAATCCCCTTCATCATCCCGTGCTCATTCCGGAGATTTGTCTTGACCTCGTATTCTGTTTTCTCCTGTCTTAGTCTTCTCCTCCATCTTCCCCAATCTCTCCAGGCTCCGCGGCCCTCCCCATATTTACTTCCTAGCATTCACTTGCTGGTAGTCAACCCCACCACCCCATCAATCCCTACCACTTTTCCACCCTGGATTTATTCTTTGTGTCTCAACATCCACCTCGAGGTTCTTTTCCTCTTCTCACATCTTTTCCATAAACATTCCTCCTCATATCACCATGTCTTCTGCTCTGCTCGACGAGGCGGCGCGCATTGCCCGCCAGTTCGACTACCCCGCTGCAGAGGTGCGGCGCGGCGTGACGGAATACATCCGCGAGATCGATGAGGGTCTGTCCAAGGAGCACACGACCCTCAGTCAGATCCCAACCTATGTCACTGCGGTACCCAATGGCACTGAAAAGGTAACCTCAAGCCAATCACCATCCGTGAAGCATGGCAGCTGACCTGTTGCAGGGATTGTACCTGGCAGTAGATCTCGGCGGCACCAACTTCCGCGTGTGTTCGATCGATCTGCATGGAGACACCACCTTTTCCCTCACCCAGTCCAAGATCATGATTCCTCGCGAGACCATGTCGTCAGGGACCGCCAAGGATCTTTTCTTGTTCTTGGCCCGCCAGATCGAAGCGTTCCTGCGCATCCACCACAACGAACACTTTGAAGCCCACCTCCGCCGCCGCAACGAGAAGAATGGTAACTGTGAGGAGGACCTGTTTGACTTGGGCTTCACCTTCAGTTTCCCCGTGCGTCAGCTGGGAATCAACAAGGGTACCCTGATTCGCTGGACGAAGGGCTTCGACATTCCCGACGCCGTGGGCCAAGATGTCTGCGCGTTGCTGCAGAGCGCCATCGATGAGCTGGGACTCCCGGTGCGCGTGGCAGCCCTCGTCAATGACACCGTGGGAACCTTGATGGCCCGCTCATACACCTCTCCTGGCGAGACGGGCACCTTCCTCGGGGCCATCTTTGGCACGGGCACCAACGGAGCCTATGTGGAGAAGCTTGACCGGATCACCAAGCTGCAGACCATTGAGCACTCGACATATGATAAGACCACGGGTGAGATGATCATCAACGCCGAATGGGGCAGCTTCGACAACCACCTGAGCGTCCTGCCCAACACCATCTATGACCAGCAGCTGGATGCCGATAGCAACAACCCGGGCATCCAGATGTTTGAGAAGCGCGTCTCGGGTATGTTCCTGGGTGAGATCTTGCGTCGTGTCATGCTGGACATGCACCGCAACCCATCCCCGGGCTTCCTCAAGTCAAGCGCGTCTACTGTTTCTGTGCCGAAGGAGTCATCCTTGTACCGGCAGTGGGGTATCGATACGAGCCTGTTGAGTCTGGTCGAGGCTGACAAGACCGAGGACCTGGAGCAGACCAAGACGGCTTTGAGGGATCATCTCCGGATCGAGCACCCCAGCGTTGAGGACTGCAAGGCGCTTCAGACCGTTGTGCATGCCATCGGTAAGCGCGCTGCTCGTCTGAGTGCCGTGCCGTTGGCTGCCGTCCTCATCTCTACCGGCAAGCTGCAGAGTGATGACCTCGTGGACATTGGTGTGGATGGCAGTCTGGTGGAATTTTACCCCAACTTTGAAGGATACATGCGGGACGCCCTCCGGGAAGTGCCCGAGGTGGGTGAAGCCGGTAACGAGAAGATCCGCATCGGTATCTCCAAGGACGGCAGCGGCGTGGGAGCTGCTCTGATCGCCCTCGTTGCCAGCAAGGAAGAAAGCCGCCGAAAGTCACAATAGTGTTGCTGGTCTATGTGCAACTTGCTAGCAGCGAGCAGGTTGGAGTTCCGCATTGGTTCGGTGTTAGCGGTTGGAAAGAAGGTTTGGGCTTTTTTACGGCGTTGTACAGCTATTGGAACTGGATATATCCTAGGTTGAATGATTTTTTGAGTCTATCTCGTGCAGACCTAGCCACAAGTAATTCAGTACCTAGTTCGATGGTTCGGAGTAATGCTGGTGTGTACACTACCAGTAGCCCGACCTCCAGCCTAGATCCCTGTTTATTTCAAACCCAACCGAAGGGACAAAGAAGGAAGCCAGGGCGATGCTATTGCCGCCACTGCAGCCAGATGCAGTTCCGAGTCGGAACATAATTCAATAGCGTCTGACCTGGCTTTATTTAGTCGACGTCGCTTTAAGTTTGCTGGGCGCATCCGGAGGAGAATTAAGCGATGTGATCAGCGCGCAGGCCTTAGTCTAGATGCAGCCGCCACCTTGCCTCAGGGGCACATACTTATTATCCGATCAAACTCAATTCCTTCCTCCAGACCTCCTGTCATGTTGATCCCCCGCGCCCGGTGATCAAGACTGTCCAGATGCATCGACATCGTGTCCGGATGGAAATGTTGCCGATGCCGACGAATATCAGAAGCAAACCCCGCGCAGTGTGACCTCGCTGGGCCGTCACGCTGACCATTGAGTACTGGCAGCCTGCACAACCTGACAATCGTGGTGAATCCGATCCCTGGAATCATGGCAAGTAAGGGGTGACAGCCCAGTCTGTCGGCCTGACTGGCATGGCTTCGAAATGGTGACACAAGTTGCCTTTCATTACGACAATCCCCGTCAGCCAGCGGCAACTTGCTCTTCCGTGACCCGGACTTCCTTCCTGGCCGGCATTTCCTGGCTCTTTTGTTTCTCTAATGACTGCTAAGAGTATACTGCTGTTAATCACACTGCGAGGTATAGTATAGTTGTTGGCGTTAGGCGGGCTTGATATCTATAGCGGATACTATTGTGGCCATGAACGCTGCTAATCCCCACGTGCAGCGAGATCCTGCTGAGCTGAGACCACTCAAATCGATGGGGACGGGGACTAGTTCCGCCAGGAAGTCCTCGATGGATAGAGAGAGCACTCTTGTTGACTCTGCGCGAGATGCTTCCACACATTCACGCACCGATGACGCGCAGGAGATCAAAGGCCCCAGCTCGGTACACAGCAATAACGCGGAGGCCCAGCCCGAGTATCCCACATCGTGGAGGCTCGCGCTGATTGTCATCGGTCTCTGCCTGTCGATCTTCTGCATAGCTTTGGTGAGTCACCTCACATTCATATTACAATGAACCCTTGCTGATGGCTGAAGGACAACACGGTTCTAGCGACGGCAATCCCCAAGATCACAGACCAGTTCAAGTCTCTCGACGACGTGGGCTGGTACGGCAGTGCCTACCTTCTTACCTCTTGCTGTCTGATACTAGCGTTTGGCAAACTATACACATTCTATTCGACCAAATGGATCTACCTGATTGGGCTCGCGCTCTTCGAAATCGGATCCTTGATCTGCGGAGCTGCTCCCAACTCGGTGGCACTGATCCTCGGACGGGCGATTGCTGGTCTGGGAGCTGCAGGGCTCTTCTCTGGGGCCATGCTCATTATCTCGCAGACTGCGCCACTAGAATGGAGGCCCATCTTTGCTGGGGCTATGACTTCGATGTATGGGATCGCCAGCGTAGCGGGTCCTTTGATGGGCGGTGCGTTTACCGACCACATCAGCTGGCGGTGGTGCTTCTACATTAATCTTCCCATTGGCGGTGCCACGATCTTCTTCATACTATTTTTCTTCAAGGCGCCTCGGTCCGTGAAGAGCAACTCGGGGATCAAGGACCAGTTATCCCAGTTCGATATACCCGGGACTTGTGTCTTTCTACCGGGAATCATCTGCGTCCTGTTGGCACTACAATGGGGCGGAACCACCTATGCGTGGAGCAACGGCCGTATAATCGCTCTATTGGTGCTGTTCGCAGTGCTCATTGGCATTTTCATCGTGCTGCAGATCTTCGAAAAGGAGAAAGCCACAGTGCCTCCGCGACTGATCAAGAACCGGAACGTGTGGGGTGCTGCGTTGTTCAGCTTTTGCGTTGGTGGCTCATTCTTCGTATTCATCTACTATGTGCGTTCTGTTCCCGGAATATTCTAACATGCACCTTCTATGGGGCCCTGCTAACGATTCAGCTCCCCATCTGGTTCCAAGCCATCAAAGGCGTCAGCGCCACCAAATCCGGCATCATGAACCTACCCATGCTACTCGGCGTCGTCATCTTCTCCATCGTGGCCGGTGCCTGTGTCTCCACGTTCGGATACTACACCCCATTCATGCTGATCTCCCCCGCCCTCCTCGCCATCGGCGGCGGCCTCCTCTCCACCATGACAGTCGACTCCTCGGCCGGCCACTGGATCGGCTACCAGGTCATTCTAGGCATGGGCGCCGGGTTCGGCATGCAACAGCCCATGATGGCCGTGCAAGCCTCGCAAGCCATCACGGACGTACCCAGCGCGACAGCAATCGTCACATTCGGACAGACGCTAGGCGGGGCACTGTTCGTGTCGGTGGCGCAAAACGTCTTCCAGAACGAGCTGCACAAGAACCTGGCCAAGGTTCCGGGCGTGGACGCGACCAGCGTGGTGCAGGCGGGGGCGACGATGTTGCGCAAGGTGGTGTCTGCGGATCAGTTGCCGGCGGTGTTGGAGGCGTATAATGGGGCCGTGACGACGACGTTCTATGTGGGGGTGGCGATGGGAGCGTTGTGTCTTTTCGGGGCGTTGCCGATTGAGTGGATTTCGGTCCGGGGGAGGAAGATGGAGGTGGCGGGTGCTTAGTTGCGTGCTAGTGCTTGCTATTGCTTTGCTATTGCTTTGCTATTGCTTTGCTATTGCTTTGCTATTTGTGTACGTGGGAGTACAGCAAGATAGATGAATCAAGAGATAATCAATACGAACGAGGTATCGGTATCGCTCAGAAGACAATCAACAGCAGTAGACAGGAAGAAACATAAGAAAAAATCAGAGAATGAACAGGCTGCCAACCAGCAAACCCAAACCCAACCAGAGAGACAGGCAGACACCAACCGACATATATCCCAAATCCAACATCCACCCAACATTACTACCAAAGATACAAAACCCACGAAAAGAAAATAAGGAAGGAAAAGGAGAAGAAAGAATCTAAACAACAGCATACAAACTCAAATACACCCCCCAAACGACCCCACACGCACTTCCAAACACGACGCGTCGATCGACCGGCACCACAGTATACATGAGCATGGATACCAGCGGCCGATACTTGAGTCGGGCAATCATGATAGGTTTGAAGTCCTACACAATACCCATTAGCCACTACCATTACCACCACCACCACCCATACTCCCAATATGCCCTTCTCTTCAAATGAAGAGAACCTAAACCAAGGGAAACTGGGAAAGAGAAAGGGTATATACTAACCAACTGAACTAATCCCACCACCCCCGCCACATCCACCCCCTTGAGTAAATTAATCAACACCACAAAGAGCACAATATTCATCACGCTGCCGATGGTTTGATCGAGGAGGAATTTCATGAGGAAGTTGGTCCATCCCCCCCTGCCTCTTCCCCATCCTCGTGCTTTGGGTTGGAAAGGTTTCTCTTTTAGTGTTGTGGATGTGCCAGTGATGGCAGGAATGGAAATGTATACATCACCTTCATTTCTTTTCTTCTTGGTATTAGTGGAGATAGTTGGTGGTGGTGGTGGTGGTGCAGGTGCAGGTGATCGTCGGAAAAGTAACGCCCCCGGAAACTTCTCCTCCAGATACCTCTGCCAGATGAAATTGATGGGGACGATGAGAATCCCGTAGATGAGGAATTGGAGGAGAGCGGGGGTGTTTATGGTGAATGTGGATTTCTTGGATATTATTATTATCACCATTCTCTTCTTCTTTTTATTTTTATTTTTCTTTATTATAGGTAGGTGGGTAGATATCTCCTTCTCATTTTGGGGGCTTACGGATTTCCGATGATGATCTATGATCTGGGCCAGGAGGTTGGCGATGGCGTTGAGGATGGTGGATTGGATGAAGGTGGTTGTTAGGGGGGAGGGCATTCTTCTTCTTCTTCCTCCTTTTTCTTTCTTTCTTTCTCTTCTCCTTTTATTGTGAGGTCTTTGTTGTTTGGGATGAGTGTATGGGTGTATGTTTAAATGGGAGTGTGGTGTCTATGAAGGATCAAGGAGTGGACATGATGATCAGTCAGTTCAAGGAAAAGATCGGATAGGTTGAATGATGAGATCGGTTCAGGAAATGAAGGTGGTGCTCTTGGTCTGCTGTTTAGCATAGCATTCACATAGTTGAGGTGAGTTGGGTGAAGCGCGTGTGGGCACGTGTCCTTTTGCATGTCTTACTTGTTCTACTTCTTCTATTACCTTGGTCTACAAAGCTTGGGTTTTTGAGTCGACACTGCATTGTAATAGTGATAGTAATCAAGCCCGCACCAGCACATCCGGCCCCTCCTTTGCACTGGTGAAATGGTCAACCAGGGCAAAATGCCCCTCTTCATCCTCTCCCCGGCGATCGGCCAACTCCAGATCAAACCGGAACAGCACCCGCCCCAGCGTCAGTCGCATCTCCATAAACGCCATGCTTTTGCCAATACAGCCCCGCGGCCCAATGCTAAACGGACAGAATGCCCTCCGCGCCACCTCCACGTCCTCGCGCGTGGTCTGCCACGTCTCCAGGTTCGTCTGACAGATCGCCCCCTCGATCCACCGTTCCGGCACATACGCCCCGGGCTGCCGATAGTACTTCGCCTGCCGGTGGATCGAGTACGTCGGCGTCCCACAATCCGTCCCCGCGGGCAGGAACACCCCGTCCACCATCGCTCCGCCCGTCATCACCTCGCGCGGAGGCGCCCCGGGCACTGCCGGCGCCAGGCGGAGCGCCTCATCCAGACACGCCTTCAGATACACCATCTCGTTCAGCTTACTGCCCGTCACGATGTCCTCTACTGACGCGAAATTCTCCCGGATCTCCTTCTTCAGCTTCGCCATCGCGTGTGGCGTCCGCACCAGATAGAAGATCGCCGCGGCCAGCGTCGTCGACGTCGTATCACTCCCCGCGATCATCAGCACGTTGGCCTCGCCCCAGAGCTCCGGCGTCGTCAGGCCCTGGCCCGTTTCGGGATCCCGCGCGTTCAGCAGGTAGTAGAAGAAGTCCTTTTTGGCGTCGTGGCCGGCCTGTGTACGCTCCTGGGCGCGTTTGTTCGCCTCGACGCGCGAGTTCATGATGAAGTTCCAGCGATCATTGGTGAGTCGGTGGATGAAGATCTGGTCCAGGTGCCATCGGTCCAGGGGCATCCAGAGCCCGCACTGGATGCTGTCAGCATGTCGATGGTACTGGTGTGCGAGGGAGAGAACATACCACGTAATGCCGGTTCGCAGCCCGGTCAACCAGCTCAATCAGTCGCCGACGACTACTCTCAATCAACATGTCGAAACTCTTCCCGAAGCACAGCTCCCCCATCACGTCATAGGTGAGGTAGCTGAACCACCGGCCCATGTCCTGCACCTGGCCAGTCTTTTGGGCATTAGCGAGGCCGGTGCACAGCTGGCGGACGTGCAGCAGCATCACGTCCTCCATGCTCTGGAGGGCATGGTCAGAGAAGGCCTGGCTCAGGACCCGGCGCTTCCGGCCGTGCATGACCTTGTCGATGGCGTTGTGGGTGTTGTACACACCCTTGATGGCGGGAAAGGCATTGTAGAAATCGGCTTTCTTGAACCGTTTGCCGTGGCCGTAGATGTCGTGCAGGCCTTCGGCAGTGTTCACCGAAACAAAATTAGGGGCGACACGAACGTGAGAGCCATATTGTTCATGAAGAGCATGAAGCCACAGGTGTCGGTCTCCTTGGAGGCCATGATAGAGTTGTACCCAGGGGGTAAGCGACGCGAGGAACGGCCCTGGAATCCGACGAAGAGGATGGAAGAAGCGGTTGTAAACGGCATAGACAAGAGACTAGACATGTTAGCTTATAGACCAGGGAGGAGTAGTACTCGGAACAGCATGAACAAAACATACCAACCCCAACACCAACACTCCAACCCCCCACCCTATACACCCAACCGACACCACATCCCAACCAATCTGAGCCAACATCTTTTTGCAACCCCGCACTATACAACTCAACTCCGTCTCCGACCCTAAAAATAACCCACAAATGATCTCCGAGCCGAAACTAAGACCCAGGATGGCGGAGTATACAGGTCGAGCTGAAGCCCGAAGTTAACCGCGCCCAACCGAGGATTCGGGAAATCGCCCGCAACCGGAAGGCACAGCACAAGAACAATGACGAAAGGCGTCCCCGATATCAGAAATTATGTCGATCCAGACAGATACTTTTGTTGGCCGGGTTGTCTTTTACGATAAACCCTTGGGGGTAGGTTCGTCCACTTTATAGCCTTTCTTTCGGCTCGGTTAGTTACGGTTGTCTGCCCCTCCTCGTTTCTCCTCTCCTCGTTCTCGTCTTGGGGACGGAGGGTGGCTTCCATGGGACTTTTGTTTGGGGGAGCTGGGGACTCGTCGTGGCGAGTCTTGTTGATTCCCGTTTTACGGGCTACGGTCTATGGTGATGGGTTGGTGGGTGAGGGTATTGGTTAGGTAGGGAGGATCTGGTATGTTCTCTACTGTTGCGATGGTCGTGGTCCGTAGTATTAGCTGTTGCCGGTTCATTTGTCATGAGCATGCTACACATCGTCTCACGTCATGCCAGTGACTATCGGAGAGTATAGATCACTTGTGCTATGCTCTGCCTGGCTTGCACTACCCAGGGCATTGCTTATCGATCCAAGTTCATTCATGGACCCTCCGGATGTGATATGACGGCATAATCTCAACAGCCCAATCACTGCCCCTATCAGTCCGCTTATCAGTCAGCTCATCAGCACATGTGCTTGCTCGGTACTGCTCGGCTAGCATGCCACAGTGGGCGGTGAATGGCTGTCTCAGGTGTGTCCGTGAAGACCGCCATCGAGGATCCACTGCTCGTTATCATCATTATCATCCTGGACTCGCCGCCAGGTTTGCTTGCGCTCCTTGCGTCCCGAGTCCGCTTGCTCTCCCTCTGCCGACTTCCAAACCGGTCGCAACAGTCCTCCGGCCGCCAGCAGAGGATTATGGCTGAATGCTTTGCCGCTGCTATCTCTGTGCCCATCCCTAAGCTCCTCCTCTGCCTTGGCTTCTGCTTCTTCCTCGGCAGAAGGACCTGTTTCCGCGGGCCCAGCTGATTGATAGACTCGCCTCACCTTTCCGCCCTTGATATCCAGACTCATGATAGTCTTCTTCTTCTCCCATTCTGGCCGTGCTTTTTCCTCCATCTCCCGCATAATCCGCTGCTGTTTCTTCAAGGCTAGTGCCCGCTGCGCAGGGGTCATCCACAGCGTTGACGCGACATTTGGAGTCTCGAAATCCGCCGCTTCATCGACAACACGCGTTCGCTTGGCGTTCTGCGCCTGGAACGCGAGCAGTTTATCTCGATGGGCCTTGGCAGCGTCCAGTTTGCTGGGCACTGCTAATCCCGGTCCGCCCTCCCGATGTACACCCTCGTTGTGTGCGCGCATCTTCTCCTGCCCGCGCTCCGCCCGCAGCTCCCGAATCATGCTCTGGATCTCGTCATTCGACAGTAGCGGCGTTCCGCAGAACGAACACGGCTGGAGCCCTTCCAGCGAGCAAATAATCTTGCCGCAGTTGAGACAGTTCGGCGCCGGGTCAAAGAGAGGATGGATACTAGCGTAGCAGGTACACTTGCGGGGGCCGCTGCTCAGCGTCGGATTCGTAGAGACCTCCAGAGCGGCGATAGCCGCCGTCAAATCATTAATATTATTCGTAGTCAGCGATCCTTTGGACGAGGAACCGGTCGCCGTACTGCCACCCGTTCGAGAGGCAGACTTGGCCGCTTTTGATTTCACGTTTGGCAGGAGATCCGAGATCACGGGGCCCGCTGCAGAGGGCGGGTTCTTGGCTGGAGTTGGCTTCGGAGCAGGCGATTGGTTCCGCGACGAGGAAGCGGATGCCTCGCGCGACGACATCAGCGGAGATGGACCGGTATCCTGTGCGCCTTTCCTCGTGCTCGCATCTTGTCTGCTCCGTGACGACACCGGCATGTAATCCTCATCCTGGTCCTCCTTGCGGTAGCCCCCCGTCACATTCCCGAAGTTGTCTGGCCGACGTACAGGCCCGGCGCTGTGGAGTGGTGGCTTCGACTTCTTGCCCCTCTTCGATCCCGTCCCTGCGTAATTGTTCTTGGGTGTGGCGGATGGTGCTGGCGATGGCGCCTCGGATCGTGGAGGGTCTCGTCGCGAACTGAAGGCAGCAATAAATTCGAAGGCGGCGGGAGAATCTCCGAGGAGGTTTTTGAGGTGATTGGCGCCCTCTTCCTTGGGGAGGCTGGCGGCGTAGGTGATGATCTGCGTGAGCGACTCCTCGTCCAGCGGGAGAAGTTGGGACAGTCGGGGGACGCCCCAAGAGATAAGTCCGGGGTTGCTCATTTCGGAGGGATGAAGGTTATGCGAGGTGTGGACGAGTGAGCAGAAGATTGCTCATGGTGGATGCTGTTTCAAGAGTTGAAGGATTATTGAGGGACGGGCATGATGACGGATGATGCCGATGGGTGCGGGTGCCATACTTTTCAGGCCGCTAATCTTCATAGCATCGCTGCATAACTACAACAAAGTGACATATACGAATACTGTAGTTCGTTATACTCTTATACATAATCTTAGGGTCACCGTTCACTTCACTTTTACAAAGCTATAAATCAATTATGCGCATAAGTACCCGAACAGCCCTAACCTGCATAGCAGTCACCATGCGATATAGTCCATTTTGTCACACCAAGCCAATGTATATACACTATGGTCTTTTAGAACCAATCCAGCTCTAGCGCCTGCAAATATATCTAAGGTGAAAGCAGCCTCCAGCATCTAAAATATCACACTCATTCTTCCGTGTTTCAACAAATGTATGACATTCTCACTAGTAGTAGTGTCATCTTCCAAACCCGGTTCTTAAGTCTCAAAAAAAATTGCAGATACTGAACGTTAGCGTTGAACTACTCTCCTTGATGCAATCCACGCGAGTACGATCCTCCTAGCCCTCCTTCACAGAGATTTCGAGCGATCTCTTTTCGCGGATATAAACAACCCTCACATTGAAGCCCTCGTTGTTGTTCCATATTCTAAAGGACTGGCGATATCTAATATCTGGGAGTTTCAACATGTATAATGTGTATCTGTGCTAGAGGAACAGCTCTATAACGAGACTAGTCCGCAGAGATACAGTAATATTCTTACATTGCTCATATCTCATTCGATGGTAGGACGAGAACCTTCCCGGATGTTTCATTGATAGGACCGATATAGTGTTTCTTGTTGCTATTGGGGTTGCGGCCCGGCACCCATATTAAAAGCTAGATTGGCATTATGGTATAGTAGCTAGGTCTCATAGTAGTAAGTCATAAAGCCTAGATAGCTCCTACGAGCGCAGTTCCCTGCTTGTATACATGTGTCTGAATGGGTGAATCATTATCTCAGTTGACTCGGGTTTCCTGATTCAATGAGCCTGTTGAGCCTTGGAGTCACTGGCATGTCAATTGGTCGCTCATGTAACCGGTTGGACTGCCATTGAGTCAAACTTAACTGCCTACTTCATGTCATTTCACCAACATTTGCTCATTCATCTGAGCCGTGTATATACGTAAGATTTTGGAATCATCAGTTGATTGCAGGTGCCCCAGCTGACACTGCCAGAATATTGTACATGCAACCGCATAAGCGTCTATTATTAAATATCAGAAAGCACTAAGCACGTGTCGAGAAGAGATAACGAATGACTTGAGACGATGCTGAGCATGTCCCAGACTTCCCGACTCGAAAGTACTAGTGTAAGTTCCCGTTGACGCCGTGATGCCGGGTATTTACGTCAATATCGTTAAGCAAACGGAGACTATGTCCAAAGTCTCGTCCCCAATGCAGACAGATGCAGACAGATCCGCAGTCCGCGAGAAACAATGTAAATAATGTTGAAAAGGAAGTAGAAAGGTATGAGAAGGAAAAGTAAGAGAGAAGACAAGATCAGCGGCCTATGCATTGTCCCCGTTCGCCTCCGTCTTTATCTCACCATCACCAGAACCAGCCGCATCGCTTGCCGCGGCCATATCGGGTGTCAGCCCGTTCTTGAGTTTGCTGGGCGGAGGTGGCTTCTTTCCAGACAGCTTCTTCGGAGCTCCTAATTTCTTCTTCTTCGGCGGGAGTGCCGTTGGAGCGTCATCGTCGACGAGGGGGCGTTTGGGCGGGGCTGAACTGGGTGTGCTGGCGCCATTCTCCATGGGAGTCTTGTTTCGGTTGGTCTGTCGTCCTGACAGACCCAAGCACCTATCCAAATGCTGCGCAACTCGAGTCACCACGAAGTACCTAGGGCAATTGGGGCATTTCACCGTCGGAAATGACACCTTCTCCGGAGCTGCCTGTTTGAAAGAACTGTCAGGTGTCGTAGGAGGGCTTGACGCGGGTGTATTGGAAGTATTCGTCTGCTTCTTCTTTTTTGGATTCAATTTATCCGTAGCGAATGGATTCCCATGCACATCATGCCCCGGTTTGCTGATCATTGGCTGTTTCTGACAGTACTCTCGGTACGGATCTGGGGGAGGCCGAGCCCCAACACCGGTCACCGGGTACAGCAGACGAGGCAATCGGCAGTCCGGGCAGATGACTTCTTTCGTCGTTTGAAGGGGGTTACCCTTAAGATAAACCTTGCCTTCATCGAAGACGGCTGCGTCAGTCTCAACGTGGATATCTTTCAATTCCTCGAAATCGAGGTCACCAGGCTTGAATGCGCCAGCCGGCTTCCCGCTCTCTTCACGACGTTTGGCAGCCTCTTCGTCGGCTTTCTGTCTTGCAGTGACCACCGCTGAGCGCATACGGGAGACCTTCTCATCGCGATGCACCTTAGCCACGATATCGTGGATGATGTTGTAAAACGTGTCATCGAGTAAATCACACGTCTATGGCTGTCAGCACCGATTGATGAAGGTCCTAGTGCGCTTTGGTCTGCAGCCAAAGCGCTAACCCGACATGAACATACCAACTTTGCAAGCGTTCCTGAAGGAAAGGAACTCCCATGTTCTCCGGATCCATTCGGCTCACCCATTTCGACGATATTCTTGGTAGACTGACAGTTGTTAGAGCTGGAGAACCTAGAGCTCCAAGGCCGTATGACAACGCGGAAGATTGTGGAATGGCCAGGTCTGAGGTGCCCATGCACGTTGGTTTGAAGCAGTATTGCAGGCCACAAACGCCGTCCCAGTGGATAACGCGACGCAAAGTATAGGCAACAGTTCACACACCTTCGTGCTAAATATGCAGCAATCACAATGTCAATTAACTGAGACTCGCAGTCAAGACAACGGTCGCTTCCGCACAGCTTCAAAGTATATCGCCGATATCAACACAATGACTCCATATAGGTCTGCGTAGGAAGTTCGAGGAAAATCTGAGTCGGAGTTCGCTGGTCGCCGCTCAACGGATGCGGATGGGGGACAATGGCGTAATAGATGACTTGCGGTGTCCGTGTTGGTCCGAACAAAGGGAGCAATAAAGGAGACGACCAATTCCCGGTATTGAATGAGTCTCAAAGAGATAACACAAAAGGGACAATAGCACCTGGGCCCATCTGCCTGGCGGAGTGAATGGCGTCTATTACCCGGGGGCGGGAAACACCCACGGTAGGGAGAATCAGCGGACTGCGCGCACGGCGATCACCGCCAGGGGGAGGAACCTACCTGGTTTCACATCCGATGGAGAGACATAAATAGAGGGCACGGTGAAATGTGTGATGCAGCCAAAAAAATAAGCCCAAGACGCCAAGTGAGGGTGCAGCACCAGGGGCAATCCTGGATCGGAGGACGTGGAGAGAGGCTCTTTTGCGCTGGCCTTTGCCTCTTTGAACTTCGTCCGACCGCCCGATCTTATCTTATCGCATCTCCGCGTTTCTCTCGCCGTTTTCGTCCACCGCTTTTGGATCGTGTCTCGGGTACCCCTCTTGTCGCCCTCTGCTCGTTCCCCTCCTCTCCCCTCACAGCGCTTCTGGATGCCCGTTTGCTTGCCATAGGTGCGCTAGAGGAAGCAGACCACTTCGACAGCGTGGTCGACACATCACATCTGCTTCTACATCCACCATGGCCTTCCAGTTCTTCGCAAAGGCGCATCAATCCAAAGCGCCCACTTCTCCACCTTTGTCTCCCCCTCAGGCGCCAGCGTCGATAACTTCCTCGTCTTCAAACAACCCCCACGCCAGGCCGCCCATATGTCCGCCCCCCTTTGTTATACCGTCTACTTCGGGCTCACCTTCTGTGAGCCTGGCAGCCAAACTTCAGCCTCCAGCAGGCCGGGACTCGACTTTCCAAGCGGTTGCATACCCAAATCCCATCGCATCAGGCCACCCCACTCCGCACCCGCATGTTAGCGTTGAGGTAGTGGGCACAGCTCACATTCCTTCTCTCACACGGATCACGGGCTTGTTGCTTCCCATTCGCTATCCGAATTCCTTCTACACAGCCACGATCACGGATCCCGTGATCGCGTCGCTGTCCCGCGTGGCCGTCTACCATGATCATCCGGTAGCTGCCGTGCCCGCCTCCGCACCGCCATCTTCATCGACGAGCTTGCAGACTTCAACGACAGGAACTGACAAGGTCATTGGGGGAATCAGGTGCCGACTGGAGCGGCTGCCGCCCACTACCGCGGGTATTTTGCAAGGCCGCTCGAATGCCGAGCCGACAAATCTCTACATTCAGACCCTCCACCTTCTCTCTCCTTATCGAGGATGTGGAATTGCGGCATCGCTCCTTAATTCACTACTCTTCGCGCCAGATACGTATTCTTCTAGTTCCTCGGGCTCCCGATCTAGTCAGCGAGTGTCAGAGCTGGTGAGACATTACAATATTCGCACCGTCACGGCCCATGTTCACGAGGCCAACGAAGAAGGTCTGAGGTGGTACGTTGCACGTGGGTTCAAGGTCGAAGATGGGATCGTGGAAAACTATTACCGTCGCTTGAAACCTTCCGGGGCAAGGATAGTCAAACTCATCCTCCAGTGGACTGATGTGGATAGCGAGGACACTTCTGCTCGCAACAAGGATCTAGATCGGCGCAAAGCACCTAGGGATGACGATGACGACTGGGAGAAAGTCGAGGCCGAAGACGGCGATGATGAGGAAGACCATGGAGTGCAACCCTTTGCAGATTCGGATTCTAAGCTTCTTGAGGTTGACGATGGTGTGAGCAGGAAGCGTAAAGCCGATGAAGAGCCTCAGCGGTCATGACTTTCCTTTACTTGTCTAGAAGCATAGAAGCACTGATACTATTGCTTATGTGTCTTGGTTTGCTCCTGTCTCTTGTTGTTTTGGCGTTTTGAATTTCTCACCATCATTTGATACCCCTACCTTTGTCCAGTCCATTAGGATAGATCCACATACTGCCCTCCTTTCCAGATTGTCTTCATTTGCTTATGTCCGGGTTGTGAATACACCTCTACATAGACTAGTCGAGCTCCTATCAATACTCTCAAGCAGTGGCGCGCACTACCCCTTATTCTAGCATAGCAGCCCGCAAACTATGGCTTCTAGCAGTGAATGCATGCCTCCAAGAACCCAAAGCCACCCCCACTGAAACTCTCCAACGCGTCCTAACACGCCGCCATTGGATGAATATTCGAAGTGGATTTTCGCGATTCCTTTGATATCTCGCCCAACAGGACACTCTTATTGGTCTGTGAGATCTATCAGATTGATAGCACGCGGCGTGCAGAAGGATATATATAGTATCTCCCAATCATTCACTGGTATCGCTGACAAAGAAGGAGAGGTTCAAGTGTTACTTGGTGTACGCGGAGTTTGGTATATTGGCAATTTCGTTCCAATTCTCCAGCCATGCAATGACTTATCAGTTTCTGGGTCGAGGAGTATGAAAAATCCTTCTTATAGTTCTAGATAACGAAGGTATAAATGGTTCAACCGTACAGGATTCCGGAGGATGTCATTCTTCCAAGTGCCTATCAACAAGTACATAACGAGAATCATAGGTACCTGTTGTCTTTGTGCTGCTGGTGTAGGAGGAATGAGATTGGCATTTTTTCCTTGACACTTCATTCTACCGCTTAGAGCCCTCTCTCGCGAGTCACAGATAACTTCAGGTTATACTGTCGATCTATCCAAAGCCCTCACCGCCCCGATAATGCCCGGATTCTGCCGCAGAAAAATGCGAACCCCCGACAACCAACTTCTCCTCATCGAGACTGGCAGTCCCAGAAAGCCACTTTTGTCTCAATTGGGATTCCCTATACTATATCAGTCGGGACACCACTACGTCGGCTTGAACCACGATCAAAATGGCCTCTGCAGCGCCATCCGTTCCCCCATCCCTCACCCTCCCTCCCTCGCAGTTCGCCCGACTCCAACCTCACGCCTATCTCCTCGCCCACCTCTCACCCCCCGCATCGAGCAACCAGCCCTCCATCCGAGCAAATGGCCGCGCCACCTCCCAATTTCGCGTCACCTCTGCCAACACCGGCTCCCTGACCCACACAAATGGCAGCGCAGTCGTAAGAGTGGGCGATACGACCGCCGTATGCGGCGTACGAGCGGAAATCCTCCCCACAGACGACATCGCCTCGTGGAGCGTGTCGCACTCATCCTCCTCTATGAACAAGCGCCGGAAACTCACCAACCCAGCGCAAAAGCCCACTCAGGAAGAGGAAGATCCCGAAGACGAAACGCACATCCAACAACTTAACCTTCTCGTCCCGAATCTTTCGCTGAGCACCGGCTGCGCACCGGGGTTTATTCCCGGCGCTCCCCCGTCGGCGTTAGCGCAGTCCTTGTCTCACCAGATTCTGAACTTGCTGCATAGTACGAGACTGGTTCGCGCGGAGGATCTACGGATTTGGTACCAGCCGCCTAGTCTGGGGCAGGAAGACCTGGAACGGCATAATGAGTCCGAGCAGATGGATGTGGATGCGGAGCGCGGAGAGGAAGTCGGCAAGGATAAGGAGATTAAGGCGTTTTGGGTGCTTTACATCGACATCATGATCATCTCCTTGGCAGGAAACCCATTCGATGCTGCTTGGGCTGCGGTGCTGGCTGCACTACGTGATACAAAGCTGCCTCGGGCGTGGTGGGATGTTGATAACGAGATGGTTGTGTGCTCTGATGCGGTCTCTGAATCTCGGAAACTGTCTTTGCGCGGCCTGCCTGTTGCGAGTTCGTTCTGTGTGTTCGAGGCTGATGCGGCTGCTGGCTGGAGGGCAGTTATCATTCCGGACGCTGAGGAGGAGAGGGAAATCGAGGAGAGTGCTAGAAAGGGCATTCAGCGGAGGTGGATTCTGGCCGACCCTGATGGCTACGAGGAAGGACTGACTCAGGAACGCGTTTGCATTGTGGTTGATAAGGAGGAAGGCACGGGCAAGACGGTTATTGTGAAGATGGAGAAGAATGGAGGATGGGCAGTGGATGGCAAGGAATTGAAGGCGCTGGTTGACATATCCGCGCAAAGATGGGGAGAAGTGAAGCATATTCTAGAGCAGTGTTGATAATATTCTATATGGAAAGTGGCTAATGCTACGTGCAATGATACCATGTCCGTCTTCATTTAATCCTTAGATAAAGACAAATAGACAGCTTACAGTTCTAATTGGTTAACTCTTATTTCAAAGGTATAAGGCCGGAGCTTTCTGTTTATGAGAGAGTTGCTGGCCCGGCATCTCATGGAACATCGAATGCCAAGACTGAATCTCGACCTTCCGCCGCGCCAGAGGAAAGCTCAACTTCACCCTTCACTACTTATCGGTTGGCAAGCACCCATAATCGACTTGAAACCCGTGTGTTATAACTCATAATGGCGACCGACGTGGCTTTCGATACGAGCATGGTATGGATGTCCAAAGCTACTGCGTCAGCATGATCCGCTAACCTGCCCAGGGCTCGTTCACGGTAGAGCTCTACAATGCGCATGCGCCAAAGGTCAGTTACAGAATTACTCGACTCACCCAATCCTCATGCCTTGCGCTGACCTTAAGTCATCTAGACGTGTAAGAACTTCGCGACACTAGCGCAACGAGGCTACTACAACAATGTCATCTTCCACCGCATCATTCCCAACTTCATGGTACAAACCGGCGACCCTACCGGCACTGGCAGAGGAGGAAGCTCGATCTACGGAGAGAAATTTGAGGATGAGATCAATCCGGGTCTCAAACATACCGGTGCTGGGATCTTGAGCATGGCGAACAGCGGGCCCAACACCAACGGCAGCCAGTTCTTCATTACACTTGCTCCGACTCCGTGGCTGGACGGAAAGCACACCATTTTCGGTCGTGTCAAGAGCGGCATGCGAGTGATACAGCGCATGGGACTGGTGAAGACCAACTCCGAAGACCGGCCAATGGACGAGGTCAAGATGCTCCGTGCCAGAATCGTGGAGGAGGGAGACGAGTGAGGGACTTCAGACCAGACGGTCATGGGCAAATCAACGCAAGAACTACATTTTGGCATCCCGGCAACACCAGTCCTCCCCAGACTGATCGAGGTAGAGGCATGGAGGCAGGCAAGCAGACGTTGGTGTTGGGAAGCCTGACGCACTGCACTCTTCGAAAGCATTGCAGAGCACGAGCAGACATGCGTTCCTTACATAGCAGCGACGCCAGATCCGGGAAAAGCTACGACAGCCATAGGCTGATGTCTGCAACGTAAGAGCACGACTCTATGTAGACGAGCAGACTACAAATTAGATATGCGGAATGTATCACTGCAAAACGAACCGCTTCCATCAGATGTAACCATCCAGAGCAGCAGATACAGAGTGAAATATCTATCTACCACTCCTATAACAACAAGACCAGTGAAGGCTTGTGCTAAAACGACGTAACTGCTATAGACAGCAGTATGCCTGTGCAGAGCACCAGGAGTGGTGTGAAGAAGAAAAGCTGTCGTTGTGGGCGAAATCCTCCTTAAGCGGCGCCCGTCATGTGCGTCTAGCTGTTCTAGGAATAGTCTGTTTGTTGTAGCCTCAGGCAATAACAACACTCAACAGTCGACATACGGTGGAACTGCAGGCATTACCGCACTACTATGTCTTTGCTTGAGACCAGTATTAAAGCGAAGAGGCCCTTGAATGTATCGAGCTACTAAGTTAGTTATCTCAGTATGCACGTTGAGGGAGAAAGACCGTGCATGTCCTTCGCAGTCACCTGCATCGATATGAGCAACCACCTGGCCTTCACCAACGCTCAAATCGTTCCACTAGTTCTAAGAACTCACCTGACCTCTCTACATGGAGTTTATAAGTCTAGGGGACCCTGGATAAAGTCTATGCTAATCTAGAATATCTACGTAATCACTCGAAGTCCAGTAAGCCTTGAAATAGTATATAGTCACGTGATGCCCCAGTGCGGGTCCGTATTTCTTCGCGTGTCCCTCGCCTTCTTTTCCCTCGCTGAAATTCTTTTCATCCTTGAGCGGATCGCACACCCATGGGCTTGGAAGTCCTGCTACAAACGCGTCTAGCAGCTTGTGACCCAATGTGATGATCGCTGGGCTTGCTCATCAAACTTTGAGAAAGCGCTAAGCCCCTCACTCTAGCTTTGCTTGCAGTTCAGTCGTCATCACCATGGAATCACTGGCGGATACCCCATGGGATGTGACAATCTCTGGCACTGGATTGGCCCAGTCACTGCTGGCTCTGTGAGCTGTTCTCCAGTCAATGCTGTATTTGCTTACAGCTAACGTCCCTTGCCAGGGCCCTTTCCAGGTCAGGTAAGAACGTGCTCCATGTTGACAGGAATCCATACTACGGTGGTCCTGAGGCTGCCTTCAGCCTTCAGGAGGCGGAAGAGTGGGCTGCTAAAGTGAACGAGGGTAGGAGCTCCCCAGTCTAGGCGACGCCAGGCCCCTGCTGACTCGTGGGTGAGCTAGACACCGGGGAGCTCCCCTTTGAAAATGCTAGTATATCTTCGGAAAGCTCGGCGGACCCCGCTGGTCAGCTCTCTGCTTCTCGAGCATATACCCTCTCATTGTCGCCGCAGCTGATCTACGCCCGATCCCAGTTACTGCCTACCTTGGTGTCATCGAAGGTCTACCGGCAATTGGAGTTTCAGGCTGTTGGAAGCTGGTGGTTATACAAACCAGGGGACGATGATAAGAGTCCACTCTATCGCGTCCCTGGCAGTCGTGAGGATGTTTTCACGGATGATGTGATCAGTATGAAGTCGAAGCGAACTCTGATGAGGTTCCTTCGTCATCTGGGTCAGGCTCAGCAGAGTGGAGATCTGTCTGAAGAACCAAGCTCGTCTCTGGAAGAGGAGGGCCTCGCGGCACCCTTTTCTGAGTACCTAGCTACGAAGTTCCAGGTTCCCGCCGAGCTCCATGGCCCACTGCTCTCACTTTGCCTGTCGCAGTCGTCTCCCGAACAAACATCCGCCCATTACGCCATCCCGCGTATCAAGAGACATTTGTCGTCGATTGGTGTGTTTGGCCCTGGCTTTGGGGCTCTCTCGGTGAAATGGGGCGGCGGCTCTGAGATTTCTCAGGTCGGATGCCGTGCCCTTGCCGTAGGAGGTGGTGTGTATGTCTTGAACACTGGGATCAAATCGCTCGAGTATCCCACCGAGCAAGAAACCAGTGACGAGGGACGTGTACAGGTTCAATTGACCAACGATGAACTCGTAAAATCGCGGTTCGTGGTTGGTTCCAATTGGGATCTTCCCGCAGAAGCTCGCCCTTCTCCTGAGTGTGACAAAGTGGCCCGGTCTATCTCTGTCGTTTCATCTTCGCTCGCAAGTCTCTTCCCCCACACAGCAGAGGGCGGACCAGTCCCTGTTGGAGCAGTGGTGGTATTCCCGGGAAGCTCTCTTGGTTGTGCAGATGATTCGCCTCCGGTGTACACTGTTGTTCACTCCAGCGAGACTGGCGAGTGTCCAAATGGACAATGTGAGTAATCTAACTTCTCTTTACCAAGTTCCCCCTTTGCTCATATGATGATTTTTTTTCCAAAACTTATCTACATTGCCTGATATATCGTTGATCGAGAACTTTTCCAAACTGATCATGAGCTTCATTTTTGTTTCTTGCAAGTTGCATTGTCTCATGACACATTGCTAACTATCTGTCAGCCGTCATCTATAGTAGCGTTTGCATCCCTGGACCCGAGGGGCAGTCGATGATTGAGACTGCTGTGCAAAAGCTTCTTCAGTCAGCGGCCGATGCGACTGTGAAGGTTCTCTGGTCCCTGCGTTATACGCAGTTGGGCCGAGATGGCTCACGTGCCGCCGACATAGCCTTTCCATCCAAGAATGTCATATGCCTCCCACCTGCTAGCCTTGACCTTGCATTTGACGACTCTTTGATTGACACGGTCAAGAATGCCTGGGAGCTGGTCATGGGGGACGAGGCCGCGGACCACGAGTTTATGAAATTCGAGGATCGAGAGGGCGCTTATGATGAGGAATGATGCGTGGTTGTAGAGCAATCCGCATGTAAATATTCTGTAGTCACGATTTAGATAGACATGCTCTATGATAATGTATGACGACGGCGCCTGCGTCATGTCACTCCTATCTCTGCTCTTGTCATTAGCAATATGTTTCAAATCTTCGTCTTGTGTACCAGCATATGATCATGCACCCATCTTGCTGCACCATCGACATGTGCAACATCCATGTTCGCATCCATACATGTCCTCTTTTTACACGAACACGCTGTGCTCAATCCGTGTACGACATTCATAACTCTCCGAGCCAGTGTAACATAAGGCTGGTTAGCTCATTAACAGAGCTGGAGCTAGCCTTCCATCTTCCCGCATCCCGTGTCTCGTGTCTCGTGTCTCCGTGACACCAGCTGTAGCTCATGCATGTGGCTTGAAACGATGTTACACTTCCTGGATGAGATATTCCTGACCAGGATAGTGTTGACTGTCCATCTAGAGATCCTCTCCTTCGTACATGCTGTGTGCTAGTTACTTGGCCAACTACTTGTCCAGGGGATCCGACACGGCACATCGAAAGGGCGCGCGAGAGATGATGAAAGTAGCTACATATCATTCCGGATCATTCCTTTGAACAGTCCTGTCTTCCATTATATCGGGTTTTCTATTGCTAGCTGCCGGCGACCTAATCCCACATGAGTTAGCCTGAAATAATCTTACGAGTGAGCCAGTAAGATTGCTCCGAACCGAGAGGCTATTCAGCCCCAGGTCCCATTTACTACTAACTATGATCTTACGAAGTACCCAATAAACATAACGTTGCCCGCTATGCGTATCCAATGGCGCTGTCAACAATCTACAAACAGACCCGATGTGGAGATATCGATAGCTTGTTGGTCTATAGGTAAGATGCGCTTCCACCTCACTCTTGTCCGAGGAAAGTTGAAGCCCCAGTGAGTATTTAAACCCCAGCATCTCCTTCTATCACCAGTATGAAATCCAGCTCTTCGACTTTCAAATCTCATCTACCCTTCCTTCCATCCTTCCCCTCGCAATGGCCTCCAACAAGCCCGTCTTTGTCCTCGTCCCCGGCGCATCTCAGAACCCAGCTCACTATGCTTATCTCCTCCATCTTCTCCAGTCCGAAGGCTACGGAGCTTTCAGTGCTCTGCTTCCCAGCATCGGCGTCCAAGAACCAGTAACTGCATTAGATGACGCCGAGTACGTCCGCTCCCGGATGCTGCTCCCCATGCTCGATGTCGGCCAGCGGGATATCATCCTGATCAGCCACTCCTACAGCGGCATGCCCGCCAGCGCAGCCGCTCGCGGTCTGGGAAAGGCAGACCGTGCTGCTCAAAGCAAGAATACCGCTGTATTGGGTCAGATCTTCATCGCAACTATACTTCCCCATGGAGGGGATGGCTTGAGCGTGATAGATAACTTTGGTGGACATCTGCCGCCACATATGTATGCTGATGTATGCATCCCCTTCTCTCTCACACACACACTCACTTCACCCACTAACATATGGTATCCATATAGGAAAAAGAGAACGTACTCCGTTGCGACGACCCCAAGCCCCCCTTGTTTTATGATGTCGCCCCTGCCCTTGCGGACGCCGCCTGTCAAGCCGCCCTCCCCCAAGGCTTGACTTCGTTTCAGAGTCCCTGTCCGGAGACGAGTTGGGATACGGAGGCTTTCCGGGATCGCATCGCTTATATTCATACTGTCTATGACCGGGCGGTTCCCTATGAGGCGCAGACTGCAATGGTGCAGGCCACTGGACAGAAATGGATCACGAGGGAGATTCAAACTGGTCATAGTGCGCAGTTGTCGGCTACGGAGGAGTTGAGTAAGGTTATTCTGGAGCTGGCTAAGCAGTGGGAGGAGATGTGATGGATATAACGCTATTCAAGAATATAGATTAGATTATACAATACAATGTACTATCGGGAATAGTCTTGCTCCATAGATATTAGAAAACCAAGTCCAGTTCTTAAAAAGAGCTAGCAATTAATGCTCTTCACCTCGATACCATCTGATGAAAGAATAGTATAAACCAGCGCAAAAAAACACACGACCGTTTGTTATCTATCATCAATTCTCCGAAGCACTAACATGAAATCAAACCGATATAGCAACCATCTTTATACTATCCACTACCACATACAGTTTCTCTTATCCATATAGCAATCTACACCTCGACACTATACCCCCTTAGGACAGATTAAGGCCACTCGTCCATGCAAAATTATCATCTCCAGTCAAGTTCCCGCTTACCTAACACCACATACTAGACCCATCGACCTGGACTGGATGAACTTTGAACATACATCAGCAAGCTCAGACCGTTGTGTCTGGGAAATCCCAACTAGATTACAACCTCCGAGCTCCCCACTGGTCTAACAAAGAGGGAATGACACGGGACTTGCGGATGCAGGGGACAGGAACAAAAGCGACTGAAAACTAATGTTCGATCTCCTGATATGAGAAACATCGTACCGGATGCACGGATCCTTGATTGGACGTTAACAAAGAACAGATAAATTGGATTTTTATTAATTTATATAGGGGTTAATTTGCCTCGCAGGATTGATGTTGATTAGTATATGCATGGGTGGTGATACTTGGTAAGTGTAGATGGTGAGATTGAATTTTTAAGATTACATTGAATCCTTCGAATCCAGCAGATAAGGAGTTCAGGACGGACATCATCTAATTTGATAGCAAATGTCGAATTCCAATTTCCAATACAGACAATGAATTACATTCTACAGAGTAATGGTAGATCTACAGTCACCGTCGCACAATATAAATCAACCTATCTATCTATCTATCTAGATCATGACATTCCATCACATCGTTTCAGATATTCCTCCCTCCTCATACCCAAAGCTTAAACAAGGAACACTTAATCACAAGTGAGACACAAATAATTAACCTCAATCAGACAGAACCTGCAAGTTGCAAAGATACCCACAATTCATTTCACCCGTTGATAGACCTGAAACGCTCTATCGGGCCACTAAGATCCTATAGTCCACGGGTATCTGTGCTCACTTAATATCGCTTAATTTCCGCGCTTTACTGGGTTGATGGGCCGATTGAGATGATCGGATTGGATGGTTCAGGGGATATTAATACTTACTACTAAGTTGTATGTATGGTATGGATTGGGTATTGCAAATTGTGGTGTTCGAGGTTGGGTGTTGGATGGAGTACGTACTCCATGCTGCGTACGTGGATGGGTTTAATATATTAGGACTGCTGTGATTCATGTCTATTATGGTGGCATATGGCATCATACATAGCTTATATTCTGGACTTGTTATTGCTTAGTATGGTTCAGTATGCATGGCCGAGTGGCTGGTGTTTTGAAAGTCTTTGGACTGTGAAAAGCTTTCCCAGCTTCGGAGATTGATTAGGTTGGCGATAGTGGCCGATTGCATGTTCCCGGCCATTGGCCTATCATCTCGAGGTGGTCTGTTGGTACACAGTAGCTAGGTGGTGAACTACACTACAACTTGGGAACTATTACCGACTAAATGAATACCATAGGGTCCATAGGGTAGTGTGTCAGGCTGGATTCCAAGCTGTTATATTGAGTGGTTTTTCGATCGAGAAAACCAACCCCCTTGGGTCAGCTGAAAAAGGCTGGGAAGGTATCGAACAAGGAACTGGTCGATGCCGCTCGGTATCTCACTCGGGAACCGGCCTCGGAAAAGGGCACTGGACCCTGAACAGGACCCTCCCTTGATGTCATTGTTCCTCTGGCATCGACTCCATATCTATGGAGTACCGTCCACTGAGTCCAGTTACGGTAAAAGCAAGTAGACGGTCAACCTGAGCGGGCGCACATTATTCCCTAAAAAGCACTGGCATCCATCTTGGTTCCTTGGCATCTCGGCTCTGGGCAAGGATAGATACTGGATGAAGATCAGGGGCTTTCATTGTAGTTTAGACCGCCCTCATGCATTGCGATCCAAACTGGTTCACGAGTCGCGGACGAATGGATTGCACGGAAGCGGCTTGAACTCCAGGAAAGACCTGGATGAAAGCTGAACTCTATGCAGCCAGGACAGACGGCCCATGCATCTCATGCAAAAAGGTTGACAGAGTGTCAGGGTCCATCGAATCGTGCGAGCGTGACAGCTGCCAAGGCTGGCGTTCAAGCTTAATTGCCCGGCAATGTCTTTTAGCGACATGACCATGTCACTACGAAACGACGACCATGTCGATCCCTTTTGCTCCCGTGTGGGTGGACTCGACTGACGGAGAGACCGTTTGGATGGTGCCAGTATAGATTCACCATGGACATCTTCATGATGGCGCAGGGCCAGTCCACGATTGCCAGAGGATTCCTGCCATTGGCCCGGACAATGTCGCAAACATGATTTATGCGCCCACTTGCAGTCTGACCCCTCCGCGGCCGCAGAAAGACAATCCATCAATGACAGGCTGCCCAGCTGCGGAGGAAAGTATCCAGGAGGGCGTACGCGCGTCCGGACGGGCTGCTGAGTCGGAGGTATATCCTTGGTTTGCAAAATTTCCAATGCGAGTTGGGTGGCTGGACCAGCTGACGGGGGACCACTCCAACCACAGGGCCACCCAGGTACAGGCCCCGAAGTCTGGAGGCAATCTGGTCAGCCCATTCTTTGCCCATGTCGGATGTCCACTCATGAGGCTCAACGGCACGGCCACCTTTTGCCACTCTCTGGCCTCGTGGGGACGTGGCGGCAGCACTATACATAGAAATGGGAATTTAGGGGCAAAGACTGGGAGGGTTTTCTTATTTCTTTTTTTTTTTTTTTTACTGCTAATTTCAAGCCGTGGCACCGAAGGGAGCTGAAAAACGGGGACCACAAGGTCGTATCTGAGAGTTTCTATCCGACCGATGAATTCTGAGGCAAAGCCTGCCGACCGCCCTAGTCGGAGTTGAGCCAGCCCAGGCCAGGCCTCAGATTGTCCTGGGTAGTGCTGGATGGCGTGCGATGTACTTCGTTAGGCGGTTGACCCTCCTGCCACAACCAGGCTGGATGGCCCGCACGTTGTGACCGTGACGACCCTAGTTTCACCTGAGGAGGACCACCATGGACACTACGGCGTAGTGTGTACTCCGTATAGGTACTCTGGAGGAGGGCACCGGCAGAATAGGAGAGGGTGAGGACCGAGAAGGACACGCGGCCCGTGGGGCGACCGGCCTCAGCGAGCCCCTAAAGGGTCTTCGCTGACTGGCTGGTCCGGCGGGCAACCGCGCAGATCGAAGTTTCCATCTTTTTAGTTGCACCGGCCACTCGGTTGGTTCCCCCAGAGTATTACACGGCGTTGAATGTCTCAGGTGCATGGCATGGATGTGGATGTGCTTGTGTGGATGCATTGCGGTCGGCGACAGCATCGAGGTTGTCCACCGGGCAGCACGGAATAATACCCATCTACTCCGTACATGCTGCTATACTCCATACTTTGATGGATCATGCAGTCGGGGATAAGAATAGCAGTGGGGAGACCGACCACCTACTGGAACATTCCGAGAATGTCTGGTGGATGGGGACAAGACACCAGCTGTCATCTCATCCTTACCGTCGACGTTGAAATGAAAGGCTAAGCATACAACGTCCTGTAACACTGCTGTTTGGTTTGAAATAGACAAGAAACGGTGATCAGCTGTTTGGGGTTCCAGCACCAAGTACGAAGTATACCTACTGTGTACTCGAGGGCCAACGCAAGCTTCGAAGTACATCTGCTAGGAATACGACTCCCAACCCCTCAATACCTGGGAAATGGCAGGCAGATGAGCCGGGGGGGAAAGCCTAAATTGAACTCCGAACGACGTTCTATTTCTGTAGACTCTCACGATTTCCCCGTAGAGTTGATCAGTTGACGCTGCTGTAGGGACTTCTGGAGGTACCTGTGGTATCGGAAAGATCGAGGCGGAGATACGCACCTACGCATGTACCTCCTACGGGAGGGCTTGCGGAAATGCATTGACGCTTGAGATCTGTAAACTATCCAGATTCGATGTATCGGACATTCTCAGGATCTACTGTCACAGAATGATTTCATGAGACGTGGGCGGTAGAAGGCTGGAAGCATCATGAGGGAAGGAAGACGACGACTGTCAACGCGTCGGGGAATGCAGAACCACCGTTTCCGTATCGCAAGTTTGCCAGGGTCCGAAAGGCGAAAGTGAAAAATACCCGCCACCGGCCGAGTGGAGCAGTGAAGATCCATCCATCCATCGACATTCTTCCTTCAGTCAGGGATCGGCATCGAAAGGTGGGTGGACGGCAGCGGACTTTGTACACTGTCGAGGAGGCAGGAAAGAAAGAATCATCATCAGCGAAGTAAAAGAAGAAGAGGCAGAAACAAGATACTACTCGGCAGGCCAAGGCAATACATACTAGGAAATCAGAGCCAAAAAAAAAGGTAACGCAAGAAGGGAACTTGGCACCCGGCGGGAGGCGTCAACACGCCGAGCATAAGAACACCAAGCATCACAGTGGTGTAAATTCCTCACTGATAATAATACCATCATCAATTCATAATCCCCCCCAATCCGGCCAACTTGCCTCTCTTCCCTCTTCTGCTTCTCTCTTTTCTTCCCTCCTCTCCTCTTCATCCATATCCATCCTGCACTGCACGAACCGAACCCCTTCCGTCGTCGCCCCATCGCCTTATAGCGGAAACCCAGGATTCCCACTCTGAACCACCCACCCACTCAGAGACGGGTTGAGCTTAATATTTGCAGATTAAAATTACCCAGTGGGAAGAGCTTTGGCCCCAGCCCAACCCGTGGTCCTGTATTCGGCATTCCCTCCTGTCTTGTGTCCCTCATCTTCTCTACTTCTCGAACGCTTCTCCCCCTCCTCCTTCTCTTCTTTCCTCTCCCCCTTTCCCTCCTCATCCTCACACCTCGACAATCAGCAAGCACCTCGTCCTCTCACCTCCCCTCTCCTCTTGACTTCTTCCTAGGCCCTGGACGCCCCGTCCGGTTGCGCTTTCGCTTTTCCCCTTCTCGTGGGCCTTTTTTTTCCTCGGGGGTCTCTGTTCCTGCGACTTATCTGGCCCAATAATTTCTCGCCGGGTCTCACCACCCCTTTCCGTGACCGTGTCGCAGGTCTCGACGCTGCCAGCCTCTCGTTGACAGTCTCCCTGGCAATAGAAACAATTTTCCTTATCAGGATCATTTTTTCTATCGGCCAATTCCACTCTTTATACCCTCTTTCCGTTCGGTTTCGCTTCGGCCTGTAAGAACGGATCCGGTGACGACAACTTTGCCGTTGACGTGCTTTTGAAACGATCACACAAAAATCTAATAATCTCGTCACCGACCTGACAACCATTTACATGTTCAAGAACAACCATAACCTTAATAATACCGTCAAGATGCCGATGTTTCGTGTCAAAACGGTCTTCCCTCTGATCGCCCTCTTCTCCATTGGGTTCTTCTTCTGGTGCGTCGAACGCTTCGACCAGGCTGCCCTCCTGCGCTTCAAGCACCCGGTCGACCGCGTCGCTGGATCAACTTCCCCTCAGATCCAGCTGCAACCCACGCCTCCCCCGGCCAAAGCATGCGACGTGGATCCTGGTCTTATGCCTCCTCTGCCTTTCAGCGAATGGCTTCCTCGCAAGAACTACACCCGCGCCTACTTCCGTCCTCACCATGTGAGCCCCAAGACCGAATTTAACTCGTTGGAGGATATCGAAATCCCGGTGCTCCCTCCCATGACGGTCATGGAGCGTGGTATGGTCGTGTCGCCGGAGAACGAGGAAGCTTCCCTACCCTGCCCCCCGATTATCGACGTCAATGTCGCTGCTGACCACGATGTGGACGAAACTGATAAGCTCTTGTTCGGTTTGGCTACCACTGCTGACCGTCTGGACCGCTTGCTGCCTTCTTTGCTGTACTCTTACGGAAACACCAAGGCCGGTATTATCGTGCTTGTTCCAGAGTCGGACGACGACATTCCCAAGCAGGAGGCCTACTTCCGCAACCGTGGCTTGGATTTGACCCTGATCCAGTCTCCTCTGGACTTTACTGCTCGTTATTTCGGCCTGGTGCAGGCGTTCTCTGAACACATCAAGACCAAGCGCCCTCAGACGCAGTGGGTCAGCTTCATTGATGATGACACTTTCTTCCTGTCTCTGTCGACCATCGCCGAGGAATTGAAGCTCTTCGATGTGAGCAAGAAGCACTATATTGGTGCTCTGTCTGAGGCCAGCTGGCAGGTTGATACTTTCGGTCACATCGCTTTCGGAGGTGCGGGTGTCTTTGTTTCCAAGCCTCTTCTCGATGTTCTGGACGAATACTACGACGAATGCCAGTCGTGGGGCGAGCAGCCTGGTGACCAGAAGCTCGGCCAGTGCATCCAGAGATACGGAGACACCCCTCTTACCCTCTGGCCCTCTCTGTACCAGATGGACATGAAGGGCGAGGTTGACGGTGTCTACGAGTCCGGCCGCAAGATCGAGTCTCTGCACCACTGGAACAGCTGGTACACCAAGGATGTCGTGAAGATGACCACCGTGGCCGCCGCGGCGGGTCGCCGCTCGGTTCTTCGTCGCTGGGTCTTTGACCAGGAGGAGATCGTCAACAACGCTACTGGTCGCTCCACCCGCACTTTCTGGGTCTTCACCAACGGGTATTCGCTCGTCAAGTATACCTACGATGAGAACACGCCCGACGATGCGATCAACTTCGACCACACGGAGAAGACCTGGGAGGAAGATCCCCGGGGTTACGAGGCCCGCCTGGGACCCCTCCGCAACCGGGATCAGGAGGGTGTCACCAAGGACCGTTGGTTGTTGCGGGACGCTTACGTGGTTGGTGACAATGTTCACCAGTGGTATGTGCGCGAAGAAGATGAAGGCCACAGTGTCATTGAGATCGTGTGGCTCGGCCCCAAGGGTGGCGGTGGTGCCGGCATCCACGACTATGGTGTCCGGAGACAGCATCACTAAGTCCTTGTTCACCACATGAGAGACCACACGACCGATACTGAGGCTGGCCCTTGGGATCTGTGAAGCTTTTCGATTCTTGCACATTCTTTAACATTCCTTTATCCTTTTCAATTTTCTACGTGATTTTGCTCCATATCTCCCTGTTACACTACAACACCAATGTCAATGGCGACAAGGAAATCCAGAAAATGAAGGTGGTGTGTAACAGTATCATTTTCGGTTACCCCGACTCCTTCGGCCTCCCTGCTTTTCTTTTTTGATTGATCATTTGCCCGGCGTTGTATTGGCGCAGACAAAGATCGGAACTGGTTGTTTTCAGCGAAGAGCATACCTTGTTTGAGTCCCTTGATTGACTTGGCTACGGCCTCGGGGGTTCTCCCGAGGTATCTCGCTCACGACAATTCCCCATCCTTCACTTCTCCCGGTTGCTGGCTTCGCAACGAGGCGGCTTCTTGCATCATTTTGTAAAAATAGAATTTGCCGGCCGCGCCGCGGTCGATTGCTTTGCTTTTGGAGATTAGCGCATTTGTCATTATGGCAGAATATTACGAGTTAAGTCTTAATCCGGGAGCCTTTACGGAGTACGTATAGTAGCATTAGACACATCCACACTGGCTGCAGGATGATATGACTAAATTGACAGAGGAGAAGCGTTCGTCATGGGCGGTGGCCTGATTGCGTGATTCGGTTTGATGCGTGTTTCACGTAGAATCGCCATCGAATTATCCCCCCGACTCATTCATTACACATCACGCATGAAACCACGCATGTCTGAGACTTCTTGGCTAGCTTGCAAGTACCTATCCTCATTCCTTCCAGCTATCCCTCTAATATATCCTAAATCCTTCGAAAAGACTTTCCCACTCGGCAGAATGTACATCTTAAACACTTATCGCATACTAATATTTATACTACCCCGAATCCAAGTACAACCTATGATATATTATGTATGGAGCATATGGGGCATACATATACACACGGCTTATAGTGTGAGCTACTAGGGAGGTATGTAGGTAGGTAGGTAGGTAGGTAGGTAGATAGATGGCGAGACGGAGGATAATCGACCGTGTCTCTCGTTCACTCCCTAGCTAGGTGGTGGGCTGCCTGGCCCGGCTTATTATTCATATCCCGTGATCGGGTCTTTTTCGACTGCTTACGGGGTACCTACCGAGAAGGTTCTTCGGTGGTGGTGGTGGTGGTGGTATGGCGGGTTGGTTGACTGAGGCGGATGATGGGAGTTGAAGATGTGGGAGGGAGTCTTGGATGATATTAGCAGGAAAGGGTGAGGAGGGAGGTGTTGGGAGTTTTTGAGATGATGAGGGTGGGGTTTGATGTAAGGGTAAGTGATAGGTAGGTAGGTAGGTACTGGGTAAGTAGTAGAATGATATTCGGATGCTTATAATGGTTAGGACTGGAGGGTGAGGATGGGATAATACTAGATCTGCGTACGTAGCCAGGAAAAGGGACTAGATTGGTTGAGAGTAGAAGGAATAAAGGTCAATAATGGTGAGATATTCGATGGTGAATCACGCCAACTGAGTTTGTTATTGGTGCGGTGGGTGGGTGGTGGTGGTGGTGTTGTTGTGTGTGTAACATATATCTCTCTAGATATAGGTAGCGTGTCTGGATGTCCGCTACAGAGTCAATAGTAGATCCTGCAGGGCTGAGTATTACATAGTCACATCTAGACCGCCTGAAAGCTTTGATTAGGTTTGGGGAACAGGCCTATCACCATTCACCACTACTGGGGAGAGATGTTCGTGTGTGATGAGACGAGTGATGATGGGGTGAAGAAAGTTAGGTTTCTGGGCGCGTGAGACTGCAGGTGGTAAGGAACCGGTTTTGATTTAATTTGTGCAGACATGATTGGTTTTGTTCGTTCCCAAGGTGTTGGAACGGTGGTCTGACTAATGACTGTCCATGCAGGCCGGCAGGCATTTGGCCAGCTATGTTAGGTGAGGGAAAAGATATCCTGCGGTTGAGTTTGGGAGGACGATGGATTAGGTAGTTTCTGGATTGGTTCATGGGCTGTAAGGTTATCTGGTAGTGGGCTGATCATGTGGTGAGGGTGTGGTCGAAGCTTTGCTGGGGAGCTCAGGGTCTCTGCTATCAAGGGGGCGAGAGAGAGGTCTGCTGGGCCGGCACGAGGGAAGAGCCTCGTGGGAGGGTAAGAGGATTGATTGATATACATTGATGCAGATGGTGCAGTTATTAACATTATCGGGCGGGTCTCTATTGGTTTTGAGGGAAATAATTGGGCTCGTCCTTGCTGATGGGTTGCTGCTGGCTCACCTGCTTACTATATATAGTTATCGTATCCGGGCTTGGGACCACCGTCATGGAGGGAGGGTTTGCACTGAGAGCGACGGAGAGTGTGGTAGTAAAGGCCGAAACCCTATCGAGTGGGCGTCAAACTGAGTGTAAACTGGTCACTTAGGTTAAAAAGTCCTTCTTCGGCCCCGAGTTTGCATGGATGCATCCATCCGTAGTATGTCTGTAGGTATAGTCCAGGATGACCGATCAATCAATCAATCAATCAATCAATCAATCAATAGTACGGGGGATGGATGAAGTACACAGTACGGAAAGGTACGAGAAGGACTGGGGGCTGCGTGTCTGGAAATACGTACCACCACCCTCCCTACTACGACTTGGTACTTGTTGCTTACTACCGGCTGTTTGGCTTGGGGGCCAAGTGCCCGGGGTTACCACTGTAGTACGGAGGAGTACTTAGTCTTCCTTAGCTGTAGTCCACGGCAGACACACGGGATGGAGATGGAATGCTCGCCGCCACACCCATGTTCCCGGTGCGATCGGGAGCGCGAGAGATAATCGATCGATGGGCCCTGGCGAATCGGTGCATTGGCTCTGGATGAAGAAACATTGAAGGGAGGTCCTGCGTGAATCATGGGCCATGGCTCGGGGGAAGAGGGTGGACTGTGGAGGGTCAACTAAGCTTTCCCCAATTGCTCGATCCAGCGTCGCCGTGGTTCACGCTCGAGGAAAGTGACCCTGAGGGGCGGGCGTTTCCGTAATATTACACGGTATGGATGGGGAATGTGAGTTGGCCGCCGTATCGAATCTCCAATGCCTCACTGCGGCTAGGCCAATAGTGGCTCGGGCCAAGACCGAGTCTTCCCCACCGTCGGGTCTGGACAAAGCCTGTATTGTGACTGAAAGATTGGGGACTGGTGGTTCGAGGGGGAGAAGAGGGGGAGGGTTTGGGGTGGTGAGGGCAACCGAGGTAGTTGAAACCGATAGGGTATGGTAGTGGCAGTGATTGTGAGGAAATGAACGAGCCCAAGAAAAGCTCCCAGTCATGAAGCTCCTGCCTCAGCCAAGGAGGAGGGGAGAAGAGTCGCGGCAACGGAGAACATACCGGGGCCAGGGAGGCGCGCGGGCGAATACCAGAGACGGGGTGTACGGTACGGTCAGGGCCACGTGACAGACCGCCTGCCTGTCTGCACCGGCACTTTGCCTTCTTCGAACTCCTCCTCGCCGTTTCTCTTTCCTTCTCGTCCTGAACCCAAACCCTGCGAAGCAAACGCGTTACTCGATTTGGTCATTCTCCCTCCCCCTCAAAAGCATCATTCCTCTTTGGGCATTCGTCTTCACGTCCCCCAGAATCTTTCCTTTCTTCACCTTGACCTTGTCTGTCCTCCACTTCTCTCCTTTCCCTTTTCCCCAGCTGCCCTTGTTTCATCATGGCCGACATCACTGCCGTCGGTGAGGAGAACCCTTCTCCCACTCAGGACGACCTGCAGCAGGCCGCCGGTAACGGCGCCGCTGACAACCGCGGCACCAAACGCTCTCGCATGAGCGCCGACGACGACGACGATGACGACGATAAGCCCGGTCGCGAGCGCAGAAAGATTGAGATCAAGTTCATCCAGGATAAGTCGCGTCGCCACATCACCTTCTCCAAGCGGAAGGCGGGTATCATGAAGAAGGTGCGTGCTGTCGCGTCTCAGCCTCATTCTCCCTTCGCCGTCGCCTCCAATCCGATCGCTGGCCATCCCTCCGTCGTCTTGCCTCTCTGTCCTCCCTTTTGATCCTCCTGCCCACCATCCCTGCGTGGATTTCCTACCGCCAGATCAATGCTGACGTCTCAATGCGGTCGCAAAACAGGCCTACGAGCTGTCCGTCCTCACGGGTACCCAAGTGCTCCTTCTGGTCGTGTCCGAGACCGGTCTCGTCTATACTTTCACTACCCCCAAGCTTCAACCGCTGGTGACCAAGGCGGAAGGCAAGAACCTCATCCAGGTGAGTGATGCTCTAGTCCCGTGTATGTCGAGTCGACGAGCCCGACTGACTCAATTCTTCTCTGTTCCAGGCCTGCCTTAACGCTCCGGATCCTACTACCAACGAGAACGGCGTCGATGCGCCCGAGGTGCCCGCGGAGACGCCCGAGGACGTGAGCCACAGCAACGTCAACCCCCAACAGTCGAATATTCCCCGTCCCGCGGGTATGCACCCCGGCTACATGACCAACGAGCAGCAACAGCAGATGGCATACTACCAGAACCTCCAGCAGCAACAGCAGGCTGGAGGGCAGTATCCCGGCATGCCCGTGGGCAACCGGATGCCGCCTCAGCACCAGCCCACTGCATAAAGCAGTGGTTATGTGTCTTCATGCCGCGTTCCCAAGAACCTGAGGGGCCCAGATAGTTGTTCGCATCCTTGTCAACTTCAGCGCGTGCAGCTTCCCTCCTCTACGGCCTTCCTTTGATACCCAACGATTTGTTACCACACATAATTGATACTATTAAAAAACGGTCTGCATCGTATAGCACCGCGCCACTCAGAACGAAGAACAGAAAGATGGTCTTATTGTAATCTGTGTATAGCCCGACCCGGTGGGGTTGCAGTTTACAGGCACCTGAGTCGCTCGTTTCGGTGTTCGCAAGAACCCTCGTGCTATTTGTCCTGTTTCACGGAAGAGGCTCACCAGAAAAGCCAAAAAAGAGCCAATCGAAAAAGGGAAAAAAAGAAGTATAAAAGGAAAAAATCAAGGCCGGGCTGGACGACTGAATCACGACGGATGCAAGACACTCTGATCTGGGTTCCCAGGCTATTAATTGCTTTTCGTTCCTCATCTCCTAATCCTTTTCCTAGACGACGGTGGAAGTGGCGGTGTTTCTGGTGCTTTTACCTTCATCTTTTTCTTCGTGCTCGATTCTTACTGGCGAAGTGGTTATCTGTTTGTCCTTTCATAAATTGTCTTTCCCGTCATGCGTTGACTAATTGATCTCCTTGATTTGCCCATGTGATTTCCCCCTTGCGCCAGGTTTGTTCCCCTCTCTTGCCCTCGGACCAGCTGTCCACCCCTTTTGGCAATGATTCTGGCTTGCGGGCAAGTTGACATGGCAGCTCCAGAAGAAGGAGGGCGGGGTTTAAACGGACGCTCATGGGGTCATTTGATTGAGTAACTGATATGATATTGGATGGATAGCCTTCATCGGGTAAGAAGTATGTCATGTATGGTATGGTGAAAATCGGAACTGTTACTTGTCCCTCTGCTACCCCATTCCAAAATACCGGTAATGTACAGTAGATCAGTGATTGCCCTTCACCCAGGGAGAAGTGGGCCTGAAATAGACCGAACCCATCATCTACACATATCTACCCAGGTAACGGACCCAAGAAAAGAAAGATGCACTCCCGTCTATGGCCAAGAATCCAATCTACGGGCCCAAAGATACCCAAAGGAAAGGCAGACAATGAAGACAAGGTGAAATGAAAGTACGTGCCAGCTCAAGTATCCAGAGCTCGTGACCTGACAGTCTATCTGTCCCGTGACATGACGATTCAATCCTATAGGTGCAGAAATATGCAGGCAGGACCATGAAGGAGGAAGAATGAAAGGGCAAGGGAGAAAGGAAATGCGGTAGGCTTGTATGTTCTGGTCTGTTTAGGAAGCCGAGTCCTAGGCTGTGGAGAGGATATCCAAGGAGACAAGGGAACAGTTGGCGTGGTGTATACTGTCGAGTAGATGAGTCGGTGTTTGTGTGTATAGATAAATAGGTAGTATGAATTTATTGTACATTGGTTGAAAGGAAGGGGTTATCATTGGTGTGATCCAGTGGATTGGGTAGGTGGGTCTAGTGGGTATGGCTGGGCCGGGGTAGGTATGGTGATATGGCGGTGCAGGAAGAATTTCTTTCATTCTGGGTGTCTGTCGGGGCTGGCTTCAAGATCAGAAACTGGGTTGGATGAGCTTGTGCGTCTTCCTCGGCTGCCGGTCCATTGAGTAAGGTATCGGACACTGCTTCGCCAGGCTCCGCGGAGGGTGCTCCTCGGGCCTGCGAGGAGACTTGAGTGCCCGTCGGATGCATCTGCGTCGGTGAAGGATTCGCGACGATGATTCCCTGAGACTAGACCGTCGGAGCGATCGTCCTGGGTGCCATATCCAGTGGCGTTCGCTCGTTTGGGAAGGAGCCCGCGGTTTTCAGGAGCAGGAGCCGATGTTCTCCGTTGTTTGCGACGCTCAGGGGGTACGGCGTTGGGTGTCTTTCGTGTATTCCAGGTGTTTCGACTGACTGTCATTGTGCTGGAACGACGCGGCCCACGCAGGAGACTGTCCCTCAAAGTGGTACCACCGCTCCTGTTTCTTGACTGGGCTGAGAGCTGGTCTCCAAACGTGCGAGTACGCCGCGGGGAATGCAGGGCGGTCGCAGCATAGTCATAGTCCGAGTCATCGAGCTCAGCCCAGATAGAAGCTGAATCAAGATCTGCTGTGGAATCGGGTTGCAGTAGAGGTAGACTGGGTGCTCTCTTGTGAGCGCTCCCCCGAGGGGGAGGTGCACTGCGCAATAGGGGTTCACGCTCCAGATCTTCCTGGCTATCCAGTCCCAGATCAATCGGTGAGGTCGGATGCTCCTCGACGACTGCCATTCCAGGACCCAGTCCGGTTTGGGAGGGTCCGCCGACAGTCACAGCCGCATGGCTGTCGACAACCTCTAGCCTCCAAGATAGGCAGAGAACGCCGCTCAGGAGGACAATCGTACCGAGTGATATCAACCCAGCATGGAAACCTGCCAGCTGGGACATCTGTTGGAAGTATATTAAGCCATCTATAATGGCGATAATATTGTAAATGCAGAAGACAAAGGGGTATAGAATACTGGTACTGCACAATTTCAGACCCCTATGCAGATAGAACAGCTGGGAGAGAGCAAGCCCGATCATTGCGAGAAGGATGACCCAGGACTGCCATCGGTTGAATTGATTGACGCGATCGACGACCGTCCGAACGAGGAGCTCCACGGCCGATTTAGCCAGAAGGAGAGAATGGGCTGACAATATCCCGCTAATCATGCCATAGCATAGACCCCGGGCAAGTCGAACACGACCATGGGACAATTGCAAGTGCGGCCGATATGAACCGCGTGAGCTGGCATACTTGGAGCGAGACGGTGAGACCAGGAACTTGAGCAGCCTGGATCCGATATAGATGACCAGCACCAATACGGCCGTCCCTGCCATCCATAGGACAAAATTTCGCCGCTGTAGCAGTTCGAGAAGTTGATCGAGGCTGTGCGCTGGCTCCCCCACGGCGCCGAAGACTGCTATCAATAGCGCGCCGATGCAGACTAAGACGGTACCGACGAGAGAGTACCTGGTGAAGGCTTCACCCAGGATCAAAGTGGCAAATATAGTATTAAAAACGAGACCGGACTAGTGGAGAGGATATTAGCGGTGCCGGGTATAGACTATGTAGCTCGGGGGAGGCACGGACAGCTTGCAAGGTTGAAAGCACCGGGAGCGGGAGGGTGGTTATCTGGATGGTACTGCCGACGATGTTCGCAACGACGAACATCAGCATACCCAGCTGTATAGAATTAGCATTGTCGGCTGGATCCGGATGCATTGAACCTGAAGAAGCACTAGCGCACCTGCCATCTCCGGCGTTTATAGGGTGGTCTGCGTAAATCGTAGGGGTGTTTCTCGTCCTCGAGGATATGCGACTTGCGTTGGAGGGTCAGTCCGATAGCTTGGAGACTGGTCGAGATCAACCCGACAATCACCCCAACCTGGAGCCACGCTCAAGTCAGTACCGTAACTCAGTGCGAATTAGCTGAGATTCCTGGGAGGGGAAGAACACACCGCGACACTCCCCTGGGGCGATAGGTCACCAAGATTACCCATCTCGGATATCCTCGTGCATTGGTCGCTGGGCCGGGGGACAAAGACCAGACACGCATTAGACGGGATACGGTAGGGCTGACAGGACCGACTCCATTGTCCGAGCGCGACGTAGAAACCAGGTGAAGGGGAGGAAGCGATCCAACGAAAGGGCCGTGGGGAGAAGGAAGCAGAGGGGAGCGGGCAGGAAAGCGATGAGTTCCTGGGCGGCCGCCAAGTGGAAGAGTCGCCGGACTAACACCAAGTAGATCGATCAGCAGATCCGCCAAGTGCAACGTTTCCCTCCGCCTGCTGCTGTTGTTGCTGCTGCCTCATTGCTGCTCTCCTGTATTCGCTCCCCCACTTCCTTTCCCCCCCCCTCTACCATTCCCTCCGGTCCAGGTGAGTACATGTCCTGACTACCCCCCTTTCAAGTATTCCCCCGGTCGCGATTCGTGACTACTGTTGAAGACCCCCCGGTCCGTTGTCGGGCGCAGCACAGACAGACCAGGCGACCGACTGACGTTGATTGACCGCCCCCCAAAGCAGGCACCTCCGCATCGGGAAGCTCGACTGACGTTGTCTCTTCGTCCCCCCCACATCTCCCTTCGCTCTCCCCTCTACAGGTTCGATCTATAGAATTACATCTCGTCACGATGTCGCAAAGTCACGCTCTTTCCGATGACCAGGTACGTCGTCCTTTCGAACAGGGATGATGCGTGTCCGCTCCGGAGCTGATCCCATCTACAACCAGGTGGCGGGCGAGCTCCGCAAGATGACGGCCTTCATCCGGCAGGAAGCGCTGGAGAAGGCCCGTGAAATCCAGCTCAAGGCCGACGAGGAATTCGCCATTGAGAAGTCCAAGCTCGTGCGCCAGGAGACTGCCGCCATTGACACTCAGTATGAGAAGAAGTTCAAGCAGGCCGCCATGTCCCAGCAGATCACTCGCTCCACCCTTGCCAACCGCACCCGTCTCCGTGTCCTCTCTGCGCGCCAGGAGCTCCTCGACGATCTGTTCCAGCAGGCTCGTGATCAGATCTCCGGTATCGCGGCTAAGGATGCTGAGAAGTACGAGACCGCGCTGAAGAACTTGGTCCTTGAGGGCCTGTATGCCCTTAACGAGGAGAAGGTGTCTATTAGAGCCAGGAAGCAGGATACCGATGCTGTGAAGAAGGCCATCGAGGAGGCCGAGAAGGAGTTCAAGGAGACCGTTGGCAAGGAGGTGTCCGTGGAGCTGGACGAGGAGGAACCGCTGCCCGAGGGATCGTGAGTTACACCCATTCCGATGTTCCTCTATCACCGTCATCTAACTCTCAAAACCAGTGCTGGTGGTGTGGTTATTGTCGGAGGCCAGGGTAAGATCGAGATTAACAACACCTTCGAGGAGCGGCTGCGCCTGCTCGAAATCGACGCCCTGCCCGCCGTCAGAGAGACGCTCTTCGGCAAGAACACCAACCGGAGATTCTATGATTAGGCCATATACGCACGTCTCTTGCTAAGCGAATCTACAATACCTGACCTTGTTTCGTCGTCGTTGCAGCCATTGTATCTATGTACCCCGGTTCTTTTCTCGGAGAGCACCATAGCCTTGTATAAAGTCCTTCACTTCGTTTATCGGGAGTCCATCAGAGTTCAAATGAAACCTCAATCTCTATCTTTTCTTTTGAATAGTAATGGGGACAAGATATATCTATGGAGACGCATCCTAAGATTCCTAATAGAGTTAACCGGCATTCAAAAATAATTATAACACAAGTCATTTCGTGATTCAATATGCCGTAGATGGTAGATGAAATCCAGCAAATCAAAGCCAATCAACTAGCTCGCTACAACAACGGTGTATAAGATGATAAGGATAGCATCCGCACTCACCAGCAAGGTATCACGAATACAACAATAACAAGGATAAACCAAGCAAAAACACACCATGTTTCAGTTCAAGTCAACGCCCAATACCACCCATCCATTGACTCCGACCTTGCAGCAGGAAAGACATATAAAACCAGTCCCGGCGAAATTAATGTAGATCTCATTACTTGATTATTTCTGACCATTTCCGGAGACTCACAACTCTCAGTAACGGTAAATTAAAACCCGTGAAATGGCCGACGTCTTAGAACTCATGCTCATGTGCCCGAATAGGCAACCCATCACCGTCCTTCTTCACGGCCGTGAATGATTTCCAGACCTTCTGATTCTCTCTCCGTGGTTCAGGGACCCCGAAGATCGACTTCTTGGGGCGCGGCTTTGACCTGACAGAATATATAACGCGATAGTGTAGAGCCTCGATAGCTTCCTTTGCCAGTGTCCGTTTCAAATGGGAGGCACCTGAATCCTCAATGGAAGTAAAAATGATTTTCAGCCGATCAGCGAGGGTATCAACTGCCGCGTTGAAGTCTCGCTCTGCGTCTTTGTCAGGGAATTCCGCCTCGGACCGTCCAGCATCAATGGCAATGTTGAGAAGGACGGTGATAGCTCCGAGTTCTCCGTAATCGTAGTCGTTCTGTCCTTTGCTTTTGTATCGCTTCACATCGAACCGTGGTTGATTGAGGATGCTGGTTATTCGCTCTAAGTTGAGAACTTTCTCCGGCGGCTCGCGGAGCGGCAAAGGACTGCTCATTAAGAATGATATGGCGAGGCGACACCGTAATGTTGCAAGCCAGTCCGAAGCTGGAAGTATGTGTCTAAGGAGGCGACTCTGCAACGTTGCGTCTTTGATGGTGTCGAATGCTGAAGTACCAACACGCAGCACCTAGAGAAGTTAGTGAGGAATGGAAGTGAAAAGGGGTTCGGATCATACCAAATCATCTGCCGTGTTCTCAGGGGCGCTCTCCAGCATGGTGACTATGGTTCTCTCAAGCTCCGAGCAGATCAGAGCATTTCTGGTTAAGGATACATCGAGTGTCAGTCGGAATAAAAGGTTCAATGCGCGTTCTCGAGTATCGTCTGCAAATCTATAACAGGTATCAGCACTTATACGTAGAGCAAGATATTCGAGAATTTACAGTTCTGCCGCCCCACAAAGCAAGTCAAAAACAGACAGTAATGCCCCTTCACGGGGAGAGTCAGTTTTCACATCATGTGCTGCATATGATCGTCAGTCATTGACCTGTGCTAAAGATCCACGGATTTACGTACTGGTAACGTGTGCATCCGGGAAGATAGTCTCGGAAACCGCTAATGCTTTGGGACTGGCCCCTAACTGTTCGAAAAGCCGACTAATGTCGTTCGGCCTGATGAGTGTCTTGATACGCTCCGCATTTGCATGCTACGTGGCAATTAGCCGGATGTGTTAAACATTTTATTTGCACATCATATAAAATACCTTGAAAGCTCTGCAATAAGCTTGCCTGATGCTGTCCTGCGGCTCCGAAGGCACTGTGAGAAGTGAGCAGCAAAACCACTGTCGTGAGGGTATTAACAAACCAGCTTGAAAGATCCATGAAATCAGGACATCCGGCAAGAATGACCGTGATAGAGCAAAATCGACAATGCCCGAATGAAACGCGCGCTCCCTCGAATGTCTCTCTATGGGCAAATCAGTATTCGAGTGATTTGGTATAGATCGAAGGTACTGACCTCGTAGTCCCGCCATGTAACTCTCTGGCTTAATGCAATCACCAGGAAACTCGAGCGCGGGGGGCAACTCGCTTTTATAGACGAAGAACTGCCAAGATTTCTCCAGGTCAAGGGCCTCCGTTCTCCGGACAGCATCGAGCAAACGTCGCAGGCCCAGTTCATCATCTTGGGCACCTAAAGCTGAAGCCAGAACGCCCTCATTGAGTCGGGTGCTCGGTAAGCTTGAACCATGTACCGTAGCATTCTGCTTCTCGTTCATTCGCAGATTCTCTTTCTCAAAGGCAGCTCTCAGCTTTGCGATGCCAGCTTCGGTTTCATTATCATCAACCGCCTGGACAACGAGCGAATCTAGCGTATACTTGTATTTGGGAGCCGATACTGGAAAGCCGGAGCGCTTATCAGATTTTGCGTCGCGGTCCCCTAAGGACATTCCTGGTTTAGCTAGTTCACTGCTACCGACAGAGGCGGTCGGTTTAGCAATGCTCATAAAGATATCGTCCGGAGATTCAAAAGAGCTTATCGAGTCGGTATCCTCGCCATCTGAGCTGATGATAACCTCCTTGCCCTTCTTTACAACACGCTGCGAGGAGTTAAAGCTTGTTCCTGGAGACGGATCTTTGTTTGTAGATCCAGTGCTTAGGAAGCTTTGGAGAAGATCAGCTTTGCCCTCATCATCTTTAACAGACTGTGATAGTGATAGATTTAGCTGAGAGGCCGGATCGTCCGACGAGGGGCCAGTTGAATGGAGGGATGACGGCACCTCAGCGAGCGGGGACGACTGAGCGGCTGGAGCGGTGTCATTGCCTCGATCATTAGACTGAGCGTCTCGGTGAGCTATTGAAAAATCCGGACGCTTAAAGAAACTGGTAATGCTTCTCATGCCGGGCGCGCTGTTGGAGGGCAATATGATATGCTGCAAAGTATGGCCCGCATGCTTTGTTCGGTAGATCTCCGCAATTAGCCTCTGCTAGACACGTAGGGCGCGTGGAAACAATGCGCGAGGTCACATGACCCTGAGTCAGCACTCAGAAGTTCTAGTTAACTAGTTATTGAGTTACCAGAATAGTCGCCGGGAAAGTGACGGGTATTGAACTATTGAATTTGAATACCTGGGCAGCCAGGACTAGTAGGCGCCTACATCCGGGCTGCTTGGCTACTATTTTGCTAGGCTCAGCTGCGCACTGCTTTCACTTCTGTGCGGGAGGACGATCTCCTTTCCAGATTGTGATGTACCGCACCGATTCGCGGATGGTGCGTCAGCTTTCCCCATGCACCATAACCGTTATGTAGGGGTAGATAGCCCAATATTCCGATAGAGATTCGATCCTTGGCTTCGCCTGGGTCCTCGTATCTTGGTTAAAGGTCGAATATACTTGGAACTTGCGATTTTTTTGGGGGTCTGCTCTGGTTCCAAGGATTACCCGCTTGAAATTTTGGACCCCCAATCGATGTTCTCTATCTGCCCATTTAGACCCCAAGCTAGATATCTTGACTGCATGACGACTGGGGCCAAAATAAATACACCAATGATATTTTCAAGCGAGGCCTTGTTGACTCCTTGACCTTGGATGTCTATCTGTTCAAGTTGCCAATAGTCCGTACATCACGTTTCGAGAGAAAAAGAATTTTGTTGCGCCCGATCGTATTTGGGAGCGGTCCAGGGGTGGGAGAGCGGTGCAGATCTATCTCTAAAGTACTTTGTAGTCCCCACACCGGTTCACGGTTGATCTGACCATCTGACGCCAATCTGTCATATCTCTTCTTTTCGACCCCCCCAAGGCCGGAATCCTTTGCCCACTGTACGGCGCACGTAGCAAGGCTTAGCTGGTATCCTCCCTCCCTTGTTTATCTTTCAGATTACCAGGTTTCTATTCTCTCGGCTGTGCCATGATTGATACAGCTGCTACGGGCTAATATCGGGTTCGATCAGGGGCCGTCAGCCACGAAGATGGCGAAGGAGCGAAATAGCCTGAGGGCACAAGGAACCAAGGGCAGCATTTTGCCATTTGGCCTTGTAGGCAGTGTTCACTGTTCAGAGCATGGGCGAGAAAACCACCAAGGTCAGTTAGAGACCGTAATGCGAATTCGCAAGTTTTGACGTATTATAAATGGGAGGGAATCTTGGTAAATTAGCCGAGCTCGAGGTACGTAACAAAACTGCCTACCCATCCCGTCCAGGGTGGAAGCCCAGTGATCGGAGATTTTGTACGTAGTAGGTAGTATGCAAATAATGTTATAATTCTTGAAATACAAATCGAGCAGCGACCTCAAGTATTACGCGCCCTTCATGATCAAACTATTGCACTAGAGGCTGATTGTGAAGGATAATGGGCGATGGGATCTGGCTCCGTGAATGAAACACATACAAAGGCAGTTTCAAGTGATCTTCTGCTAGCCTCCGTAAAGAGAAATGGTTGGCAAAGACTACGCGCAATAGGTATGGGACCACGCCAAACTGCATCAGGAAATCTGGTCTCCCCGGGCCACTAACATCAGCAGCCAAGACTGGAAAAAGGAGGACATGAAGAGAGAGCGACTGAATACAGGGGGAAGGCAAATGCCAAGTAACAATCAATCCATGCTTGTGAAAGAGAAGTTCATGAGAGTCTGGAGGCGGATGCTTTTATATCCGGGCCTCTGGTGCTAGAGTATGCACAGTCCATGTGCATTCTACAATGCAAAGACTAGAAGCACCGTTGGCTTAATATACATGCAGTCAGCACAGATTGCTGCGGTACCTCCGAATCTCCGCGCTCCGTCAGGTGGACCTATCCACGGATGGCATCAGCATGTGCCGTCCCGGACGGCTGTTAGTCTGTTTCAGGCTCCGTGTTCCGACCCTCCGTCCAAGACTCCCAAGCGCCCCCAAAGGTATGGAAGAAAGAGAAGCCTACCAGTGCGACAGCTTCCGTTCCATGGCGAGGCGTTGAATGGTCCGGCTTTGACATACATACGCGCCGACGTCTTGACCACTAATGCATGCTGCACCTTAGCGGTCCAATCCCTCCTTTCGCCGAGGGAGTATGAAATCCATCATTGCTGGCATCGCGGGAGATCAGCTTCGTGACATGCCAGAGTGTAACTGGGTATGCCATCATTTGCCATGGCATCCGATTGGTGCACAAGCGAAGAAATCTTCGAGATGAAAGAAGGGTAACCCGGAGCCAGAGAGTCTAGGTACCGTATAAATATAGGAATCGTTCGCGCGACCCGAAAGCCGCACAAGTTAACGGAGGACCGGTAACTCCGTTCCAGATGGGTCTGTCTGGGATAGTACCTCCAGAGTCAAACATCGAAAGGGCTCCATTCTGATCAGCGGGCTATTATGTACCATGCGCGGCCTAGGGCGAGGCTGGTAAATCCGGTCCGAGATTCCACCTCGCAGTGAACTCGGTTACTAGGAACCCCCGAATTCCATGCCAGACGGGGCCCCGAGGAAGGAAAATTACCTTGATTTTCTAAGCATCATAATTCATAACAGGACCAGAGCGGTGGAGGGGTTGCCCCATCGCGGTGCGCGATGTATTTCGTTGGCTATACTCCATCGCAGGGGGGAGAGGGGAACTTAAGGCAGGTACCTGACGGGGCCCGGGCAGTACTGCATCCATGTAGATGAAACATGAATGAGAACTCCATCTGATTGGAGCTGGCCCGGCCTGCCGGTTAATCTGGAAAATTTACAAAAGCTCGGTGATGCATGCTTAGTTACCATACGGAGCTGACAAACCCTGGAACTTTACCTTATGGCAGGTTCCGTAATGTGCCCGTAATACACGGCCGTCGCCTCCCCCGGGTCTCCAGGAGGGATTGTCGGCCGGCTCTCCAAGAAACTGACGCTGTCCTTAAGCCTCTTTCTTACTCTTGCCTCTGAAGGACCGGTTCCTTTTTTGCATGAGTTTCTGATTTCCCTTCTTCTCGGTCTTCTTTGCCTTCGACATTCTTTCGTTAATGGCATACGGATGCCCAATCCTCAGTAAACCTCGATCTTTTCCCCCTCCGCTCGTTTCGCCTTCCTGACTGCCGTTGCGTTTGGCGACCCTTGGTGCTATTGACACTCCATTCCTTCTCGTTCCATCTGGACCTGCTTAAGCGCCTTACTACCACAAATCGCACGCTCACCTAATCGCGAAGAAGGAGACTGTATATACGACCCTCGATTCCCACCGCATTCAATCCGAACCTCCGACGAGAATAGTCAAGTCAATTCGCGAGCTGGCTGCGCTGCCGGGGTCCAGCTCGTCGCTGCGGATGCTCTCCTTTCACTGGTTTAGACAGCACATTTGCCTATTTTATGCCCTCGCTAGGGCTCACAATAGCCTAAATGGCTTCGATCGACTTAGGCGCTGAGTTCATTGAAAGTGGAAACGACATTCGGGAGGTCAACAGCAATGTCTCGAAGCCGACAAAGCGTCAACGATGGGCAACTCAACGGAGGGCCGGCCCAGGCGGCACGCGGAAGCGTGTCTCTATCATGGATCGCGTACATAAAAACAAAATGGATGGGAAAGAGGAAATGCCGAAGCCAGCCGCAGCGACTTCTCCTACTTCGTTGAAATCACCCACTTCACAGCAATCAAGTACGGAAAGCCCCACGGGGTCTGGCACCAGACGTATCTACTTTAACATCCCGATCCCCGAAAGCGAACGAGACGAGGATGGCCGCCCCAAGGCAGCATACCCCAGAAACAAAATTCGAACTGCAAAATATACAGCACTCTCTTTCATCCCGAAAAACATTTGGTTTCAATTCCAGAACATCGCGAATATCTATTTCCTTTTCATCATCATCCTGAGTGTATGTTCCTTTCCTCAAGACATGGTTTAGAGTACCGGAATAACTCATCACTGCCTCTAGTTTTTCTCGATTTTCGGCGTCTCTGACCCCGCTCTCAATACTGTGCCTTTAGTCGTCATTGTCGTGCTCACCTCCATCAAAGATGCCATCGAAGATTTTCGGCGTACGGTCCTGGACAATGAATTGAACAATTCGCCCGTTTATCGCTTAATAGATTGGAGCAACGTGAATTCGACTGAGGATCATGTCTCGCTATGGCGTCGGTTCAAGAAAGCGTGCACTAGGGCGACTGTTACAACCTACAGAGCAATGAAGGGCCTTATCCAGAAGAACAAAAAGGCTCAGCGCCCAGTTCAAGATAATCGACGCCTAACCTTCATGACAACCGTGTCACCGCGGGCTTCAATCTCCTCTCAGCATGATGATGAGGATGCTATCCAGATGACTCCGGTTTCATCACCAGCCCCCGAAGCACGCCCAGACTGGCCACTTCCGACTGCCGACCACGATCAGTACTTGCATCCAGACAAATTGGCTCGGGAGAGTCTGGCCGCTCCTTCTGTCGCTCATCCCCCGAAGACCGGCAGTGTGGTGGATACGTCAAAGCAAACACTGGGAAACGCGAGGTTCAAACGCGACTTTTGGAAGAATATCCAAGTTGGAGATTTTGTTCGATTATATAATGGAGACCAGGTTCCAGCCGATATTATATTACTCTCGACATCCGACCCAGATGGCGCGTGCTACGTGGAAACAAAGAGTCTGGATGGCGAAACCAATCTGAAAGTTCGGCAAGCTCTCAACTGTGGCCGTCAAGTCAGGCATGCTAGGGATTGCGAAAAATCCGAATTCGTGATTGATAGTGAAGCCCCGCATCCCAATCTGTATGCCTACAATGGTGCTTTGCGATGGGAACAGCGTGACCCAAGCTATTCAGACGCCCCTCGAAGGGAGATGGTTGAACCGATAACAATCAACAATATGCTCCTCCGTGGGTGTTCTCTTCGCAACACGGAATGGGCCCTGGGTGTTGTTCTCTTTACCGGAGAGGAGACGAAGGTTATGTTGAACTCGGGAGTGACTCCCTCAAAAAAGCCTCGGCTTGCCAAGGATCTGAATTGGAACGTCATCTATAACTTCATCATCCTATTCATCATGTGTCTTATCTGCGGTATCGGCAACGGAGTTGCCTGGGGTAAACCTGACGCATCCCTTGACTTCTTTGACTTTGGATCTTACGGTAGTACACCGGCAGTGACCGGCCTCATCACCTTCTGGGTTGCAGTCATCTTGTTCCAAAACCTGGTCCCTATCTCGCTCTATATCTCCCTTGAGATTGTCCGCACGTTACAAGCCGTGTTTATCCACAGTGACGTGTTTATGTATTACGACAAGCTGGGGATGTCCTGTATCCCAAAGTCCTGGAATATTTCGGATGATGTCGGTCAGATCGAATACATCTTCTCCGACAAAACCGGCACGCTCACCCAGAACGTCATGGATTTCAAAAAGTGTACCGTCAACGGAGTTTCATATGGAGAAGCGTTTACGGAAGCTCAGATTGGCATTGTCCGAAGAGAAGGAGGCGACGCTGATGCCGAAGCTGCTCGAGCGCGCGAGAAGCTCGCCGCTGATACGGTCAAGATGGTTGGCCTGCTTCGCAAAATGTACGACAATCCATATTTGCGCGAGGAAAACTTGACCTTCATAGCACCGAGTTTCGTTGCGGATTTGGGCGGCCAGGCTGGCGAAAAGCAACGGAAGGCAACGGAGCATTTCATGGTGGCGCTTGCAGTATGCCATACCGTTATCACTGAGCATACCCCGGGCGATCCTCCGCAAATCGAGTTCCAAGCACAATCGCCAGACGAGGCTGCTCTAGTCAGTACAGCCAAAGATTGTGGCTTTACCCTCCTTGGCCGATCAAATGATGATCTCATCGTGAATGTTCTGGGTGAGGAGAGGACATACACTGTCCTCAATACCCTGGAGTTCAATTCAACAAGGAAGAGGATGAGTGCAATTCTCCGCATGCCTGATGGCAGTATCCGACTCTTCTGCAAGGGTGCAGACAGTATCATCTATTCGCGGCTGGCCCCAGGGAAGCAGCAGGAGCTTCGTAAGAAGACTGCCGAGCACCTGGAGATGTTCGCTAGCGAGGGTCTGCGGACTCTGTGTGTTGCAGACCGAGAGCTCAGCGAAGAGGAATATCAGGCATGGAGCAAGCAACATGATTTGGCTGCTGCTGCGCTTACAGATCGCGAAGAGAAGCTCGAGCAAGTAGCAAGTGATATCGAGCAGGATCTTATGCTTATTGGTGGTACAGCAATTGAGGACAGGCTGCAAGATGGCGTTCCGGATACTATCTCTTTGCTGGCAGATGCAGGCATCAAGCTATGGGTCCTCACTGGCGACAAAGTTGAGACGGCCATCAACATCGGTTACTCATGCAACCTTCTCAATAACGATATGGAACTGATAGTGTTCAACATTCCCGGCGATCAGCCACAGAGCGCATCACAGGAACTCGACAACCAGCTGCAGCGATTTGGACTGACTGGATCGGATGAAGAACTCGCTGCCGCCCGTCAAGACCATACACCGCCACCGGCAACACATGCTGTGGTTATTGATGGCGAAACGCTCAAGTTGATGCTTGGTGATGATTTGAAGCAGAGATTCCTTCTTCTTTGCAAACAGTGTAAATCTGTTCTATGCTGTCGTGTTAGTCCTGCACAGAAAGCGGCCGTCGTGCGCATGGTGAAAAATGGTCTCAATATCATGGCCCTTTCAATTGGTGATGGTGCCAATGATGTTGCTATGATTCAAGAGGCTGACGTTGGTGTCGGTATCCTTGGTGAAGAAGGCAGCCAAGCAGCCATGTCCTCTGACTATGCTATTGGCCAATTTCGATTTTTGCAGCGACTTGTTCTGGTCCATGGAAGATATTCATACCGACGTATGGCGGAAACAACTGCGAACTTCTTCTACAAGGTACCCCGTTCTTTCCTTGCTAACCTCTTGATAGTTAGCTGATCGATTCACAGAATCTGGTTTGGACGATTGCCCTTTTCTGGTACTCATTCTACAATGATTTCGACGGGTCCTATCTTTTCGACTATACCTACATTGTTTTGGTCAATGTCGCATTTACGTCATTGCCTGTAATTTTGATGGGTATCTTCGACCAGGATGTTGATGATAAAGTCTCGTTAGCCGTGCCCCAGTTATACATGAGAGGAATCGAGCAGAAGGAATGGTCACAACTCAAGTTCTGGTATGGCCTTATCCTTCTATTCCGTGAGTCGCGAATACTAACAGTAGCAGGCTCTATATGCTTGATGGCTTCTATCAGTCAGTCATTTGCTTTTTCATGCCGTACCTTTTATACAGCCCCGCCACTTTCGTGCATCACAACGGCCTGAACATCAATGACCGTACGCGGATGGGTGTCCTTGTGGGCTCTAGTGCGGTTATTGCCAGCAATACATATATCTTGATGAATTGCTACCGCTGGGACTGGTTAACAGTTCTGATCAATGTTGTCAGCTCCCTCCTTATCTTTCTTTGGACTGGCATTTATTCCTCAATGGAAGCGTCGACCACGTTTTATTATGCCGGGGCCGAAATGTACAGCTCTCTGTCATTCTGGGTTGTGCTTCTGATGACGGTCACGATATGCCTTCTTCCGCGCTTCACCGTCAAAGCGTTCCAGAAGGTTTTCTTTCCTCTCGACGTGGACATCATTCGCGAGCAGGTCTCCCAAGGCAAATTTAAATACCTGGACCAGTATGAAGGAACCGTTCCTCCGAGGGCAGCAGCGACGGCTGCTGCATCTACAGCCTTCAGTGATGAATCTTCGACGTCTTCAGATCTGGTGAAGCCCATCCAGCCTAGCTTCAAGCAGGATCCCTTCTCAGACGAACAGCAAATCTATTCGCCTCTCTTTGCTCCAACAATTCATACTCATCGACCACGAAGCAGTAATGGGACGAATTATGCTTCCAGCCTTGATACAACCCGGCTGCCCCATCCACAACCAGTGGATTATGTCCGTCCCGAACGAACGCGGCATTCGTTTGACCGAGTACAACATGGCTTCGAGGTGGCTCATGACTACCCCTCAGCCGGAGTGTTGACAAGAGAGCCATCACTCGCTGGTGCTCAAGAACCTCATAGCCCTCTTAAGGGCCCTCACGATCCTCCGTTCCATGCCATATAATCTTGTCTCATATTTCAGACCGTACATAGGCTGACATCATCCCGCCCTTCTTTTCCCGACCCTCTTTTCACAATGCTTTCCTTGACGACTCCTTGGCCTTTGTTTCCCCCCATCCACGCAATCAATCTGTTACTCATTTCTGTTTGACGAGCAAATTCCCCATATTCCCCAATAGAAGGCGTTCGGTTCAGACTTGGTTGGCGGCTCGGCGCACGTGTGTTTTCTCTTGATTTGCCTTTGCTTCTTTACATATTCTGGGGCTCATCTCAGTTCTATCGTTTCTTCTTTCTTTCTGGAAGGCTACTTGGTGACAGCGCGCCTGACAGGGTCTCGTCGTTTCCCTCTCTTCCTTCTAATTCTTGTACAAAGCTTTTCCTCCAAACACGCGTTTGCTCAACAAACTTTTCTTTTCTCCCCCTTTACAGTCAAATTCGAGCATTTCCTCCTATGTTTCTCTTGGATGGTCTAGCACTTCGAAGTTGGCACGTGGAAATGAATCATATGCGGGGTGGAGGTCATGGGTATAATGTATTCTACTGAAGAGCTCAATGTGTACTACCGATGTGGGCATCACTTCCACAGGGTTCATATGTAGTCTAACCCGACTAGCATGGCGGCATGTCCGCAAATATGGTCTCGGCTGTACCTAGTTCCGTAGGAAGTCCCGTCCTCAGTGCTACTTTCCTTCTCAAGTAAGGAAGCGGAAGCCTGGCCGCGGGCGCGTCTTTGCGCGTAAAGTGGGTGATCAGCATACCTCACCGCCTTCCAGATCCTCCAATCATGTCGGCAGCAGGGACTGCGCCGATTTACTCCGTCCTTATGTATTCACCAACCCGACTTGCAGTCTTTGCGACTTCCAGTCTCTTCCTTCCTAGTCTCTTGTGTTGCTTGCACTCTTAAGTGTGTGTCGCCGACATATTTCTTTAGAGGAAGGGACCTACCATCTCGACTCACCATTCCGCTTTCCTCCCTTTCCATAGGCGATTTGTTTGGGCTGCAACCTCCCAGCCCCCCCAGTCTTTCAGGCGCTCAGTTGCCCCAGTTTGCCACAGGAAGCCATGGTTATACAGTAGGCTACTTTGGGATGGTCCTCATATCGTGTTGTTGCTAGGGATACCTCTATCTTGGTCACCTTTTTGTTGCCCTCGTACCTTATTGCCTGACCAGAGGAATGCGCTGTAGCCTCACGGACACGAATTACTTTAGAGCTTTGAGATACAGCCATGGAATTCATGGATATTGTTGGGTGAGTCCAGTTCTCCCTCTTATATGGCACTGGGCTGACAGCTGATCAACTTGGTGCTTACAGAGAGCTACAATCGCTCCCCGATCATGTCCACATTCTATGCCCCCGACAACACGATGACGACCACGCACGATATGATGATGCTAGCCAGGTAGATGAATCGGGGAGATCTGTTGCGGAGTTGGTGTCGGAGGCCAAGAATCGCAAGGAGAAATTTTTGTCATGTATGCGGATACTGGCGTACAACCAAGAAGGGGTTGAGGAATTGCAGACTTGGATCTGGCGGAAGTTAGACGACTCGCTTGAAAAGTGCGACCTCTGCATCAAGCAGTACTATACAGGGAAGATCTGGCTCATGGAACAGCTCAAAGAAAACTATGATGATGAAGATATTGAGAAGTTTTCTAGGATGCTTGACGAGTGGGACATCAAACGGATTACAAGGAATCTAACAACTGCAACAGCAAAGTTAAAAGAAGTCCCGTCCCAGGATATTGGACTCCATGTGCTGGACCGGGCGTCTTTACTATCAATATTTGAAAGTCTGAGCTGTGACGCTATGCTCCGTAATGACAGCCTTCTGCAGGAGTATTTCGATGAACCATTCCGGTTAATCCAGACAAAACGCAGTCTAAAAGTGTCCGACTACATTCCCGCCGTCACCCGTTTTCTGTTCGATCCAAACCAGAACCGCAGCTTTTGGGCTATCCATTCTTGGATGCGTTATTCCCGGCCTCCGACTACCATGGAGTTTGACTGGGCAGTGAAAGAAGGACTTCTTGATGCGCTGAGAACAGCATCTCAGCAGCCAACTCAGATTGCCGTCATCCAGCGGTTGTGGCGTGGCATGCAGCTCGTAGTAAGAAGGTTGGACAAGGACCAGATTACCCATCACTTACGAGCTCTTGAAATCGATCCCTGCCGTCTCTCCGTGGACCACCTCGGTATACAGTCTCCTGGGCTACGCTTCCTCCTGAATACCATCCAGATCTTCCTGGAAAAGGCCCCAGGCGATTTCTGGGATGCGATGCAGACGATATCTCCTCAGGCCATCATCGAACTCGTGTTTTATAACCCTCAGTTGGATGCCTTCCTAATGCAAGCAACTGAGGGTGAGCCGTACGAGAAATCCGCTATGAAGGATATGTTATCATGGATTAGCCCGTTTATGTCGTCACTGAAGGGCGCCCACCAACCTTCAGCCTGCAGATCCCTTGTGCAACAGCTTCTTGTACGATTGCAAAATGTGCGGTTTCCGAATCTCGCTCGCTATCATTGCTTCAATACTGGGCTGGCGATTTTACTCCACACGCTTCGCAGTTTCACAGACCACGAGTCATCAAGAGGTTCTGTGGAGCGTGTTGTGCTGTCGGAAACTCTAGGTGTCGTAAGTGCGAACATCGAAACAATCCTTAAGCCACCCCAGTTTGCAGTGGAGCAGGGTCGTCAGCGCGAGATAGCTTCGCTGTGTATGGACGTTATTCGTAACACACTTGCACTTGAATGTCAGTCCCTCAAAAGTGATTATGAGGTCATACTCCGGCACAACACTCTTCAACATGGCGTGAGTACCTATTCAGCTACAATATGGGACGCAGTTGTCAAACACCTGCATGAAGATAACCTGGCCCTTTCGACGTCAGCCCTGCTCGGAATCTTACCGCTAGTCGGTCTGGAGAAATTCCCTACAAAAGGAGAATCTAGCCCAGAAAAGACGCACTTTAACGTTATCTATGGGCACTTAACCCATCTTTCCTGCCAAATTATCGAGCGTCTTGCAGATTTTAGACCTGAGCACCTTGACGAGCTTTTCAAGAGTCAAGACACTAGTAGTGCTCTGATCTCTGCGCTTTTTGCAGCCGACCTAAATACCTATCAAGCTGCCGTTGACCTTATCAAGAATGTTAGTGGCCAGTCCGCTCGAAGGGATGCAATATCACATCTGCTGCAGTCATTCTTTATTACGACTATGTATGGGCTAAGTTGGTCTTTTCGACGAATTTCTAACATGAAGACCTTCGCTTCTGCCCCGAGGATGATACACACCGGAACAGACATTGTGGATATCCTTTGTGACAGCCAGACTGGCATGCTGAGAACACGGAAGCTTGCTGACCGCAGGGAAATCCTTTCACTCCAGAAACTCTGGGAGTACCTGTGGCAAGCCCTGACAACGATATTTGATGAAACAGAATCCTGGCACCTGAGAGGGAATGACAAGGCCGTCATGTTAGAGTTCTGCCGAGACACCATCCAGTTCGCTGATCTTCTTTTCAGCCAGTATGGTGTTTTCTTAAGTGCTGTCGTTGATGCGGATCCAAACCAAGAGAGCTCTGCGCGTGAGAATTTCCTCAAATCTGCAACCACAACAATGAGCGCGATGGTCAAATGGCTCCGGTTGAAAGATGAATACTTGGCAACAACCCTGGTTGGGCTCGTGTCTAAGATCCTACGGCGTTTAGGAGAATTAAGTGTAACAACTGTTAAGCAGGATGCTTTAAGTTTCATCGAGGGCGTGGCAGTCAACTCTTCCATCAAAACTATATTGACGCTGCGGGAAAAGGCAGAGCTTGTGCGGGCTCTGGAAGCCTACTATAAGAAGCCTGTCGTTACCGCTTCGACCGCCAGACTCAAGAAACAGAGCATGATCACGGCTTTCACTAAACCAGCCGATCTCTCAGCCACTCCCAGTCCGCCCAAGACCGCCGATGAGTTCGACGATAACGTCCCAGATGACGTCTTATTACAGCTGTCTCGATCAGTTGAGCTCAACAAGGAGAGGGTTGCTGCGGAAGCCAAGAAGAAAGCAGATAAAGCCGCGAAGGCTCTTCCGGCGATTCCTAGACCTTCTCCAGCCCCATTAAGGCCGAATGTGACCATTCAGGCCTTCCGCGAGAAGCGTGAGAAGGAGAGAGAAGCCAAGAAAAAGCGTGATATGGCTGAGTTGGCACGCCTTAAGAAGAGCCTTCCCGCGCTGGGTGTTGCTGAGCAAACTGCCGAACAGGGTTCTGGGCTTAGTGGAATCGGTATCAAAGGCAAGGACCATACTCCTGCTGAGAGCATGATGGTTTCCTCTGGATCAGAGTCTGAATCCGAAAGCGAAGACGAGCTGGATAAAGAACTCTTTGGCCCGAAAGCAAGGAAGCCTGATGCCGTCAAGGCCTACGAAGAAAGCAAGCGGATGTCATTGAAACAACAAGGACCGGTCAAGAAGATCAAGCAGGTGCGCTCTGCAAAAGATATGCGAGCACGCCTTGCGCCTGACCTCTCTTCTCTTCACCGTACAATCCTTGCCTGGGACTTTTTTGCGAATGGCGACATTCCCCCCAATTCGGGACGTACAGATTATACTCTGGTTTCCAACGCTTTCAGAGAGCCCCTTGAGTATCAAAGAACCTTTGAGCCGCTACTGATCCTCGAAGCATGGCAAGGGTTCCAGTCCTCAAAAGAAGAAGGTACATTCAAGCCGTTTGAGGTCAAGGTTGCCACGCGACTATCTGTGGATTCATTCGTCGAAGTCAGTACGGCTATATCCGCTATGGAGGCCAAGGACTTTGGGCTTGGTGAAGCCGATATTGTTCTGCTCTCTAAAGCAAGCTCACCGACCACCGATTCATCCGCGCCTCATTGCTTGGCTAGAGTCTCTGCCATAAAAAGGAAGAAAGGAACCGTCGAAATCTCCTATAGAGTCAACCCCGGGAATCCCTTTATCAATTCTCTTGGACCTGGGGCCACAATTTGGGGAGCGAAGATCACATCTTTAACACCACTTGAACGTGAATATGGTGCACTGATGGCTTTGCAATATTATGATCTCTGTGAAGAGATTGTCAAGGCGAAGCCGTCGCCGATTCTGAGTTATTCGGATGCCAGCCTTAAACCCATTGCAGACAATTATAACGTCAATTCTGCCCAGGCCAAAGCAATCAAATCCGCGCTGGATAATGACGCTTTTACTTTGATCCAAGGACCACCAGGATCTGGAAAGACAAAGACGATCGTGGCCCTTGTGGGTGCCTTGTTAAGTAATGTCCTCGGCAATCAAGGCGTTGCTATTTCACGGCCTGTGGGAATGAACAACGCTAAGCCCATTGGTGGAAGAACCACCACATCTAAGAAGTTGCTTGTGTGTGCTCCCAGTAATGCTGCCGTTGATGAGTTAGTCATGAGATTCAAGGAAGGAGTCAAGACGATCCATGGTCGCCAGGAGAAGCTGTCTGTCATACGTCTAGGAAGAAGCGATGCTATTAACAGCAATGTACTTGACGTTACCTTGGATGAGCTGGTCAACCAAAGGTTGAGTCAGTCAGCACGCAAGGATCCTGGAGAGCGGGATCTGCAGAAAATCTACATGGAGCACAAAGCTGCCGACACCGCTTTTAAAGAGACTCGTGCCAGGATGGATCAGTGCAGGGCACAAGGATTGCCTGTGCCAGCAGAATTGGAACGAGAGTTCGATCTGTTGAAGAAGAAGAAGACGCAACTGAGCCAGGAGATTGATAGCGCCAGAGACAAAAACCACTCAGCAGCTCGGGATGCTGAATTGAACAGACGCCGCATCCAGCAGGAGATCATCGATAGCGCACATGTTATATGTGCGACCCTTAGCGGAAGTGGTCACGAAATGTTTCAGAACTTGAGCATTGAGTTTGAAACCGTTGTCATCGATGAAGCAGCACAATCGATTGAACTCAGCGCCCTGATTCCGTTAAAATACGGCTGTTCCAAATGTATCCTCGTCGGTGATCCAAAGCAATTACCACCAACCGTCCTGTCGAAAGTTGCTTCGAAGTTCCAATACGAGCAAAGTCTTTTCGTCAGAATGCAATCCAATCACCCCAGGGATGTGCACTTGCTGGATGTTCAGTACCGTATGCATCCAGAAATTAGTGCATTCCCAAGTGCTGCATTCTACGATGGCAAGCTACAAGATGGCCCTGATATGACCCGACTTCGCACACGCCCATGGCATCAGAGCGAGTTACTCAGCCCGTACCGTTTCTTCGACGTGCAAGGGCTTCACCAGAGTGCTGCGAAGGGCCACTCCTTGATCAATATAGCAGAGCTTAGGGTGGCCATGCAGCTGTATGAACGTCTGGTGACAGATTTTCGAGCAATTGACTTTAACAGAAAGATCGGTATTATTACGCCTTATAAGGGTCAACTGAGAGAACTGAAGACACAGTTTGCTGCCAGGTATGGCAACGAGATTTTCACCAAGATCGACTTTAACACTACAGATGCTTTCCAAGGAAGAGAAAGTGAAGTGATCATCTTCTCTTGTGTTCGAGCTTCCAATAAGGGCATAGGTTTCTTGGCCGACATTCGTCGTATGAACGTCGGCCTTACACGTGCTAAGTCATCTCTTTGGGTTCTTGGAAATTCGCAGTCTCTGGTGCAAGGCGAGTTCTGGAATGGTTTGATCAAAGACGCCCGCCGGAGGAATGTATATACGGATGGCGATGTGCTCAAGATCCTTCAGCGGCCTCAGTTCACTGGGTATCAGAACGTCGACATGCTGGATGCAAGTGCCCAGGAGTCAGCTGTGCCATCCAGGGCTACATCGTCGGCACCTATCTCTCGGCCGTCGTCGGCCTCTGCGGATAATTCCTCATCGTCCGTGTCTGCGTCCAGACAAAATACCCCTCCAGTGCCTCCAGACGGGCCATCAGGGGGTGCTAATGGCTTGGATGAAACCCGCACGTGCGGCTATTGTGGAAGTTTTGCGCACATGACACACCATTGCGACAACATAGACGCGAAGGAGGCAACGAGAGGCACCTGCTTCAGATGCGGGGAGTCAGGGCATACGCGGTATTATTGCACGGCTCAGCGATGTGTGGACTGTGGACAGTACGGACATGTCTCACGCGAATGCCGATCCACTAAGCTTCTACCAAAACATGAGAGGTCCAAAATTGCGCGGGAAGAGAACCACCACACGCATAATCAAAAGCAAAGAACGGAGCGCCAGCGCCTCAGGCAACTGGGAGGACACGACCCTAAGGTACCTGTTGTTCAAGCCACACCAAGCGATGATAACAATGGCCCGGGAAAGCGAAAGCGTAAAGACTCGCCGCCAACCGAGGCCTCGAAGGCCACACGGCCACGTAATGATAACTTAAACGCTCCACCAGCCGGAGCTCCCAAGGGTCCGCGGCGTAAAATCGATGCTAATATCCCTGCTAATACAGAGGTGAGAATTACTGCTACTCGATCTTGATGATGACGACTGACCACTGTGGCAGGGACTAGTAAAGCCCTCACGCGATGGCCCAGCCTATGCCTCTCTGGATAAGGACATACCCTTCAACGGCCCTCGGCCAGGGCGCGGACCTGAAAGCGTATGTTTGGCCTCCGTGTGAGCATTCGACTACAGTTTACTGACTTCTTCTCGCGTGTAGCCACACCCACGTTCTGGACCACCAAGACCCGGCAATGGCGCTCGACCTCCCCCGATGCGGAAGAAGAAAGAAGCCGACCCATTCATTAGGCCTAAGCGGAGATAGATAGTGCGCTGCCTCATGGCCGTTTGGCACATCTTGCGACCTCGCTGTTTTCTGGGAGACCTATCACACACGGCATGGGTCTAATGACCCACAGCATGACATGTTGATCCTTTACTTGCATGCATATGAGCGAGCATTGAAGGACTTCCAGCATCGTTCTCTCCTTCTGTTTCTTTTTTGTATCTGCATTTGGGACGTCTTGCTTGGATGTAGCACTCCCACCATGTACACTTTCTCTCTTAGGGTTACGGTCGCAAGGCTCGCGAGCATATGGCATTCTGGCCGGCCTCAAGGAAAGCCAGCATTCCGTGGCGTTTTTGTTAGTTGGGGGTTTTTTTTTTCTTATGCAGAAGACGTGTGGTGGTGGAAAAGGTGGAAGAGCCTGCTTGTCCGCAACTTCCTTAGACCTGAAAGCCCCCCCAGGCTCTGGCTTTTCCCTTTTGTCCATTTTCCCTTTCAGGATAGACGAGGTCCTTGGTTGAGATGGCCCTAGGCAGATGAGAGACCTATCGTCTGTGATAGGCATGAACTATTTGCTTGTTCATGGTAGCAGCACGTATCACTGTGAGCTAACAGTCAACTGCAGGTGCGCTGACGGGGGGCCAGGCTGGTCGGAGAATAGCGACCAGTATGCTTCGGTGTTCCTCCTGTCACTCTCATCGCTGATGCAATCTTGCATGTGGGCATCTAGGAGGTATGGATTGACATTTAGACCAATGCGCAGGTCTCAGGGGCTCTGCTGTCGCCAGTGGTGGTACATAGTAGTGCTAGGCGATGATGACAAGCTACGCGAAAGCCGACTGGATAGATCGAGCCTGCAGTTGTGATAGCGATTGCGATAGACTCTACCCGTAGAAATCCGCCCTGGGTTTGAAGAAATAGGCACCCGCTGGGTACTGGATACTGTCGCGAGTCCATCCGACTGTCCGTAGATCGATTCATCCACTTGCTTGGCCAAGATTGGACGGGAACCGAAGGCCAGAGGGAGCCATGTGAGTTGTCTCCCCGGTGGGCCACAACGATCGGCTCTTCTGCGTTCTGACGGATGACCGGACATCCAGCTTCCATAGGTAGTAGATATCTACCGTGAGGACTCCAGTGGATGCGGATGGATCATGGAGCGCACCATGCAGGTGTCCACCTTGCCGCAGTGCGATCGGAGAATTGTTCGGACACACGGACGGTTGTCGTTCAGCCGGTCATCGTGAAGGCTGCGAATGAAGGACGACTGGTTCCTGAGGACGGGCGTTGCATGAACTATCAGCTGCAAGGGAGACCCGCTAGTTGGATCTTCTCTCCAGCCCTTTTCCTGTTCGGTCGTGATGCAGTCCCCCGCTGTCGGCTGCTGCTGGTCGGGTTGCCCATCGGCCAGTCTATCTATCTATCTCTTTCTTACTTACGGAGTACGGCGTCCATGCTTTTCCTCTGCTTCTGCTAGTTCGGGCCGGAGGAGAAGCAAACATGTCGTCAGTCCCCGACAGCGCGGTGGCCCATTCTTGGATGCAGAATCAGGGGCGGGCTGATTGATGATCCTCGACAGGCCCAGGGGAGTGAGGATGGATGGATAGTCGAGAGGTAGATACTTTGGCCTGGCTCATTCTTTGTTTGGCTTTTCCCTCGCCGTCGATAGTCAAGGCTCCGGGGTGGATTGGCTACTAAGAATATACAACACCACCAAATCGGGTATTTTTGCTTGCTCCATCGATAGCGATCCCCGGCACAGCCATTGAGCTGTTGGGGGGATCCGTTGGCCGGATTTCTACCGTCTTGGATTTATTATTGAACGGGGGCGACTTCAGATTGTAGAATCTCCGGCTTCCATCGTAATGATCGACCCGAAATGCTGGGAAGGACCGGCAAGGGCGTCGACACTGTATGACTTCCATGAGCGAAGGAAGATGACCGATCGAGGGTCGAGAAGGTCGGCCATGCTCCGGATGTGATGTGTTCCAAAGCCAACCCGAGGCCCCGACGTTGTTGATTGCGGATTGCTGACTGGTGGTGGGGGGGGGGAGAGACTCCACCGGGCCTGTCTGTGCATCTGTCACATTCCCGTCTTCCCTTCTCTCTGTGTCTCTCTCCCTCTCGCCCTCTCTAGTCTCTCCCTTTTCTTCCCTAATTTTGGCCATCCATGCCTTACGGCTGCGATGATCCACAGGTGATACCTCACATCCCCCCTCTCTCTGGGTCATTTTGTTCTCGCCAGCCGTTGAATCCCCTCGATGTTCTTCCCCCCCCCCTCCTCCATCCCATCGGATATCCCTTGCTTGTAACGGTTCGCAGGACCGACACTGGCAGCCTCTGAAGAAGAGCCGTCTGCGACAAGTTTCAACGTCACACGAAACTGGAAGCTGATGCCGATCAGGCACCCACCGGGGTTGGGTTTGTATCTCGTCCAGATGAATCCAACACCGATGAGGCTACAGTCGGACGGCGTAGTCCGTATCTACTCGATAGATCGTTGGACGCGTCTGACAGGGGGTCCGGGCAGACGCAGCTGGCTAACAGCGAGCTAGCGACTTAGTCTGGCTCCCAGACCGGCGGACGATCCCAGGAACATGGATGACGAAAATCCGCGATGCGCTGTGGACTATGACAGGACCGGCCAGCCGAGCAAATAGTCTGGCCTCCTCTTGTCAAACTCCCCCGATCGAGCGGCTGGCACGGACTCGATCGCTGCTCGACGTTTCTTCTTTTTCCTGTTTTTGCGCGCTCCATCCCTCGTCTCCGCCGGCTCTTTTTCGATTTTCTCGTGATCTTCCTCCGCCGCCGGGTCCCCCCTCCCTTGGTGTTTCAACCAATAATGACTCCACTAGCCTTGCTTGCTCCTCTCCCCCCCCCTTCTTTCTTCGTTGTGGCGGGCCCTTGGTAGTTGGTGCCTGCCACCGCGGCCCTTGGTCGAGTAACCCTCTATCTAGATCCAACTCTATCGTCCAGGCTATCGAGAACGAGGCAGGCAGGCTTGTCATTCGACGGTGCACCGACTCCGCATACGGAGTCGACATCGTTAGGCCGTCAGATCCTACTAGGGTCCCCCCCCCTCCCCCCGGCGCACAGCAAGGGCCTGACAGCTCCTCGAGATTCCTTCAGGACCCTTCATAAACTCCAGAGTTCCTCCCCTGGAGCTGCTGTTTCTTTTCCTTTGGGATAGATTGCTTCGCCCTCGGACCCCGGCAATTCCAGTCCTTTATCTTCTGTACATACATGCATACCTCGTCAATTGCACTCAATTGCTCCGCTTTGCTTTTTCATCTCCTCAGACCCTCCTTTGGACCCATTGGACTCGTCCCATTGCCCTGATGTCCTCATTGCCCCTGTGATACACCCTATTTCTATCCTTGCAGCGGCCGAGGAACTGCGGGAATAAATCCTTTCATTCGTCCGGTACATGACCGTTCCCACTCATCGCTACCGTTAACCTTTCCTACGACTTCCGGGGGATTTTCAGTATAGCGAGCAGCCGACGTGCAGCTGCGAGTCCCATGCCGCAGGAGGACGATTTTCATGAAGGCTTAGTCGCACCAAGCCCCGTCGTCCCAACTAGTCGGCCCAGTTCCCATACCTCCAAGAGTGGATACACCGCCATGTCGACTCTGACGCCCGACCAGTGGCAATCCCGGGACAATGTACCGTCCTCAGAAGCCATTGACATGAAGGATGATAACGCCACCGACTTTGCGAAGTTTATCGAGGCGCAGAGCCCCATCACCGGATCTACCGGAGCGCGTGAAATGCTAAAAGCAGGCCAGAGACGTCTTCGACAGCTCGCTCAACGCCAAAGAAAGAACACAGACCCTAAGACCAAGGCCGAAGAGTCGGCACGCCAATTGCTCGCACTCCAGGAAGGCGGGTTCCTACCGTCTAATGTACCCGTGCCTGCCGGCGTACCCAAGAGATCGGGCCACAAGAAAAGCCTCGACTCCAGCAGATCTTCCTCCCGGTCCATCTCCAACCTCAGTTTCAGATCAAGTTCCAGAAGAGACGTAGAAAGCATCGGACAACCCTGGCTGACGGACCCACTCGAGAAGAAGGACAGACAAGAGCTCAGAGCAAACCATCTGTCGGCGCTGGATCTACGGGAATTGACCTCTTTGGTGGAGGCTGCCGTATCCCTTCCTCCCCAATTCGATGACGCAAACCCACCTCCTTATCAGCCACCGACACCCGCAAAGGATCCCAAAGTTGAGATGCAGGGTGTTGACCAGAACCCAACCACTGCCTCCGATGCCGCAGACAGCACATCTATGCGGATCCAGGTCGACCACTGTGGAGAGCAAGAATCAGATGTTCTGCCTGCAGAGACCGGGTCGAATGATGAGAAGGCTTTGATGCAAAAGAACCAGGTGAGTGGACCTTCTGGGACCAGGGGCTCCGCAAGGCTAACATCAAGCAGGCTGGTCTCATGCCGGATGAAGACACAGGTCTCAAAGTCGACTCCGAAGCAGCCACCAAACCTTCCTCTAGCTCATCCGGAAGCTTGCCGACCCCCACAAGTCAATCCACCTTGTCTTTGAAGCTTTTCCCTGATACTATCCCCCCGCGCAATCCGAGTCGAGGAGCTTGGCGCATTTCCAATGCCCGTCCGTTAGCTCTCAACCGACCTCTTCCTGCCGCCCCAACCCCTGAGCGAACTAGCACAGATTCGAACACCGACTGCCCCCAACCGGCCGATAGCATGTCCCTCAAGGAGGACCGTGTTACTCAGAAGGTGTCTGACACCACACGGTCTGCTTCTTTTGATGCCGGGAAACCAGGCAAAGAGCCTATGGCAAGCCCGGTGCATGAGAAATCTTCGCAGAAGAAAAGCTGTCGCCGTCCTTCATCCCTGCCTATGTGTACCATCGAAGCGTTTCCCCTCCCAGCACCTATGAGGCCACTGCCCTCACTACCCGAATCAACATTAGCAATTGACAACCGACGCGCCTCTGGCAAATCTGCGCCTGTTGCAAGACTGGTGTTGGATGGTAAAAGTCCGGCCGCCAGTGCACAGGATGAACCGGCTAAGTCGGGCACACCTGTCATGTCCGGCCCTGTGCCACCAGTGAGAACGGGGCAGAGTCGGGCGGAGAGAGTTCATGCGTTGAAAATGAGAGATATGTCGGCGAGCCGCCTCTACCTGAGAGATTCAGAGACGCCCCAAGAGGTGGAAGAAGACCAGCCCGTGGAATCTGCAAAGAGCCCACAGGAAGTGACTCCCCAGGAACGTCTGGAGACACGGGCTCCCAAGCCTGAGACGGCTGATAGCCACAAGCGATATCAGAGAAAGGTCGCTTCGGACCCTCCATCCCCGCCACCTGTCTCGCCTCCGCCGTCAAAGCCCTCGAGACAGCTCCTCAGCCAGTCTATTGGCAGGCGATACTGCACCACACCCATCCATTGTAGCGCAACATTCGCGAGAGAGACAGAGTCACAGGGGACTGTTTCCAGCCGAGGCCCTCCCATCCGTCGGGCTAGTAGCACTCGAAGCACAGCCTCCTCGCAGGGGCGAGCAAACAAGGAGCAAAACTCTATGAGCCGCGCCGAGATCCCTATCCCGTCATCAGACGACGAGTGTACGAGCGCGAGCGCGCACCAGGACCGAGCACGTCCAGTGTCGGGCAAACGCCGACGGATGAGACCCACCCCTCTCACATTGACTGAGCCCGCGTCGCACAAGGGGCGCGCGACAAAGAGGTCTTCCTCCGATCATGCGTATCCATTTACGCCAAAAGGCCACAGAAGTCGCGTTTCAGAACGGTCTTCGCCGCGATCGCATCTGTCGCACAGCACTTATTATTCCCAGGATTCTCGAAGCTCCCACCGCCAATCCTCAGAAGTCATCCGGTGCCTTGAAGAGCGAATCGCGCACCTTGAGCGACAGAACAAAGTCCTTCAGGCTGCGCTCCTTGCCGCTCTGGATGTGGGCGTGAAGGACAATTTGGAAAGCGTGCTTGGGGGATCAGCTACCTCGCTGTCTACTACTGCGACGACGCCGGCTACGGGAAGTTCCTTTTCGTCTACGACGCACAGCTCCAGTTTGGATGAGTCCATGGCGGACGAGTGCCGACGCAGCCGCAGAAAACAGCCTCCTTACCGGCCCACCAGCTGGATTGCTAGCCCAGAGTCTAGCCGACGGAGCAGCTACGACACGGGTGACAGTGACCACGTGAGGGAATTGGAGGACATGATCGAAGATATGGATTTTGATTGGATGTCCGACAAGTCGGATGCTGTGAGAGTGTAGCGAGTCGAAGGCTGGTTCTGACCATTGTTGATGATTTTGGATTACGCTCGTTATAATGTCCGATCATACGCTGATGATCCATTGCATGCATCCCTGGTGGATGCAGCCATTTTACTTCTGATGTCATTCTCTGTTGCTTCCCGGTTTCTTTTGTGTCTGATTGTTGCGACGATACCACTATGCTTTGGCTTCGACTGTATTGGAATACCATCTGCTTAACTGGCTGTCTGTTAAATTAAACCTAGCATTCAATGTAGTAAATGTCTGCTTCCATGCAGCCCGCAGTTTTCACGAGTTGATCCCCTGTAACATCCTTTCAGCAGAATAGCTTATTGCTTGATAGATCAATCACAATATAACTTTAAAGTGAAGAGAACGCGGGCAGTACTATAAACGCGAAGACATGACTATAGGTGAATGCACGTAGTTACGAAATTATTACCAGGAGCCCTCATACAAAAGCCATTCCTCATGTCACCTAATACCTATGCTACTACATCACAGAAAAAGAGTAACTTCTATACCTTTCACCCTATTCCGTCCTAATCCTTCAGCTAACCAAACCCTATTTCCAAGCCCAAGCCTGAAAGTAAACTTTCTCCACAAGCCCAGGCAATCGGGTATGTATACACATATCCCAAAAGCGAAGCAGACCCTGAAGTTATGCATGGATCGTTACAATTACTCCACACCGATCCTATCAACTACATGATCCTTCCAATAGAGACGAAGAAAAACACATACTTCATATCAAGTTTGATGAATCCTACACGTAATCAGAACGGGGCGCAGAAGCATACCCTTTATGATGATCTGCAGGGTTGGATTATCAATACGCACCCTGTATCCTAGGAACTTATCAAGTTGCGCTTTTAAATACTCCTTCCATGAGAGGGTTAAATATTTTGGCAGACATCAGTATTGATAACTGGATGAATGAAGGCACCATATGACTTCATGACTGGCGCTGAGGCCGTGGAAAGGAAGCTTGAAATTAACCTAGGGGGCGAGGAGAGGTTCAATGGGTTCAATATGCTCATGAAAGGATCTTGGATTGGAATCCCACAGCAAAGGTACTCATCCTAGCGTCTGAAAACACATGGATCATCAACCCTGATTCTAGACATGTGCAGTTGGAATACCCACTCTCTACCTCATGGAAATGGATTAAAAAATATCGGGCCAGAGGTAGAGTGGCAGAAGTTCGAAGAAGCAGGTTTCCTTTTCGACTAGATTGAGGATTGCATTCCATTACAACTCACGAGTTCATTGAAGCCGATGTATAAGGACAAGATTTATGAAAGAGATGAGGATGATTTGGATACTATTTCGACCTGTGATATTGGAGGTATATGGTGGTCGGGGAAAACTGGCTGGGATGTTTCCTTATGGGTCATGGTTCGGTCATTGAGTCGGCGCATATTATCCCCTTTTCATTGTCAAATTCGGAAGCGCAAAGCATTAAATGGCTTTCTATTTGATGGCTGAGAGTATTGCCAGGGAAAGGAACAGTATGGAAAACCAGGTCTTTCGTTGGAGGTAATCGGTGGATGAAACTGATGCCAGATGTAATTGTAATGGGGCTTTTCTGTTCCATCTTGAAATCTGGGGATTCCCATTGTTGGGAAAAGAGTGCGAAAGGGAGGGCGACAATCAGCATGCGGAGTCGCATACAGTCCATGACAACAATTTTCACTAGTATCCATAGAGTTGGTAGGGTTTTGAATTCTAATCCAATGCAGTTCTTATATTTTGTCTGTGTACTTTAATTGGCGGTGCGTAGATTTAAGGTGGACACCAGCAGCCAGCGGGAGGAGCCCCAGGCCACGCACCGGCGTGACCACCACCACTCACGCCGGAGAATTGTTGATCAACACAGCTCCAACAACAGCTCCATCTCCCCACCAAATTGCTACCAAAACGACCACCATATCAAACCCCTACCCAGAGATGCCATAGAATCATCCTCCACAGCAACAAACTCACAACCCCACGCTCTCCGACAACCCAACCTCCGCAACATCACCATGGCGCACCCAACAACAGTACGCTCCCCCTCCTTCCCCCTCTGGCATAATCTAACAAACCACCCCCTCCAGACCACCCAACTCCCCCAACACGTAACCTCCCTCCTCTCGCACCTCACCTCCCGCCCCGGCGTCCAATCCACCTTCATCCTCTCCCGCAAAGACGGCTCCATCATCCAAAGCACCGGTCTCTACGCCGCCAAACCGCCCCGTGCCAGCCCCCAACCCCCCGCCTCCACCGACGAGACCTCCTCCTTCCAATCACCCTCCTCCCCCGAACCGCCTAAGAAACAAGACGAACCATACCACCCCTCGCAAGCGGAAGCCCTCGCCGCGCATATCTTCGCGTTCGTGTCTAGCGCGTCAGAGCTGAGTCTGTCGCTGTCGAGCGCGGAGGACGGGGAGGTGCCGAGACAGGATGGGATTTCTGCAGAGGGGGATGGAGTGCCGGATAGGGAGGAGGGAGACGATGAGGTTAAGTTGTTGAGGTTGAGGACCAAGAGGCATGAGATTGTGGTCGTGCCGGATCGGAAGTATTTGCTTTGTGTGGTGCATGATGCGGCGCATGGGGTGGGGGGTGGTAGTGGTGGTGGTGGTGGTGGGAGGGGGCGATGAAAGGTTTTTCGATTGTTGAATGATGGATGGATGGATATACCCGGTTTTGTTTGATGTAGGGGTTGGCAGTTACCTTCTTTGTGTATGTTGAATGTATTTGTTTAATGTGTGGTGGGTTGACTGGATGAGGATGAATTGGTATGCTTTGGTCAGGGATGCTGAGTGCTATGATATGCTGTGAATCAGCGCAGCGATCTATCCATGGCAGCTCTGCACCAGATGATGAAGGAACATCCGGGATTCACCTAATTGATTAACCCCCGGAGATAGCAGAAAAGATTCACCAATTAAGCTTCACCCTCCGCCCCAGCCAGCTATAAAAGGGCCTTTGCACCCTCCCATCCACATCTCCAGACTACTCAACAATCTGCATATGCCAGCAATTATACCACTGCAATAAACCTCAACTGGATGAATGGCTAGTCCTTGTATACCAGCATGATTGATACGCTTTCAGCATTCTGCATATACTTCAAGATACCTAACTCGTCATATATACGTCGTCCCACCAGCCTCAAGCTTGGGCTGCCGTAGTCCACGAAGGACTCAGCATCAATGATGTAGATCTTGATCAATCCGCATCTCAACAGCCTTCCGTCATCTACCAGCTCAGACGACTGCGATATATTCCATTATATATCATCCCTTCTACAACCCTACAATGGTTACTCCTCACCCAGCTAGGCTACAACCAAGCCACTCAGCGTCTCATTACTCCTCCGTGCGACACCTGCCCTCTGCTAGGATACTATATACCATACTGCCTCGGCCCAGCATAAAGAATTGGACTTAGCCTTCATCCACATGATATCACACACTACAGCTACACACATCATGATGAAATATGGGTTCCTGATGTGCTAAAGCATGCTACCATGCAAACATCACCCATCAACAGCATTTCGAAACATATGCTGCCCGATTAAGGGCATGGATCGTGAGACTATACGAACCAGAACAGTCTCCAGGACTGGACAAAACTCCAGAGCACAATTTTGCGGCCGTGTCATTTCTCAGGGTCCCATTTATAAGGATGCCAGGATACACGCTGTGAAGGATATGTTCGATACCTGGGGCTTTGGGGGCTTGCAGACTGCATCGTGGCTGCGAGAATTTATCTCGCCTTGCGCGTTGTTGCTCCGAGCGTCGTTTGCTTGTCTCTCGTTCAGAAGTGGACAACATGGTTGGATATATACAATGGATGAGGGTACTATGCAGAAGGCAATATTGCGCTACCAGCTTCCTGGCTTTGACTTTTTATATGACGGCTACACCGTTTTTTAACAGCGCCGGGAAATTAGAAGTTAGCCGGCACTTCAACCTGGATAGCAGCCAAAGAAACACAACTCTGGAAATGGTGCCTGTTATACCGACGGAGAACAGCGGTATTCGGGAACTGGGTTGATTTGCGTCTACTCACTGATGAACCACTCACGACCCTGTCTGAGAGCGAGCCTAGACAGTGGGATGTCCAAATAGGGGAAGAGGATAGTGAGTTTGGCGCTACAGCACTGGCAACATCAGCAGATTGAATCCATTTCTTGGATATGAGAGGATCGAATGAGCAACCTACGGACAGAGACTGAACAAGAGCAGAAAGCCATCAGATATTGACAATCAATTTCAGCAGACTCTCTGAATATCTCTTACAAGATGCAAAGGCTTCGCGGAATCTTACTCTGGATCACACGGGCCACATCAACGAGAATATCAAACTGACCCTTGGCAATCGTATAACTTACGGAGGACATATGTCTATTCGATTCTGATAGGGTTCGTATGTACGAGTATCCGCAGCCTGCATGCGTTTTAGATTCGATCTTGACGGCGATACTATCACGCGGATATAGATCCACAACGTACTGCGTATGAGCGCGTGGATGCAACCGTGGATATCATGTGGTCGATGGCTCTACTGATGAGATCATCGACAAGGCTCCAGCCACGGCCCTTGTCCTTGTATATCGATAGCGCATCGTTTGCGGCAAGCTAAGAAGACCGACAGCAGTACAAAGAGCACCTTCGGATTCGCCAGCAAGGGTCTATAGGCGATTATTGTTCTGATCCGGTCTCATTGACACCCTAATCTCGGATTTGAAGAGGTATTTCATCCCAGATGCCAAGTTAACTCTTCTACTGGGCTGAAGCCAGCCTATGGATATGTGACTCACCAGCTAGCCTCGAAGCTTCCTAGGGCACAAGGCTGCACAGACGAGGCATCGATCGGCTGAGATGCAGAGCAGGCTAGTGCGCTTATCATGGAGCAGAAGGACATGTAGTGGGAGATTGTTCGGAGTCATTCCATGCCTTGGTCCAAATTACGGCCAATGGATCTTTCCATATCGCCCATGTCCGACATGTGGCAGGTTGTCGACCAAGTCGCAGTCAAGGAGACACACTGTCTGCCAGATCAACGAGGTAAAAGGGTACTTGTCTGTTTTCAAGCTCGGCATCGTCGTTCTGGAACGAATCGTGGGCGATGAGTGTCAGCCCTTCTCATGCAGTCTGAAATCTTCCAAAATCTCAAGGAATGATGACCCATCCATGTCTGGTTCCTACCGGCCATTCCTATAACCAATGACCCAGAAGATCTGGCCGCTTATATCGAGTCCTGGAGGGGTGTGGCTAGACCACACGTCCCTACGACACTGATCGAACACGATCAGTATCGGATAATCGCCAATCCATGATAAGGAGCATCTTTCCACCGAAAACACCCGTCGGAGCTCGATACATCACTGAGCGGTTGTTGAACTGGAAGCTCTCTCCTGTCAAACCAGGATGCAAAACACCAGTGGCAATCATGTTGCACGCCTGCAATATATGCCAAATGGGCAGTCCGTCTTCTCGGATTGCTGCTAGACACATGGTTTTCGGTCCGGTTCCACGGGCTTATACTATCTGCAATTGGAATATACCCCGCTTGCTTGCTCCTACCTCATAACCCAGAGTAAGGCTCCTCTCTCCCACCGCATGACATCCTTTACTAATGAACCGTCTTCCAGAGACAGCCTTACAACGATGTCCGACCCTCTTTCTTCTGAATCGGCTGGCGACGTCCTAGCTGGCTCAGCTGACTTTCCGGCTGACGAGAATAACACAAACGAGGTGGGTGACTCCGGCCAACAGTCTGAGGCTCTCGATGCATCCACTGTTGAGGAGGTCAGACCGCCCGTCGATGATAATGGCCTTGAGGAGGACGGCGCGATAGACGAGGATGAGAACCTTGACGAACTGATTTACTGGCGCGTGGATGATAAAGTCCCTCGGCCGGATGAGACCACCATCGGAGCCATCTTTAAGATCATCCTTGCCGCACCGCGAGCCTCTCAGCCTGAGCAGACAACAGAATCCAGTGCGTATTGCCATGCCCCTGCTCCTCGCCGAACCAGCCCAGCCCAGACTCGTCCGATCCTTCCTCTTGCAACGCTGGCCCTCTGACCTGATGACAGCCTCGAAGACTCCGCCCTACGAGTTCCTGGGTGAAACCCAAGATACAACGATTGGCACCCGTATGCGGCTGTATACCATACGCCAGTCCGGGTTTCCGTCGTATTTGGAGATGTCTTTTATATAGGCATTCGACCATGATGACACCACCAACGCAAGACTAACTAACTACCTGTTAGTTATGGGAACTGTTGAATGACTAATCAGTCATCTGACCCTCGGCCCCCTTAGCTAGGATCCGTAGCCATCTGAATCAACAAGCTTCAAGGCTTCACATCCAACAGGAACAGTATCAGACGGCAAAGATATCGGTGAATCGGGAATAACGTGAGTTAAGCAGTACCCGTCAAGCTTGAGAGAATGCCGTCCCACAACATGCTTCGGAACGACACAAATTGTCCCTGTGGGATTGACGGCTCCAAGGCAGTTATGGCGGAAGCTATGACTCGCATGGTCGAACTACAGCCCGATACGTTATACGAACTCGGGATCTCGAACATTCCCGGTTTGCCTTGGTGAACAGGTGCAGAGCCCTTATGATCTCGTGTGCTGCAATGGGTTTGGACACCGACCAAGAGATAACATCCCTTTCAACCCCAAACATGTCGATTTGTATCTTTTCCAAAACCGGAACGCGTCCTGCCAGAAAAAGAATCCTAGGCCTTTCGTCTCTACTCTGCTATTTCGCATCTAGAGAGAAAGCACATCATTGGTGTTTCTTAGGTGGATAAATATTTTGGATATAGTATTAATTGACTAGATGGACTATAGGAATTTCTGATTGTATACTCAATCAAAAAAATACACAAAGAAGTCAACAAGGCCTCAAGTATGGGAAAGATGCCCCAAAACTCGGAACGAGAAAGTGAAGGAGGGGGGGGTTGGAACTTGACATATCAGCTGCTTTGATGGGCATATATCTATAGGCGTCCTCGATGGTACATTGCCAATATGGAACCCAAGAGCTTTTCCACCGAAGGGGTTGGTTATTGGAAACCTTATGGCATGATTTTTGCTGGGAGTTTATTCGGAATGATCTGGCGATTTATCTTTCTTATATCAATGGTATCGAGTGTTGGGTATCATCGAAAAAAACATGGGATTTGTGCATGCGCATTCCACACTAGTCGCACGTGTCTCTGGCAGCGTGGATTATATGATTCTCTTGTGGGAGGGAAGACATGCACAAGGCATAGCTCCTATATGCCGTGCTGGTACCTGTTCTCTAGCGAAGATTTAGGTCCTTTCGTATACTCAGGACGTGTTGTTCATAATGCTTCGAGTATTAATATGATTATTGTCATTATTGCTGATTTTCCAACAGTAAGGCCTTCGTTCACTATTAGAATGGTTGTGTCTCTAGATGATGACGGTTAGTCTTATATTTGAGAATTGTTGATGATGAGTTGTGAAAAGCGTTGGGAAGGACTCGATCGTGGTGTTCTAAGCATTTTGCTATGTCGGTCCGGTTCGTACTGGTTCGTAGGGGGAATAGGGGAGGAGGAGGAGATGTTCAAGCTAGAGGTGTGGTTGGGGCATGGTCCTGGTGGGATTTCTTGGTGTAGAAGCTCTTTTTAAGGATCTAGAGGAGTGCGTTCTTGATGGTATGTAGCTCCAAGTTTGGTTCAAATTTAAGCATTCAAGACCTCCATATGTAGTTCCAGATCCATGGTAGCGTAATCCTATAAGGGATACAATACACAAGGGATCAATGTACCTCGAGGATTCAGTAAGACGTAACATGGCACAGCTCTTCCCAAATCAAGTAGTCATACTGTAAATCTCGTCTCTCATTTCTCACCTCCACCTGACCATAGACACACCACACGCATCACCCCATCATCACACTACATCCCGAGGAAAGATTACTCCCTCTCCCCCGGCAACCTCACATCCCCCCACCCCCTACCACTCCCATCCCCAATATCCACGGCACTCCCCGTCTCACTGACCCCCTTCCACTCCGTCACATTCAACCACCCAATCTGCTGCAACCCGCCAAACCCCCCAATCCAATAAACCTGGGTAACCACCAACCTCGCCCAAAAGCTCGCATGCGGAGCGCCCTCCCTCCCCGGCAACCACACCTCCGCATCAGGATGCTTCGCCAGATAACACTCCTTCAGGGCTGATTCCGTTTCCTCAGGTACAGGGGTCTCAAACGGTTCGATGTATCCGAAGAGGGTAGCGCGGGGAAGACCAGCCTGGGAGAGAGGGAAACCGGGGAAGACAGGGGCGGTGTCGTTGATGTGGGACCACCAGTCGAGGGAGAGGGAGATGTTGGAGCCGGAGGCGGTGTTGCGGAAGGTGGTGGCCACGCGGAGGGCTAGGAAGGTTGGGTTGCCTTCTTCGGTGGGGGGGTTGGGGAGGGTGGCGTCGCAGTCGGCGAGGTATTCGGTGAGACTGATGGAGTGGCCGGCTACGGAGGGGGGGGCGTGGGAGGTGGAGGGGAGAGGGGAGGGGAAGATGGTGGAGGCGATGCCGGTGGTGGAGAGGGCGAGGAGACGGCGGGCGAGGAGGGTCGAGGTGAACCAGGAGGGGGCGACGGTGTTGGGTTCGAGGTCAGGAGAGGTGTTGGGGTAGATAGTGTCGGTGGTGGTGGTGTCGTGGTTGATGTCGGTGTCGGTGTTGGTGTTGGTGACATCGGTGAGAGGCGCCTGTTCGGCGAGCGGGCTGGCTCCGACGTGGAGGAGATGTCCGAAGAGCAGGAGGGTGGAGAGGAGGGTGACGAGTGGTCGAGCCATCGTGAGGTGATTCTGCATGTAGTCAGATCCAGTAAGGTAGGAAGTAGAAGATCAGCTCAGTTCGATGGGAGACAAAGAGTCCTCCGGTCGGGGAAGAGAGGAGTAATGAGGGGAAGAAGGAGAACAGCCGACCAGGTCACGATCTGATCTTATCAGATGGCGCTAGGCCACACTGGGCAGTCCGCCCATAACGGTCGCCAGGTGATTTCCCGGGCGCATCCGGTGCTTCCGGCCCTGTCCGACCGACCTGGCTGCCTCAGGCCGGGAGAGGCACTGTGTGACTCACAACGAGCAAACAAACCACACCCGGATGTATCCAGAGCGGCTGACCCCAACATCATAGTTGCGGTGAGTCATAGTGGCGCGAGTCGATCGCCGAAAGGCGCCCGTCCGGAAGCGCAGGCTCCGTTCACGGACGAGGCTGCCTCTGCGTTACTCAGGGTGGGGTACGATCAGGCAATCTCAATCACGCGGCACGGCTCAGATCCTCATCAGATAACATCTTCATATTGGTGGCCCTCGAGCAGCCACACCAGGTCGACGCCTAGTGTCTACCTATCAGTATTTCGAAGAACAGGAAATCCATCGTTTTGCCAGTAAAACTCCGCAGGTAATAGTAATATGCGTTCCCTCAGCCCGTCGCGATCCCAGATGTCAGAAACAATGCATGGCAAGAAAACAAAGCGAAAGAATCAGACCCAACCGTTCCCCACCGCACTCCGGTGCCGCAATGACAGTAGTAATAAATAACGATAGATATGGCAAATGTGGACAGAGAAATGGTAAAAGATAGCAACGAAACCACCCCAACATACATCATACACCAGCAGTCCGCCGCGGCAGCAGCACCACTGTACAAGGCAAAGTCCACGCAGACTCCCGGCCCAGGTCCAACAACAGCTGCGGGGTATATACAAAGACGACGACTTTTGCTTTCCCCAAACGCGTGAATCACCTGAGATAAAGTTCGCACAAAACTTTTCCCTACCGGTCTGCGTCTCTTCCGCTGCTGTGTTGCGAGTAGATCACAGTCTCACTCGGTCGACGAGATCAAAGATTTGGTTAGAATAGAATTATTGGTATGGTTGGTGAATGGAATAACTTTTCCTCAAAGGAAAATCAAATGAATGGATATCCACAGGGATATGTAAGGCGACTTGGATAGGGGTGGTCAAAGCCCATCTAGCTCTAGTAGTCTGCCCGCATGCTAGGATTCAGTGCAATTTTCCTGGCCTCGCTCCCGCAGCAAGCACGCTTCATGCCAGCTGGGCCCGAGAGCGGCACGTTATAGTTCAACGCACTCAACTGAGCAGCCGTCAGAGATTGCGAACGGGACCCGGAGTTCAGGAACAGACCAGCCATGTTGCCATCAGGTAGCACAGTGCCTTCAGCAATCGTGTTGGACTTGATAAGATGACGGACATGGCCCTGCAGAAGGAGATCCTCAGATCCGGTGCGACCACGCTTGCGGCATGAGCGCTGGCTGACGCCTTGCTGCTCAGTAGTCTGCTGGAGGCGTGGGACGGCTCCGGACAGCTCACAAAGGCTTTGCGCCGCTTCATGGGCAGACGACAGATCCACCGGGGGCTCCAAGGAGTAACCCGACAGATCGGGAACCTGGCCAAGGGAACCGCCATAGGTCTCGGGAGAGCTGAAGATGTCTCCGAGCGCCCCTTCATCGACGGGCGATGCGATGGCCAAATTCTTACGACCTTCCTTGATTGAATTACCAGTGCATCGTAGCGTAGCCTGGACGGCTAGGCGAGGCAAAGTAGCCATACCGGTAGGACCCGACGCGTTCGAAGACATGGAGGACGAGCGCGAGGATCGCGACGACAGGGTCGACACATCCGAGACCATTGAATCGGGAGACGACGCCGACGAAGCGGACCGGGCCAAAGATGACCGGCGCGTCAGATTGGGGTAACCATCAAACGTACTAGCCTTAGAGCAAAGCGACAGCGACGGGCGCTGGTCGTAGATCGACCGCGCCGTGCACATGTTTTGCGTCTGAGACATAGCCGTCTGCAGATACCGTCTGTGCGCAGAGATACCACCAGCACTCACGGCAGGAGTGGAGGCGATGCTTGATTGAGGGGTCATCTGCGGCGTCGGCAACATAGCCGGTCGCGGCATAGATGGCAAGGAGGGAAGGGAAGGAAGCGACATCTCTCCACGAGACACTGGTTCCAACGTCAGTGGACGGCCACAGGTCGGAATTTGCTCGTGGATGGAGGGCAAGCTGACGGGTCCGTTCGTTGCGAGACCGGGGAGATCCCTGCGGAACGAGGTGCCACGAGGGGACGGGGAGTCCGACACCGGGCGGGTGCCAAAGGAATCCATGTCCGAAGGCGTTGCAGGACTGACGTCAAAATCCTCCAAGTCGGGAGTGAGCTTTGGGATAACGGTACGCCAACACTGCCCGTCCCCAAACACCATGCTACCAGCGCCAGGAGTATACTTCAATACAATATCCGTCCATCGCTGGAAGAGGGCCTCGGGGATATGAAGACGCCAATTTACCGCTTCAAGGAACATCAACTCGTTTTGATTGATCTCGAGCGTGTTCAAGCCCGAGATTTTACTCCAGGCGCGGGCAGAATAGTTCCTATCTTGAAGATACTTGGAGGCGAGGATAAGAGCCGCCAAAAACATGCGGCGACCACACTGCATGGCCCGGCAAACGGGCTTGCCTCGTGATTGGTCCTGAGTCAGATCATGGCTCGGCACGTGCGGCTTTATCTTGATCAGGTAGTACAGCGCCACCTGGAGTGTACTATAGCTTGTGCGGGAGCGACGGAGGGTCTCCTGGATGAACGTCCGCAGAGGCAAGACGCCTTTGCATCCGGTCGCCGAATCACTCCGCAAGGAGACAGCCGACAGAGGCCAGATGACCTCGACGATCTGCGACGCGGTGTCTTCACACGGTGTACTTAGTTCTGAACCTCGACCACAACATTTAAACAACGGACAGTTCCCCAGACTTACCGACAAGATTATCGACGAAGTTGACCTTGCGCTCCGACTGTCGCAACAGACAAGGCGGAGGCCGCGCGCAAGACACGCCGTTCGACTGAACCGAACTGTTGGTCCGCCGAGGATGCTTACGTAACTCCGGCGGAACCGCAGGATCAGTAACTTTGGGGACACCCCCCCTTACACAACCACGCGCACTGTGTGTCGCGGCAAATCCTCTTCCTCCAGCCTGGTATTCGCCGTCATTCTCCCAGATCACATCAACCGGGTTCGTCGAGGTTGAAGAGATCGAACTCTGGGTGGACACACCATCCAGTGAGAAGACCGAAGAGGACGAGGAGGAGGCGGAGGAAGAGACCGACGATGCATACGGGTGCGCATAGGCCGTTCTGAGTTGGGTGTTCGGGTTTGGATCCTTCAAACCCAAGATGTCAATCCCTGACATATCCGGGATGTTGTGCAGTCGAGCGACCTGAATACCTTCAAATAGGAAAGATTCAAAAGTACCTCAAATGGTCATCCAAAGGGCTAGCGACGGTGTGCTAGACCTTCCTTCACAAAAAAAAGCCGGATATGGCGCGAGACTGGAGTGTTATAAACCGTGTTTTTTTTTTCAATAAACCGTTGTGCGTGAACCGTGAACGAGTAGCCGATAAGACAAGGAACCGTCTTTTGAATCGCAGGCGACGGCAAACCCTTAGTAGCGATAGTTCGCCAGGTTGTCGGAGTTAAGTTGGAGGTGAAATTAGGTTAGGAGAGCGATAGATGAATCATCCAACACGAGGAATGTTGGGTGGCAAGTCGGGCGTGAGATGTAGGTATAGGGAAAAGGCGGGCGAGCAGTGGTACGTGTCAGGGAATCGGGAGAGGAAGGGTTATTCACCGTCTAATGTTCCGATCACCAGTTGTAGAATCCAGAATAGAATCAGACCGAATGTAACCAGAGAAACACGTGGGATGCCAACGTGACGCTCTAGGACTGTGGAAGCTGAAGCTATTTAAACAAACGCAGCGGACTTGCCGGAGGTTTGAAGATCTGAGGAGTCTGCAACAAGGGTGATCGGAACAATAGACTTGATAACAACAGGGTACATTTTGAGACGCGGTGGCGCTGGGAGTTATATCACGAGCTGGCTGTCAACAAGCAGGCGCGGCGCTTGTCCAGGCAGTCAGCAGTCGTATCGGAGGCAGCAGATACAGAGGTGAACGAGGCTCAAATAGGCTGAAGGCGAAGAAGGAACGAGTCAGCAACGATCTTATGAGAGTCTCCCCGCTTAGGCGCTCGCCTATGACTCTTACTCCGGATCTCACTTAGGTCAGGAACTGGAGGAGGGTCCAGCTGTCCGGTGACTATACGGAGGGCGGAGCAATAGAGAAATGACTAACTGGGGGCGGCGGCCAGACTAAAACGCAGGCAGAGATGGGCAACCTGATGCTAGCCGGAGGCGAGTGGCACGACGTAGGAGTCAACCGGCTTAAAAAAGGAAATCATAGTTACTCACCGGAGCCAGTGGCGAGAGTGGCGGAATCTGTCTTGAATCTGAGCGGACGCAGGGGCCACGCTTTTCTTCAGAATAATGGATTGAAAAAGGGTGAGAGCGGAGAGGCGACGGGACGGGCAGTGAAAACCAGCAGCACGGCAAGCAATGCAACACCAAGGGAATATACGGATGATTCTCACTCTCTAGTCACACTTCCTTTCTAGTGAAAGAAAAGAAAGAGACTACGTGGAAGTGTGAAGGGAGGGGGAGACGGTAGAAAGGGAGGGTGGAGGGGAGAATAGAGAGGCAGTGAAGAACAATCAGCCCTGCTGGCAGAAAGAGGGAGAGAGCCGGAGTAAGTAAGTCAAGACGAAGGGGAAGGCAGAGGATGGTCGGAAGCAGGACGGGAGCGGATCGAGTGGAGGGACGATGACTCTTCACGCCCGTCAGAGATAGGGACCGCCCCTACTGGACAACTCTGGGCCCCGAGTTGGGCATGGAGACTTTCATGGTTTTGGTTTGGTTTGGTTTTGGTTTTAGTTCTGGGTCTGGTTCTGGTTCCAGTGCCTTTCCACGCCCCCCATTTTTCGCCTCTCTGCATTTTCTCATTCTTCTTATTCATTATTCTTTCACTACCGAGCCCTACCTACAGGAGGCGAATCCCTTCCGCTAGCAACGTCCATGGTAGCCACGAGTCCGCTGACCTGCCCTTTACTTTATGTCTGATTCATAATCTTGTTCCGCCATGCTTACTAGAGGCAGTTCCTCCAGCACGGCCCAGCATTTTTTGTGCTTTTTCTCACGTCGGCATGACTAAGACTCAAGCACCACATAGTTAACTAGATACCCCCATTTCCAGATATAGCGATAGCATAAGCCCTCCCCAGAGTCTGTCCATCGATAGACAATACTACATAGTACAACGTCACCGGGATGATAACACGATACGATGTTGTAGGCTGATAAGTGAGTGGCCGTTCATTCCGCGACTATCGCACAGCCGACTCATACTATCAGTTGTTATCAACCAAAACGTATTTAGGTGCTTATGACAGTGGCTGTTGTCCTACCCTGTCGGCAACCCTAGCCGTGGAAAAGATACCTGATAGAGACATCCCGTTGCAACAGAACCGCCTCGGCCAACTGCTCGTACGCCCCTTGACTATCGGGTTGACGTCGGTATCATCAGGGAATAAGCATAATCCAATAGACGATGACATGAAACCGGCCTGTCATGGCTGGGATGGAGGGTGTATAGGCAGGCCCCAGTCAAATGTAACCTTCGTTTACGATGTGTAACATAAATCATGGTATATCTAGCATATTGATCATTATTGATTCCCCCGGTCATTGGGAGGGAGAGACCTGCCGCTTCCGTCCATGACCCAGCGAAAAATGGTGTTGGTCAGCCAACCACCGCGGGCGGATTTGCCAGCCACGCCACCATCGTCAGAAATGGAGAGAAAAAGACTTTTGCTGAGACAGTGACACGTACATACAGGGCCAGGAGATCTCTCTCTGCCTTACTTAATTTTCCTGTCGTCGTCATTTCGGGGGTTCACTACTTCATAGTATCTAGTACTATTCTTGTGGTCGCTAAACGTGGAAAGGGGGAAACGACGACGGATGGGGCAGAACAAACACAGCCTGCTGGCTATGCATGAATCTGGATCCCCCCCCCATCTTAATAATTCGACATGATCACCGACCTCCTCCTGCATTGGAACATGACCTGATGCAGACCGCGTACAGTGACCACCTCCTGGGAGTACTATCCCACTGGACTGTACCATGCTGGAGCAAAAAAGAACAACTGGCTGTGGAACCCCCTCCGGTCGCAGGAAGATTAGGTAACCACGGTGGTGAGGTCTAGGCAGCAGAAATGGAAAAGGAACCGACCAGTGACAGCGACCCGGGGCGTTGACAAGCGCCATATGGGACTCCGTCTTTACTCCGGAGATGATGCTATATCCAACCAATCCTCTGACCCGGTCGCCCGATTGTATGATCATGAATAAGCTCCCTACTCCGTACTGCGGTATGCCATTCCGGGGTAGCTCCTGAGGCTACTGACTCCCGACTGAACTAACCACATCACAGTATGGACTAACAAGTAAGCCCGTATCCACCTTCAAGACCCAGCAGGGCCCCAGGGTCAAGGCCAGATGTCCAAAATGAAGTAATACAGCATCAACTAAGCAGATGCTACGGGGTACAGCTTCCTTTGGGAGCAGGATCCAGTTCGTCTGTTTGCCAGCACTGAACGATGGGGTAGAGTGACAAGACTAAGCCCACCCATGCATACTTAGGAGTACATAACAAGTACATAACCGCATCACATGATTCCTTCATTTTTTCTCACCACAGCCTGGCTCTTAGGTGAGAATCACGTACTCTGTACTCCCAACATGAAGAGTCATAGTCCTATGTAATTCTCCGTGGCGAAACTTGCATCCATCTACGGAGTACTAGGCTCGATCACCGAGAACCTCATGTTGTACCTGATTATGGGTATCTAGTAGGCTGGGGGGAGGCTGTGGACCTCTAAGAATAGGTGCATGGCTATTGGCTCGACATAATACCTAATCCTAGCAATCAAAGAAGGGCTGGCTGGACGCGGACGGTGACAAATCCCATGACCTTCCCTACCCGCAGGTGCCGTAGACTGAGTCATGGCCTGGGTGGCTGTGGGAGACTCCGGCCATCACACCGTTCGGGTTAGTAACAACAGTGCAAAAGCCAGCCAAACCCGAGGGGGGTGGAGCCACACCGCCCAATGACGTGGGGTCAGAATTCCGTGCCGGGCTGCCCGGTGAATTAGACGCCCCTGTCCGCTGGTTGGTCCGCTGGTTGGCCCGGCAGTCAAAGGAGCCCCGCAGTCGGATGCATTTTGAATGTGATGCCATCCAGCCAGTTGGCGGTCTTTGGAATCTTCCAGCTGGGGATGGTTGTTGGACGATCCTTCTCGCTCCTCGGAGTACGCGCAGAGAACGTCCGGGAAGTTTTCAACTGGCGACAAGACCTGTCATCTGTTTAAACTCAGTAGACAGGAGGAGCCCGGAGTTTTACTCTTCAAAGTCTGTCTGATGATATTTCAGGCTTTGGCGACAAAACATATTTCCTGGTAGTTACTCACCCTGGTCAGAACTATATTATCGGGGGGTGGGTGATAATGCCAGCCTCGCCATGAAAGACGCCGGCAGGTAAGAAACCCTGCTAGAGGAAACACTATCTGCAACCTAAGTCAAAAGTTCAAACCAAAGACAAAGCCTGTCACAAAAAGTACTGTACACCCTTACGCGCCAAAAGGCAACCCGCGAGCCCGTCGTAGCAAATCATCGCGGAGCGGCGTACATCCAACTGGCCAGCAGCGAAATCCTCCGGCGGACTGCCTCAGGCGACGGACGAGGCAGCAAACACCATCCGCCGTCGTCTAGAACAGGATGGAAAGAACTTTAACGACCCCTCTTTGGGAACCACGCATAAAGGATGCAGGCTAATGCCGGCTCATGCGGACGACAGGAGTACCCCCCTCAAGACGAGGTACCACGGGCGGGATGGTGGATGGATGACTGGCTTTCGTATCAGCTCCTGGATGGTCGGTGTTGGCTGGCCAGGGGAATTTTAGCGAAGGATGAGGTCACACGATGAAGGCAAGGAGGGTCGGAGATAATGCCTGCCATCACGAGATTGTACAAACTTTGTATGAAAGTACGGCGGCACGAGGATCAACTCATCATGACTCCATGAGAAAAAGGGTCTAATCTGGTTGCAGTGAAAACTCAGCTCACTACGCCTCCGACGCGCTAGGTCAGCGTCCATTCAGATGAAGTCCTTTACTATGAGCGATATATAACTATACATCCGAGACAAACCCTAGCGTCTGATTTGTGATGATCGCTATTGGGCTGAATCTTCCCTACAGGATATGCTGTCAACCATCCACGGAAAGGATGGCACCGGCTTACTTTCCACCAGTCCATACTTGCTCACAGAACGCGGTCAAATCATCAAGAAACTCTCGTGGTCTTTCCAACGCCGCAAAATGCCCTCCCTGTGGAGTGTCAGCCGATGTTTTCAGCAGGTCTGAGACAAAGCATACCTTCTCGTGTGCCCTCCAAAACACCAGGTTTCCAGTGGTCTCAACCCAAGCACGCGGTGTAGGTATAAGCTCCATTGGATAGTAAGAAAATCCAAACGGCTTCTGGATGTACCATCGGGGATCTTCCGCATGCCTAACCTCGGGCGGCGGGAAGTTCTTTGGCCAAGATGAGTACGGGCGCAACAATGACTTTCAGAGACAGGGACTCAGACTGGACGTACCTCCCGATAGTGGTAGATAGATCGAGGAAGTGTCTCGGTAAACCAGTACAATGTCACCGATTCGATGATTGTCTCCAAGGGGACAGGCTCATCAGCCCAGTCGAGGAACTTTTCTCCAACCCTGGAACGTTCTGTCAGTTAACGCTGGATAATCGTACGCCAAATACCTACCAGGCGAGCAGAGAAATCGGGTTTGTTGATAGCACATTGCCAATCGTGCTGGGTCGGGTGCCTTGCTCTATGGCATACCCCAGGCCAAAGGTAGCGAACCACTGTGCGCGGGCCAGCCTTTGCGTGTCTGCTTCGGTGATGGCCGAGTCTGGTACATTGGATGGCTTGCCCATCAAGCAGGCGTTCACTGATAGGCAATCAGATGACCATGTTTACAATTCCAAGGTAACCATGCTCACGATGAACAGCTTTGCAAGCTTCATGATCGACTGCAAGGATGCGACTGATCTTTGACCCTATGTCACCACCTTGTGCCACATAGCCGTCCTCAAAACCAAGATTGAGCATCAACCGGTTGATGACCCGGGCCGTGTCTTGCGACGTGAAGTTCGTGTCCAAGGGAGGACCGGACGAGAAGGTGAACCCTGGAAGCGAGGGTATCACGAAATGGTATGGTAGGTCCTCTGGGCTATACCTTTCCTGAATGAGCGACAACACAGGGAGAAACTCGAGGAAGTTGCCTGTTGTTCAAGTTAATACTATTTAGCAGGTTTATAAAGGCTAGGTGAGCTTGCCTGGCCAGCCATGGACGAGAACAACAGGGTTTGCATCCTTCTTCTTGGAGAACAGGGCCACAAAGTGAATGGTCATGCCCTCAATATCATACGTGAATTGAGGGAAGCTGTTAATGTGGTTTTCCGCAGCTCGCCTACATTGGTTAGCTTCGTCTGCAACCGATTGGCGATGAGGAATCTCACCAGTCGAAGTGCTTCCAAGCCTCTTTGGCAGTAGCGAGCCACTCGTTGGTGATGCCATATTTACGATCCTGCTGCAGGCCTTCGTACGTGGGAGGCGCAAGCTTCGACAGCTTCAACAGTAATTGCAGCTCCTCGATCTGCTCGTCCGAGATGTGGACTTGGAAGGGAGATGGGGCGACTTTCGCACCAGATGGAACATTGCCGAAAGCGAGTGCCATTGTAACAGGTCACTAGTCAACAAAGCAAGAAGCTGTTGGGTGTTGTGAACTCAACGTGCGGGGTGATAGATGGGTTACATAACCTGCTTTTATAACCACTACAACTAACACAAATTAGTGGGCTTGTCAGCAACGGATCGGTGTACTTTTGGGGCTAGAACCCATCGTATCTGATACGATGAATCCACCTCGGGGCTATGAAATCCTTCATATATACCACCCAAATATAAAGGGCTAGTTGGTATGAGGAGACAGCGTGTACTATTCACGACGCTGGTATTGGCTGTCAGGACTGACTAGCATCTCATTAAACAGGGCAGCAGCTCCTGATGTTACGTGGCTGCTGCCTGTTGCTGCCTACTACTGCCTGCTTCATCAAAACAGACCATGGGAATGGTGAGAGCTGGACAGTGCCTCGTAGCTTTTGTCTCCATATCATCAAAATCTCTCAAATATCCTCGATTTGGTATTCAAATGGTTCTAAATCGCTGCAATAATCTCGCGCAGCAGCTCAACGAGCGACGTGATCTCGTCCTCTGTTTGATATTAGCATTTCATCGCCAGACCAGGTATAAACTGACCGGTATTGTAGTGCAGCATGCTAATCCGTACAACCCCATCTTCAACATCGTCCAGACCAATGATGTCCTTGAGCAAGCGATGACTGTACATATGCCCACTGCGGAAGCCGAAAGGACTTCTTTTCTCAACTTCCTCAACAAGCGCTTGGCTCTTGATACCCTCCACAGTGAAGCTGATCACTGGGACTCGGAGCTCCTTGCTCGCGGAAGGCTCGCCATAGATGGTTACACGATCATTGCTATTGAGGAAGTCAAGGAGAATCTTCTGCAGCTTTTCCTCGTACGTGGCCATTTGGCCCCATGTTGCGGAGAAATTGGGCCCGAAGTAATCCAGGACACGTGGAATGCTTTGCGTCAGTTCGTAATTGGCGGAAGCTAGGTTCAGCTTCAGATCGAGAGTTTCTGTGGTTTTGAAGTAGTGACCCAGAGAGTTGATCTGGTTATGAATACGTGATGCAGCGTACAGCTGGGCTATGTGAGGTCCATATACTTTATACCATGAGAATGCCTGTCGCCATCAGCCCACTGTCAATCTATCGGTCTAGCTGTACTCACGTAGAAATCAACGTCCAAATCTTTAACATCAACCTGGCGGTGTGGAGCAAGCGCAACCCCGTCAACGCAAAGAAGAGCCTATTGCAAATGAGATGATGTCTAGCTGTGGCGTATGAGTGTCATACCCTGGGGGCCTGATGCACAATCTTCGCTATCTCCTTGACATTTGTGATGGTTCCGGTGATGTTAGAAGCATGAGGACACGCGACCAGCCTCGTCTTCTCCGACATCAGCTGCTTCAAGTCTCTGGGGTTGCAAACTGGATTGCGGGGGTCTGCAGCTCCCCACCACTTGACGGTCAGGCCTAAACGGCGCCCGATTCTGTCCCAGGCGGCTGAGTTAGCCTCATGGTTCAGCATTGACACAATAAGCTCGTCGCCCGGCTGGAAGTCTAGGGCAGTGGAGAGGTTGTGCAGGAGCTGCGTTGTGGAGACACCCAGGCTGATCTGTAAGGATTAGAAGTATCCTCTGAAGTGTCGGTCAACCTACCTCCTCTGGCTTTGCATTGATGAACTTTGCTGCTGCTTCGTAGCCGTGAGCGTATGATGCAGTTGACACCTTGGAAATATTGTAGGTTGCGCCCAGTTGGACATTGGTCTTCGAAAGGTAAGAGGTCACTCTGCACTCGATTAGTGAGCCTGGGAATCCACACACGAGATATGCCGTGGAGGACCTACGACTCAATCACCGAGTCCAGTACCTGACTGCCTCCTATGCTCAATTAGTTGGCGAACTCGCAACTCCTATCGAGCGGAAATAATGCAACACGCACCTGCATTGTCCAGGAAAACCTGTTCCTGATCCAAAGCGGGGAAGCGAGATCGAGCCTTTGCAATATCGAAAGCCATCTTGAGTGGTATGAGATGAGTGTCAGAGTCCAACGTGGGTTGCTTAATGTTTGGAGGGGAGCAGCCTGAGGGGTCGAACCGCCAGGAGGGGTCAGAACCGTCGGGCTAAGCTGCCATCTCCACTCGCCCCTCTCCATCTTCCAGCTCCCAGCTGCCAGATCTTTATCACCCCTTCGGAATCGCCCCGATTGCTATCTAGCTAGCCATATCAGATCTCGGTAAGTTTACTATAGCTACATAGTACGAGCCATGGATAATCCCTATTCCGCATCAATGTTACCCTCCTTCTGACAAGCGGGGTTCTTAGGTTGCAACCTAGAACACGAGCAACATCACCAAGGACCAACCATGATCAAAGGATGGAAAAAGCGCGCTCCAAGGAGATTCAAACTGGGAAGAAACACCTTAGCCTATGTCAGACCTACGGATTGAGCGTGTTCGCTACCCTGTACGGAGTACTTTAATCTCATCCCACTGGACTAAGGTAAATGCTGACGTTCGACAACCGCAGGGAACCAAGGAACGAATGAAGGTTTAGCGGGTCGATCCAGTGCTTGTAAAGTCGAGGATTCGATGATTCGATGCAACATTGAAAATATGCTGACCGCTTATCACGCAAGCCATAAAGCTCACCCCGTCTGGATCGCTCCGCTGTCCGATCTTCTTATCGAAGTCGAGGTGTCTGTCCGTCCCTGCATCCAATGGAAGCACAGTAGCTATCGCCCACCGGCGGCCTTATCATGCTTATCTGACTGCAAAAGATGGGCTGCAGGTCATGATTGCCAGTCTGCAGCTGCCTTATTTTCGTACATCGGCCAGCGCAGCTTGTGCGACCGTATTCCTTACCTCCGATCTGCAATAATTGCTTTTTTCTTCGCCTGCATTTTGTGTTGGATGGGCCGCGACCCTCCCTCAGCTTCATCGATTCCACCTCGACGTGAGTAGAACCAACCATGAAGTTCGAGAGGCCTCATCTTCGTGTGGCGCACTCGCGCTCTGCGTTCGCAGATGGTAGTTCTCGCTGGACCAATCTCGATCTGGACCCGGTTCCTCTCCATCGTCGAAAATGGGGCGCACTTAGCTTCATCTGTACGATTCATACCCTTGCCTCGGTTTGCTTGTACTGATGTATCTATAGCGTACTGGGTCTCCGATGCATTTAATGCAGCCACATGGCAGTTTGCCAGCAGTATCTTGGCCGTAGGCCTCAGCTGGCGCGAGTCGCTCATCATCGTCGCCATATCGTTCTTCATCATATCTTTCGTCATCGCGGCTAACGGCGCCGTGGGCGCGCTATACCATATTCCTTTCCCTGTGATCGCCCGAGCTAGTTGGGGGTTTTGGGGGTCATACATTGCCATCATCTCTCGAGTGATCCTGGCGCTGTTCTGGTTCGCCATCCAGAATGTCAACGGCGGAAACGCCGTGCGGGCGATGATCGGGGCCATCTGGCCTAGTTTCTTGGAGGTGAAGAACGAGATTCCCCAGAACCAGGGTATTACGACGAATGGCATGGTCGGATACTTGATTTTCTGGTTAATCCAGCTCCCGTTTCTCTGCATCCACCCGAATAAAGTACGGTGGCTGTTTGTGGTCAAGTCCGTGCTGGTCCCGATCTCTTGGATTGCGATTTTGATTTGGGCCTTTGTTGCGGAGGGAGGAGGTACAATGTTTGAAGAGAAAGCGACTGTCTCGGGGTCACAGTACAGCTGGGTGTTTTTGGCCAGCATGACATCGGTTCTTGGGAACTATGCCACGCTCAGTGTGAACCAGGTATGTACCCGCGATTTGGAGATAGCAAAGGCTAACAGTCATAGTCCGACTTTTCTCGATACTCCCGTGTTACGGCAAAATGGCAGCTGCTGTACGTCCCCATGTTGCCGATTATCTTCACATTCATCTCATTCATCGGTATCGCCGCCTCCTCAGCTGGGTATGCCCGTTATGGCGGATCGATCCCATGGGATCCGATCACGTTAATCAGCCACTGGTCCAGCCGGGCCTGTCGCTTCTTCGCAGCATTTTCCTTTGCCCTGGCTTCTCTGGGAGTCAACATCTCCGCAAATTCGATTTCAGCGGCCAATGATCTGATGGCCCTGTTCCCAGAATATGTAAACCTGCGCCGAGGCCAGATCATCTGTGGGCTTCTGTCATGGGCCCTGGTGCCGTGGAAGATTCTTGAATCCGCAGACAGCTTCATGAACTTCATGTCTGCGTATGCAATTTTCTTGGGCCCGATAGCAGCGATCATGCTGTGGGACTTTTGGCTGCTCAAGCGCGGGAAGTACGACACCTTGGCTCTGTACCAGCCAAATAACCCAGTGTACCGATACTCCGACTGGGGTGTGAACTGGCGCGCCATCGTCGCATTCGTTGTCGGTGTGGTACCAAGTCTGCCTGGGCTTATCAACTCCGTCAACAGCAGTGTCTCGGTGGGGGTGGGAGTCCACCCGTACCAGTTTGGATGGCTGCTGGGATTTGTGGGGACCACCGTGGTGTACGTAGGGCTGTCGTGGTGGTTCCCTCCACGACACGCCCTCATCGAGAGGGCCGTGATGGCGGAGGAAATCTACGATGGACGAGAGGTTGGCGCTGGCTCCGAGGAGGCCTTCGACAACCTACCCGAGAAGACCAAAGTGTAGATAGAGTTATACTTTTGAATTATACCATGAACAAGCACATACCACACGAGCAAACAGATCTATACAATACACCCGTAGCACAAGAAGAAAACCCAAGCACGATCCACACAACGCCAGAATCAACACAACACAACACAATCAATCAACCCTCCCAATCGACCCCCCTAGCCTCCTTCAACACTTTACTCACAGCCGACGATGCCCGTCCCACCTCGCCGCCATCCTGCCTCGCACTCTCGACTCCGCGCTCCACCGCAACCAAAAACCGACTCTTAAAGACCCGGAACCTCTCCTCTCGAGTCTCATACATCTCGCCCTCCTCATCTCTCGGCGACCCAAACAAATTCAAATACACATAAGGCTGCGCCGTCTTCGGCACCATATGCACCTCGGTCTGCACAATCGGAAACCCACCATCCCCACTCCCATACCCACTCTCCACCTCCGCACCCCCCATAACCACATCCTCATCCTCATCTTCCTCGCCAATCCCGGCCTGCAAAAACTCCGCCAACACCCCTAACACCTTCACCATGGGCCGGCCCTTCGCGCCCGCCTTCCCAAACGCCGCCCGATTCGACGACCACTTCGACGACTCCTCCGTATGCCATCCCAACACGGAGAGAAAGCAATTGAGCGTCTTGATCCAGCCACCCGCACACGAGACGACCGCATCGCCCGCGATCTCGACCAACCACGAGAGTACCTCGATGGCCGTGACGCGGATATCGGCCGCGAGGTGAGTCATGCCGGCGCGGATGTACGGCATGAGTTGGACGACGTGGTCTTCCACGTCGGCGGGGGGCAGAGCGCGGAGGAGTTTGAGGAGTTGGGTGCGCACGTTGGTGCTTGCGTCTAGGATGAGGGGGGAGAGGGTGGGGAGGAGAGTGCTTACGGGTTGGGGGAGGGGTTGGGAGGTGGGTTTGGAGGAGATGTGTGTGGTTAGATGGGCCAAAGAGTCGCGGCGCTGAGTGTCCGACTTGGAGTTGAGGAGGGAGACATGGTGCGTGAACTGGGTTTGGGTGGATGGGGCGGTTAAGGTTAGGGATTGTTGGGTTAGGGTTATACCTGTGATTTTTTCCTTAGATGGGGGGCTGGGTTTGGTGGTGAGGGGAAAGGGGGATGTTACCCTTGGTTTTGAAGCTCGTGTCGGTGAAGTTTTCAGGCTTGCCTTTGGCTTTGCCGACTTTGAGTTTGGCTTTCTGGGATGCGGTTAGTATGGGCTGGTTTGGTATGGGGAGAGGGGGGGGGTACCTGGAAGTCCTTCTGCTTCTCCTTCTTCTTTTTGGCGCTGGAACCCATGGCGAGGGTGTGGAGGGAGCTTAGATGAAGGTTCTATGGGGGTTCCTGGGGAAAGGATGGAGATATGTGGTTTGGTGTGCTGGGAGTTGATGTCGTTGTATGCATGTTGCGGACGAATTTTTATATGGTCACGTGTGTCATGTGACCGGTGGGGTGTGATTGGTTGGGGTGTAGTATATGGCGACTCAGGCGCCATTGAAGCATTCATTTGGCGATCACGATGAAGATGAATAGGTGATAACCTACAATTATTGAACTAAGACTCCTCTATGTGTATACGAGAGGAAGTCTTCCTATGTTGTCTCCCACTTCTCCCAATTATAGAAGCCAACGCTCGCAACTGGTTTTTCAATGTCTGAGCCAACTTTATCTAAATCTTGCATACTCCGTATACTCCCTTAGACAAGCATCCCATGTGCTGGAATCCCCTATTCGAAATGGCCGTTACACAGCACCTGCCCAATCCAGCAATTACTTGCCCATCAAAAGTCCCCGATGTAAACATCAACACTATACGTCCTATCTTCACCTTCACCCCACTATAATCACAGTTATCACCTTCATCAACGCCAACGACACTCATTACTGCCATCATGTCTTCGACACTGCGTCCCCGTCTCCACATCCATACTTTCGCATCTACTCCATCCTCCTCCTCTCCTCCCATCCCCATTCCAGCCCACCTCCCCCCTCTCCCCTCAACCACCACCCTCCTCTCCCCCCAGCTCTGGACCACACTCCACCCCTCCACCCTCTCAATTTACACGCACCTCCTCCCCGCAATCTTCCTTCTCATCCTCACAATCTCCATCTCAATCTTCACACCCTACGCTCTCACCTCCCTCCCCACCCCCGCAAAAACCATGCTCATTCTCAACCTCCTCGCCGCAACAACCACCCTCCTCCTCTCAACAACCTACCACCTCCACGAACACACCCCACCCACCACCGCAGAAAGATTCCTCCGCTACGACTACACCGGAATCATCCTCCTGATCGTGGCCAACTACACCACGGGGTTATATTTCGGGTTCTACAATGACTGGGGACTAGGGCGGAGATATACTCTTTTTGTGAGTCTATACCAGACAAGCCATATTCTCATCTCTATTTCATCCCGCACTACCCCCTAAAGATCATCGACTAATACACCACGCAATATATAGATTTTAACAATGATGATATTCCCTCTCACAACCCACCTCACCCCCAAATACCAGTCGCAATATCACACCACCCTACGAATCACCTCGTTAATTCTCCCCGCGCTTGCCGCGCTAATCCCCATCTTCCATGGCTATCGTCTCCACGGGATGACCTACCTGTGGGATGTAGGTGTGGGGTGGTATTTGCTCGAGGGAGTGGTGTCTTTGATGGGCGTGGGGGTTTATTTGGTTCGTCTTCCCCATCCCCTACTTTCATTTCTAGTTTATTCTACGGGGTGAGGTTGGGGATATATGGCCTGGTGTTATGCTTTTGCGTTCTAGTTAAGTTCTTATTCCCTTGTTGGGTTTGGCTAACACGGTTCGTGAAGACGCGGGTTCCTGAACGGTGGTTCCCGGAGTCCTTCTGGGCAGAGGTGTGCAATTCGCATGTCATCTGGCATGTGTGTGTCGTCGGGGGCATTGGAGTACATTTCATAGGCGTGTTGACGGCACTACATTTTTGGTTTGGGGACATGGTGTGAAGGAGGAGCTGGTGGTGGTCTACAATGGAGATGGGAAGAGGTCGGAAAGTTCAAGTGAATTGATCATCCTTGTCAGACTGACAACTATTCATAATCACAATTGCTGCATAAAGCACTTCATAAACTCAAAGATCACTCTAAACAATGAGATGCGCACTTCTGCCCGGTCCCAAGCCTCGACAAACACAAATACAAAAGAAAGATAGAAGAAACACTCAATCGTCAAAGCAAAAGCAGAAACACAAGCAGAACACAAGACTGGGAGCCGGACAGACGCGATTGTATCAAGCAAAACACAATAAAATCCTCCCGCTCATCCATCCCCTTCATTAGACATGTACTAAGCAACCCCATAGAACCGAAATCGCATCACTCATTAGACCTGCCGCCAGCCAGCGCAGACCATTACCGTCATATTACCAACTCCTGCTCGTCTAGCGAGAACTCCTTGCTGCGCGGTCATGTCTATCGTGGAACATCAGAAACAAGAAAAGATTCCTCCTGGGAAGCACCCGACTACAGACTCATAGTCAGCCACTCCCACTCCTGGCTGGCCCCCTGCCCGCCTGCAATGCTGTGGTTGGCCGGATTGGCCGCCGCTGGTGGCATCGCCGGCGCCAGCGGCACCACCTTCGACCGCGCGCTCGACGTGCTCGACTTCACGTCATCCACCGCCTCCACGTCCGTGGCCTTTTCCAGCCGACGCTGACGCTTCGGCGCCATCTGCACCGATGATCCCCGACTCTGGCCTGGAGAGCTCGTGGTCGGGTTCGCCTTCGGAGGTGCCGCCGCGATGGGGACAACGCCGGCAGCTCTGCTCGACGCACTGCCCCCCGGTACCGCGGGCGGCGATTCTGACGATGTCGCGCCGCTCTGCGCCCGGCTGGATGTCGGCGTCGTGACCGTCGACTGCTGCACCGAGTTCTTGCGCGCTGACTTCTTCGACGTCCGGGACGTGCCCACCGCGAGGCTGTTGGCACTGCTGCGGTTACGCTTCTTGATGACGTCCGTCTTGAGCGACAGCGGCCGCACAACACCGTGTAGTTTCAGGAACAACCCGCAGGCGTTACACAGCGGCTGGCCCTCGGGATTACGCCGCCACAGCGGGGTCGTCTGCGTAAAGCAGTTGGTGCATGTGGTCGGGCCACTGCTCTGCTCGCCGTTCTTCGAGCCGCCGGGACTGGCCGGTCGGGACGGCACGGCACTGTTCAGGCCCGACTCTGGCGGCGTGTTGGGCGACGTGTGCGAGGTATTCGCGCTCATGCTCTGACGCAGTAGTTGCGCCGTGTTCGGTGTGGACGTCGTGCGGGCAATCTTCTGCCGCCGGGGATCCTGCTCGCGGTTGCGCACCTCGCTGACCGAGGCCGCCGATCCATGGGTGCGGCCCAGACTGCTGCCCTGATTCCATTCGCTCGGGGTGTCCATCATATCCGCGGACCCGATCGTCACATGCTTGCGGTGCTGCGCGGTGAATCCCGGTAGCGAGTGGAACGACCCCGGGAACTGAGCGTCCCACTGCATCCCGCCGTTCATGTCGGGACCCTCGTCCAAGTCACCCGGCATCGGCATTCCCGCCCGGTCGGAAAACTGATTCCCGTCGTCATCCTCATTGTCCGAGTCGGCCCCGAAGCTGAACATGGCCGCATGAGACGCCCCCGTCGAGAAATCGCTCGGACCGAGCACTTGAGACGGATCCACGTGCTGAGGCTGTGGGATGGGATACCCCGGCGAATGCATCGACGAGGAATGGTTGCCAACGTGATGCGACTGGTCCTGGCTCTGGTTGAACATGTATCGCGGTTGCAGCGAGGCCGACAGATTGGAGGTGCGGTGCGAGACGTAGTTGGGAACCCTCCGCTGGGTGCGCGCATCGACCGACGGCATATCGAAAAACATCGAATGCTCACCGTCGTAGGCCGGCTGCGGGGTCGACGCCGTCGACTGGTATCCCGAGGGCGGCGGGGAGAAGAAATCGGTGGAGTTGAGGGATGAGGCCACCGGCGTGTGGGCATACAAGTTGGCAAAGGGGTTGCCTGACGTCATGGGCGACTCAGTGGGCGAGAAAGTGAACTGGGTTTGGTAGGGACCGGCGGAGGTGAGAATGGGATCCTCGCTCAGGCCGTAGGTATCCAGACCAAACGGCACGTTTGGAGAAGTATGGTTGTGGTGGGCAGAGGCGTGGCTATTATGATGAAGCGCGAACGCCGACGACGCATCCAGTGTGTAGTCGGGCACACCGCCCGACAAATCCGGGTCGTGGGCCAGCATCGCGTTCGACACGGGCGGCACCTGGGGTGACGACTCGGCCGGGCGCTTGCGGGTGGGCACTTGCAGGTTGAAGAACTGCCGGTCGTCGATGCTCGTCTTGCGTACCCGACGAGGCACGTAGCCAAACTCGCTGTTCCTTCGCTGGTCCTGGGGTGGGTGGGGGAACGAAGCGGGCACCGGGGTGGACTCGGCCACCTGGTCCTTGCGGGACTTGATAGGGATAGCAGCCGACGTCGCCTCGCCTTTTGTGGCTTGAGGAGATGGGTGGTCGGAGGGAGACTCAAAGGGGACAATGAAATCGTCAAGGTTCATGGGATCGGAGATTAGGTCGGTCGTGGTAGAGGTGGTGGCTGCGGTCGCCTCGCGATCGGATAGACGCAGTTGTGCAATGCCACTGGGGCCGGAGAGACTGTTTCGAGCGGAGAGACTAGGACGGACACAACCTTCGATCAGCATTCCATCGAGAGACCGCAGGGGGGACACTCTCCACCTACCGAGATTGCTGAGCACGTTCCCGTTCCTTGCGTTTCAAACTCATGGCCATCATCCGCCACGTCAAATTCTCCATGCGCTCCTGGTTGGGTAACTGAGCCTTGGTCCTAGAATACAGCTTCCATATCTGGGTCGCTAATGGGTCCTTCCGTTGCATCTCATCGGGCCCATCAAAGGCGCCTCGAGGCGGGCCCGCCTTCCATTCGGGAAACAGAGAGTCCTGAAGCAGATTATCCTGGGCATTCGAGGAATCTGCCGGGCTGATTGGAGAGCCAAAGGAGAAATCGTCAGAAAGTTGGGAGGAACTCGGAGGGAAGTGGAGGGGGTTAGTGGTGGTGGTGGAGGAGCGGCGGTCGGCGTCGGCGGAATCCTGGAGCGAGGCAAAGGCTGCGGATTGCGTCGGTCGCACGCCCCCTCCCCCCAGGGTCAACCCGGACATGACTGCTCGTTGGGCTGAGGGAGGTGGTTCGACGTCGTCTTATTGGGGGAGCCCACGAGGGGGCTGAGACGGGGAAAGGAAAAAAAGAGGGTCACCGAATGCAAAAAGAAAATTAAAGAAAAAGGGAAAAAAAAAGAAAATTAGAAAAAATGGAAGAAAGATAAGAGGTGCAGAAACCAAACGATAGGGAAAGGATTGGGGAGGGAGGGAGAAGGAGGGGGGGGGGGAGGGAACTGGGACACAGAAGGGACGGGGAGAGATAAGCGGCGAGGGAGAGGAGGAAAGATTAAAGGGCGGACGAGCGAAGGAAAGCGAGGTGAGGAAGCCGAACAAGAAGAATGACCGATGCCCGCAGCACGAGGAATTCCAGGCTACCCGCCGTAAACGAGCAACCAGCCGGGACCCTGGGCAATAATAATCAATCGGATATGGAAAATTGGCCAAAGGGTGGGAGGGCTCCGATGCCAATGGGTCTGGGAAAATAAAAATAAGTCCCTCGAAAGTCAAAACGGAGGATGGTTGATGATGCTGGTGTTGCTGGGTTGGAAGGTGCAGCAGACAACGGGAGCTAGGATCGGGGACAGGTCAGTGGTGCGATTCAAGCCAGTGCCGCAGAACTAAATCCCAGATGCGGTGGCTGCATGGGCTGCATTCCCCCCGGCTTTTCCTCTGCCTTCCTTTCTTTTTCCCTTTCCTTTCCCCTTCCGTTGCGGCGGCGGGCTCCGTCCGAGGTGGAGGTGGTGGTATAGTGGTGTGCGTACCTTTTGCAATGCCTGGCCTTGCAGCCGATCTGACACGGGGGTCGTGGCGGGGATTTCTTTTGCGTTTCGCTTTTGGGTTTTTTTTTTTTTAGTTGAATTGATCTGGGGGCGGGGGAAGGGGGTTCTCTCGGTGTCGTGGTGGTGAAGAGAGACTCGACGGATGCTGCTGGAAAGGCGGCGGAAGAAGAAGCTGATGATGCTGATGATGATGTTGATGGCCGGCGAGGGGGGCTAGACCCTCCCGATGCACATGACGCGGTGAAAGGTTGACTCTGGGGAAGGAAAACAGGATGATGAAGGAGGGGGGAGATCCCGGAGCAGGCCAGGCAAATCAGATCAAATGAAAATCCAATGAAATCACCGAAGCCACCCAGATTAGAAAAGAGAGAGAGAAGATAAGACGGAGCAGGCCTGGAGAGGGCGACCCGACGAGAAATAATAAGGAAGTGAAGAATGCGATGGATGACGGAGCCAGAGTGGAAAGTGGACACCGTGAGTGGCAGAAGTGGAGGGTCGCGGTTAAGTCTAATCCAGTCAAGGTCCGGTCTTAATTACAGACACTCAGTCAAGAAAGACACTGGCTTTTGCCCCTCCCATAATCATCATCATTAGCCTAGATGTACTCCCTAGTCCGTACTGACAACTGCGAAAAAAAAAAAAGCAGATGGCTCGTTCAGGCTGGGTGGATGGGTTGTGGTTGGTGCACTCACTCGTTCTCTCGACCTTCATTCAATCAATCTCAATCCTACAGTCATTCATTCGACGACGGGGAGGGCCGTTGCTCCATCCATCCACGGGTGGGCGAGTTCCAGCAGAAACAGAACCAGTCACAATCCTCGTCCGGGACCAGACGAACGGACTTGCGCGCCCACTCTGATTTGCCCGTCGGTCTGATGCCGTATTTTTAGCTTCCCGCCGTAAGAGACTGGGAAATTCAATTCAATTCAATTCAACTCCAATCCAAAACAATTCAATGCAGTCGGCTCCAAGGCATCAACCAGGACCGGTGGCAGCAATAACAGGAGAATGGGTATACTGCAGCCCGCAGTGTTTCTGACCACGCCGACCATATTTATACAACTCCTCCTCCGGACACGCCTCCAACCTCCAACGGATTGCCCCTCCTCCATGCTGCTGGTGTTGGGTCTGCAGCAAGTGGTCGGGGACTGGCCCAGTCCGGTCAGTCGCAACATACGGGCGTATTACCATGACGGCAGCACGGGCAGTGGCGCCGCTCGTTATTTTGGCGTTTCTCGAAGCACTAATCCTGCAGTAGCGCCGCCCGTTTAGATTAATTGATGCCCTTTCTCAACTCTTGGTCTCATCCATCTCCCAAGACTCCAACCAACTGCGGATGACTGACGGACTGACACGCACGACTATTTCCTGAACAAAGACCCGAGACGCGCACTATCAGCACCTTCATCCAGTCGATCATAATCCCATTGTGCGCTCCGACGGATATCTCCCATCCGCCATCGTTTGGCACTCCCACCAGAGGTCGACCCCAGGGGACTACGATGGACCAAGGCCGAGGGACAAGGGACTAAGAGAGATGCCTAGACAACTAAAGGCGGACGCAGCAGAACTGTTCCGGATCCTGCTTCGGTGCCAGGATTTGGCGTGGATTCCCCCACCAATCACGGCGCGCCAATCCCCGGCAATGGCCGACCGTCGCTGGCGGTCGCAGACTGGCAGCCTATAGTAAAACAATCCGACTCGCGAAAACTCCGGGATGCCTGCTGCTGCTCCTGCTGCTTCATGGCTGTATACGAACACGTCCCAGGTACTCGGGCCAGCGCGCGCACCCCGATTCTCCTCGGGATTTGTCTTCCTGGTTCATCCCATCCCCGTTGACACACCCTCCCGGACAGATCCTCGGAGGGGAAACCGTCCCCCATCCCTGCATGGGGGACAACTGGGATGGGATGGGATGGGATGATGTTTCGCTGGACAGAGGTCTTCCTATCGTCGGCCGAATCCATATAGCACTGGTGTTATCACTTGGGATGATGGGATCTGAGCGCACGATAGTCGCCCCTAGTCACTACCTTAACCTACCTTGTTAGAATCAAATCTTAAGCTTGGACTGTGCGCTTGCATGCATGATCCATCTTGGTCTGTCCCATCGGCCCGATGGTTAATTGACCGTGTCCACTTGGACGCTCCTGCAGGAGAGGACACGGCGTCTCCCACTTTGTCGTGCAGCCTACTAAGGGTCTCCGACTGAGTAATTGACCGGCGACCGCATTGACAGGTCAGGACCAGCTCCGCTCATCGGACCTGTCCTCCCCCCTCCGGACGTGGGAGCCTAGGAGGGATGGAGATGACAGACCAGCCACCACGACCAAAGGGCGTCGTCCCGATGCCCTCGAGACTGGCGCTAGCGGCGGGGCGGGACTTGTCCAGCGTCGGGCTGTCCGTCTGGCCCGGACGACCCCCGAGCGACAACAGGAAACAATGCACAGTGGACAGTCGACGGTGGACACAGTCCCCCTCCAGCGCTCATCGGCTGGTCCGCTACCAGTGCGGATGGAGACGATGGGCCACCGTCAGGCACATGGCTGACAACCGTCCAGTCCAGATTGCCCGATTTAAGGTTACTGTCCTCTCCCGAGCAGGGTGGACTCGAGCAGCCCGGGGGGCAAAGGGAAGGGGGGTCTTCCGGGGCCAGCCAACTGCCAACCCAACGTGCTGCGAGCCTGAGAGGCTTGGTCGGGATACTAACTCCTCCCCTCCACGCGTGAGAGCTAACCGAAGAGCGCAGGAGTCAGGCCGATGAAGCAGGTACCGGGCCAAACCTGGCCGCTGGCAACCAGCCCAGTCAGTGCCCAGGCTTTCCCGTCAGCTCTCAGACTATGTACGGGATGCTCACCGGAGCTGGGCTTTCCCCCTCCATTCCCTATCTTACCCGATCCGCGTATGAGCCGGTAACTGGCTGCCGTATCGGCGGTCTCGTCACACGCGTTTCAAGTCCGTAACAAGCATGGACTAGTCGGTCTCGACGCCATACGCCAGCCCGGACTAACCAATTAGACAGTCGACACGGCCGCTACAAGCAATCCCTACAGCCTCATCGCCCTCCCTTTGTTCCACTCCGAATTTCAGGAATATTAATCAAGGAGAATTCCACGATTCATCTTGATGCAAGTGGATCCACCCGTGGTTGCGGGGTCCCTTTGTCACCCTGACTCGAACCCGGGAGGAGAGCTCTCCGTCGTCCTGGCTCCAACGACCCTGCTTCGTTCTGTGTAAGTACTTCCTATGACTTGGCCAGATCTCCCGTTGGCCAGAGCGACCCCGATCGTGCAGCTACTGTGCACGGTGATGCAGTAGCCGGTTCACAGCCTCGTCCTGGCGTGTCGCGATGACCGGCTTGAGCCTCGAGAGGGAACCTCGGTCAACGACTGCGATGACGATAGTGCCCATCAGACTCATCTTCGGGACCCATCTTTTATTTCCTGCAATGACTGTGCACGCGGCCGTGGACAAAAGCACGGTGCAAGAGGCGTTCCCCAGTATATCCCAAACCCCTGGCGGTGGCAAGTAATAGTAAGCAGGTAGTAACACGACGGCTGAGGGCCCAGACGTATAAGATATTGCCAAGCCTGGACAAGGTTGTCTAGGGAAACCGTTAGCCATCATCGTTGGTCGGTCCAAGTGGGTGTGCAGCTGGGGATGGATCATGGATGAGAAGGGCAAGCGAGCACAGGACACTAGGACAGTCGCTTGGCCACTGCATGGCTGCACAGGCAGTCCGTCTCCTACCCAACTCCCGTCCTCTGTACTCCAGCGGTAGTTGCTGATTGCTCCGTCCTGGTTCTCAAGCACGTTTCGGCCCCACGGGAGGAACAACCGCGAGGTCCACCGCACTAGTGCTCGATAATCACGGCCTCCCACGCTACCCACGTCCCACGATGCCCTGGAGATAACAGTCCGCAGATAAGTAGATAAGCATGTAATGGACCTTGGTCATCGGGGCCAATGACCGTCCGTCCATCGGGGTCAGCCTGAAGCGATATCATAGTACGATGGCCTTGGGGTGTCGAGATCGCCGCCGTGAGTCGACCGATGCCAAAAGTACGAGCGAGCGAGAGCAAACAGTGGCCACCCCAGGGCAAGCCAGAAGCAAGCAAAGGGTCAGCTAACATGTGAAGGGCCAGTCATGGGGCTTGCTGGGGGCGTGGCAAAAGCAATAGAGTTCGATGGGCAGAGCCAGGAAGGCTGGAAGCCTTGGGAGGAAGGCAAAGCGGGCGAGTGGCGCCGTGGACGGATCCGATCCGGCTGACTCACCCGCCCGGCCTTAGTTAACTCCGTTGGTCGGGGAAATGGCCCCCTCGATGACACTCCGTAGATAGTAGTAGTAGTCGATCGACAGAAGCTCCAGCAGGCCTAGCACTACCTCATCATCCACGGGTATACCCAATAAGGCCCGTGCCAAGTCGTGCCCATACTCGGTTATGGTCGTCAACAATCCGGATAATCCGCAAGTCGATGATGCCTCGCACGGCGCCACGCAAACCCCCATTCTGGCCGGGGAGGACTGCTCCCTTTTGGTCCGGATGCAGCGTGCACCTTCCGGCGGGACGCTCGAACAGGAAATCGGTCTTCTGAAGCACAGGCGTGTGCCTGGGCTAACCGGCCCAAGTAAGTGCGCCGTCGCTAAGAGTAGCCTGTGTTTGGGATATTCGTACTCCGTAGTCTCCTGTGCTGACTGCTGAGCGGCAAATCGAGCTCCGGGTCCGCCACGATCAAACCGGGTCGTGGACACTTCCAACAATGAGGTCAGTTTCAAGGGGTCGGCGACAGGCGCCCCTGTACACTGTACCTATAGTGCACAAGAAATGATTTTCTTTTCGCATCAGGCAACATCATAATCAGGCAACGTCAACATACCACATCATCGACTACAGGCGCCATCTGGGACGACATCATCAGGCGGGAAAGCCCGGAAGACGTCCGGCCCGTATTCCGTGTTGACTGGTAGCAGTCGAAGTATTGGGGTAGGAGGTACTCCGTACGGAGTACCTTCACCCCGTACTCCAGACTCGGCACTTGGCCACTCACCCACCATTCCTTAGCAAGTCTCCATCCAACCTACCGAAGGTTCAGTAAGCTCTCCCTCTTTCTTTCGCTTTCAGGTGGATCGTAGCGTCATGCGCCGCTGTCAGCCCGCGTCAATAGGAAGACCGGTAATAGTCATCAGGAATGCATCGGGAATCGTCGTCGCGAGCATAAAAAATTACATCTGAACAATGCCGGTGGGGAGGATAATCTTTCCCCACACTAGCAACGCTTCGATTTTCTCGCGGCTGCCGCGGATGTGCCGGAAATCCAGGCGAAGACAACCCAACACCAGGCCCCTGCAGTCCGCTCTGCCCGCATCAAGGGTGCAGGGTCTGTGGCATTAAGGCGTGCCAGCATGCCAGCGGATGATCGCTTTCCCAGAAGGATTGCCTGATGGAGCCTGCGGCTAGGAGGATCTCGCGAGTAGATCCTATGCGACCGAGGAGAAAGGAGGGAAGGGGGGGGGATGACTAGCAATGCAGGAGGGTCGAGCCTGCGATGCGAAAAGGCTGTCTTCATGTGTTAGTAGCGTGTCCCTGTCTGTGAGGAAGTGTGTGCATATACAAGAAGGTGCTAGCATGAACCGATGGGTCGGCACGGGGGAGAGCGTGGAGTTAGTTTGGGGCAGGAACGGGGCACTGGAGTCGAGGTTAATAGCATCCATCCATTATCCACAGTACACACACGACCACCCTTAAACCCCGACCGTGCAGGAAGAACAAGGAGAAAAGCGTAATGTTTCGTTGACGGCGAGATGAGGAGGGAAAGGGAACATTAGGGGAGAAAAGAAGGGGAAAGAAAAGAGGCCAACAGTCACTGACTGTCGCAACAACTTCCACTCCCTCCGTTTATATATGATTCACCGTGTCAAAAAGGCTCTCAGTGCCCGAAGGGGTTGGCTAGCTTCTACAACCACATCCAGCCCCCCACAGGGGCACGATAAGGCATCGCAAGTGAATGGCGGTCAACTCAGGCTCGCACCTTTCAGTCCCTGTTGCTGGGCGAAAAGATCAGGAGTCTCAGCCCAATGGGAGCAGGGCCGGGTTTTGTACTGGACGAGTGCCCTCGGTCAACCAGAGAACCTCGCCGACCATCGGCCAAGAATTGCGATAGTCATTCAGATAACTTTGCATATTTTCGCCGTCGAGACGCCCGGACAGCCTGGAGATAAGGCCCAAAGGGCACGGACACGTCACGTCGCGGAGGATGAACCTGGTAACTTGGGCTTGCAATCGCCATCGAGGGGCAATCAAATTGCAGCATGACGGCTGTTATCGACCTGGCTAATGCTGACTATCAGGGCCGTTGTCAAGATTAACAGAGTGAGGCTGTTGCTCTCCGCATTATCGGACCCCAGACTCACCACTGGTGGCGCCCACATACCCACACATCCACCCTTCAACACTTACCATGTTGGTGATGGTTCTGCAGACTGAGTGACTCACGACCAGTCCTCCCAAGTGAGTTTTCAACTGGAGCCCAGTGCGAATTCCAGGATATGGGCAGTGACACAGCATTCCTCCAGCGTGGCCCCCCGCCCAAATATCTAGGCAATTCGATCTCCGACCGGTCTTATCAGAGGCCCGTTATCATGTCGGAGCAAATATACTTTCTCCTGGTCTGGTCCGAGTCCAACCCGTCAGGCAAATCCTCCAGCGTGATAAGCAGCACGGCGGATTTGCTCCTATTATTGGCAGGCCCGTCCGGAGGGGTTATCGGTCTCAATCAAGCACGCAGCTCTGTTTGGTCCGGGGACTCATTAGGATAAGCAGCGGGTGGCATCTAGTTGCTTAGATTCTGTTTGAGATCGCCGTTGCAGCTGGCCAGGATCGCGGTATCTTCCAATCATCGCATCGGTGTGGCCGTGCTATCGGCGCAGTGGCAGGGGAGGGGGAAAAAGCAATCTGCTGTCACACCCATTGACAATCGATGGTAGATAAAGGAACACCGCAAATGATCCGGAGCTGCGTAGCTGTGATAAAAAAAGGCATCGAAGTCGACCGCGGAGAGCAAGACCAGATCAACTCGACGAGAGACTCCGCTATCTACTCGTGACGACCTAATCGGGGCCCGCCCAGATCGCGTCACTCCGATGATGTCATCTCCGCCCGGCCTGGCGTATCAGGCCTCCATGGCTACTACCTATCTTCACGGCCCTTCGGCGTAGAATGTAGTACTGGGCAGTAATACTGGGCGTCGGTCGTACAAGGGGGATGCAGTGATTGCCCCGCGGGCCTCGACCGTGAATTACAGGACCATCATGGATGCGACTTGTCTCCTATCACACCAATGTGACACAGGGCCATCCATATAATTTGACGGCGCACAGGGCGTAGTCCCTCAGAAGTACTACAGGGGGAAAGACCATCTTCTCCCAGGTTGTAGCAGCCCCAAAAGGATACATGCGAGACAGTCGATGGAGACACGGGGACCCTGTGGGCTGATTGGGGACAACCATCCTTCGTCTGCGGACAGACCCCGGTGCAAGGGAGGTTAGAATATACTTTCTAGAAGTACCAGGGTCCAAGGTACCGAAAGGAACAATCATTCCAACGACGTGGCATGACGCCATCGTGGGAGCTTAGCCTAGTCATCATCTGATACATGCCACCGCCGGAAATACTGCTGAGGCAGTCACCTGCAGATATCTATTGCATGGGGTAGTGTACTAGTAGAGGCAGGTTTATGGAGGTAGTCTATGTCAATGAGAAAGCGAAATAGAAAAGGGCACAAACATAATAGCTTCACTTCCATCCGCCTGTCCGGCGACCCGCCAATGACAGGGACGACGAGGGGGCGATGGCCGGGGAAAAGAAGCCAAGCAAACGAAATCATGAGAACCCGGTCGGTCCAGACTGGTCTTCGATGCGGGCTGAATGACAGCACCATCATCAGGAGACGAGACTGGACCACGCCGGTAACGCCACTTAAAACCAATAATCAGACACCTGTCCCGCTGGTGGCTGGATGCGTAGCTCGTGAACCCCGCCGTGGATATCCAAAGCTAATAGAAACCGAAGAAAGAAAAATGGGGAAGCAAAAGAACAAGTGGCGAAGAGACTCTAACCCCGCCCCTGAATTCGCGCACGTAAAAGGATGACACCTCAATCAAGAGGGATGGGGTCTCATGGAAGAAACAAAGGATGAAGATACCGCCCAAGATCCTCTGCGCCCGCTAATGACCAGCTGGTAAAGTAAAGGTGTATGCATGGATGGAATGATATGGGAAAGAAGCGAAAAAGAAAAGGATGAATCACGTCGCACAGGGTATTATTAACAGATCCGTTGAAGCTTTTTGCGAATTGCTCGTCATTTCCCCCTCTGCAGCTCATGACTGGGGGGAGTGTCCTTGGCCCGGGTGGCCCATTGGCGGCGGACTGCCGAAGCCTGCTTGATGGGCTGGATCGTTCGTGTACATCGGATACTGGACCATGCTCATAGGAGACATGCTGTTCATATCCTGCCAGTTGCCGAAGCCCATGGCTGCCGGCTGGCCTGGGTATGAGACGGACACCGCCTGTAGATCTGCCGCTGGGGGACTCTGAGGGTTGATGGGGGTTCCGGGAAACGACTGAGCCGGGCTGGTCATTCTCCTTTTGAGATCTGCGGGCGTTTGCTGCACAAATTGGCCTTGGGCCCCGTACGCCATCGCCATCTCTGCAGGTTGGGCGGAGAATGTCATCGACCGGGGCGGGGGAACCTGCCAGACAGTCCCATCTGGCTGCATAGCATACGTGGGTGCCTGTGTCAGACCCTGTGATTGCGAGGGAATGGTAGGTGTTGCTGGTAGAGGCGCGGTGGTGGGCATTGGCGCCATTGGGTTGGGTGTCGGACCCCAGACGTTCGCGGGCATGTTCATCATCGCTTTCCCCGCCGACATTGTCGCCAACAGTTGGGGATCTGAGATGGTCGTGTACTCGTCCCACGGTACCGAGGGATCGATTGAGGGAGGTGGCACGAACTCGGGGCCGACGTTGCGATCTATTGCATACAGTTGTCAATACACCGGTGGTCTCTCTCCACCTTTCTCACCGTCGGGGAAGCACCACTCACCTGGGGAAAATGGCGCCATTGGGTTTCCAGAGAAAGTGGCCGCATTGAAAGCTCCCACATCCGGAGTAGAACCCAACGGCATGGGTTGATAAGGATAGAAAGGCTCGGCTTGTTCCACCCCAGTCACATTTGGAGGCGAAGATGAGGCGGTCGATGGATCCGTCGATGCGGTTTCCAAGCGAGAGCTGGGGCGAGATTTCTTCTCAACCGGGGGCTGCTGGTCGACCGGAAAGAATTGGCATTCCTTTCGTAGTCGTATACAGTTCTCGCATCGTCCTTGAGCATCGTCCGTTGCAACAAGACATCGGATCTTTCGTCTGCGGCAGTGTACTGTCGCATTCAGAATAAGTAACCTAGAGAGGCAGCATGAAACACCGGGAGACTGCGAGCTTACCGCATGCGACAGAGGTGCGATGATATCCGAGCTTATTGCGCTTCTTGTCCGCAGTTGAAGGTTCCATGACTGCGCCTTCTGAATTGTTGATGAGTGTTATATCCTCGACGACCGCGGGCATAGCCCTGGAGAGTATGATGAGAAGACGAAGCCCTGGACCGAGGGCGCATTAATCGCGCAGGAGATTGGCGAGTAACAGATGGTTTGATCGGACAACGAGATTAACGGTTTGACCACGGGGGTGGGGTCGAGGTCATACAATGCGCCGGAGTCAACGGCGAGGAAAGCGGGCAAGCAGTTGCCCGGAATCAGAAGCGCTGATGATTAGCTATGATGGTTGTAGTATGTAGCTGAAGTTCTTTGGTTCAGCACTGAGGCCCCACACTCGATCCGTAGCACGCAGGATAACAATATGCGGGAAACACCAGACGACGAGCAGTTGAATCGGATTGTTTCGTCCCGGTGGTCCAGACCAAAGCGCATGCACTAAGTAAGAGTTGAATAATATTGATACCTTGCTCGTTGCGTCGTTGCTGTCGTCGAGGAAAGTTTCCAGAGGGAGTGTAGCAGAGGCCGAGGTGTGGCAGAGGGTAATTTCGGGACAGGATAGTGTGTTGATGGAGGGAGGGGAACCGTGGTCCGGCCTGTAGATTAGGAGGATTAGGTATTTAGTAGGGATCAAACAACCCAGATGATGTAGGTAAGAAAAAGAGCCAGGATGCGACAGAACGCATGGGAAGCTAGGCGGAGAGGAAGGAATGCAAAGATTGGGCAGGCGAAAGGATGATTAAAGGGAGGGAAAGGGAAGAAACGAGACGAGAAGAGGTGAGTGGATGGTCGAGTGGTTGTAGTGGTGGCCCGTCGTAAAGGACGTACTCCGGAGTAGTAAGAACAGTAGTGGCAGGAGGGAAATACGGAGGAGGACCTACTCCGTTCGTAGTGGGCGTGCCCACTGCAGTAGTGGTATCGTTTCTCGGGATCTAAGGATCTCGGGACTTTGCGCGCGCTGGGATTTAAATTTCACCCCGGGGGGGGGGGGGGGTGTGTAGCAATAAGAATTATTATTTTTGGGCTCAACTTAGTATTTTTCTGCTTTCCCCCAGTTGGATTTTTAGGGGACAGAGAAGGGGACTGCAAAGAAAGGGGCTGTGAAAGCCAAATCAGAGGAGTGAAAGAGAGAGGGAAAAAATAAGGCAGGAAAAAATAAGAGAGAGGGAAAATAGAAAAAAAAGAAACTATAGAAAAAAAAAATTAAATGGTAAAATATATAAGAGAGAGGGAGACAGGGTGAGAGACACACAGCGAGAGTCAGAGAGAGGGGAAAATTAAATAAAATTAAAAAAAAAGATGATTAGGAAGATTCAACAACCGTGGTGGTGAATTCACATGGGGGTGACCATATGGGGGGAAACTAGGAAAGAAAAAGGAAGGCAGCAAGCACGTCGACGGTGGATAATGGGGAATTAGTAGAAAGGAGTAAAGGGACAAGACAACAGGAACAGAACCAGGAACAGGGCAGTCCCAGTGGGAGAGTCAGTTGTATGGGGAGGTATGAGACAAAGTGCTGATGATGCCGGCGATGACGAAGAGCCAGATCAATCTAACATGCGTGGATTATTCGCAACCATTATTACCAAATAGCGCCCAAGGAGGATGTCCCCCATCCCCCGTATTAAGGTACTGTCAGTGCTGAAGAATCAGGTCGGAGCACTAGCTTCCCTCAGGTGGGCAAGCCTTTACTAACCCAGGCTGAAACGCCAGGCTGGGTATGTTTTACTATTAATATTCTAGAGGATGATACCATCTCCAACTCGGTGGTCCGTAGTCTAGTACTGTAGTAGTCAGTCAGTGTCGGACTGCCCGACTGGCTGGCCTCATCCCTAACCCCCAGCTGGTACCCCCGAGGTACCTGGATACTTATTGACCTGCCTAAGCTGGAACTAGCAGGGACACGAGAGTCGGGCAGGCTTCAAGTCTTCAGTCCATTCGTAGGAACGAGGCGACTCTCCAATTGAAACACCCCATCAAACCTACCGAGTGGGCAGAGACCGGCGAATGTCTGAAAAAGGCGATGGCGGTATTCGAGCATATTATTAGCAGGGATCATTGCCGTCACATGGAATGTGGCTGTGTGGGATCTTAAGGTTGTCGAATCGAAGGAGCCCGGAGAGACCATGGAAGGGACTGGGCTGGGCTGCCTTCGGTTCCTGGCATCAGAGGTGGCATTAGCGATCTTATGACTTGACACCGTAAGTACGAAGGACCAAGTGGTACCTTTGCCAGGACCGAAGGTACATCATCAAAAGTCGCCGACCCAAATGAAAAATCCCAGAAAAGAAAAGGAAATAAGAAAATTTCCTCCCATATCATACCATCCGGAGCATGCGTGTGCATCGTGCATTGGGACCTAGGGAAGGTACCAGACAGGACCTCGCGAGCGAGTCGAGACAATAGGTCGGTGCGGACAGGGAAAAAATACCCCTGATCCCTTCTACCCCCCCAGTTGGGTCCTCCCAAATCGCCCATGGTCCCAGAGGTCTGTGACAGACGCCTGTAACCAGACCACTCCCAGACTCTCGGCCTAGTGGGGGGTGGGGTTCCCATGGAGGCATGCGTTCTTCCCTCCCCCATTGGGCTTAGCAGGAGGGAGACACGCTGATAGCTGAGACCTGTCAATCATTTGAAGAACTGGGGAATCTGGATCCCGGCCTTCACAGGCTCTCACCCACTGAGATTTTTTGGAGAGCGTGGTTTTAAATTTAACTCCTCGTTGGGGCCAGGGTGACGGCCGCTATCGATTGGGCGGCCGCATGGGGTCAGGCCGGCGCCGGCAGCCAACCAACGGCCGTGGGGCGCGAGGGACTTTCCCCTTTGGGCGGGGAAAGGATTTCGCCGTGCCCAGATTGCCCCAATCGGTCTAGCGGCCAGGTGAAACAGAGACTCGAAGTTTGCTGAGCTTCGAGAAGCCCTGGAGTCGTCATCCTCCTTGGCGGAGACACCGTTGATTGGTGAGCCGCCGCAGGGCATGGGGCAGGGGCCTAATCATCGTCGTCCTGACTTGCACATTCCAGCCATCCCACTGGTGATTCCACAGGTGCGTTAATGAGGATGGGCATGGGGCCTCATTTATTTTTTAATTTTTTTAATCTTTGAGAGAAAAATCTGACGATTTTTTTTTTTCTCGTGCCTGATTCCACTGGGCTAGGTGATATTCAGCAAATGCTCGCTCGCCTGTGGGAGTGTGGAATCGTTCCTACGACCACCCAGCCGGACAACAGCCGCAGCAGCAAACGGTGCCGCCGGCACTTCCCATGCCATGCCTTTCCATCCACATCCAACCCATATCCACATCCACGCCCACGCCTGCACCTGCGCCCACGCTGCAATCGTACCTGCATATACCCTGGAAATATACTCCGCCAACAGTGAAAGGGGAGAAAAGACCAGATCTGTCAGAATGAGGTGGGCCTATTTAGGCCAAGGTTTGATTAAGGATCACATCTGCAATCCTAGTGTGGTCAGTGGGCTTGGCCTGGCCGACTGCGGCGCTCTGTAAGGGATTGCGTCTGCAGTCGATCTCAGCAGACAGACCCCATGGGAAGGGAGTGTTAACGTCGCATTCGGAGCTACTTCCAGAATGGTATGATGACAAGATCACTGCCACAGTACCACGACTCTAGGCCCAGAAAGCAAAGGGCAGAAACAGTACACCTGGCCTCTCCGTGGATGAGGGATATACCGACAGGGAGCGAGGGATGGACGATATAGATTGCATGGCGTATCGACCGACGGAGTACTTGCGATGGTGACATGCATGCAAACCACTAGCCAGCATCATAGCACCCGGTTTAAACCCAAGGCAGATTGCTTGGCCTTTCAGGGTCTTCTGAACCTCCATATTATTATTATATTTAGCAGCCTCGCTAGCCGTGGCTGGAAGATGGATAAACCCGGTTCCGACCTTAGTTCGATTTTCAGGAACAACAAAGCTCGGAATTGCGCGCAACCAGAACCGAACACCTTGATCCTGATCCATGAGCGACCGCCGAGCCATTACGTACCCGCGTACCGGCGGTCCCTCTCGGAACGGCCGTCGACAAGAATGACGCTGTTATTTTTTTCTTGTCTCGCAGACGAGTATTTATGGGTGCCAAGAGGTAGGATCGTCGGATAATAACTCCCATACAACGCGATATGACTGAGGATATTAACGACCGCTAATCTCTCGCATCCTTGGTCCATTAACTCCAAGGAGCCGAATAGTCCAGGGAGGTCCGGAACAATGTTGGGGACTAAACGCGTGGATATTGCTACTTTGGTCAGCCTTTGCGTCGCTAGCGGGATCGGGCAGCCGATATACGTAAGCGAAGAGGCGAAGATCGCTGGCCTAGCGCTGCGAGTGGGATTGTCTCGTATCGAACATGAAACAAGTTCGCCTCATTCATCAACGCTCTGCCCTATCATACAATTCATTATCTGATCATCGCGGTCCGCTCCACGGAGGCAGTCCTACATAGTACTATCCTACAACTATGATGTCGATGGAGGGTTGCCCAGACCGGGCTTATCTACACTTCAACAACTCTAGATACATCGGAACAATGGACTTGGCTACACCTCCTGACTAATGCCTCCTCTTTCCTCTCCTCCCCCGGCTTCTGCAGGGACTAAATCAGCTAAAAAGGTGTCTCGTCGCACCGCGGCCTTCCCCCCTCCCCACGAGAGCCATGCGTTAAAATTCTCCGAGGGGGGTAATCTGATCCACCCCAATGACGGCGCGGTCGTTGGTCCACTCTGGTCGCGATATGGATGAAATGCTTCCCTTGCATCGCAGCCTGTCAGGCTGGCCACAATGGTGCTTTCCCCCAGTGGTTGGAGTACATAGTAGGTAGGAATCGACGGTCTGACTGGACGAATCCACCGCTTGGCCACTCTGCAGCTCGGCTGGGCCAATCACACGCCGTCGGACTTTTACAGCCCAGTGCTGATCGAGCTGAACTGACGGAGTTCGCGCTTGATGCAGTAATTATGTCCTATTCATAGTATTAACGGACCACTGCTGTACGCAAGCCATCACGATCCCAGGCCATTGTTTTCCTTGATCTCCCGTGTGATCTATCCGCCCGAGAGAGACCCTGAGCGGATTCCCGAGTTCCGAACTTCACCCGTTTTGCTTGTTCGATCGCAAGGGTCTCTTCCGCCTCGGAGATCATTGTGTCCACCCATCGTATTGTGACTTGTGTTCTAGTAATTCCTCGGAGGAACGATGCTCGGTTGACTGTGACATATAAGAAAGGGTGTCCACGCACCCCTGTATGGCCGGGTGCCAAATAGCGCCGCGATAGGATTGCCTATTCATGAAACAGTCCCGGCGCCTTACGGTTGGCGGACCATGCAACGCACCCTTATCGAGCACCCATAACGGTCATAAAAAGCAAAAACGAAATAGAATAGGGGCGTAGGGGCGCCGGGGCAATATTGCTCCCAGCACGGACAACCCCTACAGCAGGAACGAGAGTCTCCTGCTCACAGCATCCGGTGCATTACGGAGTACCCATTCACCATTAACCGACTTCCACCAGCCCACTCTTTCCATCGGTAAGCTCGAAGCAGGACACGTAAGGACCCCAGTTCACAGCCAGCATTCGACTCACAGGGCCGACCCCCCCCCCCAGTAGAGCACACCCGCTTCGAGATAAGTGCCCGCTATGATGAAACAGGCCGGTCTCGCTCTAACCCTGGGAGCGCCGGGCTAAAGACTAGCCTGGTTGCTGGCTTACTTTCCACTCGTGGTAAGGTGTGTCGGGCATAGACGACACCGTCTCTGCATCATGCATACTGGAAGGTTGGGATTAGAGTGCTGTGTGCTGTACTCCGTAAAGAGCACGCCGATTGGAAGGAAGGCCGCCAGCTCTGATCTGGAAAGGTGTCTCTGATCCTTGGCATCTTGTATACTCCGTGCTCGTATATCATCCTCCATCACGTCCCAGTGAGTTCGGGGTAGAGAAAGCTGCGGTCGCGATTGGCCTTACCCATCGGTGTCATAGCGGCTTTGCAGACACGAGATCCTAGCAGAAACCATCTGCTGTCAGTATGGTAGGATGAGGAGAGGAGCATATAGAGGTTTGTATCACCTTCCCTGCGCCATTGCCCCCGACTCTCCATCTGTCAGCTGCCTCCCAGAACACTGTTGGTTGGTAATCGTACCACCTTTCAGAGCCCACCTGACCGACTGCGTCCGTGTACGGCCTCTGGAATGGCTTATGCCAGGCTCTGGCACCGTGGGTGATGACCCAGTACGAGCTTGGTGTAGCATGCCGGTTGGGGAAACCATCGCGGCGACCTGCCGGCTTGACTGCTGCCTGAGATGTCCCACTCCAGTACCAGTTCTCTCATGGGCCAACATCTCCTAGCTCTCCCTCTTTCCATGTACACCTCTTGCTCGTGGCAAGTCGGAGTGGCTTCTTTTCCTTTCTGTGTTCTGGCCCGGGATTTCCTCTCGTCGTGCCCCGCGAATACCTGTCGACTAGCACCAATGCGGGTAGTCATCGTTGACCGCAAGTTCACACAAACCTCCAATTGACCATCCACCCCTCTCAATCCCTTCAGCATTCAATCCCCAGTGTGCTCTTGGCGGATAGCAGTGAAGGTTCCATTACTCGACCATGGATGTGAATAGACCCCGGATATCCCTCCTCTCACCATGGAAGACAAGCCTTGCGGGCATACTGAAGTGAAGAGAAAATTCTGGCAATCATCCTCACACATCAGTCTTTCCAACCTTGCGTATAGGTGATACAGAATCTACTCATTCCAAAGTCGAGATCTCGTCTAGACAGTGACCAGGCCATGACCGCTTGGAAGTATCAGTCTGATGTGCATCCTGAACCGTCCAAAAAGTCTCGTTAGCTTTGACTCTCACCAACTAGCTATTACTGGCTCTTTCACTAAATTTTTCTGCTCTTCCAGCAATTCTAGGATTCTCTCCATGATTCCTCCTCGCCGCCACTTGCGGCTGCACGCTGCTATCGTGCATTCGCAACTGCAAGAAGAGACAAAGAACCTGAGGAAATACTATAGCACCTGGACAGAACAAAAGACACCTTGAAGCAGGGGACCAGTCTCTACAACAGGGCGTCGGACTGTCGGACCTCGACTTCCATTCCGCGAGGCTATCCTGTCCCTCGGCCATCACATACTTTATGTCCACTTTGGGTGGTGGCCAGCATTTCCTGAGAGGAAAATACTGGACCCGGTACAGGGTGAGGATCCTCAGCATAGATGCACTGGCAAGGCAGCTCGAGACCAACAAGGATGCTGGCCTGAGGATCTTGCTGTGGATACGGGAACCGTTTGTCTCAAATCCAAGACAAGTACGATTGGGAGGTCATGCAGTGAGAAACCGACGTCACTTGCAACCATCCCCGTGAAGAAACGGGCTAACGAACGGCTCTTTTAGGTAGCCAAAGCTGATAATGTGATGAGATTGTGACCGCTGCTTTCAAAAGCAGGCTGCCACCGAGTCACGCAGCAAACGTCAGCCTCGCCGGATGCTGAGGATGCTGATGAAGCCGTATGCGTCACAAAGGACGATGTCAGCACTGGAAGAAGAGGACACGCCGAATTCCTATCGATCTGTCGCCGATTTGACTATACTGGTTAGCTGGATCATGGGTGGTATGCATCACTATCGGAGCAAATCATCGGCGATGACAAAAAGCACAGGGCCCCAGGCATCGTGGCTTCGTGCCGTTCTTCCGGTCTGCAAATTCCACTTTCTCTCTACGTATCGGTCCAAGACTATCCATACACATCGACTCTCGGCTTTCCTTTTGTGCGCCGAGCACGAGTCTGAGCCCTACGGGTATCTTGAGGGCACAATTGAGGTTCATGCCACTAAGCTTCAGGATGTCAACGTTCTAAACTGCACGTATGGCGGAGTCTGTGCTTCGATGGGGGTCTCCCACATTATATGGAGACGCACCAATGGCATCATCATTGCTAACTATCTCTAAGCCAATCTTTGAGGATGATGAAGACCAAGATAATGGTAATGATTGATCAGAACCGTCCTAGAGCGGACCATGTCGGAAGCCCTCCATTCGCAGGTTAGCCACCGGCATTTCTGGCATTAAAACCTTGGCGCGTTGCACTGCTTATCTTCAGCGGATGTAGAAGGACTCACCTAGCTACAGCTCAATGTGTTCCACATGCAGGTCTGTTTGGAATTGCTCTGCAGTGACATAATCATCGAACGTTGTACATTGGCTACCAAAGGGTGAAATGAGAAGAAAAGAAAAGAAAAGAAACCAAAAGTACGCCGAAATTTCCCTACACAGAAAAATAATCTTTCTCTACAGATTCTTCTCCTTTGCCCTGAAAAATATCTCACGTCATCCACACATACACACACTCTGTCGAAAGAGACAGACAGAAATCCCCAATAGCGAGAAACCCACCCACCATCCACCATACCTCCTGTCCTCGTCATTTCCCCTCTCCCCTACACTAAGCCTTTTACGCAAGTCAAGAACTTAGCCCTCCAAGCAATTACCTCTTTTTTTTTTTTTTTTCCCATCTCAGCCCCATAAATCACCACATCAATCTTTATCTACATGATAATCCATCCACATGCAAAATCGCATACGTACGATCCCGTAAACCTCCTAAATCTCCTCTCCCATAGTATAAGGCCTCGGAAGAGTAAGTAATGTAATAAGGAAATTCCGAGAACTCTGAGTTGTGTAGGTATTACTTCTCGTTGGAGTGGACTTAGTCGGAAGGCTTTGGGGTTTGGAGTTATTTACCTGGAGATTGGATGAGAGGGAGGAGATAGAACCCAGTAGTAGTAGTAGTAGTAGTAGTAGTAGTAGTAGTAGTAGTAGTAGTAGTAGTAGTAGTAGTAGTAGTAGTAGTAGTAGTAGTAGTAGGAGTTCGTCTTCAATAAAAGCCGTAAGGGGACAAAAGAATTGTAGAAAGTACCAATAAACTCCACGACTGTCTAGTAATTCGAAAATAGATATTCAGGGTGCGTCGGCCGGCGGGGCCAGTATGAAACACTAGTTAATTGTCTAAGAATGGAGTTATTCTAGTGGACTCATTGCATTATCAACACGATATAGTAGTGGTAGATATGTAGACGGCTACATAGATCACGGAATGTGAAATGTGACCCACAATACGGAGTATTAAGGTGGTATATGGGAGAAAGGATAGAAAATTGCAGTCGGGTGGATATGAACCTCTCAATGAACTGATTGGATCGAGTGCATCAACGAGTATTTTGTGTAGACTCGAATTGCAACTTCAAGAAAAGATTCCAGGATAGCATTGATAATGTTGCAATATGATTGTTTCGCACATCAGGCTGGTATGCCTCGCAGTATGGTAAGTCGATATCTTCGAGTAAACATGTAGTCCCAGGGGGTCTCGTTTGGCGGTGGTAACGATGCGACATGATGTGGGTGATTGGATGAAGCAGATGATTTGGCACCGTAGTGCAGAACGTGTTCCACACTTGGTGAGATAGCCAAGATGATCCCGAAACCACGACTGACTGGATTGGTGACAGTATCGGTATATAAACCCGCTGCCATGAGTTCCTGGCGCCCTTGTATCTCAACTCCAGTTTCATGCAACTTCCAAGTAGTTGCCCTCGTAAGAGCTTAATAAGTATAGGTGTCGAAGCAAGAAATGACTGGCCAGGCGGCTTAAACCCAGTCCAGCGGGCGGTTCATCTTTGTTCAGCAGGTTTCAAACTGTGGAACTTGCAATGACACGAAGGAGTTCCCAAGTCAGTGTTCGCGGCTAGTGCCTCAAAAGTGTTAAACCTTGAATGTGGTCAATCGCCATCGTCACATACGCGTCATGGTTCCTTTCTATTTCAGCCATCGTGGTAAAGATAATCGAGTAAAGAGGGACGGGAGGATAGTGGACTTGTCCTTGTCGCTGATATCTGAGTCTGGATCGATTATCGAGCCATCTTGTCGACAGCATGGATGAGTTTACCATGTTCGCTTCGGTAGCCTCTGAATGAGGGGTTGATGCAATGTATGGTGCATGGGTGGGTAAGCGAAGCCTTCTATTTTGCTGAACCGGAACATCAATGACTCGGCCTTAAGTTTCGACGAATGTGTGATGCAGACGCATACTCCCGAGAGAATCCCTCCTCTGGCTGCAAAAGCTTCATGCCTCTTCTGGTGGCACAAATCACATACAGCCCAGTTGCCAGCATTTACGACAGCATGAGCATGAACAATGAGAGCATCTTCTCTGGCCGCTCACCAAAGACAAGACGCCTGGGATCCTTTTCACGGTCGCTCGGTTCGGCCATAATCTGCTGTGGTTTAGCTTGTCGATCATACAAACGTCCTCAATAGTATCCGTTTTGCCAAGATGATAGTGCCGCGGACTAGATGACTACCTGAGGAGTGAAGAGAAATACCATGCTGCTGCAAATACACCCGGAAGCATAGAATATCCGGAGATTGGGAAGGGCGGTGGTGGAGTGGCATTCTTGGGATATGTAGGGTCTCGCTCACTACTGACACAGTCTGAGAAGAACTCGTCATGTCGTCTCTCCTTCGTGCATAGCCGTTCTTTACTTCTGCAATGGTAATGCGCCTATCATGCCGCGGGGCGTTGAAAGAGTTATCGACCGAGGCTCGTTGCGACATCGCTGACACAAGCATATGAAGGGAAGAGACTAGAAATAGAGGGAATGTTTAAGGTGAATGTTAACACGTGTGGCTGCGAAGTTTAAGAGCCACGTATGATATCTTCTGTAACGAGGGATGAACAAATGTTGGCGGAATTTGGAAACGTCAATCACTGAGCGTATCTTCGCGATGATGTAGTGGAGCGGTGGTGCGGCCGGCGGAGAAGATGATGGATTGTGCTTTTGTGATTTTTGAGTTGGCTAAAGGCCAGGTGGTTCATATCGACATACTCATCCTGAAGTAGGCGAGACCTGTGTCCGTTCCTTCTCCCTGCTTCCCCTTTGTGATCACTGCCAGACCCTGAGCCTGCGACGGAATGCTCCAGCTGTCTGACCACCGATCTCCGGTATCGCACCCTTCTTCGGCTAGAGATGGGGATCGTCCAAGGATACCGGGGACAGATTATCCCCACGGAGTTTAGGAACTCTTTAGACCTCCGCGCGCTTGAAACTACCGACGAGAGCTCGCGAGCAGCATAGCTAATCAACCCGCGACTGGGGACCGGGAGTCACACCGTAGTGACTGTCTACAATAGTTTAACCCGACGATTATTCCTCGCCTCGTCACAAGCGTATCATCGCCCAGTATCTGGATTGCGTTTGTGCTCGGTTTGTACACGGGGAGGGCGTATCGGTCGAGTGCTAGTACAATATGAAACATTCGGGAAATAGTTGACCTCGAGGACATAACCAGAGTCGGCGCCAACAACGATCGCATCGGTGATAGGAAGAGGTTCAGATGTTGTAAATATGAAGGACCATTAAGCCAGACATGTGGCAAGCAGACCGTTGGAAGGGATCTTCTTCTTTCAAAAGCAATATCCGACAAGGTGGAGGGACTCGAGATGTGCGGGAACAGGACCTGTTTCCTTTCCCGAAAGTTGGTTGGCGATTAACAGATCTGTGATGTATCGTTGGACTGTTCCATAGCGCAAGTAAGGCGAATAAAGTAGACATATAACAACAAATAGATCTTGTGGAGCAGAGAAACAGCCCTCTTGCATTGACATAAGTTGAGGGTCTCCGTTTCTGGGAAGAGGCAAGTCGGTAGAAGGACAAAGTGATAAGGAGAATGAGACTAGTCCACATCAAGTGAATGGTTCATCATGTAGAAGAGTATCCATGGCGTGAGTTACTGCATTACCCCATGCAGCCGATAGCCTTGATAGTCACTGCAAACAAGAGAACCATGAGACAAGGCTGCATGCCTCTAGCTTGGATGGCTAGTAGTCAAGCATTACCTGCACTGAGTTATGCATAATCACTATGACTCATAAGTCGAAGTTCTCGAGCCAGGCACTCACGTAGTATGCAAGCACTGTTATCGCGCTTTCAACTTGAGTGTCGTTCCTCTCTTCAGACCCGAGGTATGCTGCTGTGTGGTGATCAGATTCAAATCATCCAAGGTGGCGCAGCTTTGGAAGATGTCGGTCGGCAGAGCCATCAGAAGGTGGAGTATGTTAATTCTGGCTTGGTACTTCATCGTTTTGATGGATATTCAGACCCGTATTCTTCAAAAATGCCCAGAGGCAACAGGGGTATCCCAGTAACTAGACACGGTCTGTGTCCCGGCACGAGTCCATTGTGTCAGACATTGCGGCGACAGAGAAGCTCGCATCTTGAGACGAATCGTTGTATCGATGAACTGATTGGACTTATGAAAACTGACTGAGGGAAGACGTAGCAGCAAGACATGGAAAAGATCAAACGCAATTGACCATGCGGAACCGTAGTGACGCAAACGCAGGTCAAATAATCATTTCATTGAAACGTGCGCTCGCCGAAGATGTAGTACTCATTGATGTCGATCATGAACATGATTCGCATATCTCACGTCGATGTCGCTGCTGGGAGGAAGGCAGGCGACACATGAGGAGGGGTCGTGACTCCATGTTCTGATGTTATCCGTACTTTGAGACCAGATAAGATATACACACGATGGTTCAGCCTGTGAATGGAAGCTGGCCTCTCATTTCGGGGTAGCCGCCAGCAGCAACTGAGTACCTAGCCAGTTGACGTTGGCCCGCGGTAACCGTTGAAGATTGCAACCGAGATGAGAGTGCCCACACCTGCTGTTACAGGGTTGATTATACAAGCAAGGGATGTAGAGTCTCATCCAGGAGGGCACTTCATGAGTTGCTGGGTCGTCAAGTGAAACCTGGAGACATATGAAGATAAGTCTGAGCTCCGTCGGGTCCTCGCTGTTGAAGTATATACGTGGAGCTATCAGGATTTACCGAACCGTGACAATGATGGAATTCTTCAAAGCATAGGCGGTGAGTGGTGTAATGGAGGGCTGTTGACAATGTGTGGTGCGTCTTCATCAACGACGCTGCCTCTCCTAGCTGGCGTTTGATTTACTCCATACTGCAGGGTGAAATATCCACGCAACCCAATGGTTTGGGCACCATGGCGGCATACTCAAGCTGGAGGACCTCCAGGATCACGTTTTCGGAGGCTGCTTTGAGAAAGGCGAAGTCATTCTCTAAAAGATGTCGTCCATTATCTGCTGTCGATGGATTGTAACGACGAGCTGCTAGTATGGCGTATCCGATGTCAGGGTCAAGGATATGCAGTTGTAGTGGTGCTTGTCTTTGGAACTTTAGTGTCAGACATGATTTCAACATCGAGTCAAAAGCTTGTTGCGTACCATTTGTGACCATGGTAGATCATTAAATAACTACACACGCTAGGTAGATTTCGCGCGTAGGGCGGCAGTTCATTTGGGTAGCAGCGTGTCTATGCTTACAGGGTGAGAAGCATGGTCGAGGGGGTATTCAGCTTGGATCAAAAGCTGTGAAGCGCTGGTGCTATCAGATGGTCAGCTGGAGATCTTGCATGTGCAGTTGGAAATAACCAGCATATTCAAACACGAACCTTAATCGAAGCCCAGACTATCAGTCAAGGATGGTGATTCTGAATCCCAGAAGATGTCAATTTTAAAAGGCACCAATCTCTTATTAGAGTCGTGCAAGGAAGAAGCCATGGGCAACGAATATCATGTTCCGGGCGAACAGCCATTTGGATACAAAGCGGGAAACGGACATCTTCGACGGTGCGAGCAGGCGCTCTATGATCTGGGGTAACATCTTGGGTCAGCTTTGTTCACGTATATTGTAGACAGGCTTGAGAAACACACCAAGAGATCGCTTCGTGGACATGAAGCAGGGGAATGGTAAGGAGTCTGGATGTGATGAATCTTGAATACTGATGGAAGCAATACCCACAGTCCTGGAAGCTGTAGCCTGTTACCTCAGACGCGCCACCATGTCAATTTGGGGGATGACGGTATAGAAAGCAGGGTATATAAACCGAAGAATATATATAAGGCCGCTCAAGCAGGCCTATGGCCTGACGAGGGCCAGATCTGAATGAAGAGGAAAGTAGAAAGGCCCGGCGGGTTGAAAAATATACTTATAAGTTGATAAGTGTGGGCGACAAAGTCAAGCGGGATGGAGGACTTCCTCGGACGAGGCATTTTGAGTCCCACGGGGTTACACCACGGGAAACGGACCTTACGACACGGGCCCGTCAAGGGCAAACAAACGACCCGAGAGGTATCAATACCGTACACAGGAACAGTCTGGATCGGGCCATCTACTACCTAAGCAAACGCTAAACACACAGCGGGGCGTGCAACGGAAACTACCCCTTCTATCCAGTAACCAGCAATCTAGACTATTCCCCATCATACAAAACCTGGATCGACGAGGCGGGCGTCAAAAGTCCGTCCCCGATCCGGATCACTACCTTCACCTGCAATGCCCGGGCTTCCCGAATGCAGCACGCCAGGCAGGTCCGGCCAGCCTTCCCAATGATGGCATGGTGCCCCACAGATGCGCACCAGGCTCGTGCAAAAGTTTCCTTGTCGTGGGAACCCCGTGCGTCGAGAATGAGGATCTCTTCCTTCGCAAGCCCGTTGCCACTATCATCGGAGGAGGACCTGTTCTCCGTCAACGTCTCAAGAGGAACCCACTTGAACGCGTATGATCGGTGTAGCGGGTGACCGGGGAGCCGATGGTGCCCATGGGAGGCATGGCTAGACGACGAAGATGATGGGCCGCTGTCGTGGGCGTTCGTACGATTATGATAGGTGACCGATCCACCCGGTGGGCGGCATTCATGGGATGAGATGAATCGTACGTTATACGTCAATGGAAAAGAGACCGGGATAGGCCCAATGGGAGTGGCGGAGAGGGTAAAATTGACCCAGGCTTCGTGAGCCACGAGGAGGCGGTTGCCTGCCGGCTGCGTCCGCTTCGTATCGACCGAGAATGTGAGATCCTGGAAGTCGATCTTCGCTTTTGACCAACTATCACATGGCCCATCCACAGGCAGCAAGAAGGTCCCGCTCGTTAGCTCCCCGAGTCCCAGCGGTGTCGAGTCGAAAGAGAGCTTGTTCCCATGCTTAATGCGTGGCTTGCCCGATTTCCGAGGTGGCTCTGAGACGTCCACCTCAAACCACGTGTTGTCCAACAGCTGCCCGGATTGCGAGTCTTTCGGCATGATGCCACTTGCTAGCCAGGCCAAGCAAACCTTTGTACCTTCCTGGCTAGCCAAGACCCGGCCGACAACGCATTTCTGACTCCACCAGGCCTTTCCCTTGTAGGCGAATCCGCCGTAGAGGTTAGCGACCGGTCCGAGGGCAGCCATCGCATCCTCGTCATTTTCCAACATCGTCGCCATGAGGAGGTGGCTGATGGACTCGCCGGGGATAACCAAGCCCGCGAGCCAGCTACGCGTGATCCAGCCACCAACGTTCAGGGGATGTGCACTGTCAGGGGGGTGAAGCAGGAGCAATCGGCGAGACGGACATCGGCTATACATCTCTTTCTTCAAGTCCGACCCCGCGAGTTCTGCCGGAAGCGCATTGCTCAGAGGAATCGTGTACGCGTCTTTGATCCGCTGGTCGGATCCCTCATCCTCCAGTTTGGAACGCAGGGAATCCCTGAGTTCGGTAAGCCGTGGCCAGCCAAGGTTCTCTGCGAAGACGAAAAGCCCCTTTAGCTGCTGGTCAACATGGCTAGGAACAAGGTGACATCTCCAGGCAGATTCGCTGTGGTTTGTCGAGGTGGATGACCGGTGGGTGAAGGTCTCGAGGAATGAACGATGGTGATGTTTGTTGGGTTGCTGATTTGAGGAGAATGCAGCGGGAGAGGAGACACCAGGCTCAACCGCATTGTAGGTGAACTTGAAGCTATCTAAGAAACGGCGTACTGCTACTAGGTCCCAGTTCAGCTTCCCGTTCCGTAGCCGGTCAAAGTCGTACACGTCATGCACTGAAATGTCTATCTCCCGGGAGTTTTGTAGGATTCCCACCCGAACTGTGGCATCTAGACGCAACAGCAGCTCTGCGGCGAGCAGCATCTGGACGAGGAACCACTTGCGCTCCAGAGCAGTATGAACCCACGGCTTATCAGACTTGGCGGGGTCGAGAGAATCTCCGTCTCCGTGGGGGGGATCCTCAAATAGGATTTGCCCGATATGCAAGCGCCAGTCGGTCTGGCTAAGGTCAAGCCACGCCCCGGGGGTGGTTAGCACCACTGTCAGAGCTCTGATCTGAGCCTTCAAACTGTGCGGATCGCCAGCGTCCGGGAGCAGAAACCGAACCGGTGGGTATAGAAAGCGATTGAACAGGCCACTGTACAACTCGCGTGTACATTCCATATCGAGGATTGTCTTGGGTGCATCCCCATGCAGTATCTCGTAGCGAAGAACCTTCAATGTCTGCAACCGCTCCACAAGGGCTCGGAGGTCGACGTCGCGGACACCGATTCTCTTCCAGGCTGCGGGTCCTTCGCAGAGCACCTTTTTCCGGTCGTGTACGGTACCATCTGAGCACTGAGAATACGCGTCGTTGTAATGTCCCATCAGTTCATACGCCTCGGTGGCCGGTAGAGATGATAGATGGAGGAGCTCGGCGCATGCCCGTGGCTTTTCTGGTCCAACGTACAGGACTGAGTCGGCGACGGGGAGTTCGAGGAAATGGCGGAATCCGATGGTGCCGGGGTCTTTCCCGTTTACCGAAAGCATGTTGGGTACTTCGTGCACGCCGACGTCGAAAGTGGCCCGCTTGGGAGCTTCGGTTCGTTTCCAGCCTCGAAGATGAACCGGCGTCTCTCCCTCAACCACCCAATCATCCGGCACTGGCAGATGTGCGTGGAGAGTGCACAGTGTGTACGAGGCGTGGGGAAGTGGCCGCCTGTCCCAGAGATTCTGAATGGTAGGATCGTGATCATCGAAAGGGAAGATGATCTGGGGGTACCAGAGCCCGTGTTTTCCCTTCTCCAGCAGGAAGTACGGGGCTCCCGAGAAGATCGTCTCGACATCCTTTTTGGTGAGCTGACTCTTGGGCGAGGGGCCCGGATCGTGATGTAACCTATGGGGTGCCTTAGTGACCTGCTCCGGATGGTGTTCGCCAGGCAAGTCATGCACGGCGCTATCGTGATGATGGTGGGAATCCGCATGCTCATCCTGGGACCGGGCGTTGTTAGTTGCCTCGAAAGATTCAGACAATTCAAGTAAGCCCTCCCGAGGGGCTTCAAGTGCGTACCGTCTTGCTGGTCTGAGCAGTGTCCGAGGAGTTTGTTCCTGAGTCCCCCCGATTTCTCCGGAAGATATCATGGATCATGCCTTTGGCGTGAGCACCCGGATTGTGATCGGTAAGGTTTGGCACCGAGGCTCTTCTTCCTCTCTCGTGCCGTGGAAGGCTATCGGCCTGGGCCGGGGCCGAAGACGAGATGGAATGACGACGTCCAAAGAAAAATGACATTGTGGGGTTACAGACGTTGAGGTAGTAGATGGATTGTGTATGTATATGGTGTAGACGAACGATGTCCGGGCCTAATCAATCTGTCCAGCAGATGCGCGGCAACGCTCGATTGGTGTTTTGGCTCATTGCGGTTTCAGATAACAATAGGTAATAAGAATAGGCGGAGGTCAGCGGAGAGAAAGAGAGAAAGAGAGAAAGGGGTCTAGGTATAACGGATGCAGCAGAGGTCAGTCCACTGATAAGGTGATAGGGGATGGCTCCATCCGGACCGCGAGGGGAGACTGAGAGCGGAGGACAAAAGGACGGGCGGGGGGTCCAGCCGATGACGTCGGCCACTCCGTCCCGATGTGGCGGTATGTCCCGGTCGCCCCATCTTGCCCGATCGGACTACAGTACTACATAGGAGGTGCGGATAGCTCGGAATATTACCATGTACAACGGGATGTCCGTTTTGAATTCACTAGGAAAAGTTCGTTTGCCGTCAATTTGTTCGGTATGGTATACACATTCACGCATGCTTCTGAAGGAAGTCCAAAGCCGTCCGGTATCCCCTCTCGTACTCCTTGCGCACCTCGTCGTCCTCGAGATTCGAGCGAGCAGCCATCCATCCGTGGATTTGTGTCGAGAATGTTTCAACGTAGTTGGCCTGCGTCAGATTGGCTCCAAACGCCTCCACATCCTTGGGGTTCTCGTCCTTGGAGGCCAGCACGGCCATGGGGACGTTGACACTCTTAGCATCGTTGGGGTCCAGCATCGCCGGGTGGCATTGCACTGCGGCCTTGAAAACCTTGTTATCCTGGTTCGAAGCCAGGGTCGCGATCTTGCCTCCCCAGCAGTATCCGAGGATGGACCAGGACTGGAAGCCACCGCCAGCGGCGAGCTTGTTGGCCTCCGACACAATCGAGGGGATCTTGGGTAGGTTCTCGGGAGGAGCGGCCTTGGTCTGGAAGAATTTGCCTAACTTCTGCTTGTGTTCCTCGGTCTGAGGCGGGAACCAGGTGATGTCGGCGGGCTCGCCCTGGAAGAAGTCGGGAATGAACACGCGGTATTTTTGTTCGCTCGCGGTGGCCAGGATGTCGGCACCCTGGATGGTCTGGTCGAAGAAACCGAAGATGTCTGGACGGTGGTGTGGTTCTTAGTGTGGGGCTTGAACCGGCCGGGTGGAGTCTACCTACCGTAGATGACGAGGATTGCCTTGGTGGCTGATTCGGGACCGGTCACATCTGGGGACAATTAGCTGGGGTGTTTGCTGCGGTGGTCTGAAACGTACAGGTCTTCAAGCCATTGATGGTCTTGTATTCACCCTTGGCCTGGTAGCCCTTGGCAACAATTGGGGGAATGCTAGTCCTGGTGAGCATGGACGCAATTGGTATACCTAGCCATTGGCATGGATTACTCACGAGCAACAGGCCTTGTTGACACCGGACATGGCTGCGGATGAGCAGTGCAGTGGGCGACTAATGCGACTGGTGAGGGGGGTGACGGGCGTGAGGAAGGACCTTCGCAATGGGAGAGTCAGAAGCTGTCTGGAGAGCATATTAGTAGAAACGGATAGGTGATGGACGCACAGGAGAAACGAGACGGATGAGTTGAGGGAATCCGAGATGGTGAAGAGCAGAGAGAAAGAGAGGAAAAGAGACGCGAGCCCGAGCGAAGCTGGAACAGAAAAGAGCCGATAGTTTGCAGTGCAACCCCACCGACCCACGACGTCATCCGAGCCACCCCCGCAATCCCGGTTTTGCCCGCAATTTTCTCCCCTTAGCAATACCCTCTCTGCACCCTGCCAGATCCGAGAACACTCTCTACTATATAGTCGGCCTGCATTCCGGATATCCTTACAGTCTACCAATGCGACACATAGCCCTCTGAGGAATCTTCTCGCCATGTCTTCCGGATATCCATCTATTCCATGTCACCATTGAACTCGATGAAGTCTGGCGGACCCACTTGAGTCGTCGCAATAGTATCCGACTGAGCTAAAATGGCCTACCTCGAGGTATGGATCGGAAGCACATCCCCGAGGCTCGGCTCTCTTCAGACGTGTGGTTTAGACCTCAGTCACTCCTGATAAAACTCCGTATGGTGCACTGGGCGGACTTGGATCGTTGGCGGTGAGGGATGGAAGGCCTTGTGTGACATGAGCGGGGCCTCCTTGCGTCACAGACAGGCTTGCGGGGGATATAATATCTTACATTCCCACTTCATCGCTGGCCTCGCAACGGAAAATGGCAAGGTGGAAATCTCTCTCCTGTGGTCCTTGATCGTTATGAGTACTCTCTCGCCCGAACAGCGACAGGCGCTCCTCGATGGGCCCGCTGGCACTCCTCCTCCCGGGCAAGCTTCCAATCTGATCGAACCTCCAAACCTGCTTGTAGCGGGACGCACTGTCCTATTCCTTTTCTGGACTCTGGCCTCTGTCTCGGTTGCCATTCGTATATACACCAAGGTCTTCCTGCTGGGTCTAATGAGGCTGTCTGACTGTACGTGGTAGTATGCACACGTTGGCTAGCTATCAATGACTCTTTCTAGATACGATCCTACTGGCCTGGGTGAGGTCTACATCTTTGCATATCTCAGTCAACTGGTCTAACGTCTCAGGCCTTGTTTATGGGGTATTTTGGTCCCGCTTGGGCGCTGAGTGCTGCGGCTCCCGGTGTCGACCAGTGGAATCTTCGCTTGAAGGACTTCATCGCGATGCTCTACGTGAGTGCCCAGTGTCAGAATGTGGATGCTTGTCGTAAGACTGAAATAATCTCAGTATTTCCATGTCAATTCCATCCTGTATGGAATATGTATTTTCTTCATCAAGCTCTCGATATTCCTTCAGCTTCTGGAGATTTTCGGACAGACGCGAGACTACGTCTACTGGAGCTGCCACATCTGCATATGGGCCAACTTTCTCTTCTATTTCATCAGCACCTTTGTCGAAATCTTTTCCTGTCATCCGATGTCAAAGGCCTGGGATGTACTGATTACCGAGGGATCGTGCCTGAACATGGACTTGTTGAATGTTATTGCGGGTGCTGTCAACTCCGTATCGGACTTGACCATTGTGATCCTACCACAGACCCGCATTTGGCAGTTACATGTGGCCCTCGACAGACGGATCGCCGTTGGAACCGTGTTTCTATTCGGTGTGACGTGCGTCCTCATAATTGCATACCCTGGACCATGCTGATTGCGTCTAGGGCTTGTGTTGCATCCGTCGTAAGAGTGGTGCATACCGTTCTCCTTCTCGATGCAACCAACAACACTTCCTATTTCAGCTACCTGGCCGGTATGTGGACTCTACCCGAGCTCGCATGTGGGATCATTGCCGGCTGTCTGCCGTCAATGCCAAAGTTCTTCCGGAGCGTGTGGCAGAGCTCCACCGTAGCGAAATGGAGGCATTGGCTGCGGCGATTGTTATCAATTAGGACACGAAGCCAACAAGCCAAGGATTTAGAGGCTCCTGCTCGTCTAGTACATCCCAAGGGTCACTGGGTGAGTCCGGAACCATATCCGCTGACATCAATTGGGAGTCGAGCCTCGACGGCGCAAGATTCAACATCCTCGACAGTGAATGGTCCCGATTGCGTTTAATACCAGTTACTTGGCACTACAGCCCAGATGGATAACCGGGCAGAGCACTACGATACAGGTTCATTTCAACCCTGCTGAAGATTCTCTGACCCACCACCGAGTAGCGATCGAAGACGTCGAGTCTGATCAATTTCTTTCAACTGGTTACATGCAGGAGGGTTACGCCAGTTGGCCAATTTCAGAAGGGAAAACAGGGCAGCAACAGCTAGACGCCTCTGGGCTTGCATCGAGCAATCTGATGCAAGGGACATGAATTGATTTATCATTGTTGACGGTCATTCCAGAATAGCAGATAGCCTGAGGCTGATTTCAGCAGCTGCCTAGAAAGTCGTGTCCAGAAGTGGTTACACGCTCGGACATGGTCAGTATCAGCTCACTGAGCCGTCAGTGTGACAAGCTTTGAGTCATCAGTACCCATGGTACAGATGGGACGCCACATTCCGGACTTATCCTAGTGGGGGGCCTAAAGGCGTCCAGCCAGGCCCACTTGATACAAGGCTGACACATGCTGCCGCCAGCCTTATCCTTTTGTCGTGCTGCTTAGGCCGTCACATGTCAAGGCTATCCGATGTTGTCACTGACTACTAACCCGCCTAGCCGTTTGTTGTAATTATGCTCATACTTTGAGGTTGCTAATTAGTCAGAACCAGAAAAACCCAGCGCCTAATCCTCGGCCGGTGATCAAACGGTTCAGCATCCTACCGGTGGAGATTAGGTAGTACATATGCGATCCTATCAGCAATCCCGGGAGATTTATTCGCCCGTAAAATACAGGACGGCATGTTAGTGCCAGTCAAGGCTGAGTTGGCTTGCCCTGCATGAGCACTAGTTGCTTGAGGTAACATGAACTGCAGATCCTGCAGAAGTATGGATCAAGGTGAGCAATCTCAAGATCCGGTGCTTGCATTCAGACGATACTCCCAGAACGGAGTAGAGAGAAGTATATCCCTTGCTTGCTTCTTTCTCCCCCTCATCTTCCATGAACCCTTCCAGAACTCTTCAGACGGCGCATCATCCTTCACCGCACCTGTCATACCCTGTACCACATCTCACATGAATACGGCCAGGGTATAGGTATACAACGAGCTTATGGTGCCACAGCCACCTAAGGTCAATGAAACCATCCGCACTGACCCACCAATGACGGACTCCTCCCGTCCCAACGAAGGAAATGAGCTTAGTTTGATATTACCATGTCTCGTCCACGTCAAACAGGATCCTCCCGACCAGTGAGGAAGCATTCATTGAGCTATTTAACACCGAGTCCGTAGACCAACAGACTTGGAATTGACTTTACCCCAGCAAGAATTTCACAGTACATAGAATGAGTCCGACGAGATAGGAAACATCACCAAACTTAAAATGCTTCTAGATCTGATTTTCCTGGTACACATGAAGAACCCACCACTAAGCTACAACATCGTAACTACTACATCTTGTCTCGAGAAGTAGTCGTATAATTCAATTTATTCGATGAGGATAGTCGTACATATATATAGATCACGTTCGATGCCGGCTGCGCGTACAACGTGATTTGTTCTCGTAGGATCATCTTGACTATTTAACATATAGGATTGTCTTTATATATATATATATATATATATTAAAGACATGACTTTTTCTCAATGAGGTGAGTATGTACGTATCATCTCTGCTAAGTAGACTCAATCGACCCCACGGACCGCAATAGAGCGGGTATAACGCAGCGAGCGGGTACACACCTCGACTCGAGGTCTGTAAAAAGAGATTAAGACCTAGCCTTGGAATTCTGAGAATTACGATCTACATTCCCTACCCTAAACAAGACGAAAGCAGCAACCAACCGATGAATATTCGGATGAGAGATAGTAAAATCCTAAGCTAATAACTCCAATCTTATCAGTCACGCCATCCACCCGTAGATGATGGAATAAACCCCCTCCCGAAAGCCCATCAAAAACGCATTCGCAATGCAGCAAGCTAGTGCATTCAGTGCGGGGAAATGGACGAATAGTCCCACCAACACAACCAGATAATGCACTTGCGCCATGGCGATGAGTGATGGCGGGATGGTGAGGGGTTCATAGATTTATTTATCTATATCATTGTCCTGAGCCGCTATTGCATTGGCAAGATACCAAGTACAACAGAATCAAAACAATGGGCGATATTTACACCGAGAATGGCCAATCCGGCAACAAGCAGATCCTGCTGAATGCGTTTGATATGTCTACGGTGGGACATTTGTCGCCGGGGCAGTGGAAGGTGAGTCGTGGTCTCTTCATCTAGCAGATGGGCATGATGCTGAGAAGGTAGAACCCCGCCGACAAATCCGCGACCAAGCGCAAGTTGGAATACTGGATTGAATTGGCCAAGCTGCTGGAACGGGGCGGTATCAATGCCTTGTTTCTGGCGGATACGTATGGCGGATATGATACGTATGAAGGGAAACTGGATGAATGTATTCGACGGGCGGCGCAGTGGCCGGTTACGGATCCGACGATTGTATGTTTGCTTTCTGGAGAGTAATCAGTGTTTGGTGGATGAGAGACTAACCGATCAGCCTATCTCGGCCATGGCCGCGGTGACTAAGAATCTTGCCTTTGGCATTACTTCGTCGACTTCTTTCGAGCCTCCTTTTCTCCTAGCGAAGCGCTTCTCGACGCTGGATCATCTGACGAACGGTCGTATCGGATGGAATATCGTGACCTCGTGGAAGAAGGCTGCTTTCAAGGCCATCGGACTGGATAGTCCAATCGAGCACGACGAGCGATACCGTCAGGCGGATGAGTACCTGCGTGTGTTGTACAAGTATGTCCCATCCAATCTTTCCACTGTTATTCTCTAGCTGCTAACTCAGTTAGACTCTGGGAAGCATCCTGGGCCCCCGACGCACTCTCCCCCAACCCCGAAACCGACAGCTACGTCGACCCGGACAAAGTGCGCCAAATCAACCACAAGGGGAAATACTTCTCGCTCAACACACGGCACATCGTGGATCCATCCCCCCAACGCACCCCCTTCCTCTTCCAAGCCGGTACCTCGGCCGCCGGATCGGCCTTTGCCGCGACGCACGCCGAAGCGATCTTCGTCTCGAGCCACTCGCCCGCCGTGCTGCGACCCAAAGTCGATAACATCCGACGGCTGGCAGCGGAGCAAGGTCGGGATCCCGCGTCGATCAAGTTCTTCGCGACCTTCACGCCGATTATCGGACGGACGGACGAAGAGGCCCGGGAGAAGTATGAAGAAGTGAAGAAGTATGCGTCGGTGGTGGGGGGCTTGGTGTTGTTCAGCGGATGGACGGGGGTGGATATTTCGCGGATTCCGCTGGATCAGGATATCACGGCGGCGGATTCGCTCGAGGCGCATAAGGTGACGAGTATGTTGGATGCGTTTACCACGACGAGTCCGGACGTGCCGCGGTGGACGCCGCGGGTGGTTGCGGAGAAGGCGGCCATTGGTGGATTGGGCCCCGTGGCGATTGGGAGTCCCGTGACGGTGGCGGATGAGATGCAGCGCTGGATCCGCGAGGCGGATCTGGATGGGTTTAATTTGGGCTATGTGACGACCCCGGGCACGTTCGAGGATGTGGTTGAACTGTTGATTCCAGAATTGCGGCGCCGCGGGGTCTACCCGGAGGGACAGGAGGAGGGGTTGACGGCGCGGGAGAAAGTGTATGGGAAGGGCCAGCGGGAGTTGCGGGCGGATCACCCGGGCAGTCGATACAAGTATGATGTCTATGAGGAGGATGCTCAGGAGGATGTCTGATGGGGGTGCATGTGATGGTGTACTTCGGACTCAGATTTACTATAGACCAGAATAAGCTATTCCAAGCCCTCAGCCATGTGAAGCCACGACGGCGCCGCATCCTTCATTCCCGCAGACCCCGGCCGGCATGTGGCCTGGCCAGCCCCGCCCCCAGCATTCCTCATCCCATTCATGGCATTTGAGTGTTTGTTTTCCCTATTCATGAGGAAAAGTGAAGGCCAGAGTCTAGACCGGCCTGGGCGGGTCTGTCACCTGCAGCCGCGGTCTCGTGATCCCCTCCCGTTCCATACCGTATGGTACCGTCACGGCCAGGCTGGGCCTGGCCTAAAAAAGTCCAAGTGGCAGCCTCGGGCATCCCTCGGTCGGCAGCAGCCAAATGTTCAATGCCAAGCTGCCAAGCGCGTACGGAGGATATCTCGCCTGGGCTAGCCTCATCCGGGGCTGCACAGCAGATGCCATCCCGAGGGGCAGTGGCGGTTGGGCTCAGGGGTTGGGTATGGCGGTGAGAGTCCCATCTGAAACATGCAGGGAGGGAGGGACAAAGGATGGAGGTCCGAGGATGGTATGAACCGGGGGCTAATCTAGTCCAGGACCATAGTTGAGATGGTATTAGGTATAGATGGATTAGAAATGCCATGGCGACGCTAGCAGATGGCGTGTAAATCTATATGCGGTGGATGGGCGTTCCCACATGGCTATCCGTGAGGAGCACCGGACTGACTGGACGGAAATAGACGGTTATATTTATCCCCGGCGGGGAGACTATTCGTCGCCAGGTGACTTGGGCGCACATCCGCTATATATATCACTGACGGGCTATGCTGGACACATCCGGGTGATGATCAATCGCTGGAGCTCATTGGGACCATGCTCTGATGCACGGATCACCCCTAGCAATGTGATTGACAGTGCTGCTGTCATGGCGGCCACGATTGCTTGCCATTTCCGGAATAGGGAATAGGTTCAGGAGAACCGCCGACCGCTCCTGAGCATGTGAAGACGACGACCGACCTAGGTCCAGCTGTCAGACCGCACTCATGGGACCGCATCGAATAAGGGGGAGGAGTCTGATGTGCTGAACGATGAATGTACCTCGGATAAGGGACATCAACAAACCAACAAACGTCTTAGCCTCCGCTGTACTCCGTTCCGACGAAGCTAAGCACAAACAGACCAACGGGCCTATCGTTCAAGCTTTGGACGGTCCTTGCATGGCGGTCCGGGTGAAATGGCCGCGAGTGGCGAACCGCTGGCGGGCCAGGAAGCGAAGCGGAGCACAAGCTGACATGCATGTCGGTAGTCCCCGGGGGGAGGGATTATTGGGTTGTCGTGACGGGCGCCTTGCATGCCACCACCGGACGTTAACCATGCGACGATGGGACAGGATAGCAGCATTCGCAGCAATAGCAGGGAGACATCAGACCCTACCTAGTCGGAGGGATGCGAAGCTAGCGGACGTTAGTTCGGGGGGTGGAGGTCGAGTCAGTCTCTTCACTCGGGGATGGGTTAGCCGGCTGTTGAATGACTAAGGGGTGTTGGCCTCGCCAGACCGCAACTTGTGAGGCCCCATGTCCACCGTCTTAGGGGGTATGCTTTTTTTTCGCCGAATGAGGCCGTCAACAGCTATGTTGAGCGAGGATACCGCTGGAGAGCTTAAGGTTCGTAAAGTGAAACCGCTTTCAAGCTTTGCGTAGGCTTTGGCCCAGCCGGTGCCGCGCGGCGCGGAGTCATCCAGGACAGGAAGGACCTGGCATATGCTTATTTCTGGAGAGTTTGCGCTTATTCCGGAGGCGCGTCCATCTATCAACTGGAGATACGAGGCCTGTTCAGTCGAGGTACACCGGGAACCTCCTGATGAATCTGAATGGAGTCGCCCCAATCCATCGCGTCCTCTAGCGCTGGCCGCCAAATATATCGGGGTTTGGGTAGCGCTGGAGGGCTCTGGTTTCGTTGCCGCCGCCTTAGCCATGCGATTAGCCTGATTGGGGATGGCCGCTATCAGACGCCTGGATATACGCAGATAGTGACAAATCTCGCCATGAGATTTGACTTCCGCCCTCCTCTGTCGTGCGACTGAGGGGTTAATGCGTCAGCCTCGACATCTGATACACTCGTGTACGACCTTCTGCAACGGACAGCCTCCGAGGGTCTTATCTGAAGCTGTCCTGGTCGAGTCGCCGGTGCCCGAGCGGCTAAGGGAACTAGCCCGAATGGGAATCTGTCTTGGCCCGGCGAAAAAAATATAATCAAGTTGACGCGAGAATATCATTTTCATTATGATGACTGGTCAGTGTTGGCAATTCGATCTTACTGCGAATAAACTAATGATATTCGCACTTAACCTCGGAAATAACCAAGGTCAGCCCACGCTTGGCCCCAATGGGACTGCCCGGCCGTAGCCTTACTCCTATGTACTCCGTACTGACCGTCTTACATGGTATCTAGTAGGCCCCGGAGATACAGTCACTTCCAGACGGATAACGTCCGAGCAGACCCTTCGGGGCCAATGCACCCTAGCCAGTAGCCACCTGAACGGCTAGGTAAACGACCAGACTTTAGTCTGTGATTAGTGCTGCTGACTATCTCGCAGTCTCCACGCTCTAACGAGCGACCAAATGGGAATGACTGGTCATAAAGATGTGCTCGATCGACACTGCATACATCACATTGGCTCCAGGTGGCCATCGACCCCTGTCCGTGTTGGTTGTACGGAGTACAGGAGTAGCTTTCATCCTTGGCTTGTTTGTCCACGGAGGATCCTTTTTCGTAATGAAAAAAGGACCCCTTGCGAGACCGCCGGGGATCAGGCATTGCATCGCATAGCAGGACTGGGCCGGTGTAGGGAGGATCTGGCGGACGATAAGAGAGTGAGATGAGCTGATAATGCGCCTGGCACCGTGGCCGCCACCGCCCTCGATCTCCCGGCCCCTAAACCCCCGCCAATACCGACAGCCTGGTGCTGGCCGCGCCTCCCGTCGGGAAAGGCCAGATGCGGTGGACCGTTGAGTTCCAGCGATGACGGGGTTACAGGTGCTACCCAAGGGGGCAGTAGTCTGCACCGCCCGGCGACCAGCAGGCAGTACTCCGTACCTTAGCGGTTCCTGAGTGATCGGTGATAGGCTTGGGGGCAGCCAATCCACGGGTCCTCCCAGGCTGGAACCGGGGGGCTACTGGTCAAGACCATACTTGCTTTTTGCCTTTCTGCAGCGGCTTGATTTCCAACCTCTCGGATGGCGGTGATTAAGGTTGATGAGGATGGCAGAATGGACGGTCGCTAGGCATCCGCATTCAGCCCACACGGAGTATACTCAGCACCAACGCTCAGCACTTCGCCTTGCGATCCAAATGATAAGGATAGGGGAGTTGTCGCTACGAGGTAGTTACTACCATGCTCCGTAGTCAACGGACAAAGACCCAACAGCAGCTTGCGCGTGTCTACAAGGCGCGACGCCTTAGTGGTCGGCTTCCGCGACCCAAGATGCAGGCGGACCAGCCAGGCAAGTCAGGTGGGCCGCACCGGAGCGAGGCAGGCAACGCTAGGGCCTAGAGGGGACTAGCGGGCTAAACCCGACGTCCGAGCCAGCCAGTGCCGACACACCACCAAGGCGCTAGTACCGTACGACCTAGGCGGTATCAGCCTGTAACGGGGATGGAGAGTATACAAGCAGACACGGGCAATCCGCCAATGGCCAGGCGACCTGATGGCGGTCCATGGGCCAGGATGGGCGAAACTCGGGCGAGTCCAGTGCCTGCCAGTCGCTTGGTTCTACCCCCCCGGGAATTTGCAGGCCTGCAGCGCTCGTATTGGCAGTTGGGGGCCTCGGAGGAATGGGAGCGTCTGATTGGAATTTCTTCCTCTAGTTGTCGGGGGTCCCCCAGCAGGTTCCCTTCCCCCCCTCCCCCCAGCAAAAACCCCCAGCAGAACCAGGGTCCCAGGCACGACAGCTGACCTCGGCCATGGAATGGTAGGCGTGGACCAGGGACCGTTTGCCTGGGGCGGAGAATGGATTGAGAGTTGGGGGAGGAGGGCCGGCACGCCCATGTCCGTGCGAGCAGCAGGGCCCCGGCCAGAGCAGTCGACGAGGCCGCGCGATGGATACGAGCCCGTTCGACTGGACTTTCCATGGATGGGGGAGACTGGAGATCGAATGTTCCATCGGTGGAGCCCGGTCGAGCGATTCTGTACCAACGAGTACTTCCGTCTCGACAAAGGAATTCTCCGCAGTTGAGGACCAGTAACTTCTCTGTCTTTCATGGATGGGATGGGGTGTCAGTCAGCTAATTATTGCCGATAATCCTAATAATTACGATGCTTACCAGCGCAGAGGAACGCTCCCCTCCTCGCCCCGACCCGATCAGCCTCAGCTGTGCCCTCCACCGCCCGGCATCTGTCATGCATTCCTCGACGCAAGGAGCAACGATCGCTTGCCTGCCCCTTTTCTGGTCCCGCGTTGCTTTTTTCTGATTTGTGACCCCGATGATCCACGCCATTGGTGGTTGGCCCCGGGTGGTCTGTTCGCTCTCTCGTCACGCTTGGCTCGGCCGGGCTCCCCTTGACCCTGGGTGGCCGCTGGTGTATCCGTGTCAGTTTTGGGACGCAGAGAATTCTCCCGGCCATCCACACCATCCACGTCGATCTGGAGACCCTCTGATCCCTCCCCGGCGCTGAGGGCTAAGCTTATTCTGAACTCCACCAAATAGGGAAACAGCGGCCAGCATTCCCTGCTGGGTCGGAGAGGCCGATCGTCTCGACGGCGCTCCACATGCCTATCTATACATACAGGAACTCCCAACGGGAGTAGCTACGGTGGTCGGTGATGGTTCATACATAGTAGAAGAAGAGTCTAGTGTAGGGGCGGAAGTACGGTGTAACGTACTCCGTCCAGAGCCCTGATGCTCGGTCGGGGGGCTGCCAAAGAATCCGCAAGTCCTTTTCCTACCTACTCAAAGGTGGATTAACACTAGGCCGAAAAAGTCGGGGGGAAGAGCTAACCGGTTTTCTGGCACCATTGATTCGGGCCCTTTTTGGGTCAAGGCCGCCTGCAGCGAGGGTCTGGCCGATTCCATTTTGCTGTGCCTGGTCGCATCCCATCGGGGAGGATTGGAATGAGGTGGTCATCTCATCATGACTGGATTTTTTTGCTCAACTATCGCTACATCTGTGTCTCGCTGTGAAGGGATGCGGCCGATGAACCGAGCCCCGACCGTGGGCAGCGGGCGACGGTGGAACGGGGGGGCAGCTTGGACGCCTGGACGAGCCCTGTCAACCACGTTGCCGGGGATCAGGACTGGCTCGTCTTAGCGAGCCATCGTTGGCCGGTTAGCAGGCCGCTAGTTCAACCATCCAGGGAGCCGGCCAAGGTTCAGTCAGGTAGGAAAGTTTGTTGCCAATGGTTCCTTCAATCTTACCGGGGGCCAGTCCGGGATAGGATTGGAGTGAAGGGGGAAGGAGGGGGGGGGAGAGGGGGGGAAGGGTTTGCTTTTCCCAATCAAAGTGAATCCGACTGCAGAATACTCCGTCAATCCATCAAAGAAACAAAGATCAGGAAAAGGATAAATCCAGAATAATAATAATCCTCATCCCGAAGGGGAAGGGAGAGAGAAAAAGAAAGGCCGTCATTCATTCTGCTGAAAATTCGGTTGGGGGTTAGCCCCGATTGGGGAGACCTCCACTCGATCCGGTCGGACCAGGCGACTGACTGGTTGGCTCCATTCGCTGGTGGTGGTGAGGGTCGGCTGATGGATGGCTGAAGGATATGACTATTATTCTGCTCTGGGATCGATGCGAATAAATAATAATGGGGAATCAATAATCCTCTAATACGAACGAGCACTGGGGATGATTAGAAGGGTTCCCTCTGTCTGCTCCCTCCCTCCCTCCTCTTCCCCAGCAGCAGCACCAGCAGCAGCACCAGCAGCAGCTTCCAATAATCCCAGACACGCCCAATCAATCCAATCAATAATAAATAAAAATAAAAATAATCGGGGTGGGTATGTTCTCCCTGGTATTTTTGTGAACTCAACCCCCGCGCTGGCCAGACCCGGCGCTGGACTGGTCTGGATACGTCTCCATTCCCGGCTGGTTTGGTCCATCAGCAATCCGCTTGTCTATTATTCACAGCATCGACAATAAAAGATTTCCCCCCTCTCCCTCTTCTGACGACCTTCTTTTCCCCCGTCATCTTTCTCTCCCACACCTCCACCGCCACCCACGCCTCCGATCTCCATCATCATTATCACCACACCACCACCACCACCACCTTCGTTACCATTCTTCATACCGCCTGTCAGCGTCTGTCCCGGCCGCCCTCGAAACCTGCCATCCCCGCTGCCACTCCTCGCCCGCCCATGGTTCTTTGACTGCCATCCCGCCTGATCTCACCGCGCATCTCCATCAACGTCGATCTTTATTTGTCTTGTCGTACTTCGCGTGACGGCGCGTGGTCTGCGTGATAGACCATGAGGTTGTCTTGATTCTATTCTCCCTGCGCATACCCTCTGGTCGCATCACCGCCATATCAGTCGCGCCGACAGGATATGACTTCCGGATAACGCGCTGGTGGTAATCCAACCTGACGTGAAACAACAACCCCCCCCCCCGGTGGTACCCGTTTGAGCCTATAGCCATCCCCACGGTCGATCTCCCAGGACCACCCCCGTTTCGTCTCAGATCGCGGATCGCGATCCGATCGCCCCTCCTGGATCCTCCAGACATCGCCGGTGGCCTGTCTGGCAGTCGATACTGGTCCCTCGCATCTGACCCCGTCGCCTTTCCCCAGGGACATCTGTCCTCCGGTCTTACCACGCCCTCGTCATTGGTCGTGGGTGATCTCTTCTCCTCGAACTTCTCGCGCGAGACATCCGCCAACCTGGCTGCCCTCGCGATTCCCCCACCAGGCATGGGGACGGCGCTCGAGGCGCTGACCACCCCCCAGCCGTTGAACTCGCGTCGTCCCGCGGCCCCGACCTTGCCCAGCTTCGAGCTGCCGGCTCCTACCTTTCCTACTAGTGGTCCCATCAAGTACGCCCATCACCCTAATTCTGCGTCCATTCACCCCAGCGTCAGCAAACTTCTTACTCCGCCTGCGAGCACCCAGTCCGGCGACAACGGTCACGCCAGCACGGCGGTCACCACGGGCGTCTCGACCAACTCGGAGCTGGCCCCCTACTGGCAAGGCCAGGGTTCCTATAGTGCGTCTGGGGCCGCCGCGGCGCGTCAGTCGTGGAGTTCGGGCATGCCTTATACGAGTCGAGATACCTTTCCCCTCCCTCGCAACCCGGCCACGTCGACCCCGGGCACCGAGCATATTCCCCAGCCATTTGAAGTGAATCAGTTGCCCCCGTTCCAACAACCGATCCCGGTCTCGGCGGCCCCGGGGGGTCCGCTACAGCATCATTCGATGCCGCACGCCATGCTGTCCGTCCACCCGCTCCCGAATCCCGCGCCGTCGCCCCATCCCCTGCCGTCGAACGATCCCTACATGGTCAAATCCTCGTCCGCTCCGGCGTACGGGACGGTGCAGCAGGTGTCCAATTCCCCTGGATATTCCTCGTACGGACCAACGGGACTCGGCATGCAGCAGCCCCCGGGCCGGGTGGCCTCGAATCCGCATCCGACGCATCATTTGAATTATCAACGTGGGCCCTGGCCGTCTTACTCGCTCCCGGCGATGAACGGTCCGGTCTGGACGAACGTGCATAATCCGAACGGGCCCATGTCCGTGACGGGGAATCAGCCGGGACTGCTGCCGGGTCTTCCCGGGTTCAATAGCGGACACGCGGCCAATTTGCAGCAGATGCAGCAGCTGTATGGGGGCCACCCACCGCATCCCGGCCACGGCGGGCCCGGACCAACCAACGACCGACCGTTCAAGTGCGACCAATGTCCGCAGAGCTTCAACCGGAACCACGACCTGAAGCGACATAAGCGGATCCACCTGTCGGTGAAACCGTTCCCGTGCACCCACTGTGACAAGAGCTTTTCGCGCAAGGACGCGTTGAAGGTGAGCTCCTCCCGTCCCCTGCCTGGGTGTAACCTTGCTAACCGACACAGCGACACATCCTTGTCAAGGGGTGTGGGAAGGACGGGTCGGATGGCCTCAAGGCGAGCGAGCACGGCTCGGTCAAGGAGGAAGATCGGAGTGATGGATTGAACGGCCACCATTAAGCGGGGGCTTACGCATGTTCTGGAGTTGATTGACGGTCCTTTGTATTGATTGCCCAGCTGGCTCGGACGAGTGTGTATTGGCTGTGATTTGTCTCACTTCACGCGGGTTGGGACCGGTCGGATTGTTTTCTTGTTACGGATGGCATCAGCGTCGGAAGCCTGTTTCATGTATACGTATGTAAGTAGAGGCGTTGACCAGCGTGTATGGTTTGGACATTATGGATTTGGCTATGATTGTTGCTGCTGTACGCTGTACTGCTGTAACTGCTTACTGCTGTACTGCTTAACTACTGTAGTGCTGTAGTGCTGTACGCTGAACTGCTGTAACTGCTTACTGCTGTAACTGGCGGAGATGTCGGGGCAAGATACTCCGGCTCATTCTCTGAGCCATTAAAGACTGCCGTCACTGCCGTCAGCAGATCTCTCCCACTCTACTTCCAGCGATGCATTCCTGGCTGCCTCTTCTCATCGCTGCCCTAACAACAGGGCAGTACATCACCACGATCGACCCCACCCCCGTCACCTACCCCGTGGACGTGAACTTCACCGGGGACTCCTCAGACCTATCCGACCTCACCGCCCCCAAGCTCGAAGCCATCAACCAAACCGTCTTCGAATGGTGGTACTTTGACGCCATCTCCTCCTCCAACCCTAACGTCTCCGTGGTATTGACCTTTTTCACCACCACCGCGACCGCCTTCCCCCTCGTACCCCCCAACTCATCCTCCGTACTACTAACCTACGTCTGGGCCACGCTTCCCGACGGCACCACCGTGGTCGACAAGGCCGTACCCAACGACGCCGCCGTCCTCGGCGAACAGAACCAAACCTCGGGCATCTGGGAAAGTACGGGTGGTTGGATCGGACGAACGACGGGGTATGATGCGTGGATGGGATGGGAGGGATCGCGCGTGAGTGGACGGATTCAGTTGGATACCGTGAGTTCCTCTATTTCTTAAGTGCAGTGCGTGCAGTGGCTGATAATCTAAGTCTTCTGCTCCGCTGTCCCCCTGCTCGACGCCCACGCAGTTCGATCTGTCGTTGGCATTAGGGCCGGATTTGGGCTGGGTGAGTCTCGTTCCGGGGTCTCGTGCGGTCGTGGATTTGTTGGTCGATGGCCATCCGCTGCAGTTTACGGGGGTTGGGTATCATGATAAGGTATATTCTCCCCCTTCGTTCCGGATTTCGCTGTGTGGTATCTAAGAAAAAGTAGAACTGGGGTAGTCGACCCTTTCAATCCCTGGTGGCCTCGTGGTCTTGGGGCCATGCGCACGTCGGACCGTACTCGCTTGTGTGGATGCAGTATACCCGGCCGGGGTCTAACTCGAGTGTCCCCATTGCGAGTGCCTACGTGGCCAAGGACGGACAGGTGATGCAGTCGGGGTGTGAGGCGGGGATCGTGGCGATTCAGCAGCGCCGTACAGCCACCAGTTACGGCGTGGAGGTCGTGATGCCGGGGGTCCGGCTGCGGGTGCAGGGCACCGCGCAGGTCGCCGGCGATGGCCAGCATTACTTTCGCTGGAACGGGGGGGTCTCGGGGGAGATCTTCGGGGAGAGAGTAGAGGGAGGTGTTGCCGTGTTTGAGGCATTCGAGTTTGAGTAGGATAGTGTAGACAACACAATGCGAGTACGTAACATCATCACCACCACAACCATACCAACAGAACCCTATCTAACGCATCCACTCCTCCACCAACCCCCGATAATCCTCCATCCCATACGGCCTCAACCACGTCCACCACCCCCTCTTCCGCCCCTTCTCAATCCCCAAATCCTGTAACAACAAATCCACATACGCCAACGCATCAAACACGAAATCCGGATTCCGTTTCCCAAATCCCCCGGGGTACCGATGCACCCCGAACTGACTATGCAGGGCGGTTTCCCAGACCAAATCCACATCCATACCCTCATCCCCATCTACCCCCTTCTTCTTCCTGAGACTAATATCCTGTTTGATCTCCTCCGGACACTTCTCCCTACTCTTCACCCCCATCCACCCCCCCAGAAACGCAGCCCCCCACAACGCCTGCACCTGGGCCACGAGCGGCGTGTTAATCGTCATCACTGCGCCCAGCACCACAATCGACCGCTCCTTCGCAAACGCAGGCGGGACCATGAATCTCGCTAACCGGAACGGATGGCGGGCTGTCGCGGGTGCATCCTCCCCGAGGGGGGTATACCCCGCGTGCAACTGGGGGGAGTCCCGTAACTTGGGAAACCTCTCCCGGATCACTTCATCTGCCTTCTCCACCATGGTCGACGGAATGGAATCCTCCGCCCAGGGAAAGCCGAGTTCTTTGTCGATTCCCAGGGGCGTGAAGAGCATGTTGGGGGTGACTTGCCAGCCTGTTGCGCAGATTAACCCGTCACTTTGGATGACTTCGTTGGTGGTTTTGAGGTGGATCCCTCCGGTGGCATCCAGGGAGGTAATGTCGTCGATGATTACCCGGACTTTGCCTTCCCGGACGAGGGCGAAGAAATCGGTGGGGTAGTTCAGGATGCTGAGCCCACTCGCCGCCCAAAATGGACTCATCCATGGTTTGAGCTTTTGGGTCTCCGGATGAGCGTCGTAGTTATTCAGTTGAGTGAGGTCCTGTTCGAGAATCGCCCAGAAGATATCCACGATTTTCCGACCCAGCCCGGTACCGTGCAGGAATGACCGGACGAAGCCGTACCCGTCTGCGTCGCCCCAGAGACACGGACTGAACCAGGTGAGGAGACGCGTGGTAACCAATTTCTCGAGCTGTTTCTTGAGAGGCGTCACGTAGGGAGGTGTCATCCAGCAGGGTCCGTGGCCGGAGGACCGGATGATCCAGGTGACGCGGGCGCCGGAGGTGGTGGCGCTGTGGACGGCGTCCCAGGCGGATTTGGTCCCGCCGTAGATGGTGAGTTGTTTGGTGGGGGTGAAGAGGGTGGGTTGGTGGGTGAGGAGGTCGCGGGGGTGGATGATCGGGTGGGGGTAGGTGGTGTCGCCGGGGATGGGGGGGAGGTAGGGCTGGGAGGTGAGGCCGGTGGCGAGGATTAATTTCTCCGTGTGGATTTGGGTGG